CAGAAAATAAGAAAGAAGATGACGATGACGTCTTACCAGCCACGACGAGGCAATTAAACCCCAGCCAGCAGTGAGTGGCAGCTTGAGGAGGAGGATGTTTCCGACCAGGGGAGGGATGGTCATCATCATCAGAACCAAGCACCGATGATTAGGGAGTAAATAGCACCCTGCAAGGCTGATCCATATCGCCAGGATCTGTACGGCTCCCGAGGGGGCCGTATACAGCATAGTCTGGAGACTGGTGTAATTTAGGTTCTTGATGATAAGGGAGGCAAACTGAACCTGTCAGTGACGCCGGGACGACCCCTTTGAAAATAAGACCTACTGTCATCACTGGGGCCTGCATGGTGACCAAGACCCCGAAAATGAACATGAACCACGCCCGGATATCTCCCAATGTCTCCTTGACTTGCGCAACTGAGAACTCAGTTAGATCGCCGGCGTCCCGATCAAGCGTCATCCTTGCTTCAAGCACCTCCTTTTCGCGTGGGGTGAGGAACCATGCTTTCTTGGGCGAAACAGGGACGATGATCATGAAGAGACCGCCAATGCCACATGTTATGGCTCCGCAGATGAGGAACAAAGTCCTCCAGGGTGCGAGACTTCCGGGATTCGATCGTCCGATCCCGTACATGAGCAGACAACCAAGGACCTGAGCCAAGCCATCCATCGTGATCCAAATCCTGGAGTAAGAGATTAGTCCTCATCTGAAGAGCAGATCGCTTATTTTGCCTCACCCGACGCGCAAAGCATGTTCATTCTTCCGATACCAGACACTGGTCAGAGTGACGAATGCTGGGGCGACTGCTCCTTCACTCACCCCGAGGAGAAATCGCACGGCAGCAAAGTCAGCAAAAGACTGGGTGGCTGCCAGACACATGCAAATCCCTCCCCAGATGATACTAAACCAGAAGAAAGATTAGAGAAGCTTCGCAGAAGTGATTGAGGCCCAACATACATGGTGACTCCAACAAATCGCGTCAAGGGCAGGCGACTCATCAGATAAATGAAGGGATATTCCGCCACCAGCTGTCCTTGACGGTTGTCAGCGAGATGCTTCTCATTGCTATTTCTTACTCTTTCCCGTCGAAAGTCATACCAAGGTAGAAGATCGAGGAGCACCAGGAGTACTGGGACCCCTGCAAGGAGAGGTCATCGAGAAGACCGAAAACCGAGGCATAACTCAAGCCCTGCTTGTCGAGAACTGTGATAGTGATGGTGATGGTGAGTTGTTGGAGGAGGAGGAGGAAGTGAAGAGGGAAGAAGTGGAAAGAGGGAAAAAGGGAAAAAGGCAACTGGCGGGGTTGACCAACACTGAAAGAAGAAGACCAAACACAACATCGGCAAGATAAACCGGTCGATTTTCCTCACCACCTGCTTTTCCTCCTCTTTCGAATATATCACTCGATGACAGCTACCATCGCTGGCCTCTTTCTCCTGAGGTATCTGCACCATCTCCCAATCTCCCAATTAGCAAACTACTGCCTGAGAATGACTTCTGCTGATTTGTGATTGTTTCCACTCTAGGCCGACGAGATGACGATGAAGATGAAGATGAAGATCAACAGTAACGCGACGTGAAGTCCTCGAGGAGACACGCCACAATCTCAGAATGCCCTTCATCAAGCTGATGCCAGCGCTCACTGAGTCCCCATTTAAGCGTATGATGAGCCCACCGCCATATGCAAGGGGTAGATCGCCGCCAAGAATCCAATACTTGCTGGACCAACGCGCCGAGCGCGTCTCCCATCAATACCGTTGGCTCGCCTGTGCATACTGGGCCAAGTCGAAAAGCGGTGGTGGTCCATCAGTGGAATGAGTGAAACAAAAGAAAGAGCTTATATAGCTATCATGCTTTGAATATGTACAGTCCAGCCAATTGCAGCCTACTGCTGCGTATGCACCACCACCTCGGTGGTTTTCAAGATGCCAATCTCCGTGCGATGCAAGCGCTGTTCATCCTCCTCGCGATTGCCACTGTGTGCGCTATTTGAGTCTCCATCGGAACTTCCCTCCACCGTGATATTGTACATCGAATGGGGCGCTCGGGGCACCATCGACTTGAGCGTGACGTCGGCACTGCGTTGGCCATAATATTCGGGGTAGTAATTGCCGTATGCGTTGCGTCGTCCACTGGTCAGGTTGCGCGTGCTATCCAGCAGCGATTTTACCAAGGTCTTAAGACTAGGTAAGCATGCTGCGATGATAGCGACATTCAATTCCACGCTGACTCCTGTTGTCAGTCTCAAACCTCAGACGATCACCGAATGGCTTCAACATACCAGTTCCACACCATGAACGTATCATTCCTGCATATTGCGTGAGCAAAAAGGCACTCCATAACACTCCTAGAGCGCCACTTACCGGTACACATCCGTCTCTTTGAGCACTTTGATCTGAGCGACAATTTTGATGACTCCAGCAACACAGGCTCTAAATTCAACCCAGATCAGTTCGATTCCCGCGTACGAAGAGCTTCGTCACGTACAAATATCCCAAGCTCAGCACCCCAATCAGTGACGCCTTGGTCCGTAGGTTGACCTGAATCTTGATAAACATCGGCACCGGTAGTGTGGCGAAAATGACATCCGTCACGAGGTTGGTAACTGGAATGCGATCGGTGTGAGCCTCTGCGAATAGGAAAGACGATTGACACGACACAGGGGAGAACGCACTGCTGTTCCACAGCCCGATGGCCGTGAAAGTACCAGAATCAAAACAGCGCGCATTGGCCCTCAGACTATAATCCCAGGCCGCAGCCACAGGGATACACTCAAGGATCAGGGTCAGGGCGCAGGCAACAGTGAAGGCGACCAGGAAGACTATGATGGTGAGAAACAGAAGTAAGGCTCAGGCGTGAGAGGCCGACAAACCAATCGATCCAACCAAGGCTTTTCGCAGCCAACTCTGCGCGAATCGTCGCAAGAAAACCGCCAGGGAGATCTTGACCAGGCTAAGACCAACCATGACAATGATGGAATGGAAATAGACCACTTTGGCCAGGTACCCAAGATCCTCATTGGAGATGTCTTTGTTGTAACGACCGACTCCATGCTGGGTTTCAACCACGAAGCAAACGAGGACTCCCACAGCGCAAAGCTTGCATGGGGATGTACTGATTAGAATATGTCGATCTTCTCCATCATGAACCATGCCGATCAAGCCAGAGTCCACTTACCCACGCCCCGAGTATATTGTACTCCTCCGCATTGAACTTCCGCAGAACCAGTCCGCGCACATAGCACCGCAGCAGCACGATCAGCGTGGACAGGCCCGACAACGTTCCAACCACTGCCAAGATGGTCGGAGCGTGGGAGGAGCTGGCCCCCGATCGCGGCCAGAGGGGAACCGCTGTCATATCGGCGAAGAAGAAGTCACTGAGCACAGTGACCGCAAGCCATGAACAGCGATGGTGAATTGATACATGGAGAAAGGATTCCTTGGACGAGTGGCCTTGTTTTTCTTCCTCCCTGTGCAGTGCAGTCTTGCACAGGAATCACAGGGCACCGTCGACCGTTTACGAGGCGCAGCCAAGAACGACGTCTGCACGGTCCGGGCCTGAATTTCCGACCCTTCTCCGATCCCATATTCGTCAGAATGTTACAACTCTGGAAGTTCCATCCACTTGGGGAACCAGGCCGGGAGGTCTGGAGCAGGATAGAAGGTGGGTGGCACTCGAGAGCTAAGCGAGTCATTTAGCCTCGGCTGTCCGGCCGATGGGCTCGAAAGGTCTGAAGACCCTCCTCAAATCTCCCTTTTGGCCAGGCTAGCAGGGATAATACAGACTCTAGTGTCACTTTCTCATTTATTTTACTCACGCCACGCTCCAGAAGCCCCCCGACGCCGGTAATTATTGCTTCGCGTGGCGCTGCAGGAGCAACGTGGCAGGCATCCTGCAGGCACACTCTAGCGGTCAGCAATCCCACCAACGGCTTGTCGACCAGAGACGGCATCTGGATAAAATCTGGACCCCATGCAAGACATACACTTGGTGTTTGGAGTGGACGACGAGATGATCCGGACGATCACGGGAGGGTTCGACCGTGGAAGGGAGGGAAGATCGAACTCACAGGCCAGCAATCGCACATTTCCCTGAATCTCGCACTCCACCGGACTCCATTTCGGACTCCATTTCTTGTTCCTCTTCTCCTCCGGCCGGAGTCAGGTTATCAAATCGGGGAAGACGGATGACAGCGGCTAAGAGCGTAGTGCGGCCGACGAAGTGGTGCTAACGGACCCACTAATAAGCACTAACTTAGATTAAAATATATTAATTATCAATTCTCGACAACCGGCACCATCGCTTTCCCGCGCTCAAGGAACAATTGAGTGCTCATCCAGTCAGGGGTGGGAGGTAATTTGTCTCCTCAGGGCGCGGGCGGCGCAGGGACCCCTGTCCACGCTTGGCCACGTTCAGCCCGCCCTCAAGATGATTGATTTGCCACCACTATGACAGGTCAATTATCGAATCCGGGGAATAGGTTATTGCGCGATCTCTCTCTTCAGTCGATGGCATCTTGAACAAGCAGACGAAGTCTCGAGTGGTAGAGACCAGCAGACGAAACCTGTCCTTGAGGAAACCGGCTGCTCTCGGAAACGAAAGACCCTTAGCGAACAAAGCAACCCCCCACTATCGGTTCGAATTCCGGCTAGAACTGTCTAAAATTGCATTGTATGGCAGGAACCATGTGTATGCTTCGCACTTTTAGTTGCCGACGGTGCAGCGACTAAGAGGTTGTCGTCCCAATCGGTGCCATTTGGGGAGCTTCTCTTAGGGCTATTCGCCCGGTTCCGACCTCCAGACCACCACATGGGCTGATTAGCTTCTTTTTTTTTCCACGAGGCAGCAGCCATTTCCTGGTCTTCTTGTCTCATCAGGGGCAAAGAAGAAGGACTCGGGACCCAGGAACAGGACTATATAGAGGTAGTGGGCGACCAGCTCTTCTGTGACTTCTCTGTCAGCCCGCTCAGTTCATTCCCGTCCGGTGACTGCTGCTATCATGAAGTTCTCCCTTCTGTCCACTGCGGCTGTGGCTGCTTTGGCTGCTTCGCCAGCCGCTGCCATCCTCGGCACCCCCGATGCCGTGGATAAACTCTCCAGCAAAGCTCTGGCTACTAAGTTGGCCTATGAGGCCGCTCATGGCTCTAACTCGACCTGCAACATCAAGAATGCGGCAGTTCGTCGCGAGTGGTACGTTTTGCCTCCCCGCGCTAAGCTTAGGAGCGTTCGCCAAAACTCATTCACATGAAACACCAGGTCCTCTTTGGCACCCGCCGATCGGAAGAAGTATACCGATGCGGTGCTGTGCTTGATGAGCAAGCCCCCCAAGTCCGATCCCAGCTTCGCTCCTGGTGCCCGTAACCGTTTCGATGATTTCGTCGCGGTGCACATCAACCAAACCTTGTGGATCCATGGCACTGTAAGGCGCCTTGCTTCCTACAACTTAATCCTCTGGCAACTAATCGGATGTAGGGTAACTTCCTCACCTGGCACCGGCTGTTCACCTGGGCCTACGAGACCGCTCTGCGCGACGAGTGTGGCTACGATGGGTACCAGCCCTACTGGGCCTGGAACAAATATGTGAACAACCCGATCAACTCGCCTCTCTTCGATGGCACCGAGTACAGTATGTCTGGTAACGGTGACTATGTCGCTCACAACGGTACCCCGGCCACTGCCTACACCACGCTTCCCCCGGGTGTGGGCGGCGGCTGTGTTACCAACGGTCCTTTCGCCAAGTAAGCCTTCTCTCATCTTCCCTAGCTCTGTCTTCCAGTTCGTCCAGTCCTAACAAGCCCACCTTCAGCATGACCGTCAACCTCGGTCCCGTCGACCCCACCCTGCAGATCCCCGGCCTGGTAGCCCAGAACGGCACCGGACTGGACTACAACCCGCGCTGTCTGCGCCGCGACATCTCGCCGGTGGCCGCGCAGGGCTGGACCAAGACCAGTGACGTGATGGATCTGATCCAGAACTGCGACGACATCTCGTGCTTCGAGTGGACCATGCAAGGGTTCTTCGAGGAAGGGTTCTTGGGCGTGCACACGGCCGGCCACTTCACCATCGGCGGTGACCCGGGAGGTGTATGTACCCTTCTCCTCTTCTCTTCCATTTATCGATCCTCGCTAACCACCCACCCCACCAGGACCTCTACGCCTCCCCCGGTGACCCGGCCTTCTACGTCCACCACGGCATGATTGACCGCGTCTTCTGGATCTGGCAGAACCTGAACCCGGCCAACCGCACCTACGTGGTCAAGGGCCCCGACTTCCTCGACGGGCTGATTCCCGGCCCCAACACAACCATCCACGACACCCTCTGGATGGGCAACCTCACCGCCTCCCGCGAGATCTATGATATCCTGGACACAACGGCTGGAACTCCCTTGTGTTACATTTATTTGTAAATTAGAATGTGACACTGCTCGTGTCTGTGTCATGGGCAGTGACATGATAGAAATAATAGATGATTTGTTCCAAGTTTACTTCGCTTCTATGACTGTGGGCAGGTGGCTTTGCGGGTCAGCCACAGCCGCCACAGCAGCCACGGAACACGCGGCGAGGCGAAAGCGGCAGGTCGTGGCAGAATATTGACCGAGGTAATTTTATCTACACTCCGGGGGGCCAATCAAAACGCACACGGTCTGTAAAGGAATGGATTCAGAATGACTCAGCAATGAGGTTTCTATAAGCGCACGTGACCTAGGCCTGGAGCTCACAACACAAGTCACGCAGTAAGTACCTCTTTCTTCCTCTCATGTGTGGCCACAATATTTACCCCTTAGCATTCCGGATCTTGTCTCTTTTTACGGTCGCAATGGTCAGTTTACTGTGAACGCAATGGACGAACGCAACTCTCTGAACAAGGAAATCTATTTTCATGCTAATGACATCAATCCGTGGTATATATGTACAACCCTCAACCGTACAGCTTCTTGATCTCGGCCACCACCGCGTCGGTGACCTCCTTGGTGTTAGCCTTGCCGCCCAGATCGGCGGTCAGGACACCGGCCTCGCACACGTTCTCGACGGCGGTGAGCAGCTTTTGGGAGGCATCCGCCTCACCGAGCCACTCGAGCATCTCGGCGGCGGTCCAGAAGGTGGCGACGGGGTTGGCGATGCCCTTGCCGGTGATGTCGAAGGCCGAGCCGTGGATGGGCTCGAACATGGAGGGGTTCTGGCGGGTGGGGTCGAGGTTGGAGGTGGGGGCGATGCCGATGGAGCCCGCGAGCGCGGCGGCCAGGTCGGAGAGGATATCGGCGTGCTGTTTGGCCCGTTAGCTGCGGTAAGAATGGAGGAGAAAGGCTCAACTCACCAGGTTGGTGGCGACAATGGTGTCGATGGTCTCGGGCTTGAGGACCATGCGGGTGGTCATGGCGTCGACCAGCATCTTGTCCACGGTGACATCGGGGAAGTCCTTGGCGACGGCCTTGGCGACCTCATCCCAGAGGACCATGCCGTTGCGCTGAGCGTTGCTCTTGGTGACCACGGTCAGGAGCTTGCGGGGACGCTTCTGGGCGACCTCGAAGGCGAAGCGCATGATGCGCTCGACACCGACGCGGGAGAAGATGGCCGTCTCCGTGGCGACCTCCCAGGGCTTGCCCGTGTGGGAGCGACCGCCCTGACCGGCGTACTCGCCCTCGCTGTTCTCGCGGATGATGACCCAGTCGAGGTCGCCGGTCTTGCAGTTGCGGAGCGGGGACTGGGTGCCGCGGAAGACCTTGGTGGGGCGGACGTTGGCGTATTGCTGGAAGGGCTGACAGATGGCCAGGCGGAGACCCCAGAGGGAGATGTGGTCGGGGACGTCTGTTTAATAGTAACCAATTAGATCACTTTCTCCATGCGGGGAAGTAGGGAAAGTCAACATACCAGGAGCGCCGACGGCACCGAAAAGAATGGCGTCGTGCTTCTTGAGGGAGTCGAGACCGCCATCCGGGATGTACTTTCCGGTCTTCTTGTAGGTGTCGGAGCTCCAGTCGTAGTTGGTGAACTCCAGCTTGAAGGTCTTGAGGGTATCGGCCAGGGCGTTCAAAGCAGTGATACCGGCCTCAACGACCTCGGGGCCAATGCCATCGGCGGGGATGGAGGCGATGCTGTAGGATTTGAGGAGAGACATGGTAACTGTGTGCGGGGTTCGTATGAGAGTAGTGAGAGGAAAGAAGAAGCCGATATCAGCGCGTCGATCGAGGTTTATATCGTATCTCCAGCCCCGGTCTGTTGCCCCTCACCGACGGACGGTTCTCCCTCCATGATCTCAGATTGGGGGTCGGACTTGCACTCCTCCGCGATTCGGAGGAAAACATCTCCGGTACCACGCGGATGATCGGGACGGGTTTACATCTTGGAGAATGGCGACGATCGATGCAGCCCTGTGGAGTAAGGAATAGTGCGATAGATAGGTTACCGGGGGAGAGGAGAGGTTGAGAGGCAAGGTTTGTGTGGAGTCGATTGACGGATTGATTGTTGCGAAGGGGAACAGGTTGACCCCGTGGCGGAAGAGTGCTGTGCTGTGCTGTACACTGTACGAAGTTGTCAAAAGATGCAAACAACCCGCTGGCTTGACTTTGTCCGCGGCAATTTTCTATGGTGGCAAGTAGGTAGATGACTAGCCAGTATCGTCATAATGTGCAAACGGGATAGAAATTTAGTTCGAGTAGGATGGTGCATGTTGTGAGCAGACTCAAAGGCTGCCACACTCAAAATAAGAGAGAAAAAAAAGATAAAATCTTAATGGGAGCAAAAAGGCAATCCCCCGAACCAGAATCGAACTGGTGACTTTTCGGTTACAACTTCCATTACAGCCGAACGCCATGAACCAACTAGACCATCGGGGGTTGTTGTTGCAGTACTCGTCGTTAACACAAATCATACGGAGCTTTGCGCTCATCAGAAGTACAGCGAAGGATATCGCCGCGCCACTTCCCCTGCCCGATCCGACCTCCGCCGCTCTGGCGATCCTGACTCCTCCGCCGACCCTACACTGCTCCTGCTGGGAAGACTGGCGGCGGAGATCCCCCGCGGCATCTCATACACGTTTGATAGCGGCACTTCCACCCCCGGTGGTGACTTGACCACGGTCCGTTCACACTGGTACTGATCTTGTTTCGCTTCCCGCCAACGTTCGCGCTCCGCCCACCCGCTCAATGGCAATTGCGACCACTCCTGCATGCGTGCATTCTTGGGGCGCAGGTCAGCAGATTTGCGGGTGGCCTGCACCACCATGCCTCCGTGAGAGGCATTGAGCTCGCGGATGGTGGTGAGGGCCTCGTACAACGCTTGCTCGGTATCGGCAAGCCGCTGCTCGATCTGATTGAGATACCCGAGTGGAAGCCCTCTGATTCAGGTCAGCACCCGGTTGAGCAATTGCAGCAGGATGATCTCCCTTACCGTTTACCGCTTTCTGGATAGACACACTTGGATGGATCGGGGGAGCATTGCGTGCAGACTGGACTGGGGGTCGGTTAGTAGAGCGGAGATCGAGCATGCACCGCAAATCTATAGAGCGGAGTCACATACAGGGTGCGATCGCACTGGCACACGTTGGAGTTAGAAGAGTGTTCCCCTTGTCTGCTTTCTGAGTCTCGCTCTTTCCATTCTACTGACCTTGCATTTCTTTTGCCTGCATGGCTCGCAGGCAATGGGGCTGAGGGCTTGTTCGGTATCTGATCTCATCAGCTTCATTCTACTAGTAGCGGGAGATATATTTCGGATCCCCTGACCTGACGGCATTTCCGATCCTACTGGAGCTCAGCGAGGGAAATGGTAGAGAAATCGACACTCTTAGATTCATACATTCCGACTTACTCTGTCTGCATCATCGAGACCGCAAATATCTCCTGTTCTACTATCATTCGACTCCTTGCCACCATCGACTCTCTACCAGGGCACCTCATCTGCCATTACGGGTTGCAACTCGGCCCGGGGAAAGAAACCTCCGGCGGGGTTTTCCTTCCCGTGCTGCGGCGGCGCAAGGAAACCCACTGTGCGGTTTCTGCCTGGTGCCTTTCGTGGTTGCCTGATCTAGGGGGGGCCAGTCATGTGATACACTGACTGGCTCAAAGCTCACACGTGACTGCATAGTTATCCAAGACCACATAAGCCACTTATGCCGCCATGGTTATGCATGGGTGCAGTGCCTTTGGAAAGTTAACGTGGATCACAATCGAGCTTGTGTCAAAGACGAGCATCGACCACACTCTCACCAAGAAGTTATACCTATACAGAAGGGACTTTTATGTAGAGCAGTAGAGATGGTAAGTTACCTACCCAGGTCCCCATTCACTTTCAGAACAGTGTGAATATCCAACAGTCTTAGTTCAGTATGGCCACTGCTCTCCTCATACCCACTACAGATGCCCCCCTAAGCAATATTCCTTCATCCTTTCCCTTGTAACTCCAGATCCAATCGATTTAATTTCAAGCTACCAGAGGCTATCTGAGAGATCCACAGGTAACCAAAGTGCGGGTGGTGAAATTACATTTTGTTGTAACCTTCCACTCTGAAGGTCATCCTCATGATATCTACGGCGTCTGCTGTATACGTATATCAAGTGATACTCTGTTTCTTCATGAAGAGATTAAATCATGCTTGGCTGCTCTGCTGGTATATCTTAGTAGTTACTAGCTTTGTGTGGATGAGAATATCCTCAGGCTGACTCTCTAGATATACGCTTGTTCAGGATAAGTACGAGAATCAATATTAGTCTGGACCAGAACCCAATCCGTTTGTTTGAGATGTAGATATTGAAGCCTCTTGGGCTGAAGGATGAGGTAGCCGGTGAGATTCACTACCCCTCCTCCTACTAGTGATCATGAGGATTGCACACGCTGGAAGACAGGTGATTGACTATGTTCCACCTGTGAGCTGGCTTCTCCTCTCCTCTCCCCTCCCACTCCTCCACCACTACTTCTCCTCTGCCCATTTCTGATCATCCTCCTCTCTCTTCTCTCATCCCTCGTCCCTCATCCTCTCTCATTTCTAGCCCCGTTCTATCTTCACATCCTCATCCTCATCCTAATCTTCACCCTCGTCTTAGTCCCCAGACTTCTGTTGACTTTCAGTCGGTATACCTTGTCACCTTTAACCTCACTTTTACTTTTATTCTGACACGGTTTCTAGTTTCATCCTCATTTCCATCTTCCTCGTTTCCATCGTCTTCATTCCATCGCCCCCATTCCATCGTCATCCTCCTCATCCTTCGTCTCGAAGATTCTCTTTACATGTCGTCTGTGTCTGTATCCTTATTTCATTCCGACCCCGCTTCCTATCATGTGTGAAGTGAATACTCTCATCGACATATTTCATCATGTCGCCTTACCCCCTCAGCTGCCAGGAAGCCAAGATAGAGAGCCACGGAAGGTTGAGCACGGCCTCATTGAACGCTTACGCAAAGCTGTCATACGAGGAATATCCGGGCTCACGCCGTTGCGGGAATACTATCCTCGCGGGAAAAAGCTGTAAAAGCTGGTCAAATGGAACGAGGAATTGACAATGTCCATACAGCATGAAGCGTACCAGCCAACAGTCGAGCCGATTCTGAGGAGGTCTCAAAGGCTTTCTCTCTTCCAACCAGGTACCACGCCATGCGAAGTCAACACTGTCGGAGGCGAAGCATACCTGCGAGATGGAGCTCTTTGGCGCCGCTCCCTGTACGAGCGCTCGGACACATGGAACGAGGGAAAAGTGCGCATTGGCCAATAGAAAGATTCTTGCCCGGTTGCTCGTGCTAAGTGCGCTTCTCACCCAGACGGCTCAGATGTTACAGACACACATCGGAGGTCGCGCCGGTCGAGAAATTACAGGAGGAATAATGCCTGCAATGGTAACCTCTCAAGTGTTATGCTGTTCGCAGACTGTCGCCTGCGCTGTCTCCACCAGATTGCACCAATAAGCGGATCAACCTGCAACGCGAAGAATTATTTAGAAGAGGAATCGAGATAATGAAAGAAAAAGAGAGAGAAGAACTCAAAAAATGAGAAAATGAGAAAATGAGAACTGGATTTGTATGACTTGAATGCGGGCATAAACCCTAAGACTGACAGGGAAGAGCCTGTATATACGTATATTCTCAAGAAAATATTCGTATCTCAATCAAGTCCAACGTCCATAGCGTGCAGAGAGTTTATTAGTTCTTGGGTATGAGCTACATCAGTTGCAATGTAATCCTTCGCTTACTTGACTCGCCCGCCGCTGGTTGCGACGCGACAGCTGCGTGGCTGTAGGAACTGCGCTGGTCGCGTGTGCGGTCGCGCCGGTCAGACCAGCAGCAAAGGGGCAGTGATCAATAATCACGTTATTTTCTTCTCTTTTGGGGAAAAAGTACCTCAAGAGTTGGCGGGCCGCTCTCCGGGCTTCGCATTGATTTCTCTAGAAAAAAACAAAAAGAAAAAAGAAAGGGAGAAGACTTGTCTTCCTTCATCTGCTGATGTAACCAGCAAAAACATACAACAGAAGGGATTCGCTGGTGGTCACCCACCCAACTACTAACCTCCCGGCGTGTGGCTTAAGTACGGCTGAGCGGACGGGAAGCCCTGTTTTCCACACCCTGTGGTCGTATGTACTCAACACACGGGAATAGTATATAATATAGTGCACAAACTGATGAAGTTTGATATGAAGCAAACACCATTATAGACGAGATAAAGCACATTCGATTGTAAAGTTCGATGGCTGTATGCCGTACTGTATATGGATGAGTGCACAACTGCTTCTGCGGATCCTTGGCGGGTGCCCATCCTCGGTCTATCAAATCTGATTCGGCGCGGTTGTGCGAAACATGGGTATATATATCCGTGGAACTGAACCAGTACAATCTCAGAAAGTACAAACCCCATTGGGGAAGTGGGATTAATTGAGCAGGATAAAATAAGACAATCGACAGCTGTCAGTCAAACTGGAAGGAAACTCACTTCCCCAGGGTTCTGAAGTACCCCAGTCACGTGACCAGAAACGTTTTAAACGCAGAGAATGTAGCTGATTTCAAACCAACCAACCAGCCAACCACCAAGGAATCAACAAATCGTTCCATATTGCCCATCTCTGAGCTTGATCAATTCAGTTACAAAGATACCACGGAATCTGAAGCCGGCATAAGATTGGTGAGAAGCATTGAGGTGCAGTACAGTACCATATACCGCGGCCTAGAATCCCCACACCTAAGTCGATCCGGTTACATTATCGACCTTGGTGAAGCAACAGCCTCCATATCTCCATGTACATACAGCACATCGTTGAAACAACCCCCCTTACTCCTTATCTATCTTCACTGAGACCCGTCCCACCCCCGAAGTGGACCCGTACGGTGGCCTCGGTGCTCGACCCCACGCCAACCACCGGAAACAAACGTCCTAATGACCCACCGCGGAGCGTGGCACCGTCCACTCGTCTGCCATTCAAGGTATAGGAAATTGTACTTTGGTCGAAATTGACTCCACAGCCGATGATATCCCCCACCGCAACCTGGAAGGACTTTGCTGGGAACGAGCTTGTTGGTGGCTGCTTCTGCCGCTGCGGTTGCTGATGGGTTTGGACGGGAGAATTGGCGTGGGAAATCCAGATAGGGGCCTGTGCCGGTGGAGTCATTCTTTTGTCGAGGTAGATGGCGGTTTCCAGGGACGCATAGCGGCTGCAGTACCCAATGCCGATGAGTCTGTTACATTGTGAGATACGGTTCACCATCTTGGTTGCCCTGGAAGTGGGGGCTCTCTTGCCTGGGGACTGCACTCACGGAAATTGCTCTGAACTCTTCAGGATCTTGATCTCGTAGTAATAGCTACGGAGACCTGCAGGGACTGGGTGATCTGCCCTGACCAGGCGGCAAATGACGGGACTTGTGACCAAGGATGGATGTTCAGAGGGGCTCGTGGAGATTTCCACTCCACTGTCTCCAACCTGAATCTCGCCATGCTTATCATGTACGTTCCAACGTGTCGGAGGGTAGCCGCGAGCTGTCGGCTTGAACTTGGCATGGTATGCCATGAGGAAGTGGGTGGTACTGCGGGGTGACAGCAGACGCAACGTCCGCTCGCGTTTCTCTTGGATCGCCAGAGCGAGCACATCCCAGCCGTGCTCATCGTCCGGTTGATCTGGGTGTTGGTCAAGCAGCAACTCAATCAGCTCCACCGCATCCTGGATCACCGCGTAGTCCAGAAGATCAGGCCCGGGCGTCAGGCCGGGAACCTGCTGGATGATGGTACACAAGATTGGCACAAATGAAGCTTTGTGGTCTGTGTTTGTCGTCATCTGCCAGCCCTCGAATGCCAGATCTAGAATCGAGTGCTGGTCTTCCGTCAGGGCTTCCGGACTAGGATCGTGCTCGAGGAGGAGCTTGACAAGGTCTGCAGTCCCGTGAGCCGTCGCCAGGTGCAGAGGGGTCGCTCCTTGCTGGTTACGCTTCGCGCACATGCGAGGGCCGTTGCCGTGCTCAATGAGTTTCTTTGCAGCAACCGTGTTCCCGTTGGTCGCGGCGCAATGGAGGAGGGTATTTCGAGAAAGACTCGGAGTGTAAAGAACCTCGTCGAGGAGCCCTGCGGCCTCAAGTGTGTCCAGTAGATAATCGAGGATGTCGTTGGCATTCTCATCCACAGCCTGAAAGACTGGATCGCGGCCCAGCTTATCTTGGGTGCTGAGAGTGGCCTTCGCATCGACGAGCAATTTTACCAGGGACAGGTTGCATGTTCTAATTGCTGCGTGCAGTGCGGTCTGCCCGAATACATTCTCGGTATCGTTTACATCGGCCCCCGCGTCAATCAGAAGCGTCGCGGCCTCGATATTGGCCAGCTGAATTGCGGTATACAACGGGGCGCGGCTGTCTTTATCCTGTGCGTCGAAGTTGGCGCCGGCACGCAAGAGGGCCCGAATGATCGAGACAGAGTCCTGAGCAGCAGGGGCATCATGCAAAGGCGTTCGCCCCAGTTTATCCGGTTGATTAACATCAGCTTGATGGGATAATAGGAGCTCGACCATCTCTGAGGCTCCTTGCTTGAGAAGGACCGCCTGGTGGAGACATGTTCGGCCATCTTCTTTATGCTCTCCTGCGGCGTTGATGTCAGCCCCTTGACGAAGAACCCGCTCGCACAGATCGTGACTGCTGGTCTGAACTGCGAATTGCAAGCATGTCCGGCCTTCCTTGTCAGCCACGTCGGGGTCTGCTTTGTTCTTCAGCAGATACTCGATCTTTCCCATCTGTGGTGGAGAGCTGCCGAAGAGCATCAGAAGGGGTGTGGTGCCATTCTGATTCTTGAGATCAATGTTTGCGCTTCGCTCGATGAGAACCTCCATCACCCTCTTTCCCCCATCCAACAAGCAGCAGAGATGGAGTGGACTGTTACCTTGCTGGTTTGGAATGTTGGGATCTGTACCCTGATCGAGATAGTGCTCGACCAAGCCCACCAGCCCATATGCCGCCGCAATATGGATCGGGTGGTCCTGCATGCCGAAGGGCAAGGGATGGTGGGACAGACCCTGCCAGTATTGTTGAGCCAATGATCTGGTCTTCAGGAAATGCTGGGCCAAGCGGTAGATGGTATTGAATTGTGCCTGGACCTCGACTGGCCGGTCCCACGTGTACCAATACTCCTCTGCCATTCGGACATGGTAGGTCCAGTACCGCAGCTCATACCTGAGAACCTGTGCCTGATACTCTCGCAGACTATCGGGTCTTGTCCGGCCAGCCCTACTTTCAATCACATTGCACGATCCATCTTCCAGCCTCATATACCGGCTTTGAAAGTTTGGGGAGTTCAAATGACGCAGTAAGACCTCACTCATCTGCAAGTGTCCAAACATGGGCCCCGCCAGATGAGAGGATATGACGAGCTTCACCTTCTGGCAGACGTGACAGCGAGACTCAGGATGAAAGTGATGTGACTCATCATGTTTAATGAAGTCTCGGATTGAACTGTGCTGCAGCTCAATCCTCCCTTCCTGGATGCGGAAAAAGTTACGCCCAATGGTTGCCAACTTACTGGCAAAGTCTTCTGCAATCCTGGACTCACTCATGCTCCCCGGGTCATCCTCCTTGGGCGGAGAATCATTCCCTACAGGTCTGTCATCTATGCCATCCGCAAAATCGTTGTCGGACCATCCATAGTCACTGGTAGCCGAACTGAACTCGGCCCTGTCCATCTCCTCGATTATGTCCCCGCCTTGCTCCTCCTCGTCTTCAAATGCCCTGTCGATTTCTTCCTGGATGAGCTCGCACCGGATCTCCCCTTGACCGCAAATGAGCCAGCGAAGGGCGATTAAAAGGGTCTTGCGATCACTGGGATCCAAGCCTTCCAAAGCTGTGCGATAAAGCTCATTCATACCTATGGGCAACTCGTTCAGCATTTCCCTGTACGTTGCCTTTTTCCCATCCAAATGCTCCAGTCGCTTGAAAATCACATCGATATCTATGAGGCTGTTCAGTCAAGGCGGCTCCATGATTCCATCGGACATAGCAGACACCCGACTTACATCGAAACATTCCTTGCGACTTTTTTGCGATTGTGTCGGCCGCACTTCGCCTGTTGTCCTTCGTCCAGCTTTTGTAAGTTCCCAGCCGAAAGAGGATATAAGCCTTGACATCCTCCTTGTTACTCGATTGATCGACGGAAATAGTTGAAAAACCCGCCAAGCTCTTAGCCATGTCGCCGTGCGGCCGGCTTGAAACGAAGACGCGTACAGTTCCCTCGCACTGGAGCATGGATTTGATGCCGGCCAACAGTCCGTCGACCCAGTCCACACACTCATCAATCGCGTCAATCACGACATAGACCCTGGAAGAGACGAGTTGCACCAGGTGCTTGAACATGGGAAGGAGCACCGTGGCTATTGAGGAATTGGTAGAGCACTCTCCGCCATACGGCCGCAGGGCATCTCTGGCCTCGTTGATGATGCGCGACAACTGCTGTCGACGATCTGTTCGCGCTTCATGAGCCTTGTCTGCACAATCGCCGTGCCCTAACCGAGGCGCTTCATCTAGTCCAATGAGAAGCTGGCGGAGCAAGTGTAGCATGATCTGGATCCCCTGACTGGTGGTTTTGTCTCCGGATTGACAGAAGAAGTAGAGCACCTGGGTGCCATCCTTCCTGTGCTGCGCGACTTTATGAAGCTTCTCCACCATGGTGGCCGTGAGTATCGATTTGCCGAATCCCGCTTCGCCCTGCAGCCACAGTAGTCTGGAATGGCTGTCATCATCACCATCGCCATCGGCGTAGCGGGTGAATCTCACCACCTCAGGGTGTGTCGTAATCCATCGGCCTGTTTCATTCTGGCGCATGCAAAGATGGTCCTCCAGCAGCCTGCCGGGTACCCCTTCATCTGCAATACCACCAGTGCCGAACCATCGCACCTGCTGGTCGAAGTCGAGGTAGGTGAACATCTGTCGCGTTTGACTGACTCCGTCGAGAACCAGACCCTGAGTGACTTTGTTCTCCTGCATGGCGACCTCGATCAGCTGCGGCAATCGATGGAGACCCTTGAGACCCCCCAGCACGTGTTGCGCTGCGTCCTGGAAGGCGATGTTGGCGATGGCTTCCACCTCCACTTTCAAGGACTTCAGCTTCTCCAGGAGGTCGGCCAGCTCCTTCGAACTCCCCGTCACAATGTCCCGGACCATTCGACTGGCCTTGTTATGTTCAAAGAACTGAGGCGCTCGATACCCGAAGAGCAGCACGGTCGCATAGACGTGGGGTAACTTGGCCGCGAGCTTCTGATGGATCTGCGGGTCGACCTTTATCTCTTCGTCGTCATCGCGGCCAACCTCCCCGTACCGCTGCGCGTAGACGTCACAGAAGAACATGACATTGGAGACCTCATCGACGGCGCCCACCAAAAACTGGCAATGTTTCATGTCTTCCCTGACGGTGCGGAAGATCATGCGGAAGGCGCACCACACGACTGAGACAGTCTCCGGGGCGAACTCCATGCATTTATCCCCGTATTGCTGCATGGCTTCCAACCGGTCCATGATCGTATGAAGCTTGGGTCCCAGTTTGCCCCCTCCCCCGTATTCCTGCGCCACATGGTCTGAGAATTGCCGCAGTTCGAAGATGGTGTCTGCCAGGTTGGTTCTATCCGACACTTTATCGCGTTCTTTCTCTGGGAGCGCCTTCTGAAAAATCTTCCGCCCTTCCTCCCAGTATGACTCGAGGACGTGAGCGGACGATCGGGCTTTCGTTCCATTTGTATGAAGTGTGTGGGGTGTGTGGGGTGTCTGAGGAGGATGTTGGTCCGGCTGGATGGCTGGCATTTTGGGTTCTTGTGTGGGTGTCGGGGCTCTGTGATTGTTGCTTCGCTCCCCCTTGTGCCCTGCAGATTGGGGGAAGGGGAGTCGAGGAAGGCGGAGTTTCATTGCTCGTTGTCAAAGACACGAAAGTCTTTGCACCTTTCTGCCCTCAAAAGGGAAGTTGGCCCCTTTTGAAAGGGTGGTGCTTTGTTTTTGCTTTTCTTTTCAGCTGAAAGACCATGTCCACGTCAGATTGCATTAGCTCGGGGCTACTAGTGGTGTATCTATTCCCCACCTCGACATGTTAGCCTTCTGATAAGGAGCCCTACTGGACACCAGTTCGCTTCAAGATGCGGGGGTGTTTACCCCATGAGTCTCGTCCACGGTCTCTCTTCGCGATCGTCCCTCTTTTAGGACTAGTTTTCGGTCTCGCCCGCATGGGATTGTGGGAGCAGCGGAGATTTTTGGAAGCTTGCTCGCTTTCTCGGCCCTAAGATTGGCATCCTGCAGTAGTTCGGCGGCAACCTCTCAGCTGTCAATTCTAACCGAGTAGACCGATTGGACGGGACCTGTCCTCTCTTCTGCATTATGGAGATTGAGCTGGTCTCAATACTCCTGGAATGACATATCAAAGCCCGCTTCTGAGAATGGACGCAATCCATCGGTGAGTTTCTTTTGACATTTCCCCACGCCCCGATGTCTATCCACTTTGAACTGCAGCCAGATGGGATGGAGCCTGTAGTATTGAGTGACAGAAAGTGCTGCCAGGTATGGAAATGGCGCAAGTATGGTGGATTTCAGAGGGCTGACCAGCCTCCGAACAGCGGGTCAAGTAGGGTTCCAATGGGGAGCAGCCTGAGGCATGAGTATTCACCTCATTTGACATGCACCGGGCCACTGCTGAATTAAACCCTACACATGTTGACTTGGTATACCTGAAGATTCATACAGCAACCACCCTCGAAGTTAGGCGAAACAGACAAGATTGACGATAGTCAGCATACCATACTAGCGATGGCGCTATCCAGATGGACCCATTCACCGCGTGCAAGCTCTTATGGCGAAATTATGGCGCCTCTCCAGTCTTTCGTCATATGCGGTAAACTCCCAATGCACGGTGCTCCTGAACATCCTATTTTTGAGACTGAGGTTTTCGAATACCACTCTAGTCTCCTTGAATCCACCGCAACATCACAGGAGCTCGGAGACAAATACCTGCGCCCCCCTCGTGACCAGTTGTGCATTCAAGCGTGCAACAACCCCCAAGAGCACACCCCAGACGATGCAGTACGGTCTGCTGGCAAGAATCATCAAGGACAAGGGAGACCCGGAGGCCGATGATGATTGCCGCATGTTTTTCAACATCAGCCCCCCGTCGAGCACATTTGTCTGCGGCGCCCAGGGCTCCGGAAAGAGCCACACCCTGTCCTGCATCCTAGAGAACTGTCTGATCACGTCCAAGGCAGGGAACCTACTCGATCCCTTGACGGGGCTCAATCCCTTTACGGGGCTGGTATTTCACTACGATGCATTCATCATTGATAGGATCGGCTTACCATGCGAAGCGGCATTTCTCTCTTCGCACGACAACGTCGAGGTAAGTGTACTGTGTTCGCGGACGAATTTGCACACAATCAAGGTATGCTATCCAAAAAATGCAATTCTGTCCCCACACTGATATCGAGATTGAAAGTGCTCGTACTCGCGATTCGACATCGAGGTGGCTGCCTTGCAGGTCGATCAGTGCAATCTGAACACGCAGCGGATGAACCGATTCGATTAGCGTGCTATACGACGCCGATTTAGACTGCCTCGCTCCGCCTCACTCTTTACCCGTCCTGGAGCACCGATATCCCTTCCCTCTGTACGCTCCAAAGTTGTCGTTCTTAGTAGTTATAGCAGCCGTTTGGTGACGCGTCGGTAGACCTTGGCTTAAATGCTTACATCGGGGCAAGCCTTGCTCGTGATCTCACGTCTCCGACAAGACATAAGTCCCCTCGTCTCGACGAAAGTTACTACGAAATAATCCGGTGTAATGACTGAGTATAGAGGCGGATTCGAACTTTTACTGCGGTCGAACAGTGTTCGCCAATTGATACTTCCCCCTAGTTTTGATTCAGAAAAGTAGTAGAAACAGTTGTCAACTCGCACACGCATAGGAGGCAGAAGCCTATTTTTGACGATCATCATCCAAGTGATGTGTGCTCATGCATCGCGCAGAGTGATCAATCTTCTGTCACGGAATGCTCGCCAGTGGCGCGAAGAAGCTCCGCAAATATGGACGGCTGCGCCGCTAAAGTTGCGGGGTGTCCACATTCCACAACGCAACCCTGGTCCAACACGATGACCTGATCGTAATCCAAGATCGTGTTGAGTCGATGCGCGATGCACACCACGGTATGATCGCGAAATCGATCACGAAGCACATCGAGAATGAGAGCCTCTGTCTCCTGGTCTACACTGTGTGGTTGGACACGAAGAATATTAGCTTGAGAAGTCTAAAAACATACAGAAATGTAAAAGTTCAACAACAGGTCCTGCCTTACCTGCTTGTCGCCTCATCCAGAAGCAGGATCTTCGAGGTCCGCAGCGATGCCCGGACGATGCACAAAAGCTGTCTCTGGCCGTGGGAGAGCATGTCCTCGCTCATCGACACGTCCAAGCCACCTTTCCGGACGATGAGCTCCTGCAGTCCGAGCCTGGCCAGGATCTCATACAAGTCCTCATCCGAGTGTTGGCCGTGAATGTCGAGGTTCTCCCGGATCGTGCCGTGATAGAAGAATGGCTCCTGGGGCAGAGTGATCAGCCTCGACCGGACGTCCTGCCGTGGAAGAGTGGAAATGTCCACTCCGTCGATCTCAATCGTGCCGCTGCGCAGGTCCAGGAGTTGTAACAACGATCCCAAGAGGGAGCTCTTACCACTGATGGTCGTGGTTAGCGAAGGCGCTCATAATGACGGCCCGGATTTGGTCTAAATGCTCAGCAGAAGGATGCGTACCTGCCAGTTCGACCGCAGATCGCGATCTTCTGTCCCGGCTTGACTTCCAGAGAAACATTCTTGAGCACGAGTGGGGACTCGCAACTATCAAGACAGAGTCAGCCTTCACTTGGACGCTCAAATCTCCAATGATCACCTACTTGTAAGCTGCTGAGACTTCATGAAACCGGATTAGGCCTTGCTGCGGCCAATCCGGGGGCGGAGGAGGCGCCCTTGGGCTCGGATGTTCTTCAGACGGGGTGTTTGAGGTGAAATCTCGAATGCGGGCAATGGCACCCATGGCAATCTCTAGGGCGGTCCAATTGTAAACGAGACCCTTCAGGTTGGCGCCGAATGCCACCACATTGACCAGCGCTAGACCAATGGATGCACCCGTTGACGTCCGCGTCGTGACCGCAATGCTGACCAGGATGATGGCCAGAACCGCGACAATCATATCCAATGTGAGCGTGAGCCACAGCTGAGCACAGTAGAGAAGATATAACGACTGCTGGGCGGTCCCGAGCAGCCGATCATTCTGCACGGTGTAGGACCGCGTCCAGCCAAACGCACGGATACTGCTCAGCCCTTGCAGGGTTTCCATAAAATGGGACAGGAGAGGAGCTCGGGATTCGATCTCGAGGATCCGCAGTTGTCGCGAGGTCTTGAGATAGAAGATCTGCACCAGGTACAACAGCCCGATCAGGAAGGGCACCGTGGCGGCGACGTAGTGGGAGCTATACAGGATCACCACCAATTCGCCGATGCACAGGACGAGCGCCATCATCGTGCCGATGAGTGACCGCGGGAGTTCCATGTCCACCAGTTCGAGATCCTGGCTGAATCGGTTGGTGATCTCTCCGCTGTCAGTGACGGAGAAGAATCCCAATGGGGCTCTGGAGAGACACATCAGCCATCTTGCTCTCCTTTAAAGCTGACTGAATAATCGAACTCAACCTTAGCACTGTCTTGAGAAGAAGGTCGTGGAACTCCTTGGCGGTCTTCGGAACCATGATGAGCATAAGTTGCCTGCAGCCCGGTTAATGTCAATATTTGTCTCCATGCAACTCGGGCTTTTTCTTTGTGAAGCACTTACAAGCATGCACCCAGGAAGAGTAAGATGGCCAAGACTGACCACAGCGCGTATAATCCAAGGTAGTACCCTAGTCGATCATTGGCTTTTCTAGCGTTGGCCTCGACCCAGAACTTGATCCAGATTTCTTCAGGCATTTGTCTCGCGGTGAGTATGAGTGAAGAAACGGGGAAAAAAAGAGGATATACGGCGACTTACGGGAGAAAAGTAAGCCGACTACAAAGCCAGAGCACAGGGCAAAGAAGATACAGAATGACACGCGCCCCGTCTTGTCCACGTAGAACTTGTAAATGGTCAAATCACTGGCGGGCAGGTTGTCAGGATTCAAGTTCGCACTGCGGAGAGCCGGGTCAACGAGTGCAGGGTCTTTCTCGTCATGTTTGCGATGCAGTGGTTCATTCGATCCCTCTTTCGGACTCAGATTCGCCAGATATCCTCCTGAGCGAGCCAGCTCCGAATAGGCGCCCTGCTCAACGACTGTGCCACCTGGCCCTAACACAAGGATATGATCGGAGAGGGAAATATAGCGTACTATCAAAGAACTGTCAGCCCGCCGGGACCTTCTAAACACGACTCACACCGCTACCTACTGGAGCTTGTGGCCAGGACCGTCGTCGTCCCCTCCTGTCGCAAAAGACCGTCGGGTCCAAAGAGCGCCGCAAAGACATCTTGTTCGGTTTTAGCATCCAAGCCGGCGAACACGTCGTCGAGAATGACCAGGGGCTTTCTCGCATAAAGTGCTCGTGCCAATGCCTGCCACGAGGTCAGGACCAAGTATCAATGAGACTTCGGGTGGATGTACTGTACCAGACGGCCTTTCTGACCACCACTCAACATGATCCCTTTGCTGCCAATCGTTGCGTTGTCCCCCCCGGGGAGCTGCGCGAAGTCCCGATCTAACCTGCAGGCCCTGACGATGGTGTCGTACCACTGGCTGTCAAATGGAGACTGCCCGAGAATATTGTTCTGGATGGTCGTGTTCACCAACCATGGGGCCTGGCCGCAGAACGCCACGCCCACGTCCTGAATGACGACCGTGCCTGTGCTATGGGGAATCTCGCCGAGTATCGTGTGCAACAGGCTTGACTTGCCCGATGCGATTGGCCCGATCACCATCACGAACCGACCCCGCGGGATGGTGGCATCCACGTTCTGAATCGCCGGTTTGGCGGATCGCTCCCAGCTCGCCGAACAGTTGTGCAACTGAATCATTGCATCTGAATCGATCTTCCCGGATACCACGTCTGTCACCATGGTTTTCTCGTTGTCACTCTCCGACGAGCGTGTGGATTCCGTGGGCGACGGTTCACTGAGGTGTGAATCGGTCGTGCTGTAGCTGTCGTCGGGCAGCGGAATGCCGGCCTCCAACGCCAGATACTTTCGGATCCGTTCCAGACTGGTCAATGCCTGGACCAATCCCATTAGAGCATCGATGCAACTGGCCACGGCCTGGCAAAGGAGAGAAAGGAGGGTCAGGGAAGTGTATGCGGTGGCAGCGGTTAGTGGGGTGGTATTCCGGACCATGGCGAGAATGCTGTAGGTGCCAAAAGAAAAGGGCGGTGCCATGGTGGTTGCCAGATACGCTAGAGGGGGTAGAGAAGCTTAGAAGCAGACATCGAGGTGGTAGAGAGAGATCGAGAGGGATCTGGAACCTACATAACGTCACCAGCATGACCAGCACCTCTCGAAACTTGATGGAACTTTTGATCTCATACGTCCGCAGTTGGGTGATCACGGACTGGAGGATATCAGTTGCACCGATTGCTTTAACACCCTTGATGGAGTTGATCGCTGCCACTGTCGTAGTGATCCGGGTTTGCATCGCCTCAAGCCATAGCTTCTGACGCTCACCCATGTACCCGCTGACCTTGCCGCTGATGAGGAGGCACGCTGTACAGTCAGTCGTCATGGTTAGCTGCTTTTCGTCTCGGGTCATTTCAGATAGAAGGGTCAAAGGGAGTAGAAATCAAGAAGACGTCAACGGCAGATGCTGTATACCTAGGACTACCGCGGCGGCAGCAACGGTCGATACACCAATCTGGATTTCCAGTAACCACAGAGATAAACCGATCTCGAGCAAGCTGGCCCATGTTTCATGGAAGCTCCGAAGTCCCGCCCCGATCCGCTCGATATCAGCATTAATTAAAGTCAACGAATCGCCTTTGGAAGGCGCCGAGATATTCAAGCTCAGAGTATGATCATAGATCAAAAGGATCAAGCCGCCGCGCACCATCACGACCGTCCGATAGGATCGATGATGAAACATTGCTGTCATCACCTGGAGAGCGCATGCTTCGATGAGCAAAACTAAACAGACCGCAGAACAAGACGGCTTGGCAACCCACTTACTGCGATACCAACGTAGACAATTCCGTAGGCTGCAATCAAGCCATACCCGACCTCCTTGCTCGTAGAGGTTGTCGACTGTCCCAGAAAGCTTGTCACCCGACTGACGAGGAATGGCTGGGCATAGTTGACACCTGTCAAGCACAGCCGCGGCAGGAGATTGGCGAGAAGTGGCCGCTTGTACACGGCCAGGAGCACTTTCAGGAGGCTTCTAGGTTGCTCTTTCGCGGCTACGCGGGGTCAGTCTAAGTGCAATTGGTCCGACTTTTGAAAATGACCGGGGGGTGTTCATTACCATGCTTCCATTTTTGACGGATCTCCTCCTTGGACCGTTCCAAACTGATATCCTCATCGACCGCCAACAGATCCCCCGGTGTCAACGATCGCTTGTAGCCTGCCCACAGGAGGGGATTGAACCACCAGAAGGCACTTCGGTCGAAAATGCCGGCTGTCTGCTCCGGCGGCAAGGATTGCGCCAGGAGGCTTCTCTTCCCAGTGGCTTCCAGTACCAGCAGCACGAGTTTGCAGACCACGAGCGCGATGAAGACGCTGGAAATGGCTACATTCCCCGGCATGTGGAACAAAGTGCGGGCTCGCGCCGCGTCCAGAGGAATTGTCCCCAGCAGATACACATTCAGGACCGTGGACGGGCGCGGTGAGCGGGTATGCTCCCGGTGCGAGACGAAGGCGAAGATGGGCGACACGGCGAAGCCGGTTGCGATGGCTGCATTGGACAATCGGGTGGTAGACGTCTTGAGCACCAACGAGAGCACTAAATGTGTTAATCCAATCAAAGTCCAGGCGAGCCAACCGAGCTATATGACGATGAGCATTTTGCCAAGCTGTCTCTCGAGCAAAATGAGGGAAGCCCTGACCGAGCACTCACTTGCTTGAGGTACCACCGCACTCCTCGAACTCTGAGTACTTTGGGCGCGGATTGAAGCTCCCAGAGTCGCCAGCAAGCCCAGCCGATTGCGATCAACAGGGCAGGCAGATAGAGCACACTTTCTTCGAACAGCAGGGTGAAGTCAAAATTGTTATAACATGCGGACACCTGAGGGCCAAACACATCCTCCACTTGAATCCGGCATTGTTCCATGGCGTGGTTGTCTCCTCAATATCGACTCCGGTGCGCCGACGTCCGTTTGACCCGGAAAATGGCAACAGGAAGAGGGCGAAGGAGAGGGGAAGGTGGAGGGGGAGGAGGAGACATGGGGGAGGAATGGGGGAACCGGAATACAGTTACATGAAGTGGATGGAAAGGGCGGTGTGTAAGACTGGGTAGATCAGCATAGCGATAGATCAGCATAGCCATTCTAGCGTTCTGTTATGCCGAGCTTCTTAATATTCTGACAGGTATAATATCGGAAGAGCCTTATCCGCCGGGGAGGTGGTAAGATGATTGTGAGGTGATGTCGGAGTCGCAGTGAGGGGCCGATCCTTTTAGGGCTTTGCGCTGTCCCTGACGCCGCGGCGAGGCTGCTTGCCCCGACGATCTATAAATTCTGTATTTCCCACCTACAAATCACCCTGGAACCACCGTAACTCGCCTCATTTACTCTCCATCACCTTTGTGCTTCTCCGCAATGGCCATTCCAACACTGGACTTCGCCAAGTTCCATAGTGGTTCAGACGCCGAGCGTCGCGAATTCGCCTCTGCTCTCACAGAAGGATTCAAGCGCTACGGTTTTATCAAGCTCATCAATCACGGATTCACCCGGGAGGAAGCTTCACATTTGTTTCAATTGGTACACTTCTCTGCCTCCGCTTCTGTTCACTTTCTATTGAGTTCTGTTGGACTCTGCGTTGACTTTGGGAATTGTCCTTCAGAACAAAGATTTCTTTGAATTGCCCGATTCATACAAAGATCCCATTCAGAACAAGGAAGGCCCCAAACCACAACGAGGCTGGAGTCGCGTTGGAGCTGAGAAGACGGGCCTCCTGAACCCCGGCGGGAAGACTAATCTCTCGAAGAATGACAAGCACGACCTACAAGATGCTAAGGTGAGACAAAACTGTACCCCTGGCCGGAGTCAGAGACCCAATAATCCGAGGCTGATTCTGTATTTTTTGCATAGGAACACTTTGACACGGGCCCAGCAGGTGACCAGGAATACCCTAACCAGTGGCCAGACGCGGAGAGGCTCCCCGGGTTTCGACCGTGGCTCGAGTCGTACTTTGACCGCAGCCAGTCGATCACGCTGGAGCTGATGGAGGCGTTGGAGCTGGGGCTGGGGATCCGACGGGGTGCGTTTGTGGAGTTGTGCCAGGGTCACGCCAGCGAGCTGCGCCTGAACCACTATCCGGCCATCGCGCTGCGCACGCTCGAGGCGGGCAAGACGAGCCGCATCTGGCCGCACACCGATTTCGGCATCATCACGCTGCTGGCCCAGGACGACCGCGGCGGCCTTGAGATCCAGGACGAGGCGAACCCGGCCGAGTTTCTGCCGGTGTCGCGCGAGGATCCCACTGAATTCGTCGTCAACATCGGCGACACCCTCGAGCGCTGGACCAACGGCGTCCTCCACGCCGGCTTGCACCAGGTCACTGCGCCGCGCGGCGAAAAAGCCTCCCCTCGCAGCGACGAGGTTATCCTGCCCGCGCGAAGATCCATTGCCTTCTTCCTTAAGGCCCGGCGCGATATGTCCGTCGGTCCGTTGTTGCCTTTCGTCACCCCAGATCGACCCTCCCGGTATCAGGATATGACGGCTCTGGCGTATCAGCAGCTTCGGACGGGAATTGTGTATTAGATTGGAAACGAGATGAATTCAATTGGAGGTAGAAACGTTTCTTATGCTCGATAATGCTACATTCGATGAAGACAGTATATCTTTGCTGTACTGTGTCATATGGAATGGAAGGAAAGAAAACCTCCTGCTTGCTGTATATATAATAGCAATTTGAAAGAAAAACGAATTCCTCTACATGTTATTGTGTGATGTATGATCGAGATAAAATGCCTCTCTCGTGGCAATGTTTCGCTCATATGAACACAGTGCCCATGGTATAGTACCAGTAAAAACCCGGATGAACCTCTCCAAATCCAAAAACAAGATGGGCAATGAGTAGAAGGGGTAGTCTTTAACAGTCGTGTACATCAGGATGCGCTATTCATCAAAAACGAAAGATAAGGGGAAGAGAAAGATATTACTTCCCAACTTGACCAAACGAAAAGATATGGAAACAGGGGGGAAGTAGGGAATAATTTCGTATCATAGAGCATAGCCAGAGACATAGTCACCGTGTATGCGTATGCAACGCCAGATAGAATGGCCTCTGGGCCTCCGCACAAGAAAGCACGCACAAGCCGGTGACATGCAATGCCCTCAATTAGGAACATGAGTTGGTGCTAGCGGGCTACACCGCCAGCCTGCACAGTTGCAGCAGGTCCTCCGTGTCATATAAGTAGTCACTGAGGCCGCCTTCGTCGACCGTCTCAAACGCAAAAGTCTGCGACACGTCGGCGCCCTCCAGCACGTCGAACACCTCTTTGGATAGCACCTGGCTCAGGTTCCGCAGGTACGACCCGCGGTGTTCTTGCAGGTAAGCCAGAAAGATGCGCATGGTATCGCTGGGAAGCTTTTCCACTCTGTGATTGCGAGAATCTCCAAGTCAGTTCTTGCCCCTTGGCCTGGGGTTCCTCCCTCGTTCTCGTCGATGGGACTTACTGGTCAATACTGATGGAGTACCTCCCGGCGCAAGGGATCAGAGCCAGTATCCCTCCCGGGAATGTATGCTCGAAGGGATACCAGTTGCGCGCGCACGAGAGGCGGTTGCGCAGCCGGGTTAATTTACGCGTGTACACGCACTCGTTGGTCGAGCGGTTACTTGCTTCAGCTGGGACGGGCGTCAGGCCCGGGTACAGCATTTGCATCAGATCGGTTAGAGCCTGCGTCTTGGACCGGTGCTTGGGGCGTGGTTTGCTTGAGGGCCGTCGACCCCCGGCGGTCGATGTTGTGCGGATCGCATCGCCATCGCCGCCGTCGCGGATCAGTTGTAGGCGAGCGCAGTCATACTTTAGCATGCGCTTAGACCCTCGACAGGCCAATTTGGCAGCGATATGATCCTGCTCCAATCGAGTACGGTGGGTAAGAAGACGAACCAGGTAATAGCGTCGGAGGATATGAGAGAGGGTGGTGATGGAGTCGAGTTGGTCGAGGGCTTGTACGGTTGTAGCCAGGTCATTCCGAGGCCCGCCGGCCGTCGCAACAGGGAGAACAGAGGATTTGCGCGCCAGATTGAGGGCATGCCGTAATTGATTCAGCGCATCGGGGCTTCCAATGGCGTAGAAGAGGCGGGTAAAGAGCTCAGCCACCTGCCGCTTGCTGTTGGGGAGTTGCTGGCTGAACACGGCAAAGACCTGATCCGCTGACGGTAGATGGTCGGGCACGCAGTACACTCCCGTCAGTGATGGCAGCGCTCCGGCGTAGTCGACCTCCATAGCTTGGCTCCCTGCTTCCTCGGCTTCAGCGCAGAGTTGCACCGCCACTGGACCCTCCTCTTTCCCCTTGTCAGCCCTATTCCTGGACCGGGGAGAGGGAGACGGCGCTGGGGGCGTGGGGGGAATGGCACGACCGCGCCCGCTCTCACAGGCCGGCGAGCCCTGGGCGTGCGCTGCGGGAGAGACCGGCTTTGGCGTGAGTCTTACTGGGAAGGGGGATGATGAGGGGGTCTCCTGTCGTTGTTGCGGAAGCGAGCTGTGTCTGACGCCTCTATCGGGCGCCGGTGAACGGGAAATGGCTGGGGTGAGAGGGGGGTCGTTTCGCACCGTCCCTGGCCGAGCATCAGCGCTGCCTACTAACGTCGCTGACGTCGGCCGCGCTGCATGCTCCTTCGAGTTTGTGGCCTGTGTGAGCGCATGACCACCATGAGTTAGGGCAAACATCTCGCCGTGTTCAGCCAGTAGATCCAAGTCCACAAAGTCTAAAGCCGCTGGGGCCAGCTCCTCATTGGAGTCTTGACCCTGCACCCCTGGCCAGAGAGGCACACTAGTCGGTGTCTTCGGACTCCATCGCGCGGGCGTGTCGTTGAGACCCCCTTGCGAGGACCACCACGGCATCTCATCGCATCCGGCAGACTCCATCCCCGTGCATGGATCCAGATCCCCGCTTTGCTGCAGCATCTCCAGATCCTCTGGTAGGAGGACACCAGGGGACAGAGCCGGCCACTCCGCCGTCGCGCCCGAAGTGGAGGATGATGTGGAAAGCGCCAGGTCCAGTGAGCCAGCATTGATATCGTGGAAGTGTTGCAAGAATTCGGCTGGCGACGATGGTCCATGGACCCCGACCCCGACCTCCAGATCTCCCACGGGGGTCTTAAACGGGGGATGTTCTTCCAGACTGGTTCGTCTGGGGGTTGGCGCATTTCCCGAGTCCCCTGCGGCGACAAGCCTTTCCTTCGCCCTATCCGAGGCCGACAGGGAGCCGATGCAGTGTAGAATGTCGAGTAGCTTTTCCTTGGCGATGTTCCTCGCCTCGACAAATGTACTGGAGCAGGAGGAGGTGGCCAGCGCATCTAGGAGTTTCTCGCGGAAGTCTACACAGAGCCGGTCCATCAACACGAGATCATGGCAGTTCTGCTGGGGGCTGGCTGGCGTCGTACGCGAGCCCTCCACGAGATGCATTATTTTCTCGTTGGCCCTACAGTATGTGGAAAAGATAAGGAGGAGAAGGGACGCGATGTGTGATACGTCTCGCGGAACACTGCAGAACCACACAAACCCTAATCAGAGAGCGCAGAGTTAAAATCCAGATCAATGCTCACAGCTTGCTCGGCTTGCTCGAGCCTGGACTAAATAAAAACACCATGTCTGGGATCAGAGGATTTTTATTATCCCTGCCCTTGGTATTCAATCCTTGGTGACTAGGTCGCTATGTTATCGAGACGTTGCAGCACCATTATTGGCCTCTTTTCATGTCCGACGGTTAGTACACCAAGCCATGCTAGACCACACCAGGAATGCGCACTTCTGCTGCTGACGCGGACATATCCGGAGGCTCAGCACTTGTGCGAAACGTCTCTGCAGAGAATCGAGCCTCATGAGCCTCAGCAATCATCAGGCAGTACGCAGCTTATTCTTATTCTTCTTCTTCTTCTTCTCTTCTTCTTCCAGGAGCACGGACCCATGGAGCTGTCCCGTCCCCCTGCATCTGCAGATACTAAGCCGAACAAGGCTGGCTTCATTCATCTTTACCCCGGTGGGCTTTCCCTTGTCAGCATCATATTCATCATCGGCTATTATTTATAATCCGGTGGCCGTGCGCGGAAGGAAAGAGGGAGCGAGGACGAGCGAGGGGAAAAGAGGGGAAAAGAGGGGAAAGGAGGGGAAGGGAGGGGATGGCAGCCGCAAGAGGGAATCCTCCGTGCAGGATCTTGCATTAGAAAGAAATAAGGCCCTCGTGTTGATGGTATATGTCCTATTAGTATGGCAAACATCAGGGAGTCCGGAGCCATTTGGATCTCTAATGCCACGCGGGAGGGGTTTCCACAGTGGTCTGATTTCTCCGCAGTTATAGTAGAGGACATATATATGTAGTACCCGCAGGAGCCAGTGCTTGGCAGCACGCCACGTTGCTGCTGATTCAGCGATGAAGTTATCACGATAGCCTACAACGTGGTGAACACAGTTCACATAAGCTCTTTTGATGGCTCGTGTGGAATGTTGAGACGTTCACTAGAATGTGACTGTGATAGCTTCACGTGTTCCCCAATATCGCCAGGCAAAAGAGACAGAGAGACTCACTTTCCTTCCTTTCCTTCTTCTGCTTCGGTCCCTCATGTCCACTGTTCCCTTCTGTGTGCGGCTAGCAGCAAGGCGAGGTGTTGTGAGCATTTCTTCTCCATTGCTGTTGCTGCTGCTGTTGCTGCTGCTGTTACTGCTGCCATTTCATTGGTTCTTAACCACTCCCCCTGTTCCTTTTTGTTCTTTCCACTTTGCAAGGCTGTACGAGAGAACAGCACAAATGGGACCGGGAGACCATCCCACGATTGTGGAGACTGTTGGAATAAAATCGCTTCGATGCACTGCAAATGGCCTAGATCGACCACGGGTCAGTGGGCCCCGGTGTTAGGAGCCTAATTCACCTTATGTCGCGTCCAGCTTACGGTGGGGAGATGGAGATTGAATCGATTTGTTCACTCGTATTTGGCTGTCAGCACTAGCATTCCTACTGGCATTTAGTTCGCGCGCGATCCCCAACCGGCTTTTATCCTCTTCATGGCAACCGTCGGACTTGGCGTTCGTTGAGCCCCCACTCTTTCTGGCCCCCATCAAACTGAACTCCAAAAAACTGAAAATAAGAAAGCAACACAAAAAGGATCGACCTGCAAGACCCACGAAGGTGGGACGCCCGTCAAAGTTTCCTGGTATCCTTTCGAGACATCATCCGCTAGTGTCCGACTGAGATGACAGCTGTCGCAAATGTGCCATGTGCCGTCGTCGGCAGATGAGCACTATATATCGGCTAGAAGGAGTAGTGGCGCGTGGTTGCGGTGGACATCTCCTTAACGTAGGCAGCCTCATAGACCGGAGGTTAGGGCTACGTGCCCGGGGTTGGATGTCGTGCCCTAACGGGCTAGACCACACTGTGCACACTGTCATGCTGTCCCAGCTGCAACCTGAAGTCTTGATTTCGCACCCACCTGTTCAAGGTGTCCGGTAGTCCTTGCGTACGAGGGGTACAGGTAGCCCATAAACACGGGTCAGGGCAGATGGTTGACGTTAAGGACTTTGTATCTCCTTGTACTGTACCACTCTACATAGGCAACATGTATATAAGTACTTTGAATCGCCCCGGTTGAGTTTCCTCATCTCGACACCGCGACTGTTCTCGATCGACGATCGGCCAGTCTTCTGCTGCCAACCTTCGCCAGTCCCTTCTTCACCTCAAAACGCTCCGATTCACAAGATGGTCTTCACCTCTGCGCCGTGGTGCCGTGACCTGGCCGTGCCCTTCCCCGAGACCCAGCTGGTCGGCGACTTCGTCCTGGAAGGAGTCAGCGATGGCTTCGAGGAGAAGCCGCTGCTGGTGTGTGCCGAGACCGGCCAGTCGTACCGTGTGCAGGATCTCGACTATCGCGTCACGATGCTGGCGCGAAGCCTCGCCCAGAGGCTGGGATGGCAAGTGACCGACGGGCCGCCTGAGACCAAAGTCGTGGGCATCTTGGCTCTCAACGCGGTAAGCCAGACGTGACTTGGTTCTCCTGTCCTTATCGGTAGTGTACCTAATGCAGAGGCGGTCGCTTCAGATGGATTTCGTGCCTCTGTCCTGGGCGATTCACCGCATCGGCGGCACATGTCTCCTGATGCACCCGACCTCGTCGGCCAGCGAGATCCAGACCCTGATGCGCAAAGCTAACTGCCACACCCTGTTTACCTGCCGCCCCTTGCAACCGCTCTGCGAGGCCGTGTTCACCGCGTTGCACGAAGATCCTGCGCGGTTGTTTCTGCTCGAATTGCCCGACGACGACGCCAACACGCCGGCCACCCGGGCCACCGTCTCCCAGCTGATCGCCGAGGGAGAGCATCTGCCCGCCGTGGCGAGCATCCCCCTTCAGCCAGGGGAGACTCGCGATCGGGTCGCATATCTTTGCCCAACCAGCGGCACTTCCGGGTACCAGGTCAGAAACGATATCCTGCACGAGCCTTAAGTGAGAAATTGAAGACCCTGACTGTCATTGTGCACAGAAACTGGCGCAAATAACCCATACCAACGTCATCTTCAATTCCCTCCAGGCGATTACTCTGGACTCGTATGCCACCGGACCCAAGAGCCAGACCACTCTAGGCATCCTTCCATTGAGTCACGCCTATGGCTTGATCGTACTGCATATGATGATGTGTCGGCGGGACACGACGATCCTGCACGCCCGCTTCGACATGCCAGCGGCGCTACGGTCGATTCAACAATATCGCATTGAGCGGTTGTATCTGGTGAGAGTCTCCTATGTGGCAATGATGTGCGTGCGCGTGTGCATACTGATGAGGGCTCGTCTGCTAGGTTCCCGCGATTGTGGCGGCGTTGGTTAATAATCCCATCTTATTCAAGCTGGCTGATCTGTCGTCTGTGCAGACGGTGGTCTGTGGATCCGCACCCTTGAGTTCCGACATGATGTGCGCGATGAAACGGGTGCGTCCCGACTGGGATCTCCTCCCTGGTTATGGTAGGTCAATCGCAAGCGATCGAACCTCTGTGACAAACATCTGACAAGGCGTGAAACAACAATAGGATTGACCGAAGCGGCGGTGATTGTCTCGTACACCAGCCAACATAGCATCTTCCCCGGCTCGGTGGGCAGCCTGTTGCCACTAGTGGAGGTGCGCCTGCTCGATGCGAACAGGGAGGAAATCCAGGATCACGACGTCGCCGGCGACCTCTACGTGCGATCGCCCAGCGTCATGAAGGGCTACCTCGGGGAGAACGAGGCGGATTCCTATGCCTTCGACCAGGACGGCTGGCTGGTCACGGGCGATGTGGCGTGCATGCGGCGCGGCGCAGACAGCGAAGAGCATCTGTTCATCGTGGATCGCAAGAAGGATATCATGAAGGTCAAGGTTCGTGTCATTTGTGTTTCCTTGCCGTCACATTCAGCGTCGCTGACGTAGGCACGGATCATAGGGCATCCAAGTGGCGCCGGTCGAGATTGAAGCGCAGCTCTTGAACCACCCGGCCGTGGACGAGGCCGCGGTCATTGGGGTGCAGCATGACACGACGGGCGAGCGTCCATTTGCGTTTGTGGTGCGCTCGCGCCAGACTGACGCCCAGATGGACGAGGCGACTCTCCGTCAGGCGTTGGCAGCGCACATCCAGAATACTCTGAGTGAGCCGTTCTGGCTCCGCGAGAACATTCGGTTCTTGGAGGCGATCCCGAAGAGCCACAGCGGGAAGGCGCTGAAGTTTAAGCTGAAGGATTTAGTGTAAGGTGGAAACGGAGCATGAGTTGATGAGCCATTTCTAGGGGAATACACCTTTCATTAGATACCCGCCAAGAATGAGAATCTATTCAGATGCATTTGTACTAAACCGGATCGTACAAAAGCCCTACAACCAGGGGGAGGCCGTCGTGCTCGGTGAAATTGAGCTGAAAGGTAGTTATGCCAACCGAGTCCTTTCTAACTACGGATGACCCCTGATGCGGTGGGTAGTCGTGAGACTATGATTTCGAAACCAAAGCTGATGCTCCAACCAATGATGTACAGATATGGACCAGGATTTCTGTCACATCAGAGGATTCCCAGACGTTGGGACGAATGATTAACCGTTTCTCCAGTCTACACTGGGCCTCGCATGGAATCCGCCACATTCATACCCTACACAGCTAGCGGGATTCATAAGTTGTTATTGCTGTCCAATGCTAAGAAAAACCCTTTAGTAGGGAAAATCAAATTGTACAGGAAAGCCAAACGATAATGCGAAGGATGGCATTGAAAAAGGTAGATAGTTATATGATTATCTCTCCCCAACAGATCCCGTGACACCACATAGCCCTACAGCGAGAAAACAATCCCACTTCCCACCAAGTGAGCCAGACCATCTTGATCCATAATAAACAACAACCCCGTTCATAATCACGCCGTTTTCATCTCCTCTTCAGTCCGCCGGCGGATCATCAACTGCTCCTGCGGCCCTCGCAGCGTCAACTCGGTAAACAGTCCCGCCGTGGTAGGCGGGGGCGAGATGACCTTGATCTCATACTTGGTGAAGATATGGGCGAACAGCAGCTTCAGCTCATCGGTGACGAAGAAGCGGCCGGGACAGGCCCGCTTGCCCATGCCGAAGGAGAGAAAGCGCTCTGAGGCGCGGGACATGGGCACGCGCGGCGCCGCGGCGTGCTCGACCTCGTAACGCGCGGGATTGTAGGTCGTGGCCTCGGGCCACAGGCTGTCGTCGCGGTGGATGGCGTAGGCAGCGACACTGATGCGCGCTCCGTGCGGCAGACGTAGGCCCCCGGTCTCCTTGTCGCCGGCCAGCGTCGCCCCCGTGGGGCTGGTGACCTGGCGGATGAGCCCCGGAAACACGACGGCCAGCCGCAGACTCTCCTTGAGCGCGTTCTCGATGCACCCCAGCTTGTCGATGTCTTTCTTTTCCGGCCGCTGCTGGCACTCGCGCAGCACTGTCTGCGCCTCCGCCGTGACCAGAGCCCGGTACCCTTGCGCCTCGCCCAGCGTCGTCAGGTCCGCCAGACACTTGCTCATCGTGTTGGTCGTCGTCTCGATGGACGCCAGGTTTGCCATGCCCACGCGCGCGATTACCCGCTGCTCCATTTCGGCCATGGGCTCGCCGCGTCGTATGGCACGTTGCACAATCCACGTCAGGAACTCGCTCGGGAGCTCGTCCGCTGAAGACGCTGCCTCGGGCTGCTCTTCCATCCGTTTCACGTCGCGAATCCGCTGTTGGACGACAGGCAGCAGGTGTCGGTTAAAGCCGGCCATGTAGAAACGATTGATCCACCTGACAAGCTTGGAGACCGGGCCCTTGAGCGGCCGGGGCAGCAAATCCTGGAATACGGTCTCGGGCATGACCGCCAGCCCTAACCCGACGGCGTCACGGATGTACTGCTCGTTGCGACCTGCATGCCTCCCCATCTTGCAATTAGCTCGCGCGACCCTTATCTGCCATGGAGGGAGGAAAGAAGACATAAAAGAACGGGAACCGTACAAAGTTCCTTGCCCACGAACAACCGGTTGGTGATGCGCGCAATGATGGTGCGCGTACTGTCCTTGAGAGGGATTGTGCGCCACTCGGACGATTCACCCCATATGGCATGCAGCGCGTCCACAATCTCGTCGTTGATGTCGGCCGTCAGCCGCCCCAGGTTGTGTGTTAGCTCCTTGCGCAGCACCTCCTGCACCGAGTGGTCGCCGACCAACCCGTCCTGCACGAAGGCGTGGAATTCGTCGTGGATTGGATCCATGCTCAGCACCGATTCCGGCTGGTCGATGATCCACCGGATGTATTTAGGCGGCAGGATGATCTGGGGTCGACCGAAGGCGATGGCGAGGGCGGCGGCTCGGCCTTTTTTGTTGCACTGGTAGGGAAAGGGGGGGTCAGTGGCTTGCCCGGGTATGCAGGGTAGAATGGGGGAGGGGGAAAAACGTACCTCGAGATAGGCCTGCATGACGTTTCGCTTCATCACGAAGAAAGATCTTGCTTTTGCGCGCAGGTACCCAAAGCGCTCTGGCGGTCGGTCGATCCATTGCACTTCCTTGGGAACGATGTACTCCCACGTAGTCAACTTGTTGGTAAGAAAGAGCAGTAATAGGACGATAATCACCGCCAGGATGCCCTTTAGAAGGAGCGGGAGGTTTAAGAGGACCTCGATCATGCTGAAGACCTGAGAAAACGCACCAGAAAAAGAAGGTCCGAGGTGGAAAGGGGGGGATCGAGGGGAAGAGGGTGCACCTGATGGACGCCGGCGTGTATATATTGGTTCCCCGTGGCATCAACGCTAAGGATCATCGGCCCAGTAGACAGTCATCCTCACTGTCGAGGTCAGCCCACATACTGAATGATAATCAAAAAGCAGGTCATCCAGTTGTGCAGCTTGGTCGGAGCCGAACCCACGACAGCAGGCCATGTGAGTGGGTCCATGGCGGTCTTAAGAATTGTGTCTGAGTGTATGTGGTGCCCGCCATGCAGCGGGCACGGCGGATCTATACTGATACAGGGCTATGCATATCCCAGGTAGGTGAGACAGACAGAAACATAATCGGTTTCAAAAGAATGATCCCCAACAGTGTAAATATACTATGCGAGTACATAAAGTACGAAACTATCAAGATAACCCCGACCAGGAGAACCAATAAACGACCAGAGCAATTGCGTCCCCCTCACGCCGCAGCCACCGGAGCCTCGCGCTGCGGCGCCTGGCGAATGGAGATCATGTCGTGCTCGCCCTCCGGCCGGACATGACTGAGCGGGCGCGCAAAGGCATCGAACTTGCGACAATGGTAGTTCTCGTAGAGCCAGACGGTCCCATCGTCGGTAGTGATGCGGGCCTGCTCGTTCGGACGCACAAAGTACGCGAGGGTGTATTTAGTCGCTTGGGCGTCGGTGTCGCTGGGCACGACGCGGTGCAGGGAAGGGATAATGCGCCCCCGCGAGAGGAACTTCAGGCAGTCGCCGAATTGGACGAAGAGCTGCGCTGGGTTCGGATCCACGAACTCCCAGTCTTGCCGCGCGATATCTATAACCTGTAGACCCCGTGCGGTGGCCGACAGCAGCGTGAGGCTGCCCACGTCCGTGTGCGCGATGTGTCCGAAGTTGCGCGACCCGGGCGGCTGCGGCGGATACTTCAGGAAGCCCAGGTTTGTGACAGAGGGCTCCGACGGCTGGTGAGCTGCTAGTAGGGCGTCGCCCAGATTGAGCACTTCGCTGACGCGTCGCAGGATGAGCTGCGCCGCTTGCTCGTAGTGCTCCATGCAGCGCGTGAGGGCCTCGCGGTGGGCAAAGACCAGGTCGGGGGACTGGAGTGCGGGACGGAAACTGGGCAGGAGAAGCTCATTCTGGGGTAACTGGAGGATAGAAGAGATAGAATATGGGTTAGTCTCGTCTGCAGTAGCAGTCATAGGGGAAGCAGGACACAGCGCTGAGAGAAATGTACCATGAACATTTCAAACCCGTCGGGCTCTCCTGCCTTCGCGCCTTCTTCAATGCCCAAAGGCTTATATCTGGAGGGCCCCAGGGGCTGCTGGTCAGTGGATTGTCATTCGAGTCGGGCTGCGGATGAGAGCCCGTGGAAGTGGGCATCGTTCTGCTTACCCCGTGGTTCGAAATCGTCCCAGTGCCTTGAAATCAAAGCGCTCTTTGATGAGGGTGGGAATGTCGAAGACATTCTCGGAGAATGTCTCAAGAAAGCGAATGTCCTCGCGCAGGCTCATGCCCTCTGGGCAGTCGAGATCCAACCTGAAGAAGCCATCCACCAGAGCCGCTTGTGTTAGCGACTGAAGGTCTTTCTCGGCACCTGTGATCAGTCCGTGGTAGGACACCTGGGGCATGATGAAGATCAAAGGTATGTTAGAGATCTAATGGAGGGTAGGAGTTGGGGGTAGTCTGTGCCAGGGCACCAGGGCTGCAGAGGGTAGGGGCCTGCTTTTATGTTCTCCCTCGGTGCTCAGCCGGCAATTAGGGCAGGGTGCGTGGCCTGATCCACCGTCGTGCGAGCTGAGAGTCAGCGCGAATATAACCTATACGGTTCAGAGCGTGTTGGGGCTACGCAGGCAGGGCGTGGGAAAGACGTATTAAGTTAGGGCAAGGCAGAACGGACATGGGGACTCCAAGCCATTACTCAAAAACAAATAACTTAGATACAACCAACAACCAACGAAGACTACCATATATACATAAGACAAAAACACATAGAACATCAACAGACATAGATATTAACCCACCAACGAGGCCTGGCTTCGTTGCCGCGACTGCGTCGTGAACCATCGAGCATAGCTCTTCCGGGCACTTGTCCACATCGTTCTGAGAGACAGCCGCTTTGCTTTCACCAAGGGTAGACCTGACTCAACATGCTCTTCATCCTCGCGGCGTGATCCCACCAATATTGCCTGGGCGGAGCTGGACTGGTCGCCCGGACTCAGAAGAGAGGCTAAGTAGACAGCATCCAAAAGATCGCCGCCCCTCTGTGCAAAGGAGGCTGCCGACCGGGCTTGTCCAGTGGCAACCCCCCGACGACGCTGCAGGACCACTTCCCACTGTGGCCGCTGCTTGATTTGCAAGTACGACATGACCAGGGGGTCTTCGCCCGATATCCGCTCCGTAATGTGCACCACCGGCGCCGACGACTGCTTCTCCTTTCTCCCGGACCGGGCTACAGGAGCCGACAACATCTCCTTAACCGTGCGGGATGGCTCGTCCGCGAGGGCTATGAGGGTTTCAGCGAGCATGCGCAGATACTCCGATGCCATCTCCGTCGTGATGCTGTCAGGCCGGTAAGCTATGCGCAGGTCCAGCGCGCCATCCTCCCGGGTGACGGCCGTGACTCCGACGTCGACCGTCCACGTCGCGTTCGGCGCCTCGAAGCTAGAAATGGTGTACTCCTGCCCGCGCATACGAACGATTTCGCCCTTGTGTGCGGTGATGTGGTTCAGCGCGGACGTAAACCGCGTCGAGGTCGCCCAATCGGTGCAGTCGTGCAGGATATCTCGGAAGCCGAGGTGCCCGTGCTCGAAGCTCTGAATCTGCTGCTCGCGCACGGCTTGCAGCAGCTCGCGTGCCGTGAGGTCAAGAGAGGACAGCTGCACGCGGACTGGAAGCAGCGTAACGCAGCAGCCCGTTGCATTCATCCGGGGGGCGTCGACAGTTCCCCTTGTGGAGACGGTGTCGGCGAACACCACGTCCAGACGCTGGGCCACGCGAGCCAGGGTGACCGCCCATGCTGCCTTCACCAGGACTGCGCTAGTGACGCCCGCGGATAGCGGACTGGCGAGGGGGACCGTCCGTGGGACCAGGTGGGCCACAGTGGATGGATACTGCCCGATGGCCGAGACGGAGCGGCCCAGTTGGGGCATAGACGAGCCAGCCAACAGGTCGGTCCAGTAGTCGTACGTTTGTGCGGTGATACGTTGCTGCTGGTGGTAGTAGAAGCTCGCGAAGGATGGGGGCCGAGGCGGGATTGTGCCCTCATACAGGCATCGCAGGGTCTCCCAGATAGCGTTGATGGACACGGCATCGTATTCAGCGTGCGTCACGCGCAGGAGGAGTCGGTGTCGCGTGGTGTGCTCCTCCTCGATGATGGCCATTTGCGTGAAGGGCTCGCCCAAGCAGGGGGCTGGCAGCAGCTGGTGGCTAACGACCTCGGCCGTCTTCGATTCCAGGGTACGCTCCGTGTGGAAGATGGGGATGTCGGGCTCATAGACACTCTTGACGACCTGCAACAGACGGCTTTGATCAAAGATGTAGGCTGTGCGGAGGATAGGCAGGGCGCGGATGAGGTCCAAGCAGCTCTTGCGCAGCCGCTCCACGTCACAGGGGCCCTGCCCATCTAGCAGGAAATGCGCACAGTTGGCCGCACCGGGGGTCGTAAGCACGCCTGCCACCGTGAGGGCTTGGAAGTCGGTGGTGGGCAGGATATCGACGACCTCGTCCGCACGGCCGATGTTGCAGACAGGGGAGACCACCTCGTGGATAAAGGCCTCGGGGTTATCAGTCTCAATCAATGAGAACGGAACCACCCCTTCCTCTTCATTCTCGTCCTTCTCCTCCTCTTTCTCTTTTTCTATCTTCCCTTCCTCTGGATGTACCACTAAACGCGCGCTCACAGCGCCAGCAAGCTCGGATAGACAGGGGTATTTGAAGACGTCTGCCACGCTCAGCTTGTACGGGCGAGAGCGCGATGTGGCCACCATGCGCATCGCGGCCAGGGAGTCTCCGCCAAGATGAAAGAAGTTGTCATGGGCCCCGATCTCATCTATGGGGAGATGAAGCCCGTCAGCCCACAGGGTCTGTAAGTGGCGCTCCATCTCGGTTGAGGGGGCGACCTTGGGTCCATCGCCCACGCGGTATTGGCGGAGATTATCGTCGTCCTGCATGCGCACCAGCATCGTGCGGAGGAGCTTACGGTCCAATTTGCCCGAGAGATTGCGACCCATCTCCACAATGGGCACGAATACGGCCGGAACCATGTATATAGGCAGTGTCTGTGACAGGATGCCGTACAGCTTGCTGAAGGCCACTCGGAGGGCCGGGAATGGTGTCAGCACTCCCTCTGGGGTGATTGTGCCATGGCGGTAATCACTGTCCGAAGCGAACTCAACCACGGCCACCAGGAAGGTTTGCTGCGTGTCATCATCAGCGAGCAGCTCCACAGCCACGGTGCTTGCTCCAGGCAGATGGTGGAGGATCTGATGTTCAATCTCGGCGAGTTCGACACGCTGGCCCCTGATTTTGATCTGAGAGTCCATTCGTCCGAGGTGGATCAAGGTCCCATCCTCGTTTTGTTGCACTAGATCGCCTGTGCGGTAGAGTCGGCGTCCGTGGAGACCCAAGCGGCGCGTAAACTCAGGATCAACGATGAATGAGGCCTCAGTGCGGACGGGATCGCCCAAGTAGCCTCGCGCCAGGAAGGGCCCTTCGATCCAGAGCTCGCCGGGTGCGCCGAGCGGACTCAGCAGATGGGTCTGCGTGGGCTGGGTGACCCATAACCGGGTCGCCAAGGGGAAGCCGATGTTGCTAACCTCCTGGGCATTGGTATAGGGCCGAGTACAGGTACTCATAGACCCTTCGGTGGGCCCATAGGCGTTGTAGATGTCGGCGTGACCCAGCCAGAGACCCACGACATCAGCCCGGACAGGCTCGCCGGTCAGAATCAGGGTTTGCAGGGCGGGCACGCGGTTGGGCGCTACTTGCTGTGCAACAGTCGAGGTCAGCATCGCTGTGTTGACCTCCATGTCAGCCATCACTTCCGTGAGCTGGTTCATGCGGGCCTCCTCGGAGGGAATGCAGACCACTCCACCAAAAGCCGTCGTAGCGAAGGTATCAGTGATGACATTATCGAAGGTGTAAGAAGCAAATTGCAAAAACCGCGTCGCTGGCGTGAGGCCCAACCAGCGTCCTTGTTCGTCCAGACTCGTCGACATGGTTCCGTGCTCGATGACCACGCCCTTGGGCATGCCCGTGCTGCCCGAGGTGAAGATGGCCCACGAGGCGTTTGACGGCGTCACTCCCGTCTCCGGCACCTGCTGATACTGTGGCCAAGTATCGAAACAATCCTGATCGAGGGTGAGGAGCTGGGTGTGCGCGAGGTTGGCCAGCCCCTGCAGTCGTTCCGCCTGTGCAGGGCTGGCGACAATGAGACGTGCCTGCGAGGCGTCAAGGATAGTGTCGATGCGGGCCAAAGGGTGCGATATGCCCAAGGGCATGATGGCCCCCCCGGCTTGCATGATTCCCAGCATCGCCACCGCGCCCCATTTCGATTTCTCCATACAGACCCCCACAATGCTTTCAGGCCCTACCCCCAAAGCGACGATATGGTGAGCCACTCTTGCGCCGGCCTCGTAGAATTCGCGGTACGTCAGGTCTCCATCCCACGCGTGAATGGCAATGGCCCTTGGCGATCGTTCCACCTGTTCACGAACCATCTCGTGGATGCATTTCTCCAGACGGGCGGGAACGTCTCTGTTCCAGCGCAGGATCTGCTGCTGATCTGTGTCGTCGACGTTGAGGATATCCGCCAGGAGCTGCGATTGCGTGCTCGGATCACACAGTCGGTGGAACAGACAAGCGAAATAGTCAATCACCCGTTTGACCTGGGTTGGAGGGATGATCTGCTTGTCGTAGTGGACATCCACGGTGAGCTCGCCTCCTCCGACCTGACATTCGAGAGTTAGCGCGTGTGCATTGAAGGGCTCGACCGGCAGAGGGACGGTTTCCAGGCCAGGGAAGTCCAATTGTCCCTGAGAATCCTTCTCTTCAGCCAGCTGGATGACCAGTAAGCTGCCTGTGTCCAGCGTGGAGGCCAGCGCGGGCAGCAGCGACTTGATCCCTTGCAGCCCGATATGCTCGTGGTCAATCATGTGTGTTGCTTGCCACTGCATTGCGTCGACATAATCAGCCACAGTGCTTGTCAGATCCACCCGTGTGCGAATCGGCACGGTTGTGATGGTTGGGCCTGCGATGTCTGATATGCCCCGAACTGGGGCGTTACGGCCAGAAACCGTAGCCGCGAAGGCGATATCCCCATGTCCCGAGTACTGGGTCACGACCAGCGCCCAGGCGGCGCGGAGAATAGTCGATATCGTCACCTGGCCGTGTCTCTGCGTTAGCGGAAGTGGGATCGATTTATGGAAATCGTCCTGTGGCAGTGGTTGCTTGTCCGAGACTCGGCGTGGCCAGAAGGCCATCACGTCGCCCTCCAACTGCTCGCACCAGTAGTGCCTGCTCGCCACGGGGTCGGGCCGACCGTGTTGAAGGTATCTGATGAATTGTGTGTAGGGGACTGTGGTGGCAGACCGGCCCTGGCGATAGATGTCCAGAAGGCGTTTGCTGAGTGCGCCCACGGTCCAACCGTCGTACAAGGCATGGTGCGCGGTCCAAATGAAGTAGCATGCCCCCGAGGGCTCCTCGACGAAGCCATAGCGGACCAGCGGCTGGCCGAGAGACATGCCTAGGGCGTGATCAGCCTGCAGGTACTGTTCAAGATCTGTGCCTGTTTGCCAGTGGATGTTGTCGCGAACCACCACCTGCACGGCAGGGGATCCACCGTCCACCAGAATTCGCGTGCGCAGGATGCTGACCTCGCCGGAAAGGGTCTCCCATGCGGCCTGGAATTGGTTGCGATCCACGGCGCTGCCCATCGCATACACTTGCCGGCTCACGTAGGCTGCCGGCTGACGCGCCGTGATGGCCATTAAACCCTCCTGCAGGGGCGTGCAGGGGTAAACGTCCTCAATTCGGTCCACGCTCACCCCAATGCTTGCGGCAATGCGGAGTAAGCGTTTTTCCCGCTCCTCTGGAGACCCAGCAGCGTGGAGCTCGTCCCACAGCTCGAAGGGGGCGGGATCTTCGATGTCCTGCGCCAGTGTATCTTCCAAGGGCCGGACCGCGAGCGTGGCGGCCAAGTCTCCCAGCCGCGGCGACTTGAAGATATCTTCGACGCTCATATGCAGCCCGTGCGATGCGGCGGCGACCACCATCCGCATCGCCGTCACCGAGTCGCCGCCCAGATGAAAGAAGTTGCCGTTCATGGACATGTTGACCCCAGCGGGGAGGTCAAAAACCTCCAGCCAGAGCGCACGCACCTTCTTCTCCAATGCGGTTACGGGTATGACCTGCGTTTCGGCCTCGTCATCGTGGAGGTACTGTTGCAGGGTCGCCAGCGACTGCTCTGCCAACAAGGCCCGAATGGCCCGTCGGTCAAGCTTGTTGTTGGCATTCGAGGGCATTTTGTCCACGGGCAGATATGCAGCAGGGACCATGTAGACCGGTAGGGTGCGGAGGAGTGTCTGGCGAAGCTCATTGAATGTTGTGCGAAGGCTATCGGAGGGGTGTAGGGGTTGCGGTGCATCGGTGATAGCAGCAGTTGTTGCTGTTCCGGCAACATCGTCGTTGTCGTCGTCGTGCGTCTCATCGCTAAAGTCCAATACCGCGACGAGGCTAATCTGCTCGCCATCTCCCCCTTGCTGGACGCGTTCCACTGCGACGGTGCGCGCCCCGGCGAGATGCCGCTGGATCTGGTATTCAATCTCGCCGACTTCGATACGCTGTCCGCGTATCTTGACCTGCAGATCCCGGCGGCCAAGGTGGATCAGCGATCCGTCAGGGTTCTGCTTGACCAGATCACCGGTCCGGTACAGGCGTCGACACGCGAGGCCCAGTCGGGGAATGAAGTCGGGGTCCTGGACAAAGGCTGCTTGGGTCTTCTCGTCGTCATTGAGATAGCCCCTCGCTTGGTTAGGGCCCTCGATCAGAAGCTCTCCGGGGGCTCCAATCGGGCAAAGGGCTTGGTGGTTGTCAGCGTCCACCACCCACCACCTACATGCGAGAGGGAAGCCAATGTTGGAAGCGAAGGCCGCGTCGTGGATTGGACGACTGCACGAGGAGTGGATCGAGCACTCGGAGGGGCCGTAGGCATTCAACACAGTGACATGTGGCGACCACAGGGCTACAGCTGCCGCGGTGACCGGTTCACCCACCAGGATTATTGTCCGCAACGAGGGAATTCTCTTAGGCACCAGCATGGATGCCACCGTCGACGTCAATGTGGCGCAATTGACCCGCATGGCGCTCATAACTTCCGTGAGCCGATTGACGCGGTCGTGTTCCGAGGGAATGCAAACGCAGCCTCCCGCCCAGAGGGTGGTGATTATATCCTGTATCGTAGCGTCGAACGTATGCGCTGCGAACTGTAGAGTACGGGTCATCTCATCCATCTTAAAGGCGGCGCCATGCGCCTCAATACTGGTGCTAAGCGCCTGGTGCTCGAGAATCACCCCCTTCGGAGCACCTGTGCTGCCAGAGGTATAGATAATCCACGCCGTATTATGCGGCCGCACTGTGCTCTTCTGCAGTAGTGCGGTCGTCTGTGCGAGATCCAACGGAGGACGAAGAGCGAGGAACCCCTCGTTTACCGTCAATAGTTGCAGGCCCAGGGGCACCAGCCGTTGCTGTTGTTCACGGTCCACGAGCACGGTCTCCACAGCTGCATCCTGTGTGATGGTCTGCACGCGAGGCAGGGGATGAGCCGCCCCGAGGGGGACAACTACTCCTCCGGCGTACAGAACTGCGAGGATGGCCACGGCAGCCCACTTGCTCTTGTTCATACAGACTCCCACCGTGCGCTCCGGTTTCACTCCCAACTCGTGCCTGAGATGGGCGGCCAGGGTCGCAGCCTGTCCCGATAGTTCTTCGTAGGTCAATTCGCCGTCCCAGGCGCTGATCGCACATGCAGTGGATTGGCGGACCACGCGGTCGTACACAGGGGTATGAATACATTGCTCAAGGCAGGTGGGGACCACCTGGTTCCAGTCTAGGATCTGCTGCTCGTCTTGGGGACTGATATGTAACTTGTGCAGCGGCTGTTGGAGTCGGTCAATGTTGGCGAGCTCCTTCACGAGATGTACAAAGTAGTCGACCACCCTTTGAATATAGGCCGTGGCGATGACATGCTCGTCATACTGGACGTCGATGTCAATTTGCTGCCGTCCCAGTGTGCATTCGATCTGCAGACCAAAGCTGCCAAAGTCCTCGAAGGGTGCAGGTAGAGCCTCCAGACCTGGTAGAGCGATAGGGCTGTTGTCGCTCTCGGCCGCGGGCTGGATGACCAGGAGGTTACGGAGGGCCAGAGCCGTCCTACCAGTGGTGTCGGGCAGCAGCCTTTTGATTTTTTGCAATCCAGTCTGCTCGTGGGGAATCATTTCCGTGGCTTGCTGCTGGATGGCCTGCAACAGCTGGGCCACCGTCATACTTTTGTCTACTGATACGCGGACTGGCACCGTGGTTAGGGTTGGACCAGCGATGTCCCGGATCTGCGGCACAGGCGCATTGCGCCCCGAGACGCTGGCGGCAAATACAATGTCGTTGTGCCCACTGTACTGGGCCATCACGATCGCCCATGCGGCGCGCAGGACGGTGGAGATCAGAATGCCGCCGTTTGAGCGCGCGGGAATTGCCATGGCTGTCTGGATGCGCATTTGCGGTCTGGGGTGGTAGTCATGCTGCGGCAGTGGAGGCCAGTCGGCTACCAGATCGCCCTCCAACTGCTTTCGCCAGTATTGGGCCGTCTTAACTGGATCTTGTGTGGTTAGGTAGCGCATGAAGCGGGAATATGGAATCGTCGGCGGGATCGAGGTCAAGGTCGAGGTTGCATGATCGAACCCATCGTAGATCTGTGCGAAGCGCTGCGCAATCTCGCGCATAGTCCAGCCATCGTAGATACTGTGGTGTGCGGTCCAGACAAAATAGGTTTTCTCAATTGATTCCGTTACCAACCCGTATCGCACGAGGGGTTGGTCCAACTTCATGCCTGCCTCGCGATCCTCGGCGATGTAAGCCGCGAGATCGGTGCCGAGTCGCCAGACAATTGGGCCTTGGACCACCACTTGTAGGGCTTCCTGGTTGGGACCCATGATGAGACGCGTGCGCAGGATGGGTGTGGTCTGGGCCAGCATCTCCCAGGATGCCTGGAACCGGTGCAGGTCGAGAACGGCGGTCGAGAGAGAGTAGACCTGTCGGCTGATGTAGGCAGCGGATTGGCGCCCTGTGATCGCTATAAAGCCTTCCTGCAGTGGTGTGCAGGGGTATATATCTTCAATCTGATCCACGTCCACCTGGCAGCGGGCCGCGATCTCGCTCACGGCTTCGGGCGAGGCGTTGGCCCACAAGCTCAAGGGTTCGGGATCTTGTTCCTCTGGCTGGTCGGCACCAGGATCCAAGCTGAGCTCCGTCAGTCTCTGTGCCAAATCCCCGAGGCGAGGGTGGCGGAAGACGTCGGCGACGGTCAAGTGCAGCTTGGTGCGTTGCCAAGTCAGGGCTACCAGGTGCATCGCGGTGACCGAGTCGCCTCCCAGCTGGAAGAAATTGTCCTGCACGCCCACGGATCCTGCATTCTGAATTCCCATGGCCTCCAGCCACAGACGCTGTAGTCTACGCTCCATGTCGGTGGCAGGGGCGACTTTCTCGGGCCCCTCGAGATACTGCTGCATGGCCTCGGCGGACATGGCAGCCAGCTGCTCGCGCAACGCTCGTCGATCCAGCTTCCCGGAGAGATTGCGCGGCATATGGGCGACGGGAACGTATGCGCTGGGGATCATGTGTGTCGGGAGCACCTGGAACAGGGCGCTGTGGAGATCCTGAAATGCCGCCTGCATCGCCTGTGTGGGTGGCACAGCATTGCTCGTACCCGCCAACGGGGGGGTTTGCACATCATTCTCCTCCTCCTCCTCCTCCTCCTCCTCGTCTCTGCTGAGAAATCCGCTCCCCGGCGTAAACTCGATAGCAGCCACCAACACCGGCGAGGCCTGGGCCCCGCGCTGAAGCAGTACGGCCGCTACGAAGCGGGTCTCAGCCAGACACCGGACGATCTGTTGTTCGATCTCCCCTATCTCAACCCGCTGGCCGCGGATCTTCACTTGCGTGTCGCGGCGCGCCACATACACAAACGACCCATCGTCCTTCTGGCGGACGATATCCCCACTGCGGTAGACCCGTCGTCCAGGGGTCAGTCCGAATTGGGTCATGAAGCCCGGGTCTACAAGGAACTGTGACTTCGTTTTCTCGGCATTGTTCAGATATCCGCGCGCCAGCTGCGGTCCCTCGATCAGCAGTTCCCCTGGCGCGCCCACAGGGCACAGTCGATTGTGGTTGTAGGGATCAGCCACCCACAGGCGCGTGCCGATGGGCGTGCCGATGTTGTGGATCTCGTTGATGTTCTGGACCGGTCCGGCCGCCGAAGAGAAGATGGAGCACTCCGAGGGACCGTAGCAGTTGAAGAGGTTGACCTTGGTCCGCCAGCGGTCAGTCACTTCAACAGTTGCCGGCTCTCCGCCCAGAACGAGCGTGCGCAGGCTGGGGGTCTCCTCAGGCGTGAAGAGCCCGGCCACGGTGTAGGTGGTGGCCAACGCGTTGACTTGGGCCTGGCGCATGAACGCTGTCAGCTGGCGCATGTCCAGCCGGTCTTCCTCCGACGGCACGCAGCTCAGCCCGCCCCAGGCCCAGGTGGTCAAGTAATCCTCGATTGTGCCGTCAAATGTATGCGCCGCGTACTGCAACTTGCGCGTATGCGGGCCAAATCCGTACCGCGTGCCGTGGGCCCGGATGCTCGTACATAGGGTTCCATGCTCGAGCACGGCACCTTTAGGGCTTCCTGTGGTCCCGGAGGTGTAGATGACCCAGGCAGCGTGGTTTGGGGTGACGCTGACGGGGGGGACAAGTGCGGCACCGTCGTGGGTAGGGGCAATTGTGGACAGACTCTTGAAAAGCTGCGAGTCGACTACGAGAAGCGAACAATCGACATGACCGTTCAAACGGTCGTGTTCCCGGCCATCCACCAAGGTCAGGCTCACTGCAGCGTCCTCGAGAATAGTCTCAATCCGCTGAATGGGGTGGCTGACACTCAATGGCACCACGACTCCCCCGGCCTGGAGGGTGGCCAGTAGGGCAACCGCCGCCCATTTGGACTTGGCCATCGATACACCCACCATCCGCTCCGGTCCTACCCCTAATGCAACCAGGCGCTGGGCCAGGAGATGAGCGAAGTGCATCAGTTCACGGTAGCTAAGATGTCCATCCCAGGCCCAAACCGCTAGTGCTGTAGGACGGGCCTGTGCCTGCTCCTTCACCAGCTCGTGGATACATTTCTCGACGCGCTCTGGGACGGTGGCATTCCAGACCGCAATCTGTGCTTGATCGGCACGGCTCAGCAACTCCAGCTCACGCAGGGACGAACTTTGGAGACTGGGGTCACAAAGCACAGTCACGATGTGTGCAAACTGGTCCAGCACACGACTTACATATGTCAGCGCAACGACCTTGTCGTCGAATCGCGCGTGCACCCCAATGTTTGTCCCCAGCGTACACTCGACATTGAGCCCATAACTGTCAAAGTCCTCCACGGCGAGGGGCAGGGCCTCGATGCCGGGGAAGTCGAGCGTCGTGTCACTCTCAGCGGCGGGTTGAATGACCAGCAGGTTACGCAGCTGCAACGCGGGATGACTCCGGATGCCCTGGAGCCCGGTGTGCTCGTACGCCATCATCTGAATTGCTTGCTCCTGGGCCCCGCGCAGGAAGTCCGCTACCGTCTGGGCTTGAGCAACGCCGATTTGGATACGCAGAGGCACGGTGGTGATCGTCGGCGCGATGATCTCGCTCACGCCAGGTACCGGGGCGTTGCGGCCGGAGACGTTCGCGGCGAAGACTACGTCTGGCTGACCGGAGAACTGAGCCATAACAAGACCCCACGCGGCGCGCAGCACGTTCGCCATGGCAATACTGCCCGGTCCAGCATTGGGGTTTATCGTGACCTCCTTGCGGATTGACGTCCGGGCTCGGGGCTCGTAGCCCGCATGCCGCAGAGGCGGCCAGTCGGCCACCACCTCCTCCCCGGCGAGCTGCTCGTTCCAATATTGCTGGCTGTTGGTGGTATCAATCTGGTTAAGATAGCGGATGAAGCGTGTGAAGGGGATGGAGCGCGGGACGTAGTCCGCAGCATTATAGATGCGAATAAGCTCCTGGCATAGGAGACGCACTGTAAAGCCATCGTAGATGCTGTGATGGGCCGTCCAGACAAACACCGGATCACCGGACGGCGGATGAACCAGGCCATACCGTGCCAGAGGCGCTCCGAGCTGGATGCCGGCCGCTTCATCCTGCTGGAGGTACTCGTCCAGGTTGGAGCGCTGATGCCATACGATCGTGTCCCGTACCACCACCTGCCAGGCGCCCTCGCGGTCGATAACTGCACGGGTTCGCAGAATGGGGGTATGTGCAGCCAGGGCCTGCCAGGCTGCCTGGAAACGGGGAAGGTCGATCTCGGCGGACAGCGTGTACATTTGCCGACTAACGTACGCCGACGACTGGCGGGCAGTGCTGGCCAGAAGGCCCTCTTGTAAGGCTGTACATGGATAGATGTCCTCCACCTCGTCCACGGCCACACCACATTGCTCGGCGATGAGGGCCAGACGCGCTGCTCGCGTTTCCGGACTGGCATTCACAGCCTGTTCCCAGAGAGAGAACGGTGCGGGGTCTTGCACCTCCGCTGTACCCACTGCACTATTTGTCTTCTCTGTCTTACGGAGACGCTCGTCAATGACACACGCGAGGTCCGACAGCCGCGGGTGCTGGAAGATGTCCGCCACAACCAGCCTCCACTCCTTGCGCGTCCGGGTGGCCGCGGCCACCAGGCGCATGGCCGTGACCGAATCACCTCCCAGCTGGAAGAAGTTATCGTGGACGCCGACCTCCGTAATGGGTACCCGTAGCGCCTGCGCCCATAGTAGCTGCACGCTGGTCTCCATGGGAGTCGAGGGCGCTACCTTACGGAGCTCCGCCTCCGCTCCGCCGTCCGCGTCCTCCGCCGTGAATCTGGCCAGACTGATTGACGAGATCCCATTGAGGAAGACCTGCACCGCCCGGCGGTCCAGTTTTCCTGACACGTTAAGCGGGATTGCTGTGACCGGCACATACATCGCAGGCACCATATATGTCGGGAGGACATTGAGCAGCCCTTGCCGCAGGGCCTTGAAGGCGCAGCGTAGGGCCGGTGTGGGAGGCAGGGTCGTCAGGACTGCATCCTCGGTCTGCTCGCTTTCTTTGCGGAACTCAATAGCAGCCACCAGAGACATCTTGGCGTCGTGCTCGAGCAGATGCACCACGGCGGTCTGCGCGTCGGGCAACTGCTGCATGATCTGGTGTTCGATCTCGCCGATCTCCACGCGTTGGCCCCGAATCTTGACCTGCGTGTCTCGTCGTCCGAGGTAGGTGAAGGATCCATCCGCGTGCTGGCAGACCAGATCACCGGTACGATAGATGCGATAGCCCGAAGGCGAGAACAAGAAAGCCGGCGTGGCCACAAAGGCTGCGGCCGTCTTCTCAGGGTTGTTCAGATACTCTCGGGCCATCAGTGGGCCCTCAATCAGCAATTCTCCCGGCGCACCGATGGGACACAACTGGTGATGACTATGCGGATGGACCACCCAGTGACGCGTCGCCATGGGGGTGCCAATTGTTAGTGCCTCCTCAGGGCGCAACAGCGGTCCATGCGCAGTGCAGACTGATCCCTCGGACGGGCCGTAGGTGTTGTAGATGGCGACGCCGGGCAGACTCCAGAGCGCGATGACTTCTGGCGTAAGGGCTTCGCCGGTCAAGGCCAGGGTGCGGAGCGACGGGGCGTCCGCAGGAGACAGCAATCGGGCCACGGTAGGGGTCAGACTGGCGAAATTGACCTGCATCCTGCAGATGGTGGCGGCAAGGGCATTGAGCCGGTCACCCTCGGACGGGATACACACGCAGCCTCCGTAGATGAGTGTGGCTGAGACATCGGAGATACTGACATCAAAGGTGAACGGTGAGAACTGCAGCGCGCGGGTCTTGCTGGTAATCTGCATCTTCAGGGCCTGTGTTTGCATGCTCGTGCACAGGCCGCCGTGCTCCAGGACCACGCCTTTGGGAGTTCCTGTGCTGCCCGAGGTGTAGATAATCCAGGCGGCATTGTCAGGCGACACGCTGGTGACGGGAGCGTGGGTCTGCGCTGGCAGGGTCATGCGAAGGCTGCCGTCGACGACAACCAAGCGAATAGGGAGAGCCATGGGGCTGAGTCGCGCGTGCTGCTCAGCGTCCACAAGAACAACATCGGCCGCGGTGTCGTGGACAATCACCTCGATTCGCGAGAGAGGATGCGTCACCCCGAGAGGCACGATTACGCCCCCCGCGAACAATGTGCCAAGCATCGCCACAATTGCCCATCTCGACTTATTCATGCACAGACCGACCTTTATCTCGGGACCGACGCGGACGTCCACAAGGAAGTGCGCCAGGCGGATCGCCTCGTCGAACAATTCCTGATATGTCAGGTCCCCATCCCAGCCACAGACGGCTGGGGCGCCAGGGCGTGCGAGCACCTGCTTGTGGAATAGCTCGTGGATGATCCCATCGACACGAGAGATGTCGACTTGTGCATTGTGCTCAATGATCAGCTGTTGGTCCGCTGGGCTGATCAGGCTGAGATCGCCCAGACGGCGGGATTGGACGCAGGCGGGGTTATATAACTGCTGAACGAGGTGGACGAGATGCGCGAGAATTCGGTCCACCTGATGTGTAGGCACGATGTTTTCATCGTACCTAATGGCGACGCGTAGGTCGGTGGGACTCAGCGTGCAGTCCACAGTTAGGGCATGGCTGTCGAATTCGGTGCCCGCCCCGCTGGTTGTCAACGGCTGGACGCCGGGGAATTGGAGCAGGGCATCGGCCTCATCGGCGGTCTGCACCACTAGCACATTTCGCAGGTCGAGGGTCGGGGCGGATTCCGGCGGAATGAGGGTCTTGATTGTCTGTAGTCCTGTATGCTCGTAGTCGATCATTTGCGCGGCCTGCTCTTGCACCGCGGCAAGAAACGAGGTCACCTCTTGCGTCCAATCAATATGCACGCGCACGGGGACGGTGGTAATCGTGGGCGCCACAATGCTTTCAATCCCTTGGACCGGAGCGTTCCGACCTGATACTGTGGCGGCGAAGACGACATCGTCGTGGCCCGAGTATTGGGCCATTAGCAGCGCCCAGGCAGCCCGAAGCACGTTGGATGCAGTCACCATGTCGCCGCCGGACCCGTGGGCAGGCAGCGAGACTTGACGTGTGCGTTCCAACCCCGGACGAGGCCGATAGTCGATATGAGGCAGGGGAGGCCAGTTGCTCATCACGTCTCCTTGGAGCTGATGTGTCCAGTACGCCGCCCGATCCTGTGCTCTACCATTATCGTTCTCCTCTTCCTCCTCGTGGTCACGGAGAAACCGGAGAAATCGAGTGAACGGCACCGAGATGGGCACTTCGCCGGTCTGGAAGATATTCGCAAGATGTCGATACAGCAGAAGGGTGCTCCATCCATCGTACAAGCTGTGGTGAGCTGTCCACACAAAGAACCGCCCGCCGGACTCCTGGTCTTTCACCAACCCGTATCGTGCAAGCGGCGTTCCCAATCCCATTTCCTCCTGCTGGTCGGCGCGCAGATAGTCTTCAAGACTGCTGCTGTGGTGCCAGACAATTTCCTCATCAAGGACGACCTGGTGCAGAGCCGTGGCAGCCTCGCCGCCGACGACAATGCGCGTCCGGAGGATAGGCGTCACGGCCACCAGCGACCGCCAGGCGTCCTGGAAGCGATCGAGATCCAGACTCGGGTCCAGCGTGAAGGCTTGGCGATTGACATACGCCGAGGACTGTTGACCTGTAATGGCCATGAGCCCTTGCTGCAGGGGCGTGCACGGATAAACGTCCTGGATCTTCTCCACGGGTGTCCCGCATTGCTTCGCGATCTCCTGCAGCTGGTCTTGCACCTGCGCCTCGTCGGCGCGGTCAACTTCCAACCATAAGGAGAACCGCTCGGGATCCGCATGCTCCCGAGTCTCTGGGCTCTGGGCCTGCACTCGGTTGCTCAAGCGCTCCGCCAGATCCACCAGTCGGGGCTGCTGAAAGAGATCCGCCACGGTGACTTGCAGTTCGCGGCCCGCCCCGCTCGCCACCATGCGCATCGCGACCACCGAGTCGCCGCCGATCTGGAAGAAGTTGTCGTGGACACTGATCTGGGAGACAGATAAGCGCAAGGCGGTGGCCCAGAGCCCCTGCAACTGGCGTTGGAGAGGCGTGGCCGGCTCGACGGCGAGTTCTTCGCCCGCCGACAGATAGGGCTGGCGGTCCGCTGGGGAGATGGCTGTCACTAGATCTCTGATGGCGCGACGGTCCAGCTTGCCCGAGCCATTCAACGGCATCTCTAGAATTGGGAGCAGCACCGCCGGGACCATGTACGTCGGCAGCAGCTGGAACAGGGTGCCGCGCAGTTGTCGTAGGGCCGTGTTGAGGGCCGTCGTGGGCTGCAGTAACCCATGCGCCAGGGTAGCTCCCTTGCGATGAGCCACGCCTTCGTGGAAATCCACAACCGCAGTCAGACTGACCGATTCAGCGCCTGGGTCCTGCACTAGTTCCACTGCTACAGACCGTGTACCCGGCAGCCCCTGGGTGATTTGATACTCGATTTCACCGACCTCGACCCGCTGGCCGCGGATTTTGATCTGCGTGTCACGTCGGCCGAGGTGCGTGATAGATCCATTCTCATTTTGACGCACCAGATCTCCTGTCCGATACATGCGTCGCCGTCGGTGGGCTGGGTGGCCAGCTGGGTCGTCGTAGAGCGCGAGTTCGTGGAGAAATGCCGGTTCGACGACGAAGGCCGCTCGGGTCTTGGCCTCATCGTTCAGATACTCGCGTGCCAGCAACGGCCCTTCAATCAGAAGCTCGCCGGGCGCCCCGATTGGGCACAGCTGGTGATAGTCGGCCACGTCGACGACCCACAGCCGCGTGCCCATGCCGGTGCCGATGATGGCGGCCTGCTTGGGATCGGTCAAGGGTGGACTGCAACTCGAGTGGATCGAGCATTCCGATGGGCCGTAGGCGTTCAGCACAGTGACATAGGGCAGCCACTGCGCGACCACGTCTGGCTTGACCGGTTCGCCGACCAAGGCCAGCTGCCGCATCGATGGTACCTCTGGGGGATGAATCAGCCGGGCCACCGTTGAAGTCAGGGTTGCGAACGTCACGCCCATCGCTTGCATCGCCCGCGTCAGGTTGCTCATGCGATCGGCCTCGCTGGGCACACAGACCACGCCGCCCCAGGTGAGGGTGGTGAAGTAGTCTTGGATACAGGCATCGAAGGTATGAGCAGCAAACTGGAGCGTACGCGTGTGCGACCCCATAGAAAACCGGGCCCCGTGGGCCTGGATGCTGCTGCACAGAGCGCGATGTTGCAGGACTACTCCCTTGGGCTTCCCTGTACTGCCTGACGTATAAATGACCCAGGCCGCGTTCTCCGGGCTGACAGTCGCATGCAGGATGTCATCATGCAGCGGCAGGGTGTGCAGCAAAGTATCATCAACCACAATAAGCTCTATATTCTCGGAGAGACTCGCGAGTCGGTCTCGCTGCTCCGCATCGACTAGGATGATTTGCGCCTTCGTGTCCTCCAAGATACCGGCCAAACGAGCCGGGGGATGGGCCACCCCCAGTGGGACGACAACTCCGCCAGCTTGGAGTACCGCAAGCATGGCCGAGCCAGCCCATTTAGACTTATCCATACACACCCCCACCATGGTCTCCGCGTGGACTTGCAGACCATGGAGATACCAGGCCAGCTGGTTCGCTTGGGTCGCCAGTTCTTGATAACTCAAATTGCCGTCCCAGGCGCAGATAGCAGGGGCATCAGGGTGTTGGGCGACTTGCTCTGCGACGAGGTGATGAATGCACCGCTCAATGCGCCGAGGCACGGCACGATTCCACTGCAGAATGGAAGCCCTATCCTCGTCGCTGACAAGGGAGATATCGCCCACTCGCTCGCGGCCGGAGCGGGCGCTGTAGAGCTGCTGCACGACATGTTCCAAGCCACGCACCAGTCGCTGGACGTGAGGACCCGGAATCACATTCTCGTCGTAGCGCGTCTCCACGGTGATGGAGTCCTCGCCGAGCGAGCACTGCACAGTCAAGCCGTAGATGTCGAAGCCCTGCAAATTCACCGGCAGCGCCTCCAGACCGGGCAACTCAGCCCCCTCATCACCCCAATCCGCCTGGATGGCCAGCAGATTGCGCACCTCGAGCACGGGGCGCAGCGCGGGCACCAGCTTGCCAATCCCGTGCAAGCCGGCGTGCTCGAACTCCATCATCTCCGTCGCCTGCTGTTGCACCGCGTGCAGGAAGTCATGCACTGTCTGGTTAGGGTCGACGTCGACGCGCACCGGCACGGTGGTGATCGTCGGGGCCGCCAGTTCGGCCACCTGCCACACCGGCAGATTGCGGCCGGCGAGCGTCATCCCGAACACCACGCAATGGCCTTGACCCGCCTGTTTAGCCATGACTATCGCCCATGCGGCACGGATGATGGTGGGAAGCAGCGAGGCGGAGTGGTGGTGGCTCGTCGAGCGCGGCAGGCGCATCGTATAGACGTCGCGGTGCATGGGCCGGGGCTGATAGTCTGCCCGGGGCAACGGGGGCCAGTTGACGACCAGGTCTCCCTGGAGCTGCGTCGACCAGTAGTGAGCGTCAGAGGTAGGGTCACGGCGCAGCAGATGCCGGATGAACCGGGTGTAGGGAACTATGGGAGGGATGCGGTCGTGTAGGTAGATATCAACTAGACGTCGGTACAGCAGGGCAGCGCTCCACCCGTCATAGATGCTGTGATGCGCCGTCCAAACCAGAAAGCGTTCGTTTGCATGCTGTACCAGCGCAAAGCGCACCAGGGGCTGACCGAGTTGGATGCCCTGCGCCTCATCCACAGCTACATACTGGTCGAGGTCGGTGCTGTGGTGCCAGACCAGGGGCCGTCGAACCACCACTTGCAACGATCTGCCCTCACTGTCCTCCTCCGGGTTTACCACGATGCGCGTGCGCAGGATGGGGGTTACGGTGGCCAACGTGTGCCAGGCTGCCTGGAAGCGATCCACGTCGATCGAGCCGCCCAGTCGGTACACCTGTCGACTCACGTAGGCTGTGGGCTGGTGTGCGGTAATTGCAATAAGGCCTTCCTGGATAGAGGTACATGGGTAGACGTCCTCGATATCCTCCACCGTGACACCACATTGTTGGGCAATGCGCGCGAGTCGTTGTTGAAGAGTGCGTCCGTTCGATTGCGCGTCTTCAGGGACTTGCCACAGGGCAAAGGGTTCCGAATCGGCCTCTTCGGTATGCTTCTCCGTGGTCTCCATGGCCCGTCCTTGCAGAGCCCGGGCGAGATCCGCGAGAATGGGATGTTTGAAGATCTCCGCCACAGTGAGGTGGTGTTCGCGCGCCTCGGGGAGCGCCACCATGCGCATTGCGGCGACAGAATCACCGCCAATCTGGAAGAAGTCATCCTCGCGGCCGATGGTGTCTGGCGCAATGGCCAGCGTTTCGGCCCACCAGTCACGCAACCGGTGCTCCATCTCCGTCGAGGGCGCTGCTTTAGGCCCTGCGTTTGGCATATATTGTTGCAGGTCTGATGTCCAGAGGCAGTCCAGATATGTGCGTAGGGCCCGCCTGTCGAGCTTCCCCGAGGCATTGGTGGGCATCGTCTCCATTGGGATGTACAGCGTGGGCACCATGTACGTCGGGAGACACTGTAGAAGCTTTTCCCGCAGGTCTTCTGTAATGGAACGCAACATGTCGCCCCCGTATGAGGTGTTCTTCGCGAGATCCAATGCGGCCACCAGATAGATCTGAGCACCGCGCTCCACCAGCTCCACCGCGACGGAGGCCAAACCCGGAAGATGTTGCGCAATGGTGTGCTCAATATCACCTACATCTACGCGTTGACCGCGAATCTTGGCCTGTTGGCTATTAGAGCGGCCGAGATAGAGCAGGGATCCATCCGGATTCTGACGAACCAGATCACCGGTCCGATACATACGACGTCCGGTCATCGGGAGACCCAGCTGCTTTATAAATCGCGGGTTGACGACGAAGCTCGCCGCGGTCTTGGCTTCGTCGTTGAGATAGCCACGGGCCAGCAGGGGCCCTTCGATCAGCAGCTCGCCCGGGGCGCCAATGGGACACAGAGTCTGGTAATCTGTCGCTTGCACGACCCAGAAGTTGGACGCCATGGGCTGGCCGATATTGCGGGCCTCATCGATGTGGAACAAGCGTTGGCTGTTCGAGACCACAATGGAGCATTCCGACGGGCCGTAGGAGTTGAACACGCTCGTGCGTCGGGCCCAGGTTGATAGAATGGCGGGCTTTAACGGCTCTCCACTCAGGGCCAACGTGGTCAGCGAGGGCACAGTCGCCGGGGAGAGGGTGCCGGCCACCGTGGATGTCAGTTCCACGTAGGTGACCTCCATGCGCGCAGCTGTCGCAGCTAATGCGTTCATGCGCTGCTCTTCAGACGGCACGCAGACACATCCACCGGCCTGCAGGGTGCTGAAGATGTCGCACAAGCTGACATCAAAGGTGTAGGCCGCGAATTGCAGCGTCCGTGTATATTGATCTATCCCCACAGCGGCCGCATGGGCTATGAGACTGGTACACAGCGACCGATGCTCCAGCACCACCCCTTTCGGGGTTCCTGTACTCCCTGACGTATATACCACCCATGCTGGGTTCTGTGGCGTGACTCCCGTGTGAGGCGCTTCTGGCTGGGGTGTCAGACTCGCCATCAGAGTGGCATCAACAACCAGCGTCTTGAATTCGTCGTCGTCCAGCCGGTCCTCCTGGTCCTGGTCGACTATAATCACAAGTGGGCTGGCATCTTGAACAATACTCTGCAGGCGAGCCAGTGGGCTACGCACCGACAAGGGCAGGACTGCAGCCCCCGCCTGGAGAATGGCCAACATCGTCACAACAGCCCACTTGGACTTGCTCATGCATAGTCCCACTGTCTGCTCGGGCCCGACGCCCAGGCTGACCAGGTAGTGGGCCAGGGCAATGCTCTGGCTTGTTAAGTCGGCGTACTGCCACTGGCCATCCCATGCGTCGACTGCGAGGGCCGTCGGCCGCACCCGTACCTGGTCCGCAACCAGATCGTGAATACACCGGTCCACCGATGCAGGCACGGTAGCGTTCCACTCCAGGAGCTGCTGCCGATCGGATGAAGAGATCCCCAATGCCTCCTGCAGGAGCTGATCCCGAGCCGACGAACGGCTGAGCTCCTGCACTAGCAAGGAGAACTGGTCCATGACCTTGGTCAGGTCCGCGGGGGCAATCACCTCGTCGTCGTACATGACCTCCACCGCCACAGCCTGGCGCCCCAAAGTGCACTCCACGTTGACGGCATAGCTGTCAAAATCCTCCAGGGGTAGCTGCACCGGGCTGAGTCCTGGGAAGGCCTGGTAGACGTCGCGTTCGGAGGCGGGCTGAACGATCAGCAGATTCTGGAGTGTTAAGACCCCGCTCAACTCCGGCAGCATGGACTTTATCGTCTGCAGACCGGTATGCTCATACTCGATCATGTCCGTGGCGTGGCGCTGCACGGCCTGCAGGAATGCGCCGACTGTCTGCGAGCGATCAATGCGGATGCGCACGGGGACGGTGGTGATCAGGGGGGCGGCGATCTCGGCGACCTGCGAGACAGGGGCATTTCGGCCCGACAGGGTGGCTGCAAAGATGATATCGTCCTGGCCGGTGTACTGGGCCAGAACGAGCGCCCAGGCGGCGCGGAGGATATGCGACACCATGACCACGCCCTGCTCAGCGGCGTCACGCATCAAGATCTCGCCCTTGAACTGGGTCCGGGGACTAGGTTGGTAGTTGGGGGTGGGCAGCGCCGGCCAGTGCGCCATCAGATTGTCCCCCCGCAGTTGGTCATGCCAATAGTTGGCGGCGAGGATCGGATCTTTCCCTTCCACGTAGCGCACGAAGCGCGTGTAGGGGGTTGAGGGGGGCAGCTGGTTGTGGAAGTATATGGCGGCGAGGCGACGGTAGAGGAGCATTGCACTCCATCCATCGTAGACACTGTGGTGGGCAGTCCATACAAAGATCGCCCCCTCGCCGTTCGTGTTGTTTGATCTGGGGATGAGACCCCACCGGGCCAAGGGCTGCCCGAGCTGCATGCCTTCTTTACGATCCTCCGCCAGATAGCTTCTGAGGGTGGTGCCATGTTGCCAGGGGATGTGGTTGCGGCTTACCACCTGCAACGCCCGGCCGCTTGGACCCATACAGATGCGGGTGCGCAGAATGGCGGTTTTCGCGATCAAGGTTTCCCAGGCCGCCTGGAACCGATCGAGGTCAATGGTAGGTGCCAGGGTAAATGCGCGGCGATCGACGTAGGCTGCGGGTTTGCGAGCAGTGATGGCCATCAATCCTTCCTGCAACGGGGTGCACACGTATACATCTTCGATCATATCGACTTCAATCCCGCATTGCGTGGCCACCTGCTCCAATAGTCGGGGTTGTTCTTCGGGCCCTGCCCGGCTGTAGTCCGGCCACAGGCTGAAGGGTTCGGATTCGGCTTCCTCGAGTCGAGAGGTCCTCGTGAGCATGAGAGACGCGGGTCGTGCATCGTCTCGCGATGGCCGTACTTTCACGGTCGAGAAGAGTTCGGAAATGTTGGTGGCATTGATTATCGCGCCCGTCTGAACCTCCATTCCTCGCTCCTCGCAGCGCGCAATGAGGTTGATGGCGGCTATGGAGTCCCCGCCCAGTCCGATAAACGACTGCGACACATCTAACCTGTCGACCTCGATGCTGAGAACCTCGGCGCAGATGTTCTGGAACTCCTCTTCGTGGGTGGTCACCCTTGGGACGTCGATGAGAACCCTCGTCTCCGTCCCATTTTCCGGGGACCGGAGAGCACTGTTTTCTGTGGTCATGATGTTTGTGGAGTGAGTAGGATTACTTACTATTGCTCACGGGTGTCGAAGAATAGCTTGAGTATCGAGGAAAGGACGAAGCACACAGACAGACCCCTCTGATGCTGATGCTGATGCTAATGCTGATGACTCGTGCGCTAGATTTGTCAGATGTGTTGCCCGTGAGAGCACCGCGTCGACGACAAGGGAACTGAAATTTCCGCGACTGAATGTGGAAAGATTGTGGAATCAATCATCCAGGAGCAGGGCATTGATCCTCCTATATTGCCCAATGTAAGCCATCGCTCAGAGGATTCATACTCAGTGCGCAATAGCCTCATAGTAGACCTTGACCAGAAGGACTGGAGACTTGACTTAGGGCATGCCCGCTGCCACATGGTGAAGGGCCAGCCGATGGGGCTGCGGTCAACGTGGTTCCCCACTCTTCCTGTCTTCTTTTCTGTTCTGCTGCTTTTCTGCTTTTCTTTCCCCTTCTCCTCATTCACTGCCTAGTTCAGCCTCGCCATCTGTTCTTTTCAGTTGGCTGTGGCTGAACTGGGGGTCGATGGATGCCTTAGTCAGCGACGGTTCTCGGATGTAGCCTGCGTTGCTCGTCGAGCGCTGAGTCATGCCTCAAGTCACTAGGTACTAGTAATCAGAGGTGTGGACGTAGTCAGAGCAGTGGTAAATGCTGGGCTCCTAGCCTTTAGCTTTATCTTTCGTGTTTGTTCTTCATTTGTTGTTTTTTGTCCTTTATCTCATCCTGATTCCCTTGCCCATGAGTCGCTCGGTGCTGCCTTTCACGGTCGCAATACCGTCCGCCACTCCAGGCCTTATCGAAACACAACAGATAAGTGAATGTTTGCCAGTAGAGAGTGGGTATATATCCCAGTGACTCTTTACATGCCGCAGAGCACATTCCCCTGGTTCTTTGTTGGTGGGTTGAGTTACATAAACCCACGGCCGTAGCTGAGTTCAGGATGTATATCCGTGTTGCCTGTTAGACTCACCCATGACTGTAAACTGGAGATGGTGTAACAGACCACCAGCAACTTATTATTTCATGCCTAGGATCTGGTGCATGGCAAGTCAGGTGGTAAGACTGGCAATCAAGCCTTCCCCAGTTACTCTGAATGGAACTGCCCTGATGGCGCCAGCCCTAAGTATCGCCCTGCCGGCAATGACCTCGACGGGACCTTCCCCTCATTTCTCTCGCCCTCTTAAAGCGTTCGTCGCAAAGACGACCAGTAAGACAAATTATATTCCTGCAACGATCGATTGACACAGTTCCATGTGCATGCGCCTACAGTATGCTGCCTGAACTACTCCTCGCGGGAGGTCCGAGCCTGCTGCTGCACGCAGCCATCGGCATCACCATCGTTCTCTTTTTCTACCAGCTAGTGCTGGCGAAGTCACGCCAACATCGCCAGTTCTGGGAGAAGCAGCCATGGGTAGGCGTTCGCGTCGAGTGGTTTTCTGGATTCCGGGCCTCGCTGCGTACCATCCGTGGCATCCGACAGATGCTGGAGGAGGGCTATGAGAAGGTTGGTCGGTTCCCCATTGCTCAACGTCTCTCTCACATTTTCTGTCTCGCTTCACTAACATTCACAGTACTCCAAGCATGGCCGGGCATTTGTGCTGCCCACCATCGCCGAAGCGCCCTGGGTCGTCCTGCCGCCGAGCAGCATGCGCGAGCTGCTGGCGAAATCAGACCGTGAACTGGACCATGACATCATCCACGCCGATCAATTGCAGCACTACTACACTCAGGGCCCGCTGGGCTGGCACGCGGTGCAGGTGCCCCTGCAGTTCGACCTGGTGCGCCGGCAGCTGACGCGCCAGCTGCCGCTGGTGCTCCCCATCATGGCGGATGAGGTCGACCGCAGCTTCCGGCAGTACTGGGGCACGCGAAACACAGCATCGACGGAGGTTAAGGTGAAGGTATTCGAGACGTGCACGCAGATCGTCACCCGCGTGGCCAACCGGGTCTTCGCTGGGCCGGACATCTGCCGCAACGAGGCCTTCCTGCACCACTCACTACAGTATTCCGAGGGTGTCGCGCGCGCAGGCATCATCATCCGCCTGTTACCGCAGTGGCTGCGTCCGCTGCTCGCCCCGCTGATTACGTATCCCAATCGCAAGAATCTCCAGATCTGCCTGGACATTTGTATGCCGGCCGTACAGGATCGGCTGCAGAAGACCCTGGTGCACGACCCCGCCTGGGAGGCACCGGTTCGTGGACATTCTTATATGCCCGTCTCCTCGCCCTCAAGGAGCATTCATTCCCTCTACACATAGGGCTCCAAAGGTTGACTGGTTTTACAGGTTGACGGACTTCAATGGCTCCTCGAGGAGTGCGTGAAACGCGACGACCCGCGTGAGATCGACCCGCGGCTGATCACGCAGCGCCTGCTCATGCTGAATTTTGTGGCCATCGAAACCATGGCCATGTCCATCACCCACACGGTGATTGACCTGTACTCTGCCCCGGATTGCGCGACCTTCGTAGCCCGGCTCCGCGAGGAATGCGAGCGCGTCTGGCGCGAAGAGAACGAGCCGCTGAAACCGCAACCGCAGTCTTCGTCCCAGCCACAGCCACACCCCCAGCCAGACCAATGGACCAAAGCCGGCCTGGACCGACTGGTACGAGTGGACTCGACGATCCGGGAATCGATGCGCGTCTCGGATCTCTCGTACATCGCCGTGCCGCGCATGGTGGCGCCGGCCGCGGGACTGAATTTCGACCCGGGGTTGCATCTCCCGCGGGGCGTGCGCGTGTGCGTGCCGGCGCATGCCATCCATCGTGACCCGCTCAACTACGCAGATCCCTTGACCTTCCATCCGTTCCGGTTCTGTGATTCGGAGGATACTGCTGCTTCAGACCGAAAGAAACCGGTGTCGATCGCGACGACGACCGATGCCTTCCTGGTCTTCGGGCACGGGCGACATGCCTGCCCGGGCCGGTCTTTCGCGGCCCAGACGATGAAGCTTATGCTGGCGTATCTGGTGCGGCACTATGACGTAGAGCCAATTGACCATGGGCCCGAAAAGGAGGTGCAGGTTGGCACGGCGAGGCCGAGTGCCCGGCTTTGTCTGCAGGTGCGTCGGCGGGACTGATGGGTGGGGTGGAGGGAGTGGAGGAGTGGAATGTTTGTGGGAGGTCTTCAGTGGGGAAACTACGGTAGTGGCATTGAAGTTATATACGCGGTGGTTTCTTCAGACATCATCGAAACAGATCTTTTCCTACCTGCCCAGCACAATGATAAAAAGCCAAGTTATGCATCCGAGCGCTGTACCATCTCTATCTGACTAGAGCCAGTCTTGACACGCTGCAGCTTCAGCCGCTGCTGGGGGGAGGCATTCCAGCGCTCCCGCGAAAACACCAGCCCCGGATGAAAGGCCGTCATGGCGCCGCAGGCCAGAATCATCATCACGCCTTCGAGGATCATAAACGCGACCTGGTTGTTTGCAAGAGCGCTTCCGAATCCCCCCTTCAGTTCGGCGACACGGAAGCACGAGCGGATGAAGATGGTTGTGGTTGCGACGACCAGACCTGGAGGAGTGTTAGCTGGTGGCTGGGTGGATGAGAGACAGAGGACAAGGGCAAGCAGACGCACTGATCAAGAAACCCCTCCATTTCCAACCAGCATGCCAGTCCACGGGGAGCAGGAAGGTCGACCCCTGGGTCTGGTGCCGGCGCAACCGGAGGGCGAAGTCGCCCGCAAGCGCCATGAAGGCTACCAACGAGACAACCTGGCACGCCAACCCGGCGATCATGATGTTAATGCCGAGGTCGCTGAGGCTGGTGTTGTCCGTGCCGGCGGTGGAGGTGATGGCGCCGCCAGCGGACTGCAGGATTAGACACACGAGATCACAGGCGATGAAGACCTTGGAGTATGTGGCGGGGGCGAGGCGCGAGCACCGGGAGTCGTACTCGATCACGACGCGTCCGAAGCACAGGTAGATCCCGGCGGAGATAAAGGCGGGCCCCAGGGTGAGGCAGATCAGGTACTGCAGGAACGCGTTGAAGGAAAAGGGGTCCTCATGCAGGCTGATGCGCCCCGCATAGCCAATGATTTCCAGCAGCAGCCCCCCCATCACCGCCACCAGGTAGCTGGTGGTGCGGTGCCACACTCCGAGGAACAGATGAACGATCGCCGCCACGCAGCAGAGCGCCAGGAAGAGCGCGTTCCCGGCCAGCGAGGGGATGTAGTGAACCATGGCATAGTCGAGACTACACGTTTGGAGCGTGCACACAAAGGTGCGGGTGTCGGTGGTAGTGGCGTTGTTGGTCGACATGATGTCCGCTGTGGAATGTAGAATGAGCGTGGCTTAGGGCAAGTCTGGTAGAGTGAAAAGAAAGGGAGGGTACGAAGAGTGAATGACGCTGAAGCGTCCAATGCAAGTCCCTGCCTGGGAGCAAAAAGAGAGAATAGACCGACTGACTGAAGGAGAGTGAAAGAGTAGGCAGAGACTGGAAAGCACGAACATATAGTTGAGATTGTAGGTTACTTTGATGGAGAGAAAAGAGAAGCTGGCCCCGGTTCGTCAGGGGCACCCCATTTGCGATCGTGCCCTAACTCCAACCCATCGATCCGCCACTGGCCGGATCTCCAAGCCACGCACGCTCGTCGCAGGACGCACTCGACGGCGAATCATAGTGGAATAAATACCTACTCTGTAGGTAGAGACTGAACTGTGCCTCTACCGTTGGAAACTCAAGATCGGATCTAAAACAGTGCCGAGGAGGATGTGGAGGAATGAGCGTCGGAGCGGCGGCGCGTGGCGCGCGCTACGGGAGTCAGAGCGTGACATTGATTGACACGCCCAAAATCCTAGCCTCAGAACTACTCCAAACTTAGTCTAGGCTCGTCTTGCCGTCCAGTCTAGACTTTTCACTGGGTAATTTGGACCTCTCAGCCTTGTCCTTGACTGGGTTGAAGAGACCAACGCCCCCCACCTCTTCTCTCCCCCCCCTCTCCCCAATCCTCCCTTCCCCAATTCATCGCCCGTCTAGAGGCTCGATATCGATTTCTTGACGAAAGTCTCCCAAGTAACCGTAGATAGAGTGCATTGATGGTTGAGATCCCCGGCCCACTACGCTCTGCATGTGTCAAAAGAATTTCTCATCGCTGTTAGAGACAAGAGAAGCGGTTCGACTTCATGCCAAGACAAGAAGGAAGCAACGCGAGAAGACAACGCGAAGGCACCCTCGGTAGCAAAGGTGGAAAGACTCGTAATGTTTCATGCTCCAACGCACCAAGCTGCGAGCAAGATGAGGAAGATTTCGGCAGAATGCAGGGCCTATGAATAGCAACCACCTGCCAGTAAGTAAACAATGCCGAGAAACGAGCCAGGGCGCATCTGCAACATCTGATTGGTCTGCTCGCTAATGACGTCACAGGTCATGATTAGGGGAGTGTATCACCAATCACAACCCCGCACGCAGCAAAACCAAGCCCTGACATGCATGTCGCAGCGGAGGTCGTATATGCATCAGCAGGTTTGCAGACTCGATAGCAGCCAATGGTAAATGACTGTGCTGACGATGAGAATAGATCTCTACATGGGAGTCAGAGTCAAAGGAATGGAAAGTAATCATATCAAAAGAGCGTGTGTCCGGCCATCTCCCGCTACATACATTCGCCAGGTCCTAAGCTCTCTCATACTACCACACTCTCAGAGCGCAGCAGAAAGCCACAATGGGGTGGAATCCGTCACACGAGTTGATTGTCTTTCTCGTCATCTGCGGATGCGTGGTGTTTGTCTTCATAGGATACGCCCTGGCTCGACTGTACGGAGGCGACACCTTCGACGGGCCTGGACTGCCGGGGATGACGCCGGAGCAGGCCTCATACATGCGAGACGTCCGACTATGGAACCGTGAGGATATGTTTCATGCTCTGCAGGGCATGGAAAAGGGGCATCGGGGGGTAAGGGATGTCTAGAGTTCTCCAAGGTATCTAGCCCCGCGGTCTCATTGTGCGACAACCACCGAACTGATCTTGCTAATGGATTCGTGCCGGTAGGACTGGAACGCGAACAGCTCTCATCACGCCAGACACGATATCGCCGGACGATTACGAACATCACGAACACGAATTCTACTGAGGCCCTCTCTTTGCGTTACTGGAGAGAGATAAACTGACACGATACATTGAGTTACGATGACGGATTGGAAATGAACATGTGGAGGCAGGGTTGGTTCATAACGTGCATTCTTTCTTGGGTCGGCTTTTCGATTGGAGTATTGGAGTCTATAGAAATGTACGCACGCAGCCAGGGACTGGTTTTGGCTTCAAATACATCATATCTACACGGATGGCTCCTTACTCACAGCTTCCATTGTTGTTGACGCGGCGAATGGTAAATCGAAAGACCGAGCTAAGAAGCAGAAACAGGACAGACCGGCTTCACCATGCAAGCACCTCCCGATTCCCTCTACTTTCAGCCTGACGCCGTCCAAGATGCATCTCAGCCAGCGCAGAGGCTGGCACTGTCCCAGACCCATGGTCATTACAGAGCGACTGGAAAACAGTCTTGCCAAACATCTTGTACGCCGCCGCCAGCCCTTGTCGCTGGATCAAGGCCAATTCCATCTCATCCAGCACAAACGGGTACGACCGCTCGTTCAAGGTCACCTGTCGACGGGGCAGGTCGATCTCAATCGTTACCCCAGTCTGGGCCGCCGCGTAGAAATCGTCATCGGTGATGGTGAGGCCGAGGAGACCGATGGTGGGCTGATTGCGTCCATAAATGAAGGAGAACGATCGTGCAATCACACATTTCACACCAAGGCCTGCATCATCACGTCTGTTAGAGCCAAGGCCTTCTGTTTCCCTCGACACCATTTCTCTCGCAAGACGCACCTTTCAACGCTCGTGGCGCCTCTTCCCGCGACGAACCACAGCCAAACGCTTTTCCGGCGACGACGACATCCAGACCAGCGCGGACCTGAGCGCGAAACGCAGGATGGGTCAGCTCCAAGCAATGACTCCCAAGCAGGACGTCGGTTGGACTCTCTAAGATGAATGCAGCCGGGATAATCTAGTCCATGCGCTGTCAGCTATAGCTCTTTCGACCAGCCAACGACTGAGAAAAGCAACTCCTCCCTCGCGCGCAAACTTACCGCGTCTGTATCCACGAAATCCCCCAACCTCGATATTCGGCTGCGAAGGACTTCAGCTGGTGCGCTGTTCGATTGCGTTTGTTCCAGGTCTGGGACGGGCGTTGTTTTCGACGGGGTAGCAGCAGGGTTGCGAACGGATAAATAGGGCTCGACCACGGGAGGCATCGGGGGTGTGACGACGGGGCTTGTATTGTTCTTGAGATGATCTCGCAGTTTCCCCCGCGGCTCAGCCTTCATGCGTCGGCAGCTGGCCAATAAGGTCTGATACCTCTCGACCGACACCTGCTGAAGAAGAGGGCGAGGGTCGGTCAACTGCATGCTAAAAGACGAGGCAGCAACGACGGCAGCGGAGCAAATATGGCCGGTGGACCCTAAAGAGTCAGGTCAGATCAGGCCCGACCAGATTATCTCCTTGTCCTCATTCCACAAGTGAAAGACGAACCTGGACCCATTCGATTCTTGAAATTGCGGTTCTGGGACGACAGCCAAGTTTCGCCTGACCCCGCGCGGTCTGCCCCCATCCCCAGGCACAGACTGCAGCTCACGGCGGGGAGCGTAAATTCAGCCTGGGCGTAGATCTCCAGGAGCCCCAACGCGCGCAGGTTGCTCACGATCGGTAGACTACCGGGGACCACCATCCGTTTCCCGCGGGCTAGCGATAGCCCCTTCTGCAGGCCGGCTTCGAGGACCAAGGCGCCCAGGATCAGGTCTTCCTCAGTCGTGGTGCACGCGCCGATGAAACAGCCCTCGAACCGCATGTCGAGCTTCTCCGTCACAGGCACGACGTTGTCCGGGGACGGGTAGAGGGCAATAAAGGATTCGACCTCCTCCAGATTGATCCGGAAGGTTGCAGCATAAGAAGCATCAGCGTCCGGTTGGAAATATAGCGATTGCGTCCTGTAGCGCGCTTGGGGCCGATCCGAGATGAACTGGCCGGTGATCTCATCCGGGACAAAAAGGCCGGTGATGGCACCGAGTTCCTATGATTTCCCTCTCGTTGCGTTAGTCACTGTATAAGCACGCAGATCCAGATGACAGGGAGACCTTACGGTACACATATTGCAGATAGCGAACCGAGCGTCGCAGGACAGGTACCGCGCCCCCGGCCCTCCAAATTCCACAATCCGATCCGCCGCATGGGTGTTCCGTTTGAGGGTTTTCAGGATGTAGAGGATCACGTCCTTGCCGCGGATATACCAAGCCGGTTCGCCCACGAATTCCACACGGATTGACTCCGGAGTCTTGATCCACGTCTCCCCGGTGGCCAGCGCCGCCATCACATCGGCCGCGCCCAGCCCAATAGCGAGAGAGCTGACGGCGCCCGCTGAGCAGGTGTGCGAGTCCGACCCGAGGACGAGCATCCCCGGTTCGGCTCGCTCGCGCACGAATTCCGTATGGAGAATCGTGAACTGGGAGCAGAAGGGTTAGTCTGTTAGCCAGGGACAACGAAGGATGGGGCAGGATCTTGCCGGTAGCAGACATTCGAGCCCTGGTTTTCCGTCATCTTGAACTTCGTCTTCGCATCGTGCATGCCATCAATCAACTCCCGGACCCGCGGTTGGTGGTATGTCCGGGGATCCACCGTGTGATCTCCCGCCAGCCAGAACCGGTCGTTGCGCCAAACAGTTGGTTCTTCGCCGATGCTGGTCATGCTGTGTTTCATGCCCTAGAGGATCTCGGAATCGGACGATCAGCTTCTCCACGAACCACCCAGGAAGACAAGGGTAGAGGAGGAACCTACAACCCAGGATAGCTCACTGGCAATAATCCAGTCAACCGTGACCCGAATGAAGTCACCCCCTCTCAAGCCCTCCGCGGATGGCAGCGAGAAGGCGTGGTGCGCTAGGATCTTCTCCGCCAGCGTCATGGGCCGCGTGGAGGAGGCCCTGACGGATAGTGGAGAGGGCAGACCTCGGGTCCTTTCGACGGAGTTCAAGGATTCCAGCCAGGCCTCGAGAAGGTCCTGCAGCCCCTGTTGTTGTGTCTGATTGAGCGACCAGTCGACAACTGGGGTCTCAGGGAATCCTAATCCCCCGCGCTCGGTCTCCGTGTGGCACAGGTCGTAGACATATCGTAGGGTCGATGCGTCTGCAGAACGGCCGCTGGCGTCAAGCTCGGCGGCGAGATGGGTGAGGAGTTCAGAGGGACCAGAGATGACCATGATATCGGAGTCAAAATGGATGTTCGGTGGCTCGCAAGTCAGGTACCAGAGGGTTTGGCTGAGCTGTCGATCTTGAATGCTGCATTCCTCTAGTTGGATCCCACGCGTATCGGCCAGAAGCTTCATCACTGCGCGCATAAAAGCCCGCCCATCTTCGGTCAGACTTCTGTCTTCTAAGCTTAATCCAAGCCCCAAATTAGACATTGTGTATTTGTGCGAAAGTTTATAGAAATCGATAGAAATTTAGTAGCTTGCAGGGCGGGGCTTGGGCTATTCATATGTGCGGAGGAGGGGAGTGGCGTCAAGGAGTCAGCTGGTTCGCTAATAATTAAAACAGATTCTGTGGAAAGATTTCTACTTGCTCGGTTCTTTTTTAGAATCGGGTGTAGAGGCTGAGATGATTATGATTGTGTTTCTTCACCTAACTCTAATTTGGAGGCGCTGCGTTTGAGACAGAGAGATTGCGATCCCATTTACTTCTGGTCCCAGAAAAATGTGGCATGGATTCTTGCTTTTGATGGACATCATTGAGCTGCCGCAGATACATAAACTTATGCATGGCACAATTGACTACGCATGATCCTTCAAATACGCCACGACTGTGTCGCCGAACTCCGTCGTGGAGGCCGTACCACCGACATCTCTGGTCCGACAACCCTGTTCAATGACCTCCCTGACGGCCGTTTCGACCGCTTCAGCTGCGTCCGGCATCTCAAGTGAGTAGCGGAGCATCATAGCGACCGACAGGATCATCCCGGTGGGATTGATGATGCCTTTACCGGCGATGTCCGGGGCGGATCCTGAGCCGCATAACTGATATCAGCGAAACAGAGCTTGTCGCATACAAGAGGAGGACACTTACCGTGAACAGGCTCGTAGATGCCACGCACTCCATCGCCACCATCAGGATCAGGAATCGCACAGACACTCGCGCTAGGAAGCAGCCCCAAACTGCCGGGGATGGCGCTGGCTTCGTCGCTCACAATGTCACCAAACATATTACTCGTCAGGACGACGCCATTCAACGTCGTCGGCCGGCACGCCAGGGTCATGGCTGCCGTATCAATGAGCATATGCCGTAGAGTCAGGTCGGGGAACTCGGTGCGGATGGTCTGCTCCACGACACCGCGCCAGAGTCGGCCACAGGCAGCCAGCAGGTTGGCCTTGTCCAGGCTCGTGATGGGCAAGGGGGGATCTGTCGCCCGGGCCAGTCGGGCAGCCAGCCGTGTGACACGCTCGATGGCGTGCCGGTCATAGTGGTCGAGGTCCGAGGCAGCGTTAAACGTCCCATCGTGTTCCTGACGGTCTCCGTAGTAGATGCCGCCGCTGAGTTCCCGGACGATAAGGAGATCTGCGCCACGGCACACGCGCTCCTTCAGACTGGACGACTCAATTAAGACAGGCGCAATGAAGTTGATCGGGCGCAGGTTGCCAAACGCGTCCATTGCTTTGCGCAGTCTCCCCAATCCGGATTCGACGGGAATTGGACTGTCTTGCCATGCCTGTGAGGAGCGTCCTTTTGCATCAGCGTCGGTAGTCTTTTCCCGTGGATTTCTTTCGTGACGATGATGGGACTCTTCTCACATACCGGACCACCCACCGCGCCTAGAAGGACCGCTGATGCGTTCTGTGCATCTTGCAGGGCCCCCTCGGTTACAGGGGTGCCATACGCATCAAAGGCCGCCTATTTCATCTCGGCAACGTGAACAATTAGTGGTGACATTCTTCACCCATGAATCAGCCCGTCGGGTGGATCAGAACGCGAACATACTCCCCCGAGAAGATGATGTTTGAGGTTCAGTGTGACCCTAGTCTGGTATTGCCTCTGGATCTCGCGAAGAACCTGAGGTAGTTCATTGTCAGTCCTATCGCTTTGCGGATGTCCCACGAGATCCAGGGGCTAGAGTACCTTCAGGCCTTCAGCCATCACCTCGGGACCTCCGTAGTCGCCCGGGAACACCACGATATCATATGTTCTAACCATTGTGATGGTATCTATTGTAACGCTTGGTGGTATGTGACAAATATTGTCTGTACTATTGTTTCAGACACAAGAGCAGTACAGGGCGATGTATATGAAGTAGGCGTGTGACGGGGCTGAATGCTCTTTAGGGCTTCTGGAACATTATCTACCCTGGTCAACAATCGCGGCTGGGCTGGTTCCCAACCGACCAGGCACAGTTCAGCGAGATTACGACTTCTTTCTCGGCTCACCCAGACACAAAGAAATAGTATCATAACTGGTAAGGTCTGGTTCTGGTTGTGCTTACCGATGACTCAAGCACAATGGCTGGTGGTGTAGCCTACAGCGGGAAACGCAGCCCTGACTAAGCAAGATGTTTTCAAGTGAAGTACTCAACACAACACAGAAAGAGATAGAAAAGGGGTGGAATGAGATTATTGTTACCGTTCATATGGCACCTCGCTCACTTGGGACCCCTTTCAACCTTTTATCACACGTGGTGGGGGGAAGACAGCCACAATGACTGGCGCTTGGTAAGCCCTAGGCCGGTCATGCAGTGCCCGGCTCCCTGGCCATGTGCAAAGAAAAGAACCGCAATCCCCACCCATGCGGCAAAAGAATAGAACCAGTTCGGCAGAGACCCAGATATCCAGCCGGTCAAGGCTAAGACTAACGCATCCAACGCAGAACACACAAATGTCCACAATTTGTGCGGGCGGCCAAAGCCTGCAGAGCAAGTATGGCGGCCGGGCTCCTCCCCACGTCCACCTCCCTGACCGACAATGGCCATCCAAGAAGTTGATTAAATCCCCCATATGGCTGTCGACGGATCTTCGGGATGGCAATCAAGCTCTTCCCAACCCCATGGTGCGCACGAACCCAAGATTCCCCGTCTAAGGGAGAGCTTTCAGGAAGCGGACGAAAGCTAATCCGCCATGCCACGGCCATGCATGTAGACAATCCAGCAGAAATGGCAGATGTTTCGCCTGCTGGTGGCCATTGGGTTCAAGGAGATTGAGGTGTCCTTCCCCTGTGCCTCAGACACCGAGTTCAACTTCACGCGGGAGCTCCTGGAGACCCCCGGGGCGGTGCCGCCAGATGTCAGTCTGGAAGTGATGACTCCCTGTCGGAAGGAGACGCTCAAGCGCGCGGTCGACAGCCTCAAGGGGGCCAAGAAGGCGATCCTCTTCACCTACCTGGCAACCAGTGACAACTACTGCGAGACCATCCTGCAGCAGCCGGCGGAGACAGAGTGGTTGGCGCGGGTGGCGGAGTGTATCGAGTACGCGCGCTCGATCACGAAAGACGACGCGGAAGCGCAGGGCACGCAGTGGACGCTGGGATTCGGCTTCGAGGACTTCGCGAATGCACGCCCCGAGGCCGCCCTCCGCCTGGCGGCGACGATCCAGGCAGCGTGGAAACCCACCCGCGACCAGCCCGTCATCTTAGGGCTTGCTTCCAGCGTCGAGGCCACCACCGTCAACGTCTTCGCGGACCAGGTCGAGTACTTCGCACGCCACCTCCAGGGCCGCGACACGGTCTGCATCTCAATCCACACGCACAATGACCGCGGGGGCGCCGTCGCCGCCGCCGAGCTCGCGTGTTTGGCGGGCGGGGATCGCGTCGAAGGCTGTCTGTTTGGCAATGGTGAGCGCGCCGGCAACCTCGACCTCGTGACGGCCGCCATGAACTACTTCACACAGGGGATTGAAACAGGCCTGAACCTCTCGGACCTGCCGGCCATCCGGCGCGTGTACGAGGAGGTCACTCAGCTGCCCGTCCACCCGCGTACCCCGTACTCCGGCGACTACTACTTCCGTGCCTTCTCCGGGGCCCATCAGGATGCCATCCGCAAGGGATTGAACAGGCGCGCCGCCAACCCATCGCGGAGTGCGTGGCGGGTGCCGTACCTGCCCCTCGACCCGGCCGATCTGGGTATCTCCTTCGACAGCGTGATCGGCGTCAACAGCCAGAGCGGCAAAGGGGGCGTGGCCTGGCTCATCCAGCAGGGTCTCGGCTTGACCCTGCCCGGCCAGCTGGCGGTCCTCTTCAGCAGGATCGTCAAGGTGCAATCCGTCGCGTGGGAGCGAGGTCTGGCCGCCGAGGAGGTCTGCGCGCTTTTTCTGGAATCCTACGACCACAACGCCTCCTACCGTGCCCGCATCCTCGGACGACAGCAACAGGGGTTCGGCGCACTATTCCAGCAGCCTGCCAGGCCGCACGAGCTGGAGGATGTCACGGACGAGGCGAATCGCATAGCAACGCTCGTGTCGCAGACTCTGCAGCTCCCCTTCCGATGCCAGATGGCCGCTTTCCACTCCCTACCCGAAGCGCAGCAGCAGGGCTTGGTGGTCACCTTTGCTCAATGCGTCGTTGGAGATGGCCCCGAAGTTCTCTGGGGCATTGCAGTGGGTGCAGGTAAGGATGAGGCCACGTATGCGACACTGCTATCCATTATCCAGGTAAGAAGGTCCCGTCTGTATTAGTATGACTTCCGTAGGTCCGATTATACTAATGCTCTGAATACATAGAAACAATCTGTGCCCGTCACTGATCAGCCTTGGGCGAAACGAGATGTGAAGGACACGCTGGAACCCAATGAGATAATCTCTAACAAGGAATTCGCTCCTAGTCGGTTCCAAGAAGCCATCATTGGTTGAAAGAGGAGGGGGGCGATCCTGTTTTCTAGAGACAAACCACATGTTTTCAGTGTCCATGTTTCCAGTTCCATTTGCAGAGTATTTTCAAATCTTCTATGGCCCCTAAGAACGTGCCGGGAGATCTCCTGCCATCGAGCCACTGCCGAAAGAAAAATGTAGAACCCTATATACGAGCTGAAATGGACAGGAAGATGAACAATATTATTACAAGAAGGAAGTAGAGAAATTCACTGTTGCAACGCTACAATCATACTGTACTCAGCCTAGCTATTCTGCTCCGGGCTCCAACAAGACCTCAGCCATACGTGCGAACCAGCTTCTGCTGCATATATTCCAACGCAGTCAAATGATCATTGTACTCCGACTTGCAGCCGGGACGCACGAACGCGGGCAGCGTATCAACCAGGACCTCACGATCCGGCTTCCCAAAGTAAGCCACCGAGTAGCGAGGGGCCAGCATCGCGCCGGAGTGTACATCGGTCCCCTCCGGCAAACAGACGCGGTGGTTTGCCGAGCGCAGCTGCTTGTTGGTCCAGCGCTGCAGACAGTCGCCGACGTTGATGATCACCTCGTACACGTCCTCCGACTCGACGGGGATGAAGCTGCCTAACTGGCGCTGGTCCTCGACCTGCAGCCCGCCCACCGAGTCCTGCAGGAGCAGGGTCAGTGTCCCAAAGTCGGAGTGCTCGCCGATGCGCTTGCCGGACCCCATCGACCGTGCCGGGATGGCCGGGTAGTGCAGCAGGCGCAGCTCGCTGGTGTTGCTCTGGTGTTTGGCGAGGAGATGGTCCGCAGGCAGCCGGAGCCCGGCAGTGATGGCGCGCAGGAGATGGCCGTGCAGTTCGTGGAAGTTGTCGTAGATTCCCTCCATGAAGGGGCGGAAGCCCGGGAGGTCGGTCTCGTCAACCCAGCGGTTGGGGAAGAGCTCGTCAGTGGCAGCGCCTTGGTCGAAGGATTCCTGTGATATCGGCCGTTATGAATCTGACTTCTAGTATGGATTTTGGCCAATGGTTGATAGTCGTACATACCCGATATTCCTGGTAACTATCCGTCTGCTGCTGCCCTTGCTCGAACTTAGATATCTGCCACACGCTTTCTTGGCCGATGGCACTCCAGCCTCGATGGGGATTCGGAGCAACCGGGTGCGCTGCCTTTACTTTGATGTCGTCTGGGAGAGCGAAGAAGAGTTTGTTCTGTGTGTCGTTGCTTCAATCAGCCCGCACATCTCGCGTAGATTAGCTTGCCTCGAGGTCATATCGCGTGACTTACGAATTCGAACAGCTGGTCAATCTTCTCCTTAGAAAGAGACGAGTGGCGAATTTTGGCAAATCCGTAGACACAGAGCGTTTCACACAGTTCATCACAGAATTGTTGCCGCTCTTGCGCATCGTTGCTGCGATAGCGGCGGAAATCCAATGATTTGATGACCATGGCTTTGGGCTGATCTATGGGACCGTGCTCAGGGTCTTCGCCCCAATGTGATCAGGACAGGTCTCTGTGAATATTGCAGATCTACAGACCTTGTAGCGGATGAGTCGCAGATCGCTATATATGCCTTTGCGGGGTCCCCAGCCTTTCGTCGCCCCCTGGCTTCGTCTGATGGAGGTCAGTCAAATGCTTAGGTCCAGTGGCCGCATCCCGGAAGTGCCTGAACCGTAACTTTTCCCATACAGCCACGGTTCATGGAGCCGGTAAGACTGAGTGAGTGCACTGCACTTTCCAAGTGCCGCCCCCACACAGGATCCTGGATGGATTGCACTCCGACGCCGGCGCAGCTAGTAGCGCTGTTTCAGCATTGAAGGAGTCTTAGGGATAGGTCAGTCTGTAATAAATAGCCCTTTTCGTGCTCATACATAATTAGAGTGCAAAGGCTCGGAATGTGGACCCTAAGGTTGCGTACAGACGTTGATATACTATAGAATCAGGCCCACCAGCGTGTGCAGGCATAATGAATGGTGTGGTAATCTCACCCTCACAACATCATCCGAGAAAGAGAATATGTTGCTAGGGTTATGGCCTCGGTCGAAATAGTTTGAGACCATGAAGAGTCAGAGTATCTCACGCAACAACTCAAGTGTCAACACCGTAGTCATCTCTTGCAGAAATTCCGAGAGCTATCCAGGTAGAGGATGAGCCTCTCTCTACCTACGGTCCCCGGGTTACGGAAGGAGCAGCGATCGAGTCGAAATGTCATTTCCTAGATGTCGAGAAGCACCGTATATATAACTCCAGATCAACCGGATCTAGTCAAACCAAGCATGATCGAATGCCAACAAACGGCACATCTAACTTGATTCAAATCGCGACCTGAATTGTGGAAACTTATCATGGATTCTCGTCATGATCATCGAAAGGAAAATGCTGAACGACCGCTGTCCTCTCCATCTCGGTGCTTGAATGTTCCATCAAACCATTCTTGATGCTCTGGATTACCGCCTTGCTGCGTTCAAACTCATGCTCGTCCGGAACCCAGCCCAGGGCATCGGTCCCGATGAGGTCCCTCATCTCGCCCAGCTCCTGCAGTAACTCCTGTTCCTTGCGATGGTCCTCCGCGCATTCCTGTATCTCTTCCTCCGAAAAGTGCACCGGACACTTCACCGAACCCGTCGGTGCCCCTTCATCCAGCGACATCGGCCATATCCCGAGGACCTGCACCATCGCATACTTCAATGAGACGGAGTCTCCCTCCCAGGGAGCCTGTGCATGATGAAAAAGCTTCGCGCGGAGCATACAGCGGTCAGTTCGGATGGCGTCAAAGTGATCCGGCAAGGATTTCATGGTCAACGCCGCATAATAAAAGTGCACAATCCGTCTCCGCATCGTTTCCCGAACCGCCGCCTGTTCTTCCTGGCTGAGTTGGTCAAAACCATCAGGCAGTTTGACCTCTGGCTTCGATAACGTCTCCGACACGGGGTCGCCCAATTTTGGAAATGGTAGGGGATGCCAGCGCACAGGCAGAGGGGCAGAATGACTGCATGCTGCCAGTCGATGATTCCGACCACCTCGTGGGAAGGATTCACCAGGATGTTGTTGGGCAAGAAGTCCGGATGCCGGAGAATCGGGCGAGACATGCGGTGGTCGGAGGGAACATCGAGACCAGGCGCTAGCTTCAAGTAATCGGCAAGGAGATGCTGGTACGGAATGGCTGAGAGGGATTGGTACTGGTGTAGTTCACGCAGGTATCTTTCGACGTGTAGTCGTGGTTTGCCGAATTCCTCACAAAACTCCATCTCGCGCTTAGCAGGTGCTTCAAAGCATGAGGAGAACGTAGTTCCTGGCCCAGAGTCAGTGTTTCCCGGCACCAAGAAAGACAGAAATACCCGGCCGGAGACTGACAGGGACCGCGGTCGACGTCTAGAGAAGCCCGTTCCTGATACCACCATTCATGTTGTGCGGTTGGACCCACGACAATGTCGTCCGAGACGGGGATGACGCATTGGGAGCCTGCAAGATCATGGCGGTGATAGAGACTTCCGCTTGCTGGGAAACGGATGCTCATGAACCGTCTCTCTACATCCACAATCTGTCGCATAGTTTTGACCCGAGTTTTGGTGTCCATGGAGAACCACTGGTTGCTCAGGGGTGTTCCTTCAAGTCTTTCCAAAAGAATGTACTCGGCTCCAACGGCGTTTGTCTGATCTGGGGAGTAGGCAAGGACTTTGGGGACCGGGACGCCATGAGCACGCAAAAGGGCGAGGGTGGCCGCTTCACTGGCCACTGCATAGTGTTTTGGAAAGGTCGTCTTATACGGCAACCTTGCCAGGACTGCATATCCATCATCGAAGGTGATTTGTAAGACGCGGTTGAAGCCCCCCTCGGCGAGTTTCGTGATCGAGGCCACGGCCTTCTGGTGGCGGCCGACAGAGTGGCAGGCAGCCCTTGCAAGGGCATGCAAGTCGAATTGAACACGGCGTTCGGCGCGGCGAATCTCTTCGTTGAATCTGGTCAACCGCGAGCAAGTCAGTGTTTTGTTGGTGGAGATGTCATTGGGCACGCTAGCAGCTGATCCGGCCATGACTCACAAAAAGCGTCCCGACGTGTACTCAAATAGATCAAAGTCACCTCTCAACGAAGAGGACATCCTCTTGGGTGGTGACTTGAAGCATTGACTGAACCACCTCGAAAAGGGTCGCATTTTCGACCAGATGGCTGTCAGCCCAAGCTGCTCGTGTTATTGATGGGCGACATGGTACGAATTGTCCGGAGGTTAACTGGACTCTCAGCTTCGAGGGGATCAGTCTAGTGGACCCGACTGTGCGAGTATGTATGTAAGTATAGATAGATGGATGGATGATGTTGACTGATGATGAAGGGGGGATGCAGGAAGTCAGGCGGTCTGTATGGCGGAGCCATACGAGCGGCAGAACGTCGCGCCTAATTTACCTAATTTACATGTGAGACACGTGACTTGCAACATTGTATAGGAGGAGAGGGCCCTAGGCTTGCAGTCGCCATGGTCTCTGGTCGATAGGAGATACGGAGATGCCAGACATAACAAGAGAGAGACCAATGTGCAGTACTGCACGCCGTATCAGTGTAGCTATTAGCCCCGGGCCGGTGGTACCCTAGGCGAAGCGGTTCCCCAAAAGACATGCCGATAACCTCCCCTGCACTAGATACAGGAAGACAGCTAGGGTCGCCGTCCGGCGTCAGCCTCCTGGTATCGCTTGCTTCTCACCAGTCAAACGAGCCTACGGGGGCATGGCAGAGCGGTGAATGGGCACCACACTCACCCCCGGAGAGGATCTATCCTCAATCCACAAGATCGGCGTAGCGGATTGTTGACCACGCCGCAATCCATCATAAGATAGTTATTGTATCATTGCTGAATCAATACAATTCCCAATTTGCGAAACAAACGATCCAACCTAGCAACCCAGACTCCACAGCGTTTCCTTCTTCTACAACCGACTAGGAACCAGGTACGGAACCCCTTTCGCCTCGTAGAGATTGCGATGGTCGGCTTTGATGAGATCGGCGCCCTGCAAGTACATTGAGCATTAGTATCGACTTTTGCCACGTCGAGGGGCGTGCTCACCTTCTCGCCAATCATGTACACCGAGTTCTGAATCCGACAGTCCGGAATCACGGGGATGACGGACGCATCCGCCACGCGCAGGTTGCGGATCCCGTGGACCCGGAGTCTGGAGTCCACCACGCCCTGGTGGATGCTCTTAGACAGGCGGGCGGTGCCGCAGGGGTCTGTCCCGTAGAGAACCGGTTAGTGACATCATGTTCAAACCCTACTGCGCACAGTAGCTTGAACAAAAGGGGGGGACGACTTACGGAACCCAGTCTGACTCCTCTCCAGAACAGCCTTGTTCATCGCCTCATCCGAATGCAACGGCATCTCCCAGGGGTACTCACCCACCACGAGATCCTTGAACCGCTCACCCTGCTTCAGAACATCGTACGTCCAGCGCACTCCCTCCCGCATCGCGAGAACATCCAGATCGTCGGCGAAGAAGTTGAGATTGATGTTGGGCTGCACGAGGGGGTCCGCGGAGTTGAGCGTGACCTCACCGCCCTCGGACACGGGCCGCAGCAGATCCACGATGACGGTCATGTAGCTCCCCTCCTTGGGGACGGGGTAGTGCCACTGGAAGGCGGAGCTGAACATGCCGACGAAGTCGAGCTCGAAATGCGGCTGTCCCGCCGGGCCGAAGGGGTCGCGGCCACCATTGGCGGCTTTCGCGGCACGGTAGGCGGGGTACTGGTTCAGCCGGGCGTCGATGCGCGGGAAGCCGACCATCTCCAGCAGACCCGAGCTGACGGGCCCGGTGCGGTCGCGGTGGTAGGCCGACACGGCGGCGTCGTGGGCCGGGCCGGGCCGGAGCAGGTGGTCGTCCAGCGTGAGGCCGTCCTTCAGCTTGAGGACGAAGGGAACGATCGGGTGGTCCAGCAGGTGTTGGCCGACGTGCGCGGAGTCGAGGATCACATCGATGTTGTGTTTGGCAAGTTCCGACTGGGGGCCAACACCGCTGAGCATCAGCAGTTTCGGGGTTTCGAACACTCCCTGCGACAGGATGACTTCACGGGTCGCGTGGAGGCGGAGGGTGGAGTTGGTAGATGGGAGGACGACCTCGACGCCGGAGCAGACGCGGGTGGACGGGTCGATGAGCAACCGCTTGGAGTGTGCGCCGGACAAGATCGTCACATTAGGCCGATTGAGCAGATACACAAAGCTACCCTGGCGCTGACCCTTGTAGATCGAGTCGACACAATGAGTGAGTCCGTGCATCTCGCCGGAGTAGATGTCCTCAGTCAGTGGTTCGCCCTTGGACACCCAGGCCTGGCTGAGGGCGTCGCGGAAGGGCTGCAGCTCAGGCACCAATTCGGCGTGGGAGATTTGCAGGGGCCCACCAGAACCGATCTGGTGCAGCTCAGTCGGGTACAGTTTCTCGTCGTCGTGGTAGGTGGCGCATTTGCGCAGGTACTCGACGCAGTTCGCCCAGGTCCAGTCGCGGCCGCCGAAGGGCTCCCAGTCGTTGAAGGTGGCCGCCGACCCGGGGATCCAGGTGAAATAGTTGGCGCATGAGCTGCCACCCAGCGCCTTGCCGCGCGTGTTGGGCTTCTCCACACGCTCATAGTCCTCACGCTTGATCATGGTGGTTTTGTACGCCCAGTCGTACTGGCTGCCCCGCAGCCCGAAGGCTTTGGACGGCGTCGTGATGTCTTCGATCTCGTGCGAGTTGGCGACACCCGCCTCGACCACGAGGACCTTGACGTCGGGGTTCTCAGCCAGCCGACCTGCAATGCAGTTCCCGGCCGTCCCACCACCCACGACGATAAAGTCGAACTGGGAGTTGTTGGGAACTGACATGGTGAGGGTCTGAGATATGGATGAATAAGACGGAAAATGAGAAGTGATGCTTGTGATGCTACTGCTGCTGCTGCTGCTGCTGCTTCTGATGATGATGATAGTGATGATACGAACTGAGCGGTGCCATCACGGTCTTATATCCCATTTTCTTCATGGCGTACACGATGAGCCGGCTGCCTTGGACAAAGAGTGTCTCGTACAGAGCTGCAGTGAAGCCCGAGTTTGGCCCGCGGATTGTGCCGACATATCCGCGATGATCCGGGTTGAAACAAGACAGACAGGAGATTGACGTATGAGGGGTAGGCGAGGGATTTATGAGGCTTTCGAGTATGCGGGTACAGAGTTGGAGACGAGGAAGCATGGTGTTGATTATCTTGTTCTGCTCGTGTCCGGAAGAATAAGCCCGAGCTCGGCGAGACCGGCCAGAGATCGGAGTCTTGCGGCATGCGATCATGTGACCTCACGTGTAGCTTGCGTAGCTCCGAACTTTGGCCGATCGGCCAATCAAGAGGCGTTGATTGTGCTGACGGGGCGCCCCCTCATGAGGGGCAGGCACCGTGAGGGGGAAGCCCTAGAGAGCAAAGATGTTACTAAGTGTTAGTAACTCAAGGCCCATTTCCCCTCACAGACCCTCACAGACTCTCTGCATTTCCTGGCCAAAACGTCAACATCCCCAACTCGCCATCCACTTTTGGCACTAGGTGAAACCGTGCCTCCGAGAAAATTCTATCCCGAGATAAAGGCTTCACCGCTGCTGGAGCGCCACGTTTGCAATCCCTATCTTCCTATCTGGCCGTTAGTCGAGAGATAAGCCTACCTGGCCGTAGCCGTATATAACTCCCACATCTCGCGATCGCCCCCCCCGCGATCCATAATTCCCCCTTTTCTCAAACTCAATCAATCCTCACCCACACCTACTCCACGCCATGTCCAAGCCGACTTTCACCCTCGCTGAGGGTATGTCTAGACCCTTTCCGATGTTCCAATGGCCATTGGTGATCGATTCTCTGACCCATCCATCCAGGCCAACCTGTCACTGACCCTGCGGTCAGCACCACCCTGCCCACCTTCGGTGGCGGTGGCCTGACCACCCTGGGAGACACCCTGTTGATCGAGACCCTGACACATTTCAACCGGGAGAGAATTCCGGAGCGGTACGGATCCTTGCCCCTGCACTGCCGATCCCCGATCTGCACGCAGCTGATGTGCATGGGACGAGAACTAATCAGCTCGTAGAGTCGTCCACGCCAAGGGCTCCGGCGCCTGGGGTGAATTCCGCGTCACCAAGGACGTCTCCCACCTCACCAAGGCCAAGTTCCTGACTGGCGTGGGCAAGAAGACCAAGGTGCTGTTCCGCCACAGCACCACTGGCGGTGGTCTGGGCAGTGCCGACACCGCGCTTGACATCCACGGATTCGCCGTCAAGTTCTTCACCGAGGAGGGCAACCATGACATTGTTGGCAACCACGCTGTAAGCCCGTCTGCGCCTGCATCGCACCGAGTTCCGCTGAGCTGACCCCACCATCAACAGCCCGTTTTCTGGGTGCGCGATCCCATCCGCTTCCCCGCGGTGAACCGCAGCCACAAGAAGCATCCCGCCACCAACCGCGGTGACCCCAACATGGTAAGCAGCCAGTACATCCGAGACCACATTTCGGCCAAGCAGCGCACTGACCCACGCCATACCTCTAGTTCTGGGACTTCCATGTCAACCAGCCCGAGAGTGTGCACGCTTTGATGCACCTGTTCGGCTCGCGCGGCCACCCCGAGTCGGCGCGCAAGATGACCGGGTTCGGCATCCACACCTTCAAGTTGGTGTCCGAGGACGGCAGCTTCCGCTACTGCAAGTTCCACTTCAAGCCCGTGCAGGGCATCAGCAACATCAGTTCCGACATGGCCACGCGGTTGGCGGGCACCAACCCGGACTCGTACAACCAGGATCTGTGGGAGGCGATCGCGCGCGGCGAGTACCCAGTGTGGAAGCTGTACGTGCAGGTGATGGAGCCCGAGCGCGCCGAGACGTTCGGTCGGGCGCTGTTCGACATCACCAAGGTGTGGCCGCACAAGGACTTCCCCTTGATTGAGGTTGGCGAGATGACTCTCAACCGGAATGTGCGTTGCCCCTTTTGCTTGGTGCATTATCCCCGAATGATAGCTGACCACTCGTGCACAGCCCGAGAACTTCTTCGCCGAGATCGAACAGGCGGCCTTCTCTCCCTCCAACCTGGTCCCCGGCGTGGCTGCCACTCCTGACCCGAGTATGTGCCCTCCCCCCACAGGATTATCAACACAACCCCTAACACAAGGTCTGTGTAGTGCTCCAAGCCCGCATGTTCGCCTACCCCGACGCCCAGCGCTACCGCCTGGGTGTCAACTACCCGCAGCTCCCGCCCAACAAGCCCGTGTGCCCCGTGTATGCCCCCTACCTGCGTGACGGCGCCCACACCACGACGCACAACTACGGCGGCGACCCCAACTACGTGCGCAGCACGCTGACCCCCGGCGTGAGCAGCCCGTCGGCGCAGGAGGTGCGCCACCACGAGTTCCTGCGGATGGGCGGGGTGCTCGGGCTGAACGAGATCCCCGTGGACGATGAGGACTTTGTGCAGCCGCGCGCGCTGTGGCACAATGTGTTCGACGAGCAGGAGCGCCGGCTGTTCGTGACGAACCTCTGCAACTCGCTGGAGGGCGTGGTGCCGGAGCTGCAGCAGGCGACGGTGGCCATGTTCAGCCGGGTGGATCCCCGGATCGGACAGATGATGGAGGCGAATCTCAAGGGGGGTGCGCGGTTGTAGTGCGTCGGTATTGGGGGTGGAGAGAGGAGTTTGTTTTCAAGCGATGCATCCTTGTCTGTGGATTTTCGGGGTTGCGTCTGGATTAGATGTGCCTTAGAGTTAGATGCGGTCTTAAAGATAGACTAGACATAGACGGTCATAGACAGTCATAGACGAATACAGTCATAGACGTACAGGATACTTATGAGTCTGGGGTGTGTCAGTAGTGGAGGTGGGGAGAAAAGGTCGCGTCGAGGAGAACCGATAAGCCCACCGGGACGGACGTTATCGGGGTGGATCACGTGTCACACGCCTCAGGCACCACGGGGCTGGATCACGGCTGGATCACGGCTGGCAGCCTCAGGCAGCAGCGCAGTGTCGATCCGCAATCCCACCGCGAAACCGATTATGACCAGAAGACTCACACACACGAATACAGCAGTGAATCGGGAGACATTAGACAGTTGCCAAAAGTCCATTTCACAATCAGAATATCTCTAATGACTTCGAATCTCGTCCCTCGGCCCATCCACGATCCATCCACAGATCCCCTCATCCATTCATCACACTATGAGATCATTCCCGTGACGTCATCCCGACTCCGCCCGTGTCATCGCAGCGCATCGCATCGCATCCCATCCCATCCCATCCCATAAAACCCAGAGCCAGCCTCCATCTCTCACTCTCAACTACCTAGTACCCTCAAAACCACTCAATCGCATATCCACGACATAGAACAACAAAATGCTCGACTCCATCCCCCTCACCCGCAGCCGCCGCAGCGATGAGCTGACCCGCCTGGCGGACCAGCACCTACAACACGACCTGACGGCCTCCGACCGCGACGCGCTGCAGTCCGCCGCCCGCACCGTCTCCCTCTGGACAACCGTTGGGTCGGCTGTGGGCGTGGGACTGGGATTGTACACAGCCTTCCGGCTCCGGAGCTCGCGTCGCGCCTTCTTCGAGGTCTTTCGCGCGCAGCAGAAGCCAACGCAGGTGGTGTTTGCGGACGGGCGGACTGGTACCTCCCCATTCCTTGCTACAACATGATTCAAGCTCGAGGCTGACACTGTTGATGCGATTCTAGAATCCATCCCCGATATCACTCCGCTGCTGAAACCCACCACGTTCGGCGACTTTGCCACGTATTTCTTTGCCTCGGCCGGCGGTTTGTTTCTGGGCGGGGAGTTGGGTATGTTGTCCCCCAGACTTGCTTATCCGATACAGGCTATTAGGAATAGGTTAGTGACAATATGATAGGCTTGCTAGGTGGTGCCGCCGTCGGCAGTCGGGGGATCACCAACGAGCCCGAGCGACGGAAGCGCATCGAGAATGCCTTCCGGCGGTTCCGGGCGGATGTGCTGCGCCGCGAGGCGGATGCGTTGGACGGCGATCGGAATATTATTGAGAAGATGTTTTAATTGTGTGAAGTGTGTTGGAAGGGGGTTTGGGTTCTTTTCCCGGGCATTCGGAGGAGGTGTTTGTTTTCTCTTTCCTGGGCATTGAATTGGGGCGGTGATAGTATGTGTGCGCATGCACCTCGATACCCGGTGTGTATTTAGCGAATATGATGAAATGTGATGAACAATGTGTGTCTCATGCAGTGTAGCTGTAGTTCAGATGTTACGCATCGCAGACGCATGAGATATCGTCCACGCAGAGAGATACATGTACAGGGTCCCAACCCCAGAGACAACTGTACCGCACCCCCTCCGCCCTGATATATACATTGCAACCCTAACGCCAACAACGACCCAAACGCCAGCCCATTCCATAAGAAACATCAGCACCTCCCAATCCACCGCCACACAGCCCGACACCCCGTCTTCCACGTCCCCGAGAAATAATGCTTGACCAACACCTCCGACGAGCGATGGTCCTCGCCCTGCGTGATCGCGAACCCACGCTTGGGCAACACCACCACATCCTTGATGCGGACCGTCTCCTTCAAATCTCTAAGGGTCTGCAACATGCCCTCATCGGCCTCGAGATACTCGAGCACCGCATCCGTCCAAACACTCGGGCCCGTCCACTGCATCACATCCGGCGGTTCCACCCCATTACCACCATCCGCCTCTCCCAGCCGCTGGAGATACTCTTCCGTCCGATCCACGATCTTCCCCAAGACAGCCTCAAAAATCGGATGCCCCGGCGCCGCGACCATCGTCCACTGCACGAACTGCGGCGACCGCGGCAGACCCCGCGTGGAGGCGTCGCCTTCCAGCCCAATGATGGCGGCGGGGTAACTATCCTTAGCACTCCCCGGGGCATCGCCAGGATAATCCCCGGGGATATAAGGCGGAGCATCAAACATCACCCCCCACGGCAAGGGCTGCATCAGCCGCACGTCCAGATCATTATACACCCCGCCCCGCGCGTACAAGATCAGATAGCGACAGAAGTCCGATTTCAGGACGGCGGAGGGGAATGTGGCCAGCGCTGCGGCGTAGCGGCCGGAAGGGTCGGTGGCATGCGCGAGCTGTGCGCAGGCCGCGTCGGTCCAGTACTCGATCTTCCAGCCGGACTGCTGCCAGGAGATGGTATGCTGGGAGGGACGGAAGGCGGAGACGGGGTGGTTGGGCATGGAGAGGAGGAGGTGGTGGATTGTTGGGGGGATGAGGAGGTCGGTTGCTGCTGCGGTGGTGGAGGATGTATCTGGGTTTGTGTTTGGATCGGGGTGTGGCTGTTTTTGTGGGTGTTGATGTGCTGCGTTTAGAGGTGGTGATGATGGTTGGGTTGGTGTTGTATATCGAAGCAGCGAGAGGATGAGACACAGCGCCAGGATGGCCTGAACCAGCTGCAGTGGTCGGAGGGGCATCGCTAATGATTTTGTCGCCCTCGATTCCGATCAAGTGATCTGGGTACTCAGTTGCAGTCGCCTCCCCTTTTCGATGGCCGACAATAAGAGTGATCCATCCCGCGGTGTTGGTTTCGGTCTCCACCCAGCAACGTTGACCCTAAACACTGCGCAAGACAGCACAACACAGCATGCACGCACGCACCTTCCTCCGTACGTTCAGCAGCGCAACATCCCACTTAAGTATCCCGTACGTACTCCAGAAACAGGACTGGTTCATTTTTTAGCTGCCAAGTGCCAACACCCTCCGCCCCACTCCCAAAAAGACTAACGGCTAGGCGATGACGCCGATAGGACTGGGCAGCTGGGCGCTTTTCTTGGAGGACTCTCGGCGTTCCCTATGTTTGATCGATCTTCTGTCGATGGACAGAGGGTGAGGAGGGAGGTTACATCGTGTGCTTACTCCCTTGTTTCCCTGAAACTAAACACAGTGGTTCTCTGAGTAGGACAAAGAGCACTGCGCTAGAACTCTTTCCCAAAGAATCAACCCCGGGCATCGGGAAGAGGCGTTCGTGAACCATCTCCAAAACTGACCAGCCTAAGCCACACTCGTCCTTAGTCGGTTGAGGGAAAAAGCCTGCAAGAACCCCGACTGGTAGCCATGAGCCCGCTTGGCGCTGGCGATGCATCCGATTATTCGTCAACACATGGTAAAAGTGGGTCGGTGGTGATCAGGCAGAAGAATTTGGGAGGAATTTGCCCTAGAGAGATTAAGGTACCCGAGGCCGGGAGGGGCCGTGCGTTAAGTTAGGTGGTGATCCACGTGTATGCCGGGGACTGGACTGGAGGTTTGGTTGGAGGGGTTGGATGGGAGGGGTAGGATGTCATTGTAGTCGTACATCGAGTACTAAGTAGTAGTCAATGGTCAATCCATGTGGAATGTGGGCTAGAAACCACGCAGTGTGTGTTACGCGACTCAAATGGATCTGAAGCGGTGCACAGCCAATGCTCGAAGTTGGAAGGTAGTCGCGTGATCATCGGGAGCATGCCTTGTAGACCCAGTCAATAAATATGATGATGAGACCGGCACAACAGCATAAGGGTCTAGAACCTCGATTCGCATATGTTAGTCCTCCGAAGGCGGACAATCCATTCGATTCTCCGACAACAATAGCACATTCACAAGGTCACTAAGTGAAGGTCAAGATAAGCTATCTGCTCCTAGCCCGATCTGGTCACACACCAGATTAAGGTCGTCGCACAAGAACCACTGCATCGAAGTTAGTGTTCTTAGTGTGCTGTACGACTTATACTCCTACTCGTTCCCTAATCTGGACAGCCCACTGCCTCCGCAGTCCACTAACGCAGCCCCGACATCTACCCCTGAGGCTAACAGACCACACATGAACCCTATCTACACTACACAACCTTCGACAGACGAACCTACCCCGAACACTACCAAGCAAACATACGCAAAACACCCGCAAGTCATTAACTGGCGCAGTACATAACTCTGCATAAACAATAGATCACAAAAATGCCTGCTAGAAACCAGTCGTAGTACCAACCCTAATACCGCAAAAAGCCCAGACAGCCCAGCTTAATCTGGGACCAGCTATGTATGTATATGTATAAAGATGCAATGCACGTATGTATAGATAAAAGGAAAGCTCGGTCGCTGGCGGCGGGTGCTCCTACTCGCGAGCCACGTCTCGGGTCAAGTGATTACGATTGAGCGTTGTTGGCACAAGTCCAGCTGGCCGAGGAGGTGCTGTCGTGGATGGATTTGCCAGACACATAAAGTCCGAGACCGCACTGCGAGATTATTAGTATGATGCTCTCAAACAATTATTGAAACGAGGTCTCACAATCGCGCACGCAATACCGAGGATGATTAGGTTGACGATTGTCAGGAAGATCTTCTGGGGAGTGGCGGTGTATTGGCCCTTGTTCATGATCATCCACATGAGAGCGGGGATACCATCTAGAGCACTGTTAGCATCGCATAACAAAGTGGAAGTCAGTGCGAGACATACAACTGAACCAACTGCCGAAGAGAGAGCACTACAGAATCACCGTAATTAGTAAGCGAGCCGGGCACAAGGGAACCACCACACGTACAATCAAACTCAACAGGTCGTTGAACACGGGGATGGACTCGGCAATGACCCAGGCGATCACCCACACAGCCAAGGCGATACCGATCCACGATCCGACCACGACGGGGCTGTTCGTGTGCATCTGGGGAGATCCACGCCACACACGCACGAAGATGTACTTGCAGGCGACGTGGCCGAAGATGACACCGGCGATGATGACCTAACGTTTGAATCAGCACGGCGGACCTAACAACCAGTCCCATAAACTGGACATACCGTAGGGATGGCAAGACCGTAAGCGACCTTGCTCATGAGCGGGCCGGCGGAAGAAAGGGCCGGAGACTTGACGTCCGGTCCGGCGTAGCGGTAGATGACCATCGCGGTGATGATGTACATGGTCGTGTCGAGCACCTGTAGCATGGCCAGGGACTTGGGGAAGTCGCGGACATCCTCCATCTCGGACATGATGCCGAAGAAAGCCACGTGGGCAACTATGGAGTGGTCAGTATCCATCCCCAGCGAAATTCCACAGAGGCCGGGACGGAGCTTACTGAAAGCGAAGATGATGTTGGTGACGGCCAAGAAAGCGTTGACGAAGCTCGGGTGGGTGGTCACATCGTTCTGGACGTGCGCCGGGGCTTCAACTCCAAGCGCAATCATCGTGACGACGGTGGCGACGATGATACTCAGGCAGGCTGTCATAACCGGTCAATTACATGCACCCGCGGAACTGGAATGCGGGGACTCCTTACAAACGATGGACATGTAGTACACCTTGCCCATGGTGCGAGGAAGCGCGAAGATACAACTGATGATGAGACCGACCACGCCGAAGACGATGGTGCAGGTGCCGTGGCCGGTGATGGTGTTGAACAGCACCGTGAAAGTGAGCACGTGACTGGACATCAGGAAGATGCAGAACAGCAGCTGGCCGATGAACATGATCTCGCGTCCGATGCGGCCCATGAGCAGCTCTCCGGCGTCACCCATGCTGTGGACTTGGGGATAGCGCAGCTTGAACTGTCCCATGACATAACCGGTGTACCAGGAGATACCCGACATTCCCAAGATGATGAGAATGGAGCTGAGAAGGAGTTTAGTCTGACGGTGCTGCAAAACATGTCGCTTTCTGATTAGGGTTAGGCACTTACGGGACGATACCCAAGGTGGCGACGGCAGAGGGCAGCGACAGAATACCCAGGGAGATGTTTTCGGCGATCATGACTAAGGAGGGGTATTGTTTAGATGATATGACGGACGCTGGCGGACGGCCACTGTGCCCTAAGACTAGTAGACTCACGCATGCCGCAATTCCACCACTTCATCGTACGGAACTTGACTTCGGCCATCTCTTCGTTGCCGAACGGGTCATCGGCTGGGGGAGACTCATTGGGGGCGACCTTCTCGATCTTCTCGTCTTCATCGTGATACTGCTGGTGGGCATCGAAAGCCTCAACATCTCTACCGTGGCTGGCCATAGTGACGGGGAGAGAGAAAAAGAAAAGTGCAAGAGTGGCGATAGGAGGAGAGGAGTGTGTCGTGAGTGAAGTCGTAAGGCGTAGTCAAGACGTATGAAAGCAGCAAGAAAAATGATAGGGCGCAGCACCAACCAAGTCAACGGGCCAACTTTCAAGAAGAAGCAGAGGAGAGAGAAGGAAGAGAAGAGGACTCAAAAAGGTGGAGGGAGGATATAAGAAAAAGAGCCCGGGCTGGCCGCAGTCGCTTCGTTGCATCCACGGCGGATCGGTAGATTTAGGCTTTTTCACACTTGGGGGAATCTGTGTGGGGGGTCCAACACTCTACCACCCAAACAGGTAACAATCATCACTGTTACAGGTGGAGTCGTCCGGCCGAACCCAGAATCCGTCCGCTGATAATGTCTGCTCGACAAGTCAATGTGTACGCAGTATCGTTTGCTTTACGTTTTATCAATGGTTTCATGCGACTTACCCCCGGCCCCAGTGGTCCGGTACCTGATCTCGAATCCTGACTGACAGCTCCTGCTCCCACCAGGGGGATCCATGACCTCAACCTGCATTGATCACCCTGATCAGCTGGGATGGAGAAGAGATATGCATGGGGCTGAGTAGGTAATTCTCCCGAAGTTGCTCCCCAGCAACAGTTACTGCACACATAGTATAGATTGATCAATAATGGATTACTGTTATTATGGCAGCTGCTGGCAGTGCAGCAGCCCTAGATGGCCCAAGCTTGGTCACCTCGCTTAGTGAAGTTTGCTTAGTGAGGTTTTGCTCGCCTTTGCCCATGGCTACATCCGTCCTCCGAAAACATACAAGCCTTATAGAAATTTCCATGCGCAGACGGGGCTGACCCTCGGTGTTATCACGAGGGGATGTGATAATGGGGTTGGGTAATGGAAATGGGGGAAGAGACTGCTGCAACTGAGTCAGGGCCAGGTAGGGACGTGCATCGGAGTTTCAAGTCAAGAAGGGAAGCATACGGAGTAATGCAGCAGCAAACACAGCTATGGAGAATTGAAGATTCATCTTATCAACCTTCAACCTTCAAGCATGTTGCAAATGCAATGGGCGGCAAAAAAAGGACCTTGGAACCTTCCGCAAGGGCAAAATCTGCGCCTCCCGGCGGGACTAGTCCTGATCCGGGTTCTCACTAAACCGGAAACCGTAAGGCCTAGCTGGCTCTAGTCCGCATGCGGCATGGATTCCACGGCGCAGGTGCTGACTCAGCCATCTATCTGAATGAATTTTTATACCTACACCACACCATCTGGCACTGCGACAGATCGCCTGCCTTTCCTATTCCAGACGAAGGCTTGGGAGGATGTGTCTGTGTTACACATGCAGCAGAACATGCGGAGAAAGTTTGCCCCGGCCCAGCGAAGAAGAATCGATTGCTCATGGAAATTGCCATGTCGGGCCAGTCAACGCGTCTCCACGTGCAGAGACAAGCCAAGCTAAGGGCAGGCATTAGGGTTGGGTCATGGATCTGGGGAAGAGAGGAAACCCAGCCAACGGCAGCAAATTGCACCCAATGATCCCATTGCACTGGCGGGCTCACCGGTGGCCGGACCTGTTCAATGCCCGGTGAACGCCGCCTCAACGCCGCCACTCCATTCTAGAAGGCGACTAGCCTGGTCAATCAACCGCTTGGCTAGCTAAAAACCATTATTCCCTTTTTTTATTTTTTATTTTTTATTTTTTTTTTGGCCACGAATCGGCCCGCCTACACTAGTTTAATCACTCTCCTTCTCGAGTGGTGATATCATGGGTAAATAATCCGTAAAAAACCAAATCAAGAAACCATGCGTCCTTTTCCCCCGGAAATCCGCTCTACCCCAAATTGAGGGGAAGACAACAGTTCGATCTGGGGAATCAGAGGGCTTCTCGTGGTGTTGCCCCGGAGGAGACCTATGATAGTTCACAACCGGGTCGGTGATTGTCCCCCCAAAGGGGCAATGTGGACAGGCGATGAAGTAACAGGAATCCCATCCATTCGTTCTGCCGTTCTGCTGGTTCTGCATGTTCTACTTGTTCTACTTGTTCTGCTTCACACCGGCTCCCGGCCCGGCTCCGGTCGACCATTTCCGCCCTTCACCGCCCGGTGTCACGGGCCCCGATCTGCCGCCTAACCACTATGCCGCCTAACCACTATACTCGGTACGAAGTATACTAGTTATACTACACACTGTATACAGGGAATACCGGAGATAACCAGAGCTGATCACAGCAGAGACTCCCATTCATCCTGCCTTCATTATGCACAACTCCAACTGCCGATACCCGGACTTACCACTTTCCCTTTCCCTTTCCCTCGCTACCGAGATACAAATCTTGCAGCCTGGGGAAGGGTACTGTACATTCAGCACAGCCTGTTGTCCTTTCTCCTCGCCGATCATCCGGAGTCAACCAAACAGGAACCAGGTCTCAAACCTTCCCACATCGCGTGTCTCTGTCACAGCGGGAAGAACTACGCCCTGCGGCCTCTCTTCTTACTCGCCAGAACCCAGCCAGGAGAAATCTCGTATCTTTTGGCCTTTTCGCCTCCCCCTTCTCCACGGTCCGGAAGGTCCACTACGTTGCTGACGGCTGCTGATAACGCTGGAGCCGACGAGCCGTAGTCAACCGTCGCTTCCATTTGGAATCCCATTATAAATCCAACTTCGGACTAGAGCCCAGTCTCGCGTCAGCGTCGTCTGGAGGGAAGGGGAGCTTGTCATGGTGCCGTGGCGTTCCGGTAGTGGACTGGCTCAGTAACGCCTGCGTCTGCTGGAGAATGTACCCCAGTCTACGGCATCAGCTTGGCGTCATGGTCCATGGGGTGGCGGGGGTTAGTCGAAGGCGAAACCCGCGACGATCAACATGCCTGATTCAACATAGATGGTAGACTAGACGACGGGGCATCGATGAAGTCTCCAACGTCGGCGTCAGCGTCAGCAGGCCCCGGAGGCAGTGGGTGGGCGATGGCGGTTTCGCGAAGGATCTCGTGGTGTCCATCCGTGCTTCAATGAAATAAATTTGGCAGGCGATCCAGGATGCTGAGGAGCTTTCATTACGTGCGTACTGATCTGGTGCTGACCGCTCCTCGTGATCCCAGGAGAAGATTCTGGAGTGTTTGGCAGTTTCGGTTGGGTAGGAAAAGGGCATGTGACTATTTGCCCGCGTAGCAGCAACAGTATCAGTGGAATTGTATGAGATCACCCACCTCTCTGAATGCTGCCTGGAAGAAAGACGCTATCCTCTGATCATGTTGAACGTGACTTGTAGTGCTGGGTATGTACAGGACACCACCTGTGGATATCTACACAAATGCGTACAGCCACCGAGCAAAGCTCCAGCGATCTGCATCACAAAGCAGCTGACAATCGCCGTTATCAGCTCTTACACATACTCGTTTGGACATTGGGCAAAAGCATAAGGCACAAGAACCAAAGCCCAATCAGCAGCGCCCCGATAATCGAGTTATCCGACTGGGGGTCCCTGCTATAGCAGATCACCGGCTATCTCTACCCGGCGGCGAAGATAAGTGAGTAAACCTGGGTGAAGCTGTTTATAAGCTCTGCGACAAAAGGTTTTCAGCAAACTACTTGGAATCTAGCTCTGCAAAATGCTTTCCTTCAAATCGTCCTGTGGATTTGGACCTGCAGGACCGTGCACGGGGGAATGAATGCTTTGTATGCAACGTTGGGCTGCAACACATGTTCCGGTCAGGGGCTTGGTCAAAGTCTCTCTGCTCCAGGTGCATGCTAGAGATATGTAGGAGCTTCGCAGGGCTTCCTGTAGAGGTCACTATACGAAGTACGTCACTAATTGATGCACGAGTTGACCATACCTTTCGGGCAGCACAGGAGGAATATCATGTCACAACCCTGTACAACTTGGTGTGCTATAATAATCATAAAATCCTTAGGAAATGGATTATTGGGATGATTCTAGGCCACTGGGTACTTTTATATCTATCAAGATGTGCATTCGTTTCATAACAAATCGATTGGAAAAGGCCGACCAGTTCGTTCTAGTGTGGATTGTCTTCTAGGGAATAGAGGTGTTGGGTGTATATATATATGCTCCCACGAGCCAGCTCCTGTAAAAAGCAGCCACGCGACTTCCAGACCCTTGTCTACCCAGATAAGTATAGACCTTTACTTATTGGGCAATACTCTTCCATCGATGTAGCTAGTTCTGAATGTGGAAATAGTCTTGATTCACCAATACAGTATCTTCAATATGATGGGCGGAAATATTCAGGCCATAAAGTTCGGTATAGTCTCAGGGCATTTTGTACGGTCTGCAACCTCACCGCCCTTTTTCGGGGCTATTCTGCCGCGCTTTGCACGGACCAACGCACCCATCAAAACACTACCGACGGACTGCCTAAGGGGGGCCAATTATATAGTATAATCTTGAAAAATATTTTTGACTCTGAGAGGATTGATGTATATATGAGTAGGTTTGGTGCGCTCAACCCAAGTCTTCGGAGCCAGAAGCATGTAAGACAACAGGGCGGGAGAAATTAGGCTCACTATGCGTGGGATGCTGTATTTCAAAGACTTTTCTACTTCGCAACGACTAAGCCGCGGCAGATATGTTTGCCACTGGAAACTGAGCTATGTGTAGCTTCGCCGCACCGAACGGAATAAGTTTGATTGTCGTTTTATCCGCAGCATTGACCGAGGGGTGGATGGGAGGCAGGGCTGCTGCGTCCAGCGTGGTCGGCCAGTTGACCCGGTATGCATCCACGGAGATGGAGACCGGGGGTGCATCTTTAGCAAAGATGGGATTGGCCAGAGCGTCGCTGCTGCTCTCCCTATAAAATAAAGCGGTCGACGGGTCGATTGCAAACTGCCAGTTCGAGGTTGGAAGAAGATAGTGATCTCTGGCTTTGGGAACAATCTCCCCTGATTCCAGCGGCAGCTGGCTGGACCAGTTCAAAGGCAGCTGGCTGGTCTCGTTGTACTCAATGGCCAACGCATACAGCAGCGGACCGTGATAGATCGCGACGGATTGGTTGCGAGGGACAATGTCGATCGCCATGGGGAGTGAAACTTGAATGGTTGTGGTCCCTAAGCCGATGGAAAAGTAGTGTAACCCATTCGAGTCGGGCGAGAGGCTTTGCTTCTTGTTGCTCGAAGAGCCAACCTGTGCGGTCGCGAGTCCGGATACCCACTCTGGGATACGGACTGCAAAGTTGAAGCTAATGTCGGAGGTGATTGTGTAGGTTAAGTCTTCGGAAAATGGGTAGTTTGTGTCGCAAATAACTACATTCACGTTAGCTTCGCTGGTTGCAGGAATAACCGATTCCAACTTACTTACTTTTCAGGTTCTTGCCCAAGATGGTTGTAGTTAGGGTTGTCGGGCCCAGGAGGACGTGGGCAATATCTTTATCCCCCTTTCGGACGTAAGAAGATGTAACGAATTTCGGATATCCTTGTGGGTGGTTGACAGTACAGCAAGGCTTCCAGTGGCAATCCTGGTTAGTGTGACCGCGTTGACTGTTGATGGGGACTAGGCTAATTCATTCACTTACAAAATTTGGCTCAAGACCGTATGTCAGGGAGTAGGAGTTGACATTGTAGAAGGGATTCTCAGTGAGGTTCTTGGCCCACACTTCATTCGTCTGCGTGACATATTGGCGCGACCACCCTGTAACCAAATTAGCCCTTGCTACGCCGCCAGTCTCTGAGGGTAGACATACAGTCCGGGCTCAAGCCGACCGGCAAAGCATTAAAGGCTGCTCTCTCTGCTCGATCGGCAAAGTCGTTCACCCCATGGAAGCGGTACAGGAAGGCGTACGAAAACATGGATTCGACAGCCATACATAACTCAGATCTATGACGCCTTGTTAGCGTTGACTGATGGACAGCGGCCAATACCATGGACCCTCTCTCACCCTCTCTGGGGGCTTAATCCCCCAATGTGCTCGTCACCCACAATCGAGCCAGACAGTGACGTTTGGTAGGTTGCGGTCAGGTTCACAGCCGTGAGTGTCTGGGCAAGTAGGCTCGTGTTCCCATTGAGACGGTAAAGAACGGTCGGGTAGCGTAAACCTAGGCAGTGGTCGCGGTGAGATTTTCACTTTAATTTTTATTCATCACTGTTGAGGGTTGACAGACGAGGCTGGAGAGTTGGAAGGGGGGAATACCTTCAGCTAGGTTCACACCGTGGGTGAAGCCACTGGCTGCATAGCCTGTGCCTCCGGTAGGAAACACCCCTGGAACGAAGAAAGCAGTCCAGTCACGACCCCCAAGTCGGCCACCTTCGAACATGAGCTCAATGGCCTCCAGAATAATCTGAGAATTATTGCGAGGGTGGTTGTCATATAACCACATCAGAGAGATTGGGAGTTCATGGGTGCGCGAGAGGCCGAAACCATAAGGGTCAAAGTTGTCTCCGAGAGTTTTATTCTGGATCAGCCCGGTGAAGTTATCGCTCAGCATGGAGTGCACAAGCACGGCAAATTTATGCATCGCATCTACGATGCGCGCCTCTTGGGTGGGGTCGGCCTCGGCATATTGCTGTTCGTCCTGGTCAGTGGGGATTCTGTCCTGAATGACTGGAAGGTAGGTTCATGCCGTCAGGCCAAAGAACAATAGGCTTCGCGCCCAAATGCCCCGAGTCTGTCTGGTGGTCTCGGGTCCAATCCAGCCATCATCCGCTTGATGATCCAAAACATAATCCAGATAGTATCGAGCTTGAGACTTCAGTGTGTCGTCATCGAGCGACCACGCCAGGGGTACGATATAATTGAACCAGTACGGGGACGACTCGTGGAGTTCACTGTACTCGTACTCGCCCCCTAGCCAAGTGGACCGCTGCACGTAGCGGTAGAACTCCATCAGATTGCCTCCCAGGCCATCGGCTGAAAGTTGAATCTGGTCTTTGAGCCAACCGGTGGGTTTGATGGCCCCGGGGTGGAAAGTGTTGAACAGAAATGGCTCCATGGCTATGAGATGTCACTAGCAGTTCAGGTCTATCCTACTTGTGAGAAGGGTGTGACTGACTAGGGCTGATGGGAGAACGACTTATATGACCTCCGGAGACGAGGTTACTCAGGCACAGAACATGTATGAACCCTCTCACTTTCATCTTGCGCATTAGAAGAGTGCTGTGCCTGCTGAGGCAGACATCCTTCTTAAGCAGGGGGGACTGGAGTGCCTTAAAAGGCTACATCGTCCAACAATTCACAATGGTCGACGGGCCATGTAACGGCGAACGACGTCACACCTATGCGGGGTCATCGAGGCATATAATCTCATTTTCTCACAATCTGCAACCAAGGAGGGCTAGCGCAGATTCCACACCAATTTTCCGGAGGAATCCCCGGAACTTCCGCCGTCAAGACATACATATCATCACGTGATACCGCATCTTTGATTCGTACCACACTTATAAATTGTAAGTGAACATGAGCACTGACACATGGAACGAGTGGATAGACCAAGGAGTGGTCCTGGCCCACGGTCCCATCGTAGCAGCTGTAGAGAGGAAATATACATGCTGCGGTCAAGCCACGAGTAACCACGGAAGTGGTTTTAGAAAGCGTGCCATGAGAAAGGAATGGACAAAAGGAGAAACAGCAATGTGCTAAAATTACCAACGCAATACGACATGGGGGCTGAATCCTCGGATTGCCTGAAATAGGCTGGTGATAATTGACAGAACAAGTGAAAACTGACGGATGATAAGGGTTTAGCAGCATATGAGCTGTACCTGCACTGTAGATGTATCTAGTGCCTTGGCTCGAGCTGATAACGACCTCAGGTGTCCAAGAACAAGCTCAATATCTAAGCCACAATGTATAAAAATAGATCGAATATCTGCATTCGAACCCACAGGGCAGCAAACAACCCACACTAGCCGACCTCCATCACCTGGTAGCGATCAAAAAGGAAAGCATTCCGTCGCAAATATCGGAACTGTCACCGTGTACAGAGCCACCGCGTAAAGGCTGGTCACGAACGCGTCCACGTCGAAGACGAAGTCACCTGTGAACCAGTACCCATTGCTGCAAGCACCCGTCCCAGTCACAGCCGTCACACCAGTGGTCGAGCTGACATCCCCGGCGCCCGCCACCGAGAAGGTATTCACGACCTCGGCCTTAGCCTCGACCCCGGCGGAGACCTCGAGCAGACCGTTGACGACGTTCACCCAAACCGCGCGTTCCACATTCGCAAACGGATTCAGCTGCGCATCGACCTCGCCAGACAGGGTCGCCGATGCTGTCTGTGAGGGAGTCCAGCCCGACGATCGCTGTGCAGCAGGTCGAGGTAGCTGGTGCCGCGGGTGATCTGTGTCGACAGGTCCGCGGTGATGTTGGCTTCGCCGGTGACTCCAATTTGACGCTGACGCCGAGGGTCAGAGAGGGGCCGACACTGAGGATTCCGGTGATCTCAAAGGCGGAGACCGACAGGGCGTCGTAAGTGTAGCTCCAGAGATCCGTGGAATAGGCAGCGGTCGCCTGCGCGGACGCATTCAGCTCAGCGAAAAGGGCGAGATCCAGCTCCAGGTATAGGCTCGTCGCCGTCGAGTTGGTCACATCCAGCTCCACCCCGCCGCTCAGGTCCAGGGTTGTGCCCAGGCTGACATCCTGCACGTCGATGGCGAGATCTTTCGTATTGATGAGCTCGCCCGACCACTCATCCGAGAGGGAGATGGTCCAGTCGCGCTTGTGGGATGCCACCGCGCTCGCGTTGAAGGCCACCGAGATCGACTGCGCCTGGTCCCGGAACGAGCTGCGGGTGGTGTGGGCCGTGATGGTGTTGTTGTTTGCGCTGGCCACCGTGCTCGACTCGACCAGGTACACCCCGCGTTCGTTCTCCGCGTCGCAGTCGCCGAGGTGGTTGGCGAGCAGGATGAAGCTGGACGAGGGCCACGCGGAGACGCTGCGCTGATAGTCGGCCGTGCTAGCAAAGACGACTTCCACTGATTCGGCCGAGCAGCTGACGCTGGAAATGGTGGTGATCTCCTCCAGGACCACCGTTGGGAGTTTCATTTGAGCATCCACCTTGGCAGCTGTCAAGGGCTGGCTCACGGCCTGGTAGTATAGCGTGATGTCTTTCACAGGGCACGAACTGCCATCAGACAGAGAATGGCGAACAGGGACATCATGGCTCGGGAAGAGGAGACCATTGTGAGGGTTTGTAGTTAGAGCAGGCGCTTGTAAGTGGGATGCAAGAAGAAAGCAATGAAAAGAATAAAATGCATTATCTAAATGTTCTCAAGCGCCAATATGATATCTAGTCGATCCCTCTTTCAATGCATGGGTGTTGATGGATTGTCTGCACGCCATTCTAATACTTCCTCCAATAGCCAAATAAATCCCAATGCTTGTCCTATTATGGAGGGGGGCAGATTTCATTTAACCAGACTACTAGTGGTCTAGGACCTGTTATAGTTACAGTAAAGACCTGCAACACCTGCTGCACGTGACTGCAGCCCTCTTTATCTTCCCACCAAGCCTCTGCAACCTTTCTGTTCCCTTACTATTCCTTCTGTTCGTACGGCATGCTTAGGTTAGAATTAATCTAAGTTCAACCCATAACAGAATTATACTTACTATTATATGTCTTTGAATAATAAGAAAGAGCCAAAAAAAAAAAACTATTTTTGATATAAATCTATAGACTTGTTGTGGGACGGGTAGATTGTGCTAATCGAAACGTGCCTCAGAACAAGATGAAATAGCCTTCCAGTTCTCATGTTCGCACGAGATTCTTTTATGTGTGCTAAGCTAGTGCTAGTTTATTTAGTTTGCTTAGTAGTATGTAAGGCCTCAGGCACCAAGGGGTGCATAGGACGGAGCCTCTTATACTAGGGCATCAGTCCTATAACAGCCAGGTTACAGATCAGCCGGGCTCATTTTTTGTTCGTGTGGCTCCAACCAAGTCATCTTATTACTTACACAAAACATAATTTCGTTCCACATTACCTTTGTTAATACCCTTCTATAGAACTGCTTAAAAACCGCTTTTTAAGTACTTATTAAATACTTTACAACTATTTACATCAGGATTGTTAGTGTTAATAGGATTGCTAGGACTATTAGGGTCTATATTCTATTAGGACTTTTTATTAGGGAATACCTTTTATTATTCTTTTACCTTAGGGTTTTTTATTAGGGATATAAGTCTGTTTTAGAGGAGATTATCTCCGGATTCTTGTTATTGCCGAGTGGCTGCGAACTTAATAATGTAATTGTCAGCCAAATGAGCCAAACAAGCTTTTATAGTGTCTACAGGTCACCTGAACTTTGACAAATGTTTATATGAACCAACCTCACTTAGCGTTGATAAGTAAGCAGGAATCCGCCACACAACCTTATAACATACGGTTTTTTCAATGTTGAAATTTAATCTTCCGGAGATAAAGGATGCTGGTCAGCATTTAGCGGCAATGCGATCCAACCTAAGGGTCTCGAGCTCCCCAATCCTCCCTATTGGGCTAGTGTCGGCAAACATATCATCAATAAATATTTCTTTCTTAACTATTTCTTATTTTTTTTGTCCTCCATGTTCCAATGGTTATTTTCGGTTAGCTTCAGAGCGGTAGAACGGGCTAATCTTGAGGTGTCTGTGGCCTCGTACTACTTTGTAAACCATAACCAGAAGATTCTGTTCCGAGACCTCCGGTCCAGAACGATACCATTGAAAAGGTCATCGATTGAACCCCAATCCCGACCAACATTCCCCTCTCTAATTCCTGGTTACCCCAACTTACAGCATGAGTACTTACCTTGTCACCGGCGCCTCTCGTGGCATTGGACTCGAACTGGTTCGTCAGTTGGCCGCCAAAACAAGTGAAACTGTTCAGACTATCTTCGCTACTGCCAGGACCCCTGGAGGCCCTCTTTTTCAGGAGCTCTTGCAACAGCACCCGAATCGGGTAATCTTCGTGCCTCTTGATGTCACAGAGAAAGAGAGTGTCAAGAACGCCGTGACACATATTGCGACCGCTCTCAATGGAAAAGGCCTGGATGTGCTAATCAACAACGCGGGTGTAATGACGCCTGGCACTGTCGAGAATATGTTTGTGTTTACTTGGCCTATACGTCCTGCTTGGCTATAACCTGCCCTAGTAAAGCAGTGTGTTCTAATACTTTCTTTTTATAGGAACGATTTAGAAGATACATTCCGCGTCAATGTGGAAGGGGTTCATCTTGTCACAAGAGAATTCCTCCCACTTCTGAGAAACGGAAATAAGAAAAGAATCGTCAATATGTAGATGCTCCACCCATATTCTTCCGATGTCCTCCTATTAACAATAGCTTCCGATTCAGCTCGACAAGTGCAGGCTCTATTCAGTTGCAGCCAGCGTATAAAGCGATGCCTACTCCCTCCTACAAAATCTCGAAAGCTGCATTGAACATGCTCACCGTACTCTACTCCCAAGAGTTGGAGGCTGAGGGTTTCACCGTATTTTGTGTGAGCCCTGGTGTAAGCCGCCCCTTTGAACTGAAGCCATCTCCTTTCAATACAACAACCGCTGACCAAGAAATAGTGGCTGAAGACCGATATGGGAAGCGAGGATGCGGATCTTCCAGTCAACACTGGAGTTGCCGCTGTTCTGGATGTTGTTTTCACCACCGGCAAAGAAAACAATGGACGGTTTCTCAATATCCACGTACCGGGATGGGAAAATAACCCAGGTATGAACCAGTACGATGGGAAGGAGTTGCCGTGGTAACCGATATATCACTACTGGTACCCTGTGCGACATCCATGTCGCTGTCCTCCTAGGCCCACTAAGTCTGACTAGACTATATCTTGATCGTGGACTAATGGGCTCGCGAGGCACATCGGAATATTATTCTCGAAGTTTGAATGCTGTTGTCGGTAGTCTTCCGTCTTCGTGTTTAATAGATTCCTGCGCGATTAGTTTGATCCTAGAAGAAAACATGTCTTTCCCCCTAATCCCTCTAGCAAGAGATGCGCACAAGATGGGTGGAGGGATAGCTGATTCGCATTCGCATTACCTGCTTGGTATTGCTCGGGTTGGCGACAAGGCGCAGAGTATGAAGTTCTGTCATCCTTCAAATCTTCCCATGCCCATCAGTATAGGTCTCGTGTCGCTATGATTTCTACCAAAGTAGGGGATTTCGACCTGAGATCGAAGGTACCGTGATCCGGCTTGTGATTTGATTATCAAACTAGTCAGATTGAATAATAGGCGAGACGTTCAGGGTAAACACAAAAATAAGGTTATAAAGAAAAAGGGTAAGATAGTACAAACTTTAAATAAGCTAATACTAATAAACACCTCCAACAATATTTAAGACCTACGAAAAGTTAATCCTACAGTAATTCAAAGTAAATAACTGAAATAGCCTGACCTAAAGTACTAAACTTCATTTAATCGGTCACCCAAGCGTCCGAGCAGTAATTATTCCTTAATATATACTGCAAGAACCAGGAGCTTAAGGCTATACTATCTGAATACAATACTACCCTACAACAGTGTTTTAAAGAGCTTAAAAGAGTCTTAGCTGAGAAAAAGAAGTATTAATTGGTGCTGATCATTTACTAAATGAGAACATACGTGCGATCGAGACAGGTTAAAATGAGCGCGTCAGCATACGCCCTGGAATAGAACAATTAATTACGATTAACGGAGTTAAGCAGATTTTGAATTTTGGAGTGGGGCTTCCAGTGACTATATAGAGCTGGTTTATTCGGCTGATGATGCAGGATTTCTGCCCACCTGCTTCCATTCATTCAACTGTGATCAAGATGCTCTCAAATGGTGTTTTCTGGCTAGTCGCTATTTCTCTTGTTTCTGGCGCGCTCTCGCTTCAAAGTACGACGACTTACCCTCTGACTGTCATTGGTGATGAGTCCAGTCTGCCCCATACATTCGAGAACATTGCCACGCGACACAACGGCCAGTTGCTGGTAACTTCGGTCGTGTCGCCCTACCTCCATCAGGTTTCTCCCCTCAAGGAGAACCAGGTGTCTCGCGTTGTTCGGGTCCCACAAACGACGGGATTGCTCGGCATTGCGGAACTGGAACAGGACATTTTCTATGTAATCAGCGCCAACCTCAGCGGGGCTTCAGGCGTCCCGGGCTCGAATGCGGTTTGGAAAGTCGACCTTCGCAATCTCGACCTGTCCTCGGAGTTCGGGGCTGTCCATGTGCCAGTATCCTTGGTAGCGAAACTTCCATCTGCAGGATTACTCAATGGAATGTGTCGCATGTCGGAGAATAGCACCTCTTCTCTCTTGATCGCAGACTCCCAGGCGGGTCAAATCTACAAATTGGATGTGCACAGTGGTTCTGTTGAGACGACACTAAATGAAACGGCCTTAAAGGATACGCAGACGGGACTTCAAGTTGCTGCCAATGGTATTCATACCTACAAGTCTAACGTGTACTTTACCAATCTGAATCAGGGAATCTTTGGCCGCATCCCCATCAACACACAAAATGGTCGACCTACAGGTCCGGTTGATGTGATTGTCCGTGGGGTCCCTGGGGATGACTTCGTCTTGTCCCCGAACGGCCAGAGGGCCTGGATAGCCATCAATGGACACCGCAAGCTAATCGAAGTCGATATAGCTGCGAGATCTGCCCAGGTCGTCGTCGAGTCATCCTACTTGGCTTCTGCGTCTGCTGTCACACTTGGTCGAACTCTGTTGGATCGGAATAGTCTGTATATCTCGTCAGCTGGGGTCGAGGATCCTTCGGTGGGGAAAAATAACAACGCTACCGGTGGCATTGTTGCTAGAGTGGATGTTCTCAAGGTGACACTCTGAAGGATGCTCGAGATTTTGGGTCGAGAGGGTATATTGGGAATGTGGACAAGTGAGCCGCCGCGATTGAGGCTGGCGACTACTCAGTTCTTATCATGTATTTAGTGTACTTCGTTAAATCTTGTACAGTGCTTGGTTCACCCAGATTGAAATCTACTTTCATTAATTACTGTACTGCCTCGAAGACGTTGAGACTGGTCTCTTATACCTAAACACGACTTGACTAATAAGTAATATACAGTTTCTAACTCCGACCTTACTACTTGCGGCCCTTTTGACTGCGCATTCTTTGCAAGACTCTTGTAGAGCTTAGCCCGTACAACGCTATACTTGCGACAGGACACGTTTGCAGAACACATCTACGGTATGGATTTGAAATGAAGAGTTCATTTACATGCGACACGGCAGATCCAACAATATGCGGGCGAGGAATCATGTTTCTCATGGGGGATGTTCATGGTTAAGCGTCGCGAAGTCACAATTATTGCCTTCTTCACTCATCTTCCAGGTGCAGCATATTCAGAGTCTCTGTCCAAAGCTTTTTCTGCCCCTCCACATCGAATGCCCATGGCGCATGACCAGGGCCCCGAGAACCTGTGCTCGGATCATACAGACCAGCAATTTGGCAGTTATCCAAGTATTTGCCGCCTTGACCCTCAAGTTCCTTTGCAACCGCTCCCCACACAGTTGTAGCTGCTCCTTGTTCGGTGCTCTTCCAGTAGTTTGCTAATTCTTTATCTTCGTCCCAAGCAGCCTTCTGCTCGTCCGAAACGTGACGTTGGAGATCGGTCTTGATACCCCCTGGGTGTAGACTGAAGGCATGGAGACCTTGAGAGCTATATCGCCTCTCAATTTCATTGGCTGTCCAAACTGAGGCAGTCTTACTCTGGCCGTATGCCTTCCAGGGCTCATATTCACCCTTAAGACTGATATTGTCGAAATTGACGCTCGCATAGCGGTGAGCAGCTGAGGAAACAATAACAACACGAGAGTTGAAACCAGGGGCCGAGGAAGCCAATAAAACGGGCTTAAGGAGGTAGAAGAGAAGAAAATGTGCCAAGTGGTTGCAACCAAACTGTGTTTCGAAGCCATCCACAGTTCGGCTCTCAGGGCACGCCATAACTCCAGCATTCTCAATCAAGATATTCAGGGCCTTGCTCTTGGACTTGAAATCCCGCGCACAGGCGCGGACAGAATCGAGAGAGTTGAGCTCGAGGTGCAAAAAATGGACTCGAGGACTGTGGGCAATGTCACCTAATGTGGACCTCGCCTTTTCAACATCGCGAACAGTTAGAAAGAGAGTAGCGCCAGTGGCGAAGAGGGCGCGTGCGGTCTCAACCCCGAGACCAGAGGAGCAACCAGTTATTAGGATAACCTTGTCGGACAGCTGGTTTTCGAGTTTTTGGTCTTGAATGATTTGCAAGGCGGTGGGACGAGCATCACCGGCGCCTTTGGTAGACTGATGAACAGCAGCATATGTGGTCGACATTCTGGAGGTAGTACACGATATGAAGAAGGGAGCCACTTGTTTAGTAACGAACGGACGACTAGCAGGCCTTTTAAATCCACCATTATACCACACAACTTTTTGGAAGGTCGGCCGCTTGGTGACGTCATTGACTTCTCTAACTCCGACTGTATGGAGAACGGAAATGAGATTTCTATGGGCATCATGCATCATTCGTTAATAGGTCAACGCAGAGTAAGCAGTGAGGACATGCGCGGCATTTGCACCACTATCTCCGTCCTAAACCCGAGAGGTCTATTTTCCGCCGTGCTAAAACTGAAGATATTCTTTACAGAGCTAGCAGCTATTAACATGCATCGAATATGCTAGCAGGACCAACAACTGACAGTATTATGCCGCTTACAAGCAACAAAACAGCAGCTCTTCTACCGAGGAGCCCTTAACAACAGTTGAGCTATGACTTTATCGGTCAAGTTGATCAGGTTACAGAGAAATAGAAGCCATACCAAATACTTCTTGATCTCTACTGGCAAAAGTCGAGCTAGAAACATAGGTCAGAGCCGCGATACACAAAGATGCTCTCCCACAAGAACACGCCCCAAGGATAAAATCGGCAAAACGAAATATTACACAGTGCAATTCCCAGGAATGATCTGCCAGTCAATTGTGAAGAAATATACAGATAAAGTAGATGCAGCATTTTCCGATAAAACACACCTGCTTTGCTCAATAATATAGTTAATAAACTATATACTAACCTGGAGAGGCAAACCTCTAAAAATAGAAAGCTCTCAGCACCATCTGGCTGAACAAAAATAGCTTTACTATTAAAAAGGTTCACCAGACCAAACAAGCAACTGCAAGCCCGCCTGTGAACTCAGCACTAGGCGAGAAAAATTCTCGCCGCTAGACACATCTTCACTGCAGTAATTATAAAACCGGTAGATATACAGGAAGAAGGCGATCTGATAGTTCAAATACTACATAAATACTTTTGATCGGTACAGTGGTTGATAAAAGCCTCATCTTTTCACCAAAGTCGGTGCTGGCGGGCCGCTTACAATAGAGGTACCTTTCCAGTTGTGGGGCCCTGCCCAGTTCCCAATGCAGTAAGGATACTCCACTACATGTACCAAAACGGGTTTAATTTTTAATGAAGCAATCTGATTGGCTAAACCCAGGCTATTCCTTCTTGAGAAGGCGCACGGTCTGCCCTTGGCCGACATCACGTGCCAATTTTGCCGGCAATTTGGAAACTGGGCAACTGGGCATGCCCAGTTCAGCTGAAGACATTTTTGAATATAAACGAGTACTTTTCTAACACATTTAGAGCCTTGTTAAGGCCTATATTAGTTGGTGTTTGGGTTTATATTTTTCTTTTCTGAAGAAAATCGCACATGGTTGGCGGCGGTAGTAATAAAATCAAAGGCAGTAGACTGTATAAATAAGGACAGTATATTGTCCAGACCACAGGCAATAAGCCTAGCAAGAGAGTTATTCGTCTTGCAATGGGCGACCAGGCACGGATGACCCGACCAGGCCAGTCAGAAGCACGAATGACTAAAGCCCGATTTAGCGAAGCACGGTGGGTCGATGATGATGATGATGATGATGACAGCTTAACCCCGATCCATGAGGACTCTTAAGTCCAGTCACGGCTGCCTGATACCTTCGCGTAACGCTTGGAAGTAACTCTCAAGGGGGTCCTTTTTCTAAGCCCCTGCCCCTTGTAAACTGTACTATGTACTCCGTACCGCTTAGCTTTATTTAAGTTACATGACGACTTATTATACTAGGCTAGGAACACTATGAGGATATTCTAGGCCGAAGGTATCGCTATACTAGGGTTCTTATTAGGGAATACTGTATACAATCGTTTGCATTAGGGTCGCGTTGGATGTGAGCGGCTCATCAGGCGGTAAGACTTTTAAGTATAGAATTACTTCGTAAACAGGGTTTTTGCAAACTGGCACGAGTATTTTTCGTACGTGACGCACTCCTTTGGGTCGCTCCCTTTCAAAACAACAATTGACCGTACAGTACAGTCACTTAGTACTTACTGTATAAATCTGCATAAATCCTGTTGGTTGCAGCGGACGGATCTCTGGATCTCGGTCATAACTCCGTTGCAGGAGACAAGACGGTCTCCAGCACTGTTGGCTAAGATTGACACGCGTGTACACAAGATTCATAAGCCTTGATGCCATCGCTGGCACACTGTCTGTTTGCCGCCTCCTCAGTCACCCCGCTGCACTTCTGTTCATTGAGACAGAGATTGAAAAGGCATGGCCCCAGGCATACGCCAGATGCCTCTAAGTATCTGTCGATTGTCCCACATCTCTCAAACGATCCATCCGTTGCATCAGTGGGTGGTGGAGGTGGAGGGGGCGGTGGATTTGCCGTTGCTGCAGGCGCCGTGGTGGCAGTGGCAGGCGCCTGCGTTGGCTGTTCGGTGGGATATAGTTTACTGCAAGTCTCCTCGCAGTCTTTGAAGACCTCGTTGTTGTTGGGAACGCAGAAGTCGAGAGGGCGTCTGTTCTGGGCGCATCTGTCGAGGCCCGCCAAGGCACTCTGGAGGCAGTCATTGCTGCAGATATCGTAGGTGGCCTCGAGTTTGGGCGGGCATAGGTCCTTGCAGTCCTTGGAGAAGCAATTCGCAATCTCCCTGTCACATCCCCAGCGGCAACGCCGCCAGAAGATTCCCGCCTGCCTTTGATTCCGGATGCGCGCCGCCTCCTCCCTACAGTCTTCCAGACATGCGTCACTTTCCGCAACACAGTTCTTATAGCAGTTTTGCGCGGAACATGGGAAATCCTGCGCCACCACAGCAGGCTGGACAATCGCCCAGACCATTAAGAGAAGTCGCGGAATGTCGACGTACATATTGCGTTTGTCGAGTTGCTGGTCCGGTGGAGATGCTGCGTGCTTGAAAGGGGTTTTCGCTAGTGTTTGTGGTGGGTTTGATGGGGTTGATGGTACTCTGGTGTTTCAGTAAATGTTCGTTTGTTTGATGAGGTTTTGGTAGTTACTTCTTTGTAGTGGTGTAATAGTAGTCTTGGAATGTTTGGCTGCTGGGGCTGAATGGTTGGGTGGTGGCAGGGATTCAGAGTATCTAGACGATCTGCGGGTGTCTGAAATAAGAGGCATCGCAGGATCTATATACCCGTGCAGTCGGACCACGAGGCACTAGACAACTACCCATATCTGCTACGGCTTGGGGCTAGGTCGCTAGACAAAAGACGATGAGATAGTCGTTAGGTCATGCCAAGGAAACAGCAGCAAAAAGTTCCGAGGAAGTCACAAGCCTCTCGTTATTCTTCTTGGAAAGCAGCAATCAGAATGGCGTGCAGCTGTATTCAGACCCTTCTGAACCCGACCTCTGCAACCGAAATATCAGCAGCAGGGGTCTCGTAAATCGAAAGTGGCGCTCATGTGACGCACTCTGACACTCCGCAGAATACGATGCGCCAAGAGAGCTAAAGTCGTGATAGGCACTGAACCAGAGAAGCGAGCGATCGATCGCGATAAACTTGCGACTCGAACCGTGGTGGCTGCACGGGTGGCTTAAACCCAAACCCTAACTGGCGGAAAACACCATCTTACACGAGGTTCAACCAACTTGTCATATGAGGTTCTGCAGCTTGTTATTGGCAACCTAAACTGTTAATTTCTACTCACACCCTGGACCGCGCAGCCCAAGGATCGAAATACGGAGGAGAAATGGGGGCGTTGCCTGTGTTCAAGACAATACGACGGGTATGTGGTGGCCGGGCACGAAGAGGCCATAGAAGCAGGAATCAATCTCCTCTTTAGCTTGATTTAAAGCAATGGCTTCGGTAGTTGGTCAAGAAAACCGACCCAAAGATTGGGAGCGCGATCCTACTACATGTTTGAGATAATTGTACCGGGCTCTCGTCGGCACAATCAGCCCAGCCCACCTATCTCAAACCTCCCAAAGGTCTGCCTGGAATGAGTTTTCATCAACTTAGGGCTATGTGAAAACTTATTTTATTCGGCCAATCAAATAAGCACCGCGCCTACGGCTGATCAAAAGTGGGATGGCAGAGACATACGTGAGCTATCATTGCCCTCAATCCATGTGGAGCGGGGCCGTGTCAAAAGCTTTCTAAGTCCTTGGCCCAGAGAAATCACCTTGATTTTACTCCGGCACATGTTGAAACAAAAATCATTCAATAAAAGAAATTGAAAGAGAAAAGAGGCACAGTAAGAAGAAATAAAATAAAACCCTCTCATGTTCGCGCTCGTTCCAGGAAGAATGGAGGGTGTTTTTAAGTTTCCTGCCCCGAACACTGGATATTGACCTCTTACTGATACATGCATCACGAAATGTGTTAGGGCATTTTTCTTTTTCTACATGATAGAACCATCATTCCGACGCTATGATGTAAGAATATTCGTCTCCACAGATGTTCCCTTCAAGTTAACCAATCTTCATGCCCCAAGGTACCATTTCCATCGAGTGGCAATTCCTATCAGTAGTAGTTCAGGAGGATGTGACAAACATTTTCTTATCTAGTGGATAGCGAACATCCTTTTCTCCGCTTTTGTTGTCCATAGGGAGATATACGAACCCACGAACCCCACAGCCCTAAGGTAAAATCATGTTAGAATGATATTCTGATTTGTTATTATAGTCAAGATGTAGCAAGGACGGTTACTACTGGATTATCCCAAAGTGATTCACTCCTCCCACACATACCCCAACTCCGAGTTTGTCAGATGCAATCAACCCCACACAAGCAGAGCAATCTTAATCCCCTACACAGAAGCAACCTGTAGCTCTCTCAACCCCAGCGTCTCCTTCTCCGCCTTCTTCAGATACCCCTCGCCCAGAAACCGCTTCAGGAACGGGGTATAATCAAACACCAGATCGCGGACGTACGCCAGCGGACGCGGGAGCCCGTGGAACATCCTTCCCAGGAACCGCGCGAACTCCATGTTATGATTCACATAGTCCACGCGCTGGGCCTCATAGATCTCAAACGCGGCGGTGCATGCGCGCACATCCCGCAAGTCCACGCCGTCCAGCGCGCGAGCCAGGAAATAACCGTCTTCGATGGCCATGCCCATGCCGTAGGCGGCGTAGGGCGAGACGGGGTGGACAGCGTCACCCAGGCAGACCACGCGTCCTTGCGACCACTTCTTCATCGAGGGCCGGTTGTAGATCTCCCAGCGGTAGACCTGGGTGTCGAAGTCGGTGGCCTCCAGGAAGCGGGGCATGGGCTGGGCCCAGTCCTTCAGGATGGCAGTCAGGTGCTCCTTGGGGTTGGCGGGGACGGGCTTGCCCTCGTACGAGTGCTCGACCACCCACCACTCGAAGCCCGGTTTGCCGTCGTGCACCATGGGGAAGAAGCTGGCCTGGTGCTGCCAGTCGTGCGAGACGTACCCGTAGTGGGGCGGGATGTCCGGGATGAAGTCGCACCAGGCCAGCCACAGCCGGATGCCCGTGTGGAAGAGCCTTGGGTCCCCGAAGGTCTGCCGTGAGACTCGGGAGCGGATGCCGTCCGCGCCCACCAAGAGGTCGGCCGTCACGCGCTGCCCGTTGGCGAAGTGTAACTCGATCTCATCGGCCGTCTCCCTGTACGCGGTAAACTCGTGGTCCGCGTGGATCACCCCCGCCGGCACCAGCTCGAGCATCCGCTGGAAGATCGACGACCGCAGCACTCCGTAGTGCCACCCCTTGATCCCCATGCGCTGTTCGACTGTCGGGTTGAACGGGAGCTTCACGCGCTCGCCCCCGGCTTTGTTCTTAAAGTAGGTCACCGTGTGGCCGCCAAAATGCTCTAGACTCAGACCGTACGCCCGCAGGATTGATAGGACCGGGGTGGACAGCAAGACAGCGCCTCCGATTGCCTTGCATTCCGGCTGGCGCTCGTAGATACGCACATCGAAGCCGCGGGCGAGGAAGGCGAGGCCCGCGGAGATCGACCCGGGGCCTCCGCCCACGATCGCAACTCGCCTCCCCGGACGCCATTGCAGGGAAACCATTGTGAGTTGGGTGTGGTGCGGATGGGAGGGAGTGGTTGGGGTGAAGGCTGTAATGCAAGTAGCCTTGCAGAGAGGGGGGGGTTGGGGTTGGTTTGCCGAGAGACAACGTGGAGGACGAAATTGGAAGTAGACCCGGGGAACTTACTTATACCTTTATCTCGATCAAGAGATGAAATGGGCATACAAGGTTCGGAAGTCCACATCCCGATGTTGAACTTACAAGGTTAGCAGCAGCAGTTGCTCCATCAAGAATAGCTAGTTAGGGCAATGAACCGGGGAAAGCCGCCGATAAAGTGACAAAGTCCTGTGCACGGGCCGCATTCGCCCCCTCGGGTTTTCCACGAAATACCCGGGGTTCCCACCAACCAAGGTACTGTACCTACCCTACTATCCTTGCTGACCGTGGTAGGTTATTTGGTTCTGCCCAGAACATTTGCATCTGCAGGTAAATGGGTTCTCGGAGAGAAGGGAATAAAGACAATTGTACGGCAAGAATCAGTATCGCCCGCTTCCACACCTCGATGCCTGAGGCTCCAGGGGTGGACAAGAAAACACAAGAAAACACAAACAAACCCACGAGCCCTAACTTGGGCTTTATTTAACTACCTATCTTACCTATCTGATAGTATTGAGTAGGTACATTCAGCAACCCAGAGTGAACATGGTCAAGATGATCTTCCCATATTTCGCATCGTTCTGCTTCGCCTCAGGCATGCATATCCCTTACAAATGCTGGCGTATCGGTTCGGATCTTCTTCCGCCTTCTCATCGAGCAACAATCGGAGGTAGTTGATTTTATGCAATGCTATGGTGGTTTCATAAATAGGCAGTGGTGCAGAGTGGCTTGATTGCCACTTTTCACTTCAGGCATCATTGACGGACGATCGTAGCCGGCCTCACTGAGCAGTAGGAAGCATAAACGTATACGGAGTACTCTGGGAGACATGGCCTTTTCAGCTTGCCCCAGCCCCGTCACAGAGCAAGGATGAAACAAAGTAACTCGAAGTAATCTTCCTATCCGCTCCTTCCGGGCGGGAAGCTTCCTCTACTTTAGTAGGGTATCCAATATCCAAGATGTAACTATTCCCTACTCTCACCCATAGTAGCTACCTCACACATTCCGATACCGCATGTTCCAGGCCCGGATGGTGAAGCTCATCATGCCGGGCATGTTCGTGCCCCCGGCCACCACCCTACCCCCCGCACTGGCGACATTGCGGCGGCCGTTGAACGCGCGTCGCAGAGCAGCTCCCTCGATGTCATCAACGAGTACTTCGCCGACCCCACGGTCAAGGTCGCGCTGCCCCGCTTCGTGACGGAGATCCAGCTGGCCCACCCCCGCACCCCGGGCACGAGTCTCATGGGCTACCTGGCCAAACGGCGGGTGCATCATTTCTTGCAGCGGGGGAAGGTCGAGTTTAAGAGCCTGACCGCAATGCAGCCCTTTCGCTTTTTGATGTAAATCGCATCTTACATCTCCTCAGCGCAGCCATCATGAGACAAATCTTTGCTTATCTGCTCATCAAATCCGTTATCAGATATACTGTGCTTTCCTTAACTAGTCAAGTTACGTTTCGACGATATAGTCGTAGCTCCACCTTCGCGAGAGTCCCATACATAGAAGACAAATGTGTCTGTTCATGTAGCCCTAATGTACAAAGGCTCTAAAATTTGTATAATCTGTTGTCTCAGCGATTCTCTGAATTTTGAGGGTTTTATCGCTAACTGGAACTTGAGGCAAGTAGTAAGTCAGCCGGGCAGGGAGGGAAGTCACTTGCGGGGGAATTGGGCACGGTAGGTCCCGTCAGTAAGAAGACAGAGATTGGTATAGTATTGCAGGTGACAGAGGAGCCTGTGACAACTGACGGGACTTGACAGCCACCTGCCTCATAGCCGCTGCACAGCAGCTGCACTGGTTCAGTCATTTCCTCCACATTTACCCCATGATTTCCGACTCCCCCTCCCCGGCAACCTGAGCGTCAAGGTCTACGCGAGATTGACTTTGCGCCGGACCGCAAGGCAGCAGCCAGCATTCCCCGGAATCACCGGGTACCCCCCCCTCCCCCGGCATTCCCGGCTCCACCTACATGTAGCCATAGACTGCAGCAGGGGTTAGATATCTTAATTACGAGACTTGGTTCCTTGCTCCGGCTGTTCGGTTTACCTTGTGCTTCTTAAGAAAACCATGGCTGAGATTTCAACATGACGCGAGCGTATGCACTTGGAAGCGCGCACGGGTCGCTCATTGATACATATTTAAATAGGTAAAAAAGAAGGGGAAGAACTACTGGGTTGATATGTATGCTCAATTATGCTAAGCTAGAAAAATGCTTGGGCGACTGGAATCGAATCCGCTACCAAATGGAGTTTTGTCTATTCGGGATGCGTCCGGGCATAGGAGACCAATGGCCGGATCGACAGCATCTCCCTCTCGACATGCGCCGCCAGATGCCACTTGATGGCCTCCTCCGGGTCGTCGCCCGAAAACGGTTCCTTGCAGAGGGGACACTCAGTGAATTCCAGTCGAGCCGCCGGGACCTTGGTGAGTGCCTTGGGTGGCAGCTGATCCCAGCCATGGACCAACTGCGCATGCCTTTGGATTTTGTCGCCGTCGAACCACCCGAAGCAGACGGTGCCCTGCTCACACCCCGGCGCGCTGCACTCCCAGTGCCCGCCGTGTCCTCGCATATGGTTGACCCAATCGTCCAGGCAGGCGAACGTGGCATTCCCCAAGCACTCCTTCGCCAGGCAGACATATGGGTGGTAGTCGTAGAGCACGTGGTGCTGCCACATGGCTGGGGTCTGGTACACCGAGACGGGCAACACGTCACTACAGTAGGGACACATGTGCTCTGTCGCATCGGCAGGGGGCTGTGGCGGGGGAGGCAAGAGAAGCTGCCGCTGCTGCTGCTGCTGCTGCTGCTGCCGGGGCCCAAGAATGGCAGGATTCACCGTGTGATCCCCTAACCGATTATCTTGCAAGCGCCAGCTAAGGAGCTTCCAGCAGGCGCTCATTCGGTGCGCGATCCGTTCGCAGAGCCCCAAATCGGCCCTCGGATACCTGGCCTGGAGTCCCCGCAGTGCGTCCGCGCGGAATTGGTTGCCGCGCTCGTTACGGCGTAGCAGCCAAAAGTCTTCCCATATGCTGTCCCCACGCTGTTCGGCCTCCGAGTTCTGCACCATTGTTGATTTTACCTCCTCTGTGAGATTCTGGAGGCGAGAGCGCACCTCCCCGCCGACTTTCTGGAGGCGCTCGATCCCGAAGAGCAGGCCCAGATTGCGGATTACGCCTTCCGTTTCGAGTCGCACGCGCGCGTCGCAGTTCATCTTGAGGGCTTGCAGGCCTTGCTCTACGTGGACCAACTTCAGGCAGAGCGACAGTTGGGCCGCGGGGAAGATGCGTAGCTTACTGATCTCCGTGAAAGTGTAGCCGTCACCATCGCCGACGACAGTGAGGCGCAGTCTCTTTAAGCGATCGGCGACATGCTCGCCGCCATAGAAGCCAGTGAAATCCTCTGCGTCAGTGTCATCAAGGTAATTTGGCAGGTTGTTCAGGATCTCGGCCTCCAGCGCCGTGCACCGACGCGCCCACTCTATCAGATCCACATTGTTAGGGTATCCCGCGTGCGGTAGGTTACATGGCGCCAACATGTCCTCTATAAGATTCATTTTCGAGGTGTTGGGTGTGGTATATAGCCGCGTGGAAAGGTTGATATATCCAAGCGGGCTGCGGGTCTGAAAATGGTTTCTCTCGAGAACTACTTCAGACTTTCTGGATTCTTGTTGATGGAGGAACAAAAACAACAAGAGACATCGAGAAGCTTATATAGCTGCCGCGTCAGTCCTGGCCCGTCACATGTGCTACCGTAAGCAACAGACAACCTCCAGGATGCGATCTCCCGAGTGCCGGGATCCACCGGATTAGCTCATATGGCCCTTGTGAGCATGTAGAGACCCACGGTACCGGAAATCCCAGCATCAATCTTGGACGACGAGCATACAATAAACAGGATGAGCTTTTCCGGCTCCCTTTAGCATCAAGCCGTGGGGCAACACGAAATCAAAGAATGGGCATACAATCCAACGAAGGAAAACACGAATACTACGAGTAGGAACAGAGACATGAAGACAAAGCAGACACAATTGAGCCATGACCTGAAAGGATCTTGACGAAGAAATGAAGAGACACAGAGCAAGCCTACCGAGAGATGGGTCAAAGCGGCAGCAGAGGCTGAACCTGAGTGAAGACGGGAAAACCGGAGTGAGGAGGAAGAGGGCAGGGACAAAACAGGGGGGGAAATAAAAGAAGAAGGGGGATGGATGTAGATGCTTCAAGCCAGGTTGTAAGATGTAGAACCAAGGGCGTCTGCTTTACCCGAGGTTCTGCATCTCAAACCCACCGTCCAAGCCCGGGGTGCTTTCGCTACTGACCCCTATTGGAGGCGACGTTGCGCCTTGTGGACTTGTCGGTGGTGGTGTCGGCTTCTTTTTCCATACCTGCTCAATCCCCTTGGCCTGTTCACTCAGGTCCATATTACGCTTGTTAATGAGCATAAGTGTTTTGGAGATGTTATCCTCTGCAAAGTAGAACCATAGGCGAGTAGAAAATGTTGACGATAAGGGCTTAACATTGTTGTTGGGCTCCAAAGACTCGAGGTCTCTCTGCGCAGCAGTCCCACCCTCTGGGGACTGTTGCCACCTCACCCCAGACTCAAGCTCTTTGGAGGCTAGCTTTAAATCAATCTGTAATCTTGCAATAAGCTTTTTTTTTTTTTTTGGCGTGCACCTGAGATGCGATATGAGATTGTAGACCTACAAGGTACTCCTCAGGCAGCTGAAGCTGCTCGATCCCGAGAATATAGCGGAAACTTTGGAGTAGATCCTGAAGGAGCAAAACATTGACCTTGAGCGATTTTGACTCCTGGTTCTTTGACCCAAGTGTGTCGTTCAGCTTCTTCAGCTTCTTCAAGGTTTCTTGGTCAAGACAGTCACGTCGCAGCGGGCGGAAATTTTCGTCGTGGAGCGCTTCCAGCGTATTGATCGAGTTGTGATACATGGCGACCTCCTGACAAGCGGTCGTGTGCATACTGCCAATCTGCAAATCGATAGACGCTGGATTGATAATGCATGTCATAAAATGCTTGATGAAGGACGGTAGATCTAGGACGTTGGCGAAAGCAAAAGCGGTGTTGGCGATCTGGAAATACTTGAGCCAGTCTGCCATGTTGGGAGCGACCACTTGGGAGTCTGTAGAGTGTAAAAGGTAGAAGCAGGATAAGAAAAGTAGACAGGTTGCTCAGGCTTAAAATGTGGAAGACTGAGTCAACCGGTCTTTTAAGCAACACCTAGTCGCAATGGCTGGTTGCCCATGGGCTTGGAATGTAGACGGTTGATTGAAATCCATAGCCAATATACTGACATGGGTGCGGCCTGTGAAGAGGATGGCTTAGCAATGTTAGCGATCAGGAGGCTACACCTCTTCCTTCTTGTCAGATCTGCACAGGTCTTTCACGAAGAGAAAGCCCTGGCATTAAGATGTAGGTCCTTGCCATATCCTGGCCCAGCAAACCCATTGTGCTCCGTACGGGTTGCTGCATAGTTAGTCTTTATCTGAATCTGATCACGCAACAGATATACGGCCACTGCCATTGTTTTCATTGAGTGCGCCCTTGCCAAGAGAAACAGCACTTGAAAGAGGTTGGAAAGGGGATCTGATGTCAAACGGGGCTTGCGTGAATAATAACAGAAACCTTCCATAGCGGCCAACAAAGACCCGCGTAACCCATTATAGTTAACATCTACTACCCCGCCAATGAAACGGGCGTCTGTTGACTGTGCAGTTCACTTCCTCCGCTCAAAGGTCCCGCAGGTGTTTATTGCCCTGCATCTTTGTACTGGCTTTTTCATATGAGGCATACGAGTTGCCAGACGGCTAGGGACACCTATGATAACCTGTCAAAAAGATATGCTATGTGCATTCCTACGACAAATGCATGCCCAGACTAACAAATGGATGTTCAAGATGATAAGAAATGCCAGGAACTCTGCAGGTAGAAAGAATTCTCACCTTGATCAACCAGCGGATGCACAAACAATATGCGCAGGTGTGAATCTTGGGCTTGACATTTCAGGGGAGAAGCAACGAAACATGAAGATGTTGACATATTGATATGTGCGATCCTCCAACTTCAGGCTGGGTTCTCAATATCCGCTCCCTTTTGGTCATTTGACGGGGTCTGCTTCGATGAAGGATCATCCCCCTCCAGGCCGTATACCCTTGAAGTAACCCCTGTCCTGTCAAGCCATCCGCTAGCATCTAGCTTTGTCTTCTCCTTCGTGCCAGACCCGCCATAGAGCTGGGTCATGGTGATGAACTGCGCCACCAGTGCAGAGGCTGTGAACCGCCCTACCACGCCGAGCGCGTCCAAGGTGCCGATGAACTGCACGGAGGAGAGCACGATCGTTCCATACACCACATGCACCAGCCCGCAGATGTTCGCCAACCCATTGTAAAACCCTTTGCTGGGGTCCACGCTTTCATCAAGATCATCCGTGGGAGTCCCTGCTGCCGTGTCCGAACGCTCCATGGAAAGAAACCTGCCCAGGCAGTCCACCAGTACCGCGAGACACGAGTTTGTCAGCGCCACGAGAGGTGGCAGAACCAGCATCACGAGAGATGGTACCGGCGCGAGGAGCACCCACACCAACTCCAGCAAGCTCATGTTGCATTTCCAGCTGATGATCGTCTGGCTGCCGAGCCGGATGGCGTTCTCCAGCACGTTGGCCGCGGCCAGCGCCACCGCGAGATATTGCACCACACTCCGATACACATTGGGATTTCTGCCTGCAGTATACTCGCGCAGCCACGTGGTCTGTTTGTCGCCGGGATGGTCGGGCTTGACCCAGGGCCTTGCGAACGTCAGCGACGGGGCGGCCAGGATGCTCAGAAACCCTAGGATGGGCCGCTCGCGGAGCAGCTGCAGGCGCTCCTCGATCGTCGGCGCCACCGTCCCCAGAATCGATGGGGTGAGGCCCAGGAGCACCGTCGCCGAGGCCCAATCCCCTTTGTTCACCTCCCCGGCGCCTTTGAGCAGGCACTCGGCCATGTGCTTGCAGGTGTTGGGATCGGAGGTGTTATGGGCGGCGAGGGAGGCATTGTAGTATGCGTGGCAGTCGGGTCGCTCGGTGGTTAAGGTAGTGCGGTAGAAGGGGTAGAAATTTTGGAACTGGTTCGCACGGCTAGTATCGAAGAGCAGGGCTGCACTGTAAATGAGGGCTAAAGATGGTTTCAATCAGTATCTCAATTGGTAAGACCCGTCTGATTTAGATGTCGAGGGGAAGGAATATTTACCAACAATGAGTTTCATCGTGGTAGAGCATTGTAATCATTGATTATTGAGTACACATGGCGGTGTGGTGTATATATTTCAAGGGCAGAAAAAAGGAATAAGACGCGGTACGGAGTAGACTGATTCCAAATATATCAGGGTTCAGTGTTCACGCGGGGCTGAAAGGCGGCGGCAATGTCAGCACTGAGCACCTATCATCGATCGATGCAGCTGACGGGAAGCAATTCACGCTAAAGCAAATTGCTTGGAGGACGGTGTGTTGGCGATGCGCCTGGCTCGTATTGCCCGCACATGCCGTGCATTAGTTAAATCCTGTGCTGCGACGATCAAAGATGGAATAGGGGCGTCCGTAGTCCAGTAGTCAGAAGGCAGACTTGGCAGTGTTCTGATCAGGTCGAGTTGATCTCTCTTGCGCAGAGAAGACAAAGACGAGTAAAGGGCTAACCTGGCGCCTCTTTGGCCTATCCTATACGCCCCAGCGCTTTAAGCCCTCATTTGCGAGTTTGCCCTACTAGCTTCGCCCATACCTTGTACGCTCCTCCAGAATTGCTCGCAAGCACCGAGGGTAAATGACTCTGGACTTCATCTAGGCTTTTCATATGCTCAGGTACCCAAAGGATCTCCAACCGACTCGAGAAGCAAGGTGCTCAACTGCTTGGGCACGAGGGTAAGGGCTGCTCGAAGAGGGATTACTCTATTGATGTAATGGCCGTTACACCATCTGTGATAAAGTCGCACGGGACGTATCCGTATGGTAAAGTAATCGGCGTGACTGTGCTCTGTCTTGCCAATTACGCTTAGCGTGCTCGCTTGGCCACCTTGCCTGTACAAGTGTAATGTAATGTATTGCAAGATATATCGAGGCAAGCAGTCCCAGCTTCCCGTCGCAAAGGAACCAGTATCTCCACCATGCAACGAGTGACGAATTGGCTCGAAGAGAGAAGTTGGCTGACCCCTCTATCACGCAAAACCACCAACAGAGCTGACGATAACCTCCCCGAGTATCAGGACGCGTGGCTGCAAGGCATCGAGTGGGCGGTCGACTACCTCCATGACTTGGCGCTCTTCCAGAGCGCGCTGCATGTGAACATCTATCACCATCTGCGGACGCGGGTGAGGCCCTTCTTGGCTACGCGGCTGCGACAGCGCCAAGAGCAGCAGCAGCAGCAACAGCATGGCGGATCATTCCAGATTCAATACAACATGTGGAAGGCTCCGGATGACCGAATTCTCTCGACCAGAGGCGACACCCGACCGTTGTCGGCGACAGCTCCGTGCAGGGCATTGACCTCCGGCCGAACTTCTGGGTGGGAGGTAAGGGCAACTGGAAGAGGCAGGTTGGTAACAGGATGATATTCCTTCCGGACCGGGAGCAAATCTACTATGTCTGAAAAGGTTGAATTCTTGCATACTCTCTGGAGGTAGCGAAAGGTACTGTTCACTAGTTCCTTGATGCCTCGCAGGATGGAGCAGAATCCCGGTCATACCACTCAGTCATCAGTATACAGTACATACTAGTCCTAACACGATGTCAACTGTACACAGAATATCCAAAATGCTTTCAATCACCAATTTGTAGTTGGTACCGTTGCCATAATAACAATCAGGCTCGGTCAGGATCAGGCGGGGCATCGTCAGGCGGCAGCAGCAGCATTGGATGACACAAGTTTGTCTGTTTCAGTTTCTCTCACTACGCTTGCATCTGCAACGACGGGCTGAAATGGTGAGGAATCAGACTTGACCTGCATTGCAGTTCTAAACTTGCGCCATCTGGTCATACTCGGTGGATCAAAATGCTGTTGGAGATCGGTCCCACGGAGCATAGAAGTCCACCAACCTTAAGGCTCAAAGTCTACCGGTGGCAGTGCGTGCTCAGCTTAGGGCTTTTTCAGCAAAGCACCATCACCTGATGCAAGTAGCCCTAGGAGGGTACTGAACATTGCAACCTGTGTAGTCCCTTCATGCGTAGCCATATCGTGTACAAACTCGCAGTGCTCCTTACCAAAGAGGTCCATAAGGAAGTCTCTTCTCGCGTAAAGTAAAGACTGATTCATTACTGATTTTGTAGCCGAGTCACCGATCATGCTCGATAAAGTCAGCTGAACGCTATTTCGTGTACTTCAAATATGTTTGATGAATGATCATTCATATGTCTGTCATTGTTCAATTATTCTTCTTATATTTTTCTTCTTATGAAAGAAGAGAAAATAATCTCTTACACTGCTGAATATAGGAAAGAAGGTACGGATAGCTAGCCACAATGCAGCCAGGGCTACTGTAACCCACCCCCAAGCGTGCTTCCATAGAATAGGGTTGGGGTCTTCCAGGATTGCCATCACGTCAAGGTGTGGTGGTCATCGCCCCCTAGCGATTCTTGAAGAGCAGATCCACCATGAAATCCAGGGTAATCTGCACAAACGCGACATCCGTCGGTGAGGAAGCCGCCAGGAACTCCGTCTGGCCATGCTTCCCGGTACAGAGCACCGGCGGGCCCTGATGGCCCGGCAGCCCTTCGTGGAAGAACCGCGCCCGGTGCAGCTGGTCGGACGTCGCCACGCCCGCGAAGATCACGTCCAGTGGGTACGTGTGGTTCTGCCGCTGGGTGCGCCACTCGTGCTGGAGGAAGCGCGCCGCGAAGTCCCAAGGGTCGTCGGCCAGATCGGCGGGAACGTTGAAGCTGAGAATCGGGGGCAGCTTGTTTCGGATCCCCGTGGCGGCGGCCGGGCTTGTCTGGAGGCCTCGGACGCCTCTCAGAATGTCCTTGCTCGCGTGGATGGTGATTTTGTGGCCTTCAAATTCCGTCTGCCACGTCTCGATTCCGACGCCAGCTGCGAGCGATTGTAGATCCATTTGGGTATGTGTGGGTGTGGTTGTCGGTTAAAGCTTTTGACTTGTGTTTTCCGGGTGCGGATGGATGCTTGCCGTTGCAGTGTGAAGGATGATCTCTGAAAAGTAGTTAGTTAGTGCAGAAGGGGAGGGGGACGAGGTATTTATAGCCAGCGGAGCTGCCGCAGAAGCCAATCTCTTTGCAAGCTTAAGGGGGTGGATCTTCGATTGCGTAAATAGGATAAAGACCCGACTGCATTGAGGGCATACAGGCAAGAAATAATAGCGGGAATGTTTCTTGATAAGAGGTGATAGAAACAAAGACTCGCAGAAATGTAAGGATATTAGTATATCGGACTACAAAGTGCTTTATCCTATAGAGAGAAGATACTGTATGATAATTCCAGGATTACGTGTTAAAACGTCATTTCATCAGTACCTGTTTGTTAAGCGTAGAAAGAAGAAGGAAATATCATTTGATATCGTATAATTCTGTATTGATCGAATTTGAAATCACTTGTTGATTGGATGAAGATAATGCCTCTTGGCTTACACCAACAAGGATGAAAAATGAAATGGGTAATACAACAACTAGTGGCTGCTGAGCCTGCTACAATGCAGTAAACGGGCTACAGGAACCACTGCCTCCGAACCTACCTGGCACCCCGAGCCGAAAGACGGTCTGTCAGCCTGGCCAGCATGTCGAGGAGCCGGGCGGCGAAGATGAGGGCCCTCCCCGCTCCACGTCTTGTACAATAAAGAGAGCTAATGACAATCGATACATTCCTGTATCAGCCACCTGGAAAAAGAGCCCAGCCTGGCGGTCCTGGCTCTGTTCAGCCAACTCTCAGTTACTATCACAACTGCCCCACTTCATCGCCTGCGGAGTCGTCAAAGTCTCCTCATCCTCAGCAAAGATAACCACATCCTCACCCTCCACCCCTACAAAGGTGCAAAAGCCGCCGCCCGGAGAAGAGATGCTGTACACGATCATGGGGTTATCTGCACGTGTCGAATAGTGTCAGTGATATTGTTTTCCTAAGAAAATAAGGAGAGACAAAGGCACTGCGCCTTCAAAGGAGAAAAGAAAAATAGAGAATAGAAAGGTTTCCGAAAAGAAAAGGTGAAGCAACGTACCAATCTGCACGGCGGTGGTGTCTGTGGGAAAGAGGAGGGAGTAAGATTCGTCCTCGGTTGCGCCGTGGAAGGTGACGGAGACATTGAAGGCTGCGGCGCTGAGGGTGAGGAGGGAGAGGGCGGACAGCAAAGCGGTTCTCATGTTGGTGGTTGAGGATGCTTTGTGAGAAAGGCTTTCGAGGATGCGTGAAGAGTGATATGTTTTATGGCTTCTGTTACGGGTTTACTGAGTTGTTGGGTCTGAGGAAGGTGTGTGACCCGAGCAGGATCATGTTTATATATCATCTTCTCGACCATCACCGAAGCTCCTTTCCCATAAATAGTGAAAAGGTCTCAGACGTAGACACTATATTTAGGCCTCAGCTGTGAGCGCAGAAACCTGACTTTGTACAGTAGTAAGCAATCTCGCACCGAATGACGACAGTCTTGGGGTTGAGTTTAAGACCTGCATGGCATAGTCCCAAAAATAGCACGGATCGTATGCCGATGCAGCCGACCTGACCAGCTGGTTGGATCAACCCTGGAGGTTCGGGCATTTGGGCGGGTTAAGGCGCCCAGTGGCAAGCAGATGATCCGACTCGATCTGCGGGTGTGGCTTGGGCCTTGGAACTGAGGATGGGTGGAGTTCCAAAGCTTATTCGTCACGAGATGTGGTCATTCCCAGAGGTATTCGCTCTCGACAGTTGTAATTATTTCAAGCAAATGTAGGACGTGCTCTCTGAGAAGTTTTCAAAGTCGTGACTGGCGGGTTAGTCCCTTGCTTCAGCGCCGAACTTGCAGAATCTTCGCCATGTCAGTAGTCCTGGTGTCCTCTTTCATGTTCTCACGTCGATTCCTAGAACAAAACGCTAAGAATCCTTTCTGTAGACTGTATTGACGGGAAGTATTCCAACTTGGAGTCTTCACTGGCACAAGCATAGGTCCCGGGCCAACCCAAGTCTGCTGCTCAGAGATCTTACTCACCATGCTTACGCCTAGGTTTGCGCTATGCACACTGGCACGCCGGTTGGACTGCTTCCCGGGCGTGGAAAGAGTCTGTCTTTCTTTTCTTAGGTTGTCTCTCATGTTCTGGCTCATAGATAATTAACATTCGCATACAACATTGATCATTCAAGTCCATCGGGCCACGGGATCAGATCAATTCGAGCCCGGCATATACAGACCTAGGGTTGTCATCCCGCCGCCTTCGCTTCGCTTGGTATGTATAACTCCCTGCTTTACTCCTGCGTCAATTTCTTTGACCCGTGTAATCTTAACTTTTGAATACAAATACTCTACTTCAATGGATAGTCCGATTTCGACATAGTAGTTGCAGAATGTGTCGAGATTGAATCAAGCACGGCTTCGTCAAGAGCTCCCAATCCGGCAGAATCCAAAACAGTAAACCAAGCGATCACGTCGGCGGTAACCATACGCGATGGCTGCCACGAGGTCGGCAGTCTAGGTCTTTCGCCATTTCTCACTGCCGCTGTGTGAAAGTGCAAGATCACCTCTTGCTCTCGTGTGAGCCTCAGCGGCAGGAGCACCCAGTGAGCGGCGTACAAAGGTAGCAAATCAAGAGCTAAGTATCTAGCCTTTTCTTTGATAAGGAGAAAATGATCTTTCGGAAAATTCAAAAATATCAATTAGGCTAGACATATAACGCAGCAGTCCAAACAGGAATCATCCAAGCACGACCGAGAACTTAGTTCTCAAACTCCAGGCCGCCCTCCTGTCTGACGGCACCATAGATGCCGGCCAGATCGCCCTTCTCCCCCTGCTTCTCCTGCACCTTCTCCATGTACTTATCGGCCAGCTCAACACCCCGCATCGTGGCGCCCGCGGTACGGGCCATATCCAAGGCGTGTCTGGCGTCCTTTCTGACCAAATCGATGCCGAACAGCGGCTCCTCGCGCTTGTAGTAGTCGCCCGTGCGCATGCGGTTGGCGTACGCGACGTAGGGGCCGGGAAACACGTTCTCGAAGAACTGCATGAGCGCGTCGGTGCCCAGGCCGGTCTTCTCGGCCACCACCAAGCCCTCGGCGATGCACTCGACCATACCGATGACGAAGGTGTTGCCCAGCACCTTCAGCTGCGAGGCCTTGGCGGGGGCACTACCCGAGAAGTCCAGGAACGACTTGGCGATCACCCCGGTCGTGTAGGGCTTGACGGCCGCCACGTCCGCGGCCTCGCCGGCCAGCACGCAGATAACCTGGCCGGCGGCGGCCATGGCGGGCGCACCGAAGACAGGGCTCGCGACGAAGCGCGCGCCCGCGGCGACGAGCTGCTGGTGCACGGTGGTGGTCGTGTCCGGGTGCACGGTGGAGCAGTCGACGAAGAGCTTGTTCTTGACGTCGGTAGCCAGGGCGGAGGTGACCAGGGAGGTGATGGCGGCGTCGTCGCTGACGCAGGTGAAGATGATGTCCGCCTTGCTGACGGTGTCGGCGAGGGAGGTGGAGAGGGTGGTGTTGGGGGTGGCCTTGACGAAGGCTTCGGCCCGCGCGGCGGTGCGGTTATAGATGATCAGGGGGGTGGTTTGAGGGCCCTTAGCGGCGAGGTTGGCGGCCATTCCCTGGGTTGTGTTAGTTTGAGGTTATGTGGCGTGTTGGAGGATTGAGGCGAAGGGACGTACTCGACCCATGTTGCCGAGGCCAATCCAGGCTAGACGGAGAGACATTGTGAAGGAGGTTGGAGAGGTGGACGGCAAGGCAGTTGAGGATTGATGCTGCTGATGATGATGATAATGATGATGATAATGATGATGATGATGATGATAAGATGGGGATATGCTTGGATCTTTCAGGTCTTCTTATAGTCTCTGAGGGCAATTGAGGCGACAGCAAGATTAGAAATCAGCCCACGCTTACCAAGATGGCTAAGATATGCCGCAAAGTATTCCTACGTGGCTACCATCGCGTATACTACCGAATACCAACTGGGCGGACCCTGCCAAGCAAGAACAAAGGGCGGGAACCAAACCGCTCTGGGATTAGATTCCGCTGCGGAGTCTGTGGCACGGTGGAAACTAATCCCTTTTGGGAAGATCCGATTTTCCAGGGCGGCCTCAAACTTTCCTGCCGATCACGCTAGAATCTTCCAACTCGCTGGGTCGGATGGGTCTGTCTGTCAGTTGAATCATGATGTAGGTTGCGGCGCGGATTGCCAGCGGATTTCTAAGCAGCACTGTTGAGGATGCCGTATAAGACACAATCTCGTCTCTCTTCTAGTGGCTTGTCTAGGATACTGTGCTTTACAGAATAATATCAGGCAACATGCAGATCTCTCACATCGTCTTGCTTCAATTCAAGCCGGATGTCACCTCTGACATCAAAGAGAATGTGCGTTGTCGAAGCTAGCTGCAAAGTGTGAATGCCGGCTGACAATCCCCCTTAGGTCGCTAGTCGGATCAAGGGTCTTAAAGACTCCTGCATGCATCCCGAGACCGGCAAGCCGTACATTGTCAGCATGAAGGGCGGTGTGGATGCCTCCATCGAAGGGCTGCAGGTAAGTCGGGGTCTTTGCTGCGGTGGCTGATAGCAAGCTAATCTTGTGCCGGCAGAATGGCATCAGCCATGCGTTCGTCTCCGTGTTTGAGAACGCCAACGATCGCGATTATTTCGCCAAGACGGACCCTGTGCATATGGCCCTGGTGAAGGATGTTTTGCAGTACCTGGAGAGGGTGCAGGTGGTGGACTTCATTGATGGACAGCTGATCTAGTGCTCTGGGGATATCATGACACTATACAGCTTAGATAGGTAATGCGCGGGCTGCGTTAACATAATCCCAAGTCTCGGTACTCAAAAGACGAGCTAGTACGGTCTGAAATGAACATTTTTATAGAGCGGTGTTATTTGTTCCCAACTACTCTAGATTGCCGCTGCTTCTAAGAATGAAACTTGTGACTGGGGTCTGACTTGGTAAATCCGAAGTTCTTTGTCCCTGCTTGGAATCTCGAAGAACCGTACTAGGATCTGAAACCTTGTATGTCCCGTGGGCCACGTGGAAGCTCCAAGTAGCTTATATTCAATTGGTTTCGCTCGGGTGGGTTCCATGTACGACGGGCGCTCCTCGACTCCTTGACATGCATATACTATGTACTAAATGGAAACTTAGTGCCGATGTTATACAGTAGCTAGGGATGCGGTCTAGGAACAACCCTTGAACTGATGGATCCATACTTCAGATGAATTGTAGCTGTCTGGGGACACTTGTCAGCCCTATGACCTAGCCCTATATCCAAGCCTGGAGTCAAGTGATGAAATTCGGTCGTCAGCGTGCATGATCACGTTAACATAAAGCACATACACAAGAATTCCATCTACTCTGTTCATACTTCTCATAACCAATACAGTCATACCAGTTGGTGGTAACATGTCTTACCCTAACATGTGAACGGCCTCTGATTCAGCCAACTAGCAGTACCTATCCTTATTCCTCGATGTCGAGACCATCTTTCTGATTGACTTATCGGTCAGTACCTGCCAGTGACTCACCCCTCACCCCATTCACCGCTAAAACTGTGCCCTTGGTGCAAAGAAGACTACATGCCCCGCAGCATCCTGCAGCGAAGGCGTGATCGATCCCGTGAAAGCTACAGGGATGCTGCGCGTCTCCCACCAGCCTCGCTAATACTATGGAGCCTCAACACAGTTCACTTAAGCTGGATGGATCATAATATTCCATGAATCAGAGACAGCAAAATAAATGAATTTCGGTGAGACACCGATGAACTATTATCTGAGCCTGTATGGTGGTGTCTGGCTGATGTTCTCGGAAGGGCAGTGGAAGGCGATAACACAATCCGACAGCAAATGGTGCAAGCCAACCCTGACATGGCAACATCCCGCACTCCTCTTCCTCCAGCATCTTCCCCCTGCCGTCCTCCGGCTAACTTTGGCATTCATCACTTTTGTCATCTAGCTTGTCGTCTGAGCGGCTTCTGATCTCTTGTTAACGAGTGGGCGTTGTCTTCTTCGCCTTAGCATTCTGGGCAAGTCATGGCGTGGCCCAAGCACATTTCCGAGGCGAACAGCCTGGAGCTTGACCTCCGAATATTAATCGAATCGCGGTTAATTACAAGACGAGCTGATTGGCCTCTTAGATTGCTATCATATCTCAGGAAATTAGACGGTCGTCCAATTCGCCATCCATTTCAAGGCCACTAGTGTGCACTTGCACCATCGCTGCCTTGAAGCACGCATGCATACGCGCGTTTGCACCTTCAGTGCGCATACTCACCAGCCTCGCACATGTCAAAGTGGAGTATATGAAGCGCACCGTCGCCGCGACAAGTCAAATGTCAGGTGCGTCTCTTTGGTTGAGAAAGATAGCTGGGCATCACAGCGCCGCTAAGCAAGAATGTCGATCTCCCATCAGACATCGGCCCTGGATGGCAAACATCCCTTGGAGGATGTCCAGGCCACCAGCATCGACAGCCCGGTCGAAAACACCAAAGACAAGACGCTGTCGCTGGCTGAACCCGACGAGGAGCCTCAGTCCCGGTCGCTGTTCGCCTTCTTTTCGGACCGCAAGAAGAAGACGATCGACCTGGATGCCATCGCCACCACGCGAAGCGTCTTCGACGACCCGAACCTGGCCCGCTTCTACCAGCCCCATGCGGATTACGAGAACTTGCATCGATTCGATCCGTCGGAGCGATGGACCTATCGCGAGGAGCGAGCCGTGCGGCGCAAGACCGACCTGAAAATTCTCCTCTGGATCTTCGTCATGTTCTTCGGATTGAACCTGGATCGCGGGAACCTGAGCAATGCCTCGGCGGACAACCTCCTCCCTGACCTCGGCATCAACACCAACGACTACAACAACGCCCAGAACATGTATCGCATCGGCTTTCTGATCGCGGAAATTCCGTCTCAGATGATCGGCAAGCGGCTGGGCCCCGACCGCTGGATCCCCGTGCAGATCATCCTGTGGAGTTTGGCCTCGGGCGGACAGTTCTTCATGCACAACCGGGCGGGCTTCTTCGCCTGTCGCTTCTTCATCGGCCTGTTCATGGGCGGATTCATCCCCGACGCCATCCTCTACCTGTCGTACTTCTACACGAAGCGGGAGATGCCGATCCGGTTGGCCTTTTTCTGGTTCGTCGACTCCATCTCCGGCGTGATCGCTTCGTTCATCGCCTACGGCGTCCTGCACATGCGCGGTGTCGACGGACGCGAGGGCTGGCGCTGGCTGTTCCTGATCGAAGCCCTCATCAGTATCGTGATTGGATTTCTCAGCTTCCTGTTCCTGGTCCCGGGCCCCACGCAGACCAAAACCTGGTGGAATCCGCGCGGCTACTACACGGAGCGCGAGGAGAAAATCATCGTGAACCGGGTGCTGCGCGACGACCCGTCTAAGGGGGACATGCACAACCGCGAAGCGCTCACACTGGGCATGCTGTGGAAGAGTCTGAAGGACTACGACCTGTGGCCGATCTACGCGATCGGAATCCTGTTCGAGATCCCGACCTCGCCACCCAAGTCCTACCTCAGTCTGTCGCTCAAGGCGATCGGGTTCTCGACCTTCCACACCACGCTGCTGGGCATTCCGGTCACTGTCTTCTCGGCGATCAATCTGCTGCTGGTGACGGAGCTGTCCGAGCGCTGGCGCCAGATCTGCTACGTCGGCATCCTGACCCAGCTCTGGTCGCTGCCGCTGCTCATCGTGCTGTACCGCAGCGCCAGCGTGCTGTCTCACTGGGGCCTCTACGCCGTCACCTTCGTGCTGCTGGGCTGGCCCTCGCCCCACGCAGCGCATGTCGGCTGGTGCTCGCGCCTCAGTAACGCCGTGCGCACCCGCGCCGTCAGCGCCGCCCTGTACAACATCACCATCCAGCTGTCCGGGATCGCCTCGTCGAATATCTACCGCGACGACGATAAGCCGTACTATCACCGCGGCGACGGCCAACTCATCGCAATTAACGTCGCCACGATAGCGGTGTACGTGCTGGCCAAGGTGTACTACGCCAAGCGCAACCAGTGGAAGCAGGACAGGTGGGCGGCGATGACGGACGAGCAGAAGGTAGACTACTTGGAGAATACGAAGGACGAGGGCAACAAGCGATTGGACTTTTTCTTTGACAGCTAGGGACTAAATATGGGTGGAGTTGGATGTGGTCCCGAGTTCTTTCGGGCGATGTGGCGCACGTATTGGTATTTCGCTGGTGAAAGGAGGGTTGGATTGGTCGTAAGAATATACATAGGGAGGACTATGGCAATATGGCTGCCTGTCACTGTCATCGCTCTCAGAATGACATGTTTTAGCCATTCCACCAGTTGGAGGCTCATTTCTTATGCCTCAAGGCTATGCTTAATATTTACAATCCAGTAGGAAGGTCAATGATCGGTCCTCCAGTTTCCCTTCTCCATCATCTCTTCATCTCCATCCTCCAAACCGAAAGTTCACTCCAGTGGGATGTTCCTCAAAGCCTTGTCTTGAATTTACAATGGAAGAGAATTAGTTCTGGCATCATGGTAATGGTTCAACTATTCTGAAATCGGGCACATCAAGAACCCCCCTCTTCTGCCTTGGCCTGGTAGACGGGTTTCTTTTCGTGCTTCCTATACTCAGTTACGCTCTGATATGCTCTGTGATTTACAGACCGTGCCAAGTCGGGTTCAAGCCGAAGGGCGACGGTAGTAGACGCTATTGCTATCAGTCAGCTAACTAGTAGGTCCCGTACCCGTAGATTGCAGCAAGTATAGCCTCACACCGAGGCCGAATGACGTGATGGAGATAAGTCCACCAACAGGACCCTATTTCTTGGACCCCTGCTTAGCATCTCGGCTATTCCTGAGAATTGCCTGACCTAGACAATAAGCACTATACCGTCTTTTAGATTAACTGCAAGATGCCGAACGCCGGGAAGATGACCACCGACTGCCCCTCGATCACGTCTTTTCCCACCTATAAAGCCCTAAGTGATGCCGTCAGCAGCAAGCAGCCAGTTGTAGACTATCTGACATTTTTCTTTTGCTTTCACTTGGCAATCAACCCCTCCATCCCATTCCAATTTTCGTCAAAGCACCGATCAAAATGGGTTCCATCCAACCCTCCGAGCCAAAGGAGGTGGTCCTCCCCCCGCGACCCCCAAACCTGCCGCACCCAGAATACCGCACCCCGCGCGGCGTCTCCCCGCTGGACTCGGTGCGCGCCGCCGGGCTGCAATACCCCAACTACACCCCCTTCAAACTCCCCAACCTGGCCATCCAACCCTTCGCCGACCGCGGCCTCTCCTCCTCCCCGAACAAGCAGGACCTCCTCTCCGCCGCCGCGGAGATCATCCACCTGACCCCGGAAATCGGCACGGAACTAACGGGCCTCCAGCTGACGCAGCTGACGGATGTCCAGAAGAACGACCTCGCGCGGCTCGTCGCCGAGCGCGGCGTCGTCTTCTTTCGGGATCAGAACATGGACGTTCACGAGCAGATCGCGTTCGGCGCGTACTTTGGCGAGCTGCATATCCACCAGATGGCCGGCATCATCCCCGACCTGCCCTGGGTGCACCCGATCCACAAGGACGAGACGGCGGTCAACGGCCGGAGTCATCAGATTTGGCACTCGGATGTCAGTTACGAGCTGCAGCCGCCGGGGTTGACGATGTTGAAGATGGATACGCTCCCCAGGGCGGGGCCGGGCGGCGAGGAGACCGGCGGCGATACGATCTGGGCGAGTGGGTATGCTTTATATGAATGTGAGTGTCCCCCTTGGATTCTTGGGGTTGAGTGCCCGGGAGGACTGTGAAGGCGAAGAGGATAACGGAGATGCTAACTGGCGAGCGTGACAGCTCTATCGCCCAAGCTGCGCGCTTTCCTGGAGACACTCGAGGCCAAGCACAGCGGGCTGGAGCAAGCGGAGAAGGCCCTGCGCACGAGTGGGTGTCTACGGAGAGATCCCATTGAGACGAATGTGAGTGTCACTGTCTGCATTCCCAGCGTCTCCATGAGCCGAAAAAGGACGGCGGCTAATTTGGTGATCGGGTGACAGCACCCCGTCGTTCGCACGCATCCTGTGACAGGCTGGAAGACGCTGTACGTCAACGAGAACTTCACCAAGGAGATTGTGGGCCTCGAGAAGCGCATCGGCGATGGCATCCTGGATACCCTCTATCGCACCGTGGCGGAAGGGTACGAGTTCCAGGTGCGCTGGAAGTGGACCAAGAACGCGGTGGCCATTTGGGATAATCGCGCCACCTTCCATACGGGGATTTTTGATTACTGTGAGTCATGCTGTCTTTGGGTAGTGAATGTTTCAGAGGGTAAGTGGACGAGAGCGCTAATGTTCTGCTACTGATAGTTCCCCATCTTCGACATGGGCTGCGGGTTGCGCCTCAGGCCGAAACGCCGTATTTCGATCCCAACTCCAAGACTAGGAAGGAGGCGCTTGCGGAGGAGGCTAGCAAGAAGGCGTGATTGGGACGAGCAGCAGGAGTGTGTATGTGAGCGGTGTAAAAAGGACTTAGTCCGTGACGTGAACAGTAGATACTCAAAATAACGTTGATTTATTTTCTTGTTACCATGCGTGCCCAGTTGCTCCGTCAGGATAGTCCATGTGAAGCTCATTCGCGTAAAACCTGCAGACCACCCCTCCTGCAGGCACCATTTTCCCTAGTCCAACCATTTCACCAGAGGTAATATAGCTGCAGGTTTGTTTAAATTAAACCATGATCACGTCAATCTTCTGCAGTCCCTCGCCATGCTCCTCTGCCCCTGTTCCTGAAGACACGCTTCAGGTATAAAAAGGCGTCCATAGCCCCTAGGATCCTATCTCCAGACAAGCACCAGCATCAGCACAATGCTTCTTCTCTCCTCCCTTGTCCTCGCTGGCCTAGCAGCCAGCCAGCTGATCGGCCCCGTGGGTCCCACCACCGACCTCTCCCTCAAGACCCACGAGTGCAGCATCCTCGACTACGGGGCCGTCGCCGACAACAGCACCGACATCGCCACCGCGCTCGAGACCACCTTCACCGAGTGCGTGCTCCCCAACCCGGGCAGTCGACTGATCGTGCCCGAGGGGAACTATCTGATCGAGCGCGGGGTCGTGCTCAGCAACGCGACCAACTGGGCGTTCCAGCTGGATGGGCTAATCACCGCCGCCTACGGGGGCAACTGGACCATTGAACGTGCGTTGATCCTCCAGGGCTATGCCGGCGTGGACGTGCTCAATTCCACCATCAACGGTGAGGGTGACCAGAAGTTTCTGCTAGATGTGCTCGTCATTGTCAATGGTGTGTCTTACTCCTCTCTTCCCTTTGGATTGCTTTTCTTTTGCCCCTTTTCCATCTGGAGTTACTCATCTAAGGTGCAGCGGTTGATTTCGAGTTCTATTCGTCCAACGGACTCGGTGCTATCCAGGGCCAGGGATACATCTATCGGAACCTCAACAAGTAAGTCTACTGTTTCATTCATTGGTGCAGATTCGGGTGCTAATGACCGACTGCAGCACCGATCGCCCCCGTCTCGTGCGAGTCGTCTCGGCTATCAACGCCACCATCCACGACTTGATCCTGGTCGACAGCCCTAAATTCCACTTCGTGTTGGACTTTGGCGTGAACGTCGAGGTCTACCACTTGACGATCCGCGGGGCGAATCTGGGCAGTTACGACGGCATCGATGCTATCGGTACTAACTACTGGATCCATGACAATGAGGTTTGTTTGCTGTCCAGCCTTTTCCCCTACCTCGTCGTACTGATGATCTTGATAATGTGTAGGTCACCAACCGCGACGAATGCGTCTCCGTCAAGAGCCCCTCCCACCACGCCCTGGTTGAGAACCTGGTCTGCAACCAGGCCGGGTCGGGGATATCCATTGGCAGCTTGAACGTATCTGCCGAGATTTCCAATATCGTCAGTGCCCCCTCATCCTGACTAAAAGGTGTTGTATGCTCATCCACTGACCGCGTGAAGGTCGCCAAAAACATCAGCATCATTCAAGGCAACAACATCGCCTTTATCAAGACCTACCCCGGCGGCTCTGGGTACGTCACCAACGTCACCTTCGAGAACTTCCGGTCCAAGGCCAGTCTGTACGGGCTGAGCGTGAACCAGTACTGGCAGAACACCTTCGAGCCGGACACGGGAGCGGTGGCGTTGAGCAACCTGGTCTTTAAGAACTTTTCTGGTACGTCGATCGCTCCAAAAGTCTCCAAGCCCCTCTCTCCCTTTGAAGACATCCAGTTCTGATGCTCATGGCACACAGGATCCGTCGCGCAAGGCACCGTGCGCCCGCCCCTCTACCTCATCGCCAACGACCTCACGTACGCCACGAACGTGACGATCGAGGATTTCACCGTCTGGACCGAGTCCGGCACCACCGTGCTCAACAAGATCAACAACGTTTTTGGGACAGGCGACGACTCCTACGGCGACAACGACGGGATCAAGTCCCTGGCGCCCGGGGCAACCCCCACCACGTACACGAGCACGTACACCATCACGGCGTCGCCGACGGGGTGGACGGCTCCCGCGTCGCCAACCTGGGCGGTGCCGAGTACCGGCTATGGGAGTAAGTGTTCCTTCCTTTTCCCACGTCATCTGAGGATCTCTCCCCTGGGCTGGAAGTGCACGTAGTAAAGTTGGCCGATGGCTAATCTGACGCCCCTAAACAGCTGCGTCGCCGATTCCGGTGTATACCCCCAAGCCGCTGTGGAGGCCGGGAGGGGTGGATTATGATTTGCACTACTGGGGGAGTTTTTAGGAGGAGCGGGTGGTCACTGATATGGGGGATATCAATCTCTAAGTAGAATAGCCACCTCATGATTCACTTGACGAGTCCCGGGGATGATGACACCTTATCATCACTGGAATGGATCCCTTTCTGGCGGACGTCACTCGGCTTGAACCGTCCACTGCCGCGCTGCGTCGGCTCTCAGGGAGCGCCGCAGATAGCCTCTCGTAAAGTTTCTAGTTGCAGTGGGTCGATAACCACTTTTTACTCATCCCCAAGCAAAGTTCTGCCGTCCCTCCAAGTAGAGCTTGAGGCTGTTTCCAAGAGTGATTTAGATAAGTGGTATTAGTTATACTGTGTGTGTGTGTGTGTGTGTGTGTGTGTGTGTGTGTGTGTGTGTGTGTGTGTGTGTGTATCAGATATCCGATCGGTCTCAGAGAATAGACCGCTATCTGTGGATACCGCTACAAGAAGAATCAATAAGGTCATGGAAAAGAGATTAGGGCAGCTCACGTGAGGCTGGTTACAGATTTAAGTTTATCTTGGCGACGGATCACGCCGTGCTGAGGTGCTTGTCAGTCGGACGTTTTCGTGCCCTCTAGTGGGGTTGTGGGGTCGAACCATATACGCCATGGATAATGTCTCACTGCCCAAGAGTGCCGGCATTCAATGCAGTAGTAAATCTACGGAATTTGCTGAAAGTGGTTATCAGACAATATCTACTGGAACAATCGAACCGGTGGGTTCGACGGATGCAGGCTATGTGTAATTCCTTTTGTGGAGGAGGTGTAATGTCCGCTCTTTCAGAGACAGTTTACCAACCTAGTGTTTATAGTAGCACCCGCACCTGTGTTCCCAAGACCAAGTCCTGGAAGCTCTGCTTAAGTGGCGTGGCCCGTCGCCTGTTCACTCAAGTTGCGTCCTTCTTTCAACTTGACGCAAGAGGACAGACCCCTGATCACGATCCAGGGTCTCACCGGGCGCTGAAGGAGCCCCCCACAGCATCAACTCTCCAGCTTTAGCGCACCAGTGAGACCTGCAAAGCATGGTTCACATTGGACATTTGGCCGCTCATCCTCGGAGACCATCGGGCGCGGATGCCAAACATGCATCCGTGGCGTTTTAAAGGGTGGGCCGCCGGCCTTTCACCGAAATAGGTTCATTCATTCACACACATTCACCGGCAACAGCGTTTGTAGGCGCCAACCCTTGGATTCTCCTAATCAATAGCCCGGGTGGCTTTCCCCTCCACCCTCTCATTCAGGATCCCTGTAGGCGGAGTCCATGAGGCATGAGCACTTGTCAATTTAGGGTCAGTGACCGAAACCCTCGGCGGTCGGTGGGGCCAAAGAAGCGGACCGTCGGATGATCGCAGACCCCGGAGGGGTTTTTTTTTTTTTTTCCTTTTCTTATTCTTATTTCATCCCAGGTACTGAGAGAGATACAGGAACTCATGAGAGAATTGAGTCTCTGGGGTTGTCTCCAACGTTTTGACTGAACTTGGTATTCTTGTCTTTGTCTTTGTCGGTTGAAGAAAGGGTATTTCGGATCATTAAAGCGAAGCCGAGGTACAGCCTGGAGAACTTCCTATGTTAACCTCATCTGAGCGAATACTCCACAGTAGGTAGTGATCTTCAGCCACGGAGGTAGCCCTATGGACTGATACTTGGCGGATCGTTTGCTTTCAGCCCCGCGCCAATAGCCTTAACACAAAAGGGATTGTGCTTCAAGTTAAGGAGACTCTGTTGCGCCTACGTGGCAAATATCATAAACCGGTGTAAATCTTGCTCGTGGGTTGAGAGCCTACTGGGTAGACCAAATGTTTCTCATGGTCATCTTGCCATCCTACGACGCTAATTCGAGGGTTTCGAGCAATGGAAAACAAAAATCGCTCATCAGAAGTGGGTCTTTGCTTTAGTCGATGCCAGGCGGAGCATACCGCGAGAACCGAATGGCGCGACTATGCAGAGCTAGAAAACTGTAGTAAGGCATCACGACTACTGAGGTGGTATCTCCAACAACTACCAAGCCAAGTCGCAAGTCTTCTCCCGACTACTCTCTCTCATCCACACCCAACGTGAACTGCTTACCAGGATTTCTTCGCCACAAGAATCTATAAAGGCTGACATCCCGCTGCTGTTGACCTTCCTGTTGACTTCCGATTCACCCCGCTTCCATTCTCCATCTTCCTTAGGCTGAATTATTCGTGATTGACTTTGAAATGGACTCCAGTACCCTCACTGCTCGCCTCGCGATCATTGGAATTCTCTTCTCTTCCCTCTGTTGGATCTATGCGGTTTCTCGAGGCGTCGATCCTGACGTTAAACATATTCTATGGGGTCACGTCGGCTCAGCCATCTACCCCACCTTTGTGTACTCACTTGCCTCGGGCATCGCGGGCTTCATTATCGGCCAGAGCGAGCAGAAGAGCTGCGCCAAGATCACCGGCAGCCTCAACGGGTGGCAGTACGAGTACTACGGCACCGGCCGCAATTGCGATACCACCGCGCAGCGCGAGACCATCCACGGCGCCCTCTACCACTACTTCTCGAGCGTCGAGAGCAACATGACCTGCGGCACCCAGTGCCTGTCCCTGAACCACGGAGGCCCCTATAACGGCTACCTTAAGTTCGGCAAGGCGGAGTCGTTCGACGCCAGTGCCTACTGCGGACAGGGCTTGCCTTTCGCCGCGCGTGCTACGGGGGGCAACAACAGCTTCAAATAGGTATCTTTCTTGGGGGGGGGGCTGGTGCTGCTGAAAATATGCTAGAATATGGCGTGGGCAGTCGAGAAAATAAGAATTATATGGGCACGTGTGTTTAGATGATCACTCGACATTTCTTCGTACACATCCATTGGGACGAATACGAATAGTGTAGCGTTTGCTGAGCGAGTTACCATGATTAGGTTAGGTTCTAAGGACTCACATAGTTGCCCTATTGCAGGGACGCACCCGAAACATTCCTTTCCTCATTCCAGAGACAGTACCGTACATTCACATCTCGCATCAATATCTACAACCAACCCCAACCATCCCCACTACCACTTACTCCACCAACAACCCCTCCACCCCCACCAACTCCGCCTCGCGATTCAGCGCCTCAATCTCCGCCTGCGCCAACGGAATCCCCTCGATCAACCTCCGCTCACGCATCTCCAACTCAATCTCCCCCGGATAATAAACCCTCTCCACGCCCTGCATCTTCTCCCCGCCAACCACCCGTTGATACAGATAATCCATGCGCGCCTTAAACTCCTCCAACCCCATAAACAAATCCGGCTTGATGGCCACGAGAAAATGCCCCACATCCGCCGCACGGGTCGGATCATACGGGCCCGTCACGTGGCCCGCAAACGCACTGCCCGACAACACCCCGGAGAACACATCCATCATGATGGCGAGCGCCGACCCCTTTGGCCCGCCCATGGGCAGCATGACGCCCTCCAGCGCCCTCGCCGGATCCGTCGTGCGGTTGCCCTCGGCATCCAGCGCCCAGTCCGCCGGGATGGGCTCCCCGCGGCGCAGCGCCTTGTAGATCTTGCCGCGCGCCGCGACACTCGGCGCCATGTCCAGGATAAAGGGCGGCGCGGCGCCGGCGGGCGCGCCGCACGCGATCGGACTCACGCCGAGGAGTTTCTCGCGGCCGCCCCAGGCGGGGAGGGCGGGCGAGGAGTTGGTGAACACCAGGCTCATCAGCCCCGCGTCGACGGCCTGCTGCACCAGCCACGCGGACATGCCGAAGTGGTTGCTGTGCTTCACGGAGACGAGCCCGAGGCCGAACTCCCGGGCCATGGCGATGGCGCGCGTCATGGCCAGGTGGGCCGACACGAACCCGAAGGCGTTGTGGCCGTCGACCTGCGCCACGACCGGCGTCGTCTGCGTCAGGGAGGGGACGGCGCGCGGGTCCAGCACCCCCTGCCGGATCCGCGCCATGTAGCTCGGCATCCGGTTGCTGCCGTGCGTGTCGACGCCCCGGAGGTCGGCGGCGATCAGGCAGTCGGCGATGATGGTGGCGTCGGCGGCGGAGACGCCGTTGGCTGTGAGGATGCGGTGCACGCAGGCGGAGAGGGTGGTGTGTGGGATTTGGTGGAGGTCTGTCATCGTGGTTGGGTTGGGGTTGGTCGTGTGTAGCTGTGGATGGGGCAGTTTGTTGAGTGAGGGAGGAAAGCTGCGTGGGTGGGCTTGTGGTCAAGTCGTTGGAGCGTTGGAGCAATACCTATTGCGATGCTGCGAGTGAAATCGTCGGATGTTCCCCGCGCGGGCGGGTCCCGTCCGAGCTCGGATGGCTTCCGCTATCTTTGCGGCATTTGATTGGTTACGGGAGGTACGGTATCGGCACTCCGGGCTGCAATTCTGGTATACTAGATAGGTACAATTCCCGCCTTGCACTTTATAATGAATCCTATTCGTGTGTCAACTGAGGGCCTCTCAATATTCTGATGCTCTACAGCACAGCTCGCACGCTCTCACCCCCCATCTCCTGCATCATCGCCACAATCCGCTCCAACTCCCGCGGCGACCTCGGCACATCATGCCCCGAGTCATGCACCAGCGACCTCGTCATCCCACTCTCACACAACTGAATCGCCCAGGACGACGCATCCCGCAGACCCGTCGGCTCGTTCTGTCCCCAGACATGCAGCGTCGGGATTTGCACCCTCGCCGCCACGACCGGAGGATACAGCAGCAGCGGCGTCTCCTCGACGGGCTTATCCAGGAAGAACGCGCGCGGCTCGCGCGTGATCGGATGCACGCAGTCCAGCAAGCGACTGATCGCCGTCGTCACCGTGCGCAATCGATCCGGCAACCTGTCCAGCTGCGCGTAGTCGCACGACCGGACTGTGCTCCACTCCTGCGGCCGCAGGCCGGGATAGAGGTCCTCGACGAAGGTGCGGTCGGCCGAACAGGCGAAAATGCACGAGAAGAAGACGGCGAAGCGGAAGGGGTACTCCGCAGGCGCGGCGCCGACCGCCGCGAAGCTCTCGAGCAGGTACCCTAAGGCCACGGCGGCCCCGTGGCTAAAGCCGAGGACCCCGTCGAAGGGGCCCTGCGTGCGGATCGTGTGGTCGAGCAGGGTGTAGGTGTCCCTCGTTTGGTCGGGCGACATGCTCCGGGCGTAGCAGTTGAACGGGCCGGGGAACTTCTTGGCCAGGCCTGCAGTCATGTTAGTCCAGGTCATGAAATGTGCAGATGGAGAGACTGGCCCACGGCGGGATGGCACTCGGTCGGTCCGCGCAGGAAGACGAACTCCCAGTCCGGCGGCGCGTGTTTGCGCAAGCCCGCCAGTTGCTGGTTCATGCTGGCCGGGTTGGTGCCGTATCCGTGGAGGCAGAGGATGCGCATCGTGACGGTGGATCTTGATGGGAATAATCTTCCTCGCTGGTCACTTCGAGCTTCCTGGAGGGGAAAACCTCGCAATCCTTTTATGTCACCCCCTGCAGTGGCAAGCCTTCAGCCCCGGTCGGCATGAGTTGCCATTTCAGCCTCCGCTGCAGCATCGGCTAAAATGGCCACCCAACCGTGGGCAAACCAAGCGATACGAACTGGTTCAGCTGAGATCAACCCCAGACTTTGTCAGGTGTACTCAACGTGGATTGCCAGTGGTGTACTCTCAACTCGTCGGGTTGCTTGTCACCTTGCCATCGACTCGTGTGCGACCCGCTTGTCTGCAGGCGATAAGCTCGTCAGCGTCAGCATCGTGTCAGACTTTTGCGGGCGTTGCTGTGGATTCCAAATCCTGACCACAGCAAGCTCAGGAAGACCTAGCTGATGCGGTGTGACAAGCGTTGCATTTGGAGGTCGGGTCGTCACAGCCTACTAGGTAGTTGTGATGTTGTGGTGTTGTGGTGTTGTGGTGTTGTGGTGGAAGCAGCCGCCCGGGAGCCCAGCTGGCGGATTGAGTTTCCCTGTTTCCTAAGCTTTCCGACCCAGACAGCGGGCCGTGGTTTACTGGGTATGAGGGGCCCTCCGCCCAGGTAGGAATAAGTGCTGTGCTGGTGATGATATACATTCAAGCTCCAGGCAACTACTTCGTGGTAACCGTGAATCATCCCTTCCTGGCCAGCTAAATCAGCTAGATTGCCATTCAGCCAAATCACCGGCGCACTGCTAAAACTGTAGAAGCGTCAATGCAATCAACAAGCATGCCCCAGAGACCCCGAGATACAGCTTCATACTTACCCGGTATACATTAGATCTCGCGATCTGAGCCACAGACTTCCAGCTGACCCCAGTCTTTGCAAGGCATTAAGAATAGGTGGCCAAGTGATCCTTCCACCCCCAAACGTAAGCGGAAAGGAGACGGTAGCCGCCAAGCCAACCGACCCAATATAATCAACCATCGATATCTAAGACACGGAGAGATACACAACCTCAAGATAACTCCTAATGTCCATCAAGGTCCCTGTCCAGCCCACTGTCCCAACACTCACTGCACCTACCCGTACTCACACCCATACCCCAACCAAGCCCTAGCACACTCACACCCCTCCCCCAAGCACCCCGACCAAGACCCCTACGTATGGCTTCCTCTGCAAATCTCGAGAGGTACTTGGTGGAGAGCGCATGGTGGCAAGCTGGATACCCTGGTGTTTGTCGGAATGGATAGGGCGGGGTTCGATGGGTGGATGTGGACGGTGTTATGCATCCTTTGTGCAGTCGGTATTATGTCATTGTGCATGTGGGGAAGGTGGAGGGGGTCATGTGGAGAGAGGTGGAGGGGTGAGGGGAGGGGAGGGATCATGTGATGGACTTTGGTGTCGCGTCTGCGCGTGAGGGTCAATTGGCGAGGCTTGAGTGGAGAGCGTGTCAAGATCATTGAGGAGAGGTTTAGGGTTTGTATAGGATATGTATTCATGGCGTAGGTATATTGCCTGGTTCTCGGAGGGTTAATGGTGATGCACCCCCGTAGACTGAAGTTGATGCGAGGCATGAGGTAGGTGTTCTCGTCCAAAGACAAAAGAGCATTGTCTCGTGGAGAGAACTGCAGTTCATGATATCTTATCGGAATCATGTCCTGAACTGAGGTAGATGCTAAACCATCACCGCGTCTTGCAAGTCTCGCCTCATACGCGCGGTTCCTGAGTCTAGGCATAGGGTAAGGCAGCCAACCAACCGGCCGCTAATTATAGTTCTCGACGGAGTGAGCCCTAGCGGTACGAATAACTAAGTGCTGACAGCCGAAAACGGACCTCTCCAGTAGCTCATCAGTCGGTCAGCCTTACTGCGAGCTTAGTGGGTCTTACGCGGAAATATACATCTCCAGCAGTCACCACTCTCTCTACCCATTCCGCAGCAATATACCACGTGCACATTGAACCCCAGTAAAAAAGTATATGCTATCAATTCTAGGTATCTATAAAATGCAAAACCCGCTAAGGTCCAGTCACACGCCGCCCGCCTACTTGCCGAAGACCTTGAAGCGGTCCTCGAGGGGCGCGAAGGCCTTCTCGCCGGCCGGGGCGGTGGGGGTGCCAAAGACCAGCTGGGCGTCGAGCTTCCAGGAGGCGGGGAGGTTCCACTGCTTGGCGACCTGCTCGTCGATCAGGGGGCTGTAGTGCTGGAGGTTGGCGCCGAAGCCCTCCGACTCGAGGGCGGTCCAGACTGGATGATGTTAGCTAGCCACCAAAAAAAAAATGCAGGGAGCGAGGGGGGGGGGACCTACTCAAGTACTGGGCCATGGCGTTGGACTCGAGAGCCCAGGGGTTGAAGTTGTCGGCGTAAATGGCGAACTTCTCCTTGATGGGGGCCAGGGACTCGTAGTCGACGAAGAAGAGGACCTGACATGGTTAGTATGCAGTATGCAGCAGAAAGGGAGGCAACATACAGTGCCGTAGCCGTTGCGGAAGGCGTTCAGCTTGGGCTTGGTCTGGGTCTCAAAGGTCTCCTTGGGCACCTGGCCGGCGGCGACCAGCCCCTCGAGGGCGCTGATGGCGATGTCCCACAGCTTCTGGTGCTCCTCCTTCAGCAGGAGCACGATACGGCCGGTCTGGGTGTTGAAGGAGCTGGGGGTGTGCAGGACGGCCTGCTGGACGAGCTGCTCGATGGCCTCGTCGGCGATGGGGCTCTCGGCCTTGAGGGTGTAGATGGAGCGGCGGGCCTTGGCCGCCTCCAGGATGGCGGTGGTGGCGGGGTTCTTGAACTCAGTGACGGTCATTGTGGCGGTGGGAGTGTGATTGCGTAGAGAGGAATGGTATAGAGCGCAATTGAAGGGTATCAAGAGTGTTGCGTAGTGTTGTGTTGGGGATGAGTTGAAAATGGAGGGGCAGCGACGACGACTCCCCCACTATATAGGCCATCGACCGGGCGACCGCCACCCCATCGTCCGGCTTTCTGCCGTAATTCCACCCGAGAATTGTGTGCCTGTGGGTGCCTGTCCGGAAAGCCCCCTGATCCCACGGATTATGCACCAATTCTCCCCTCCGGGCCCCACCTTATTCAATGCTTATCAAATCGCGGAATTATCCCATGCTGCCACTCAATTTTTCCTTGGTCATCGCTGACTGACAAGTGACAACGACCAACACCCCCTCCACAATCCAGGCAGGATCCCGCAGGTGGAACCTTCCAGACACCCGATCTCCCCACATGGCAGTGCAGAATCGAAGGGATCGAAGCATCCGATGGTTCCTACTAATCCAAAATCATTATTACTTAGATTTCCGCGACGAGCCCGACGCGTGCTGCCTGAGGCAGCCATGAAAGTCCGTGGCAGCTCCGACGGAGGCCTCGGACTTGGTAGCGACGCCTTCCGAGTCCGTCGCGCTAACTGCAGATTCCGCCCTTAACGTTCCTCTCAATGTCCGGATCGACCCTTCCCGAATTTGTCAGCTTACCGGCACTTTCACATAATCAGCATAATCACTAACTAACTACCTTACCGATCTGATAACTAATCCCGCAATTCATGGCTGCCACAAGGCACTGAGGCGCATATGCAGTCTTCTCATTGGGTCGGAGAGCCGATGGCAGTTGGTCCCTCGGGTGCCGATTGGTAGTGCGAGAGGATACTGCACCATCGGCGTGCGCGAACTACGAGATGGTCTTCAAGGGACGAGATGCCAGACCCAGAACACATTGATTTATATACAGCACTAACGACAATCCCCTCCATCACCTCCACCACCAGTCACCACCCTCAGCGGGTACTCAATCCACCCCTGCAACTCCCCCGGCAACGACGCCCTCACCCCCTCCACAACATGCTCATCCCACCCCCTCATCAGCCAACACGACTGCATATCCCGGAGTATGATACTCCAATGCGCGTACACCACCAGCGCATACGGGTCTCTCGCCTCAAGCAACGCAATCATTTCCTCTCGCGCCCGGTAGATCCACCCCATAGCTAGATGCATCAGATGGATTCCGTCCTTGCCTGCACTGCGGATCGCGTATGCTTCCTGGAGAATGGACATCAAATCCTCGATCGAGGCTGCATACACCTCGCAGACAGCAGCATCACTCACGTGCGACGTGATCCAGGACCGCAGAGCCTGGATCTGCGACAGATGCTGGTCCAGCGCCGTCTGCAGTGCCGGGCTGACCTCCTTGATACTATCGTCAGGGACCGGAGTCAGCACCCCCGTGAAGATGCGTTCATGGTTGGTCGTCAGAATTGACCGCACCCCGCGGAGCAACACCAACCACTCGGACTGGCCGCGCTGGCTAAACACCAGGTACTCGCCCACGCGGGGTCCCCGGCCAAAGTAGGCCAGACAGATCAACGCCGCCGCCATGTAGATCAGCTGGCAATTCTCCGGGTTCAGCAGCGCCAGCACCGCGGTGACTGACCGCACCCCGAAGGTGAAGTGGTCGTCCGCCTGGGCGAGGTACTCCGCCCTGGAGTCTGGGTTTTCGGCCGCCAGATGAAGCGCCGCTAGCGAGAGAATGAGATGCAGGATGGAGGGGAAGGAGATTCCCCAGCGGGGCACATGGTTGGACCACACACCATGTGTGTCCCCTTTCTCGTCGGCCAGAGTCTTGTAAGTAGTGGTCATGTAGTGGTGATACAGCTTGAGATCCGCAAACGAGATCCCGCCGGGCGGCTGGCTGGCGGCTAAGTCACACTGTGTTCCGGTCGACACTGGCCCCGGGCCTCGCGCCTCTGAGCCGGACCCGGATGCTGCAGACGAGTCTGGCTGGGTCTCATGTTGGTACTTCGATCGACGAAAGCGATAATGCCGCGTTGCCGTACTAGAGGCGGACGGAACGGCAGCCGGGAGTATGAAGTCGCAGTCAATGGAGTGTCGCACACAGGGACTGCACGCGGGTTTTTTCTCATCACACTGTGAGTACTTAGCCTTTGAACGCACCAGCAGTCCCTCAGGAATGAAGCAAGCGAACAAGCGAATCGCAGAGAAGCCCATCGTGTAGACCGATTCTCATGAACACACCAGGAGGCGACGAGGTAGAGAGAAAGAGAGACAACGAACCTTCACTCGTCTTCGCTTGCAGTTCTGACATCCCAAGCGAGATTTATTGTGCGATCGCCGTGAGCGTACTCGTGTTGAACCTGACTCGGCCATGACGAGGCATGCATGCAGTGGCGGGGGGGAGTCTTGTATGTGGATCGTATTCGTTTCCCTTTGACCGAGTTGGGAGAAGAAGGATCTGAGTGATCGCCTCAGGCGACAATGTGGCACACTCATCACGTGTGTGCATCACTTGGGTCGGTTAAATTTAGCTTCGCAGATGATTGGTGGTACACATGGCTGCCTAACCCATGGTTTCACATCCAGGAACGTGCATGCAAGTATGATTATGATGTGAAACAGCAGCACCGCCATTGCTGTGGGCGTCTCATCCTGAGCAATCCCTGCACTGCACTGCACTGCACTGGGAAGCACCAGTGTAGTTCTCGAGAAAACCTCTTATCTTATCGAGTTGCGGGATCCGATCCGATCGCGGTGCCATGCTCGACTAATCCAGCCAATGACATTCCTGCCCGCAGGGATATCAATCATCACGACATGAAAAGCACCATTGCAATAATCGAGGGGTCGACTGCCGTATATTAATGCATCGACGGCTCCATTGCACCACGGAGTCGTCTTCTCGAGGTTTCTCAGTCTCAGACTCATCGTCTCCCCGGCTGCAACCATGGGCAACAACATCTCCTACCCCACGGACGAGACCCATCTGTCCATCCCCAACACCGAGCTGACAATCAAGGGCCTGCAGAATGGCACGCAGTCCCGGCGGTTCACCGGCGTTCCCTACGCCCAACCCCCAGTTGGACCTCTGCGCTGGCGCAAACCCCAGCCCTTGTCTCTCTCCCAATTAGCCCAAGAATCATCAACTTTCGACGCAACCAGCTTCGGCCCCGTCTGTCCACAAGCCAACTACTCCAAGTCTGTCAGCGAACATGTCCCCGTCCACACCTACAGCGAAGATTGCCTTCGCCTGAACATCTGGACGCCGGTGCCCGACCCCGCAGACCCGAACAAGAAGTACCCAGTAATGATCTGGTTCCACGGCGGGTGGTTCCAGGTAGGGGACCCCAGCCAAGAATTCGGAATGGACCCGACGGAGCTCATCTCCACGGGAGGCTTGAACTGCATCGTCGTTGCGGTGGGGTACCGTCTGAACATCTTCGGCTTCCTGGCCGGGAACGCACTGCGCCACGAATCCGGCGGCCGGGAAGTCGGAAACTATGGTCTCTGGGACCAACGGCTGGCGATCGAGTGGGTGTATGAGAACATCGCACACTTCGGGGGTGATCCCGAGAACCTCATCTTGTCCGGGCGAAGCGCGGGGGCGTACGCGGTGCAGGCGCAGGTGCTGTTCGACTTCCGCGCCGGGCCCGACGTGATCGACGCCCGGTCGCGGGACCGGTTTCAGCGGCTGGTCATGTATTCCAACGCCATCCCGACACAGCCCAAGACCCCCGAAGATTGTCAGGTGCAGTTCGATGAGGTGTGCACATACTGCGGAATCGGGACGGAGGTCCCAGGCGAGGAGAAGCTGGCGCGACTGCGCGGGATCGAGGCCAAGGCGCTGTGCGACGCCATCATGAAACTCGAGCATCACACCTTCCGCGCGGTCACGGATGGCGTGTTCATCCAGCCGGGGATCTTCGAGTACTTCCGGGACGGGGCGTTCGCGGTCGAGTTCCAAAGACGCGGTCTGCGCTTGTTCATCGGCGAGGTGCGCGACGAGAACACTCTCTACGCGGTGACGAACAGTCCCGAGCCCAATCAGGCGTCGTTCCGGCTGCAGGTCGAGAACTATTACTCGCCGGTCACGACGGAGCGGTTGCTGCGGCATTATGAGCTGCCGGCGACGGGGAAGAAGGAGGAATGGCAGGCGCTTTTCGGAAATCTCATTGCCGATGGCCAGGTGCGTGCGCCGTCACGGTTTCTGGTCAAGAATTTGCTGGACCATGGTGTGAGGATCGACGACGTCTGGCGCTATCTCATTGCCTACCGGCTGTCGTTCATCACGGAGAAGGTCGCCCCGGCGTCGTTCGGAGTGAGCCATGCGATGGACCGGCCGATCTGGAAGTAAGTCTCTCCCGCACTCGTGTAGTAACCGCTTGTTGACAGAGTTAGCTACTCGATCATGCACGGACCGACCCCGGAGGAGAAGGGGTTGCTGGATACTTGGATCCGGGACCTGGCTGCTTTCGTGAACAACGAGGCGGGTTACTCCTATGGCACACACGTCGCAGATGAGCATAAGGTGATGACTGCAGAGGGCAAGATTGAGATTCAAAAAGATGCCCGGTGGGAGCCGTTGCTCAAACTGATGGATGTTTTCTCTGGATTGGAGCGTGCTGCCTAGTTTGCCGGTGGGTGGTGGCTTCGGCCTCACCCGCATAGGGAGGCAGCTGACCGCCCGGCGCTCCCTATTGTACCTAACAGTAGTAGCCTTGCTATTACACTGCAAGATGGGAGTGCAATCCAGAGGTGGGATGAGCATAAGAGAGACGAAGCGTAGTTGTAGCAAGCCACTCGAGGCTAGAGTGGAGTATGAATTCTAAAATCGGCAAATGTTCCCAGATGCCATTCTATAGTCTATCAGTCTATCTATATACAGATGTATATCTAGTGCATTCATGACGCGCGATGATGGCTTTCGCCGCATCATCGAACAGACCAATCCGACTTCAAACTATTTTGTCTCGTCGGCAAGGACAAAGTGGAAAACACCGGGCGCCTCGCTCTTGGCATTTCCGTTGTCGGAGACATAGATGCACTTTCTGAAGGTCGTCATGAGAGAGTACAGGAAGCTCTCCTGCTTCTCCTCGTGATAGTTTGCGCCGAGCATGGGCTGGATGGCCTTGGTCGCCTTCTCCGCGTGGTAGAAGGGGATGCGGCTGAACAGGTGGTGAACAACGTGATAATCAATGATCTCGTGGAAGAAGTGACGTCCGATAAAGCCAATGCTGCGGTCGATGGTGGCCAGAGCACCCTTGGTGTAGGTCCAGGTCTCGGCGCTGTAGTGGGGAACGGCAGGGTGGGTGTGCTGGAGGTACGTGATCGCAACTAGTACTGTTAGTTCGCTGGCTTGATCAGAGATTCGAAACGGTGTACTCACTCAGCCAGTGGTGAACCCAGAGGTAGGGAATCACGTATAGGAGCACCACGTTCCAGCCCCCGATCTGGGTGGAGGCATAGTAGAGAACAGATCCCATGATCAGCAGACCCAAGTCAGACAGCGCAATGCTGACCCACTGAGCGCGAGTGAAGATGGGACCGAAGGGGTTGAAGTGGCTGGAGATGCCCTTCAGGGGACGGTTCTCGGGCAAACTCTTGGGGCCAGCGGTGACATTGAGGAAGAGGTACAGCTGCCAGCCCATGAGCTGGTGGCCGATAAGCTGGATGAAAGAGACGATCGGGGTCTCTTCCGTCAAGTGCTTCAACTGCTCGATGCGCACGTTCTTCTTCTTGGCCAGCTGCGAGTCGGTCCAGGGCACAAAGACCGTATCCTTCTCCATGTGACCGGTGTAGCGGTGGTGGCGGGCATGGGTGATCTTCCAGGAGAAGTAAGGCACCATCAGGAAAGAGTGAAGGGCCCAACCGACGAAGTCGTTCAGCTTCTGGTGGCGGGAGAAAGCACCATGACCGCACTCATGAGCCAAAATCCACAGTCCCGTGCCAACGCAACCCTGGAAGAAGCCATAGACAGCCCAGGCGATGATTCGCAGCTCCAATGTAGGGAGGAGGTAGATATGGAAGGCGGCGTAGGTCAGGATAGCGCAGTAGAGGATGTCACGGGCAACGTAGAGGAGGGAGGTGACGGCCGAGGAGTCGAAGCATTCCTTGGGAATAGCATTTTTGAGATCTTGCAGATTGGGGACGGTGTCATCTTCGACTCCCTGTGGAAAACAGTGTTAGTGGTTATTCCCACAGCAAAATCCTTTTGGCCATACATACCACCACCGTCACAATGGGCTCCTTCTTGCGCAATTCGGTCAAAGTCATCTTTGCGGACTATGAATCCCACCGAGTCTTGAACGGAGGAAATTGAATTGTGCGGAAGAAAAGCCATGTGTAGCGGTCCGAATTTTGTAGGACGGGCCATAAGAATGAATAGGGTCTGTGATCAGCGGCCACACTGAGGGAAACCCAATTAGGCGCATCGTGTTCCTGGCTTCTTCTGGAAGGCCGCTCGCCACACCTATGAGAAGGCTGCGGTGGAACCACGGAACAGTGTCAGATTCTGTATCCACGCTAACTGTCAATATCTCAGCGCCCCCTGAGTGGCTGGACGCCTTTCTGAGACTGTCGTGGTTTGCTCCGCCGGTGTAATTCGAGGCCCTCCCACGGATTTCGCCCGTGCACTGTGGAGGTCGGATTCCCAACAGTTTTCAAAGGGGGGATCGGATCTGGAGAAAAACTAGATTTTTGAACGACTCTGGCGCGAAAACAAGGATATTTTCCCTGTTCAAGCCGGGGTTATCGATAAGCCCTGAAACTTCCAGGCAAAAGGGGACTCTCCCCTGAATGTGATAGATTTACGGGCTATAGATAGACGGGAGGCAAGGGATGATCGGCTGCAAGCCTGCAATGGAAGGCCTCTCTCCTCCACCGCCCTCGCATGCCCCCAATCCCCTTTGGGTTTAGTGTCGCGTTTTCTGCCTTAAGGTTTTTTTTGGGTAGTTTTTAGTTTCAACGTTTTTTCTTTCTCAACAATTTTTAGCGAGGGGTCGATTTTCGACGCGTATCTTGCTGATTTTTCCTTCTCGGCCGTCTGCATGCCGTCTGCATTTCGTCTTGCCGTCGTAGGGCTCGTCGAGACACGGGACAATTCGCTCTTCGCCCATTGGCCAGCCCGGCTGAATTGGTCTTGCCCTTGCGGCAATACATTGGCATTTTGCATGCCTTCCCCGGGCCTCCAATGAATCGAATCTTCATGTTGTCAACTCCAAGAACTTCGACAGCAATTGAAGCTCTCCTTCGTAGACTAGCTCCCCGACATCGTTGCCGCTCAGAACGGCCCCGAGCTGCTGCTTCGTGACGAAGATGGTCAACCCGGCAGCCTCTGATGATACTTGTGCGGTAGTCGCTCGGCTCGTCAACACGCCGTTGCTCACAATCAGCCTCCACCCGCTCTCCGTGTCTTTCACGTGAACGTCCATGACAAGAGACTCCGTTGCAGCCCGAGGCCCATGGAGGCGGACGGAGAGTAGACTGAGCCACTGCTCCACCGACTGATGGGGGTGTAGCTCCCGAGCCGCCAGCCCCGGACTGTGGCGCCGGCAATCGCCTCCCTGGCGGAGGTCCAGCGCCCCGGTGAGGTAGAAATTCCTCCATGTCGAGTTCTCCGCGCCGTAACCAAGTTGCTCGAACACGGAAGCCAAAGCCAATCGGGCCTTTTGATGTGTCGGGTCCAGCGCGACCGCATGTCCCAGGAGCGTAGCGGCGAACCGACGGTCTCCATCCCGCGCATACGCCTCAGCTTTCTGAACCGTTGCCTCGATTCCGCCCATGCAGTCGACATAGCGTCTTGCGTTTTCGACGGGCGGATGCTCCCACAGATGGGCCGGGTTGCCGTCGAACCACCCCATGTAACGCTGATAGATGCCTTTGACATTGTGGCTGACCGACCCGTAAAACCCTTGTGCATGCCAGGCCCGCTGCAGCGCGGGTGGGAGACTCAGGGTCTCGGCGATTTCGATCCCCGTCAGACCTCTATTCATCATTCGGACGGTCTGATCATGTAGGTAACCATACAAATCTCGTTGCTCCGCGATCAATTGCTGGATCTCCTTCCGACCCCAGGTCGGCCAGTTATGCCCCGCACATAACACGTCCGATTGCTCCCCGAACAAGACGAGCGACTCATCAAGATACCGCGCCCATGCCTTAGCATCCCGAACCAGAGCCCCCCTCAGGGTGATAATGTTATGCAGAGAATGCGTGGCGCACTCTGCGATGTAAAGCGCCCGATGATCCGGGAAGAAGAAATTCATCTCCGACGGCGCCTCCGTCTCCGGAACGAGCTGGAAGCGGATGCGCACCCCATCGACGACCCTCTCCTCCCCAGTGGCGGTGATATGCTGATTCGGAGGGATCAGCGAGGGCGTCCCCGTCGAGACCGCCATCCCAATCCCACAGCCAATCTGTCCCTCCGGACTCTTAGGCAGTCGCGTCCCGTACATGAAGACCGCCCGGCGACGCATCGCTGGTCCCACATAGATGTTCTCACTCGTCGCTTCCTCCATGAACCCCTCTGGCGCGAGGATAGGCAACGTCCTCGCCTCCTCTAGTGACGGGATGACCCCGCGAGCGCCGCCGAAATGGTCGATGTGCGAGTGTGAGTAGATCACGCCGGTCACCGGCCGGTCTCCGCGGTGACCCCGATACAAGGCCAACGCGGCGTGGGCGCATTCCACCGAGGTCAGAGGGTCGACGACGATCACGCCCTCGTGTCCCTCGACGATGGTCATATTCGCCAAATCGAACCCGCGAACTTGGTAGATCCCTTCAGTCACTTCGAAGAGTCCCTGCACGGAGGCCAGTTGACCCTGGCGCCAGAGCTTCGGATTGGCCGTCTCCGGGCATTCGGCGTCGCGCAGGAAGCTGTATTCCTCATTGTTGTAGACACTCCGCCCGTCCGAGCTGCGGATGATGCATGGCTCGAGACCGGCAACGAAGCCTCGGGTGGCATTCTCGAAGTCGGTTCGATCGGAGAAGTCGGGCTGGACTGGTGGAAAGGACATGGTGTTCACGTTTGGTCGTCACAAGGCGTAGTATTGCCTCGCAGATTTATAGGAAATCCCAGCATCTCTGCGAAGGTTCCTCTGTCGCGAGCGACCGAGGCAGAGTTTGACGTTGGTCGCGATGGCGAATGTATTGATGCCGGGGCTGCGGTCCTATCCCGACTATACACACATGTTGCGGCCGAACTCCGATCGGTAATCGGCGTTAAGCTGGCAGCTGCTGACTTCCCCCGGGAAGATAGTATTTCCGGCTATGATTAAAGTAGTAATATGAGCGAGCTACCTACGGAGTGCCGAGTAGAAGCAAACGACCTAGCGGATGAGGATATGTTCGGCTGCTACTTTGACCCGGAGACTACCTGCGACATCGACTGGGACTCAGACACATCTAGCGTCTGAGGAGCGAAACTGAAAAAGGCATTCTGGGGATACCAGTACCGCAACTATTAACCAATACCATGGGTGAGCAGTGACAGACAGACTCACTAACATGCCACGGCTAGGACCAGTTGGGCAGAGAAAGCTCTGGCCATCGGCAATTGAAACAGTCGGAATGATGAGGCATCTTTGGCCTCGGCTGGGCTCATCATCCCAACTGGTGTGACCAAACACTGGTGGTCACCATTAAGTCCGGGGATAATAAACCCATCCAGTATCGGTAGAATGCTTGCGCGGCCGGGATGGGACTTGGTCTTCGAATCTGCAGTATTGAGTCGATGGAGAATATTTCTGTCCTGCGACTGCGCTGGATCACTATCTGCGATGGTGACTTTGATGGCGACATATTTGTTAGTTTTCTGATCTCGTGCCATCTATAGAGTTGAGTATACGCCAAAGCCAAGCTTATACACGATATAGTATCGGGAATTCAACCACTCTCCTATGTTGATCGGATGGTATCCTCCTGGACGGTATCTAATGTTATTAGTTCCATGTGAACTGCCATCTCGAGCCACGGGCTTCAATGTACTGGCAATCGCTGAGAACAACCTAGAATGTAGCAAAATGCCATGTCCGGTGCGGATGGGCAAGAAAGCCGACTTGGTAAGATAAGAACGCGTTTGCAGCAACATGGATGAATCGACACACGAAACTACACTTGTCCGCATACTATAAACTTGTTGGGGAACTAATGGACTTCCTATTACTGCACAGGGCTTCTTCTGCGATGGGATTTGGTTAAAAGAAGATTCTCGTAAGCAGAGCGCTAATTCCTTAGAGAGGTGAGAGAGGAGGGAAGGACAGGAGGGGGGAAACGAGGAAAACGAGGGAATTAAGGGAGAGCTTGGCATTCGTTCGGTCGATATCGTTATCTTATCGATTGCTCCATGCAATGTGAAGGAAGCAGATGTCAACACAGCAAGGACACTCCTCTCAATGATCATTCACGTGGGAATCTGACCCCCATCCTATGGTACTAAGGCCCCTGGATTTCCAAGCCGAAATTTCTTGGGATTATCTCCGTGTGTTATCCTCGAGGAACACGAAAACGAGGTACGTGGTTCCCTTCTTCTCCTTGGTTCCCTCTGTCTTGCCTCAAATTTCGTTGCTGGATCCGGATACCCTCCGTACTAGCAGTATGGCTGGCCATATGAATTTCGCGAGGCGAAAGGAAGGCCACTGCCCTGTGAAAGACACTGTAGAGCGCATCCTTGGGTAGCTGGACTATTCACTTAGCGGCAATATAGCACAGACATAGAATACGCATTCACGGTAGAATGGGATGGAAAGCGATTGTTGGCACTAGCGAATGTTATCTCTTCTGCCTTCTTCCAGCCTGGACGCTGTGTGTCCACAAGTCCTGCAATGCAATGCCATAGCCTACTCGGCTCTTATCCCCTGCTCTTCGCTGCGGGAGGCAGAGGCCTCGATCAAGTTCGTTGATGGTAGTCGTTCGCGAAGATAACGTCTCAACGTGTACAAACCAAGTCTAGTTTCATGTCTGGATCACAGTCCGCCTCAAGATGATCTCCAACAACTTCATCGAGCTTGACTTTCCAAAGATGCGTTGATTTGCGTGCGGGGAGGATGGTCTAGTCTTTCCCTCAGACGACCTCTGTAGGAGGGGGTGGAGATGGAGGGTTCAACTGACCTCAGACTGCTGTTTCAAGATTACCATATACTCTTAAACTCTAATGACTAAGATGAATATGCACATACGAATCGTTCGATATCGATGTTTCAAGCCCAAACCTTCAAACTGCAGGAATCTGTATTGCCTTGGCATGGCAATTGAACTTGAAGCTGGCGCCCTCCCCGTCTCATATCTCAGTCAACAACAATCGGACACTGCTATCAGCAGAAAAATGGCAAACCCATGCCTTCATAATATTCTCCAGTTACATTGCAGTCTCCCTAACATTAACAACCGTTTGTAAACACATGCTCCGAGCAAATACCCCATGCTTCACAACAATCCCTTACAAACATCACAGAACAACAGCAGCAGCAAGCGCCACAGCAGCCACCCCGGCAACCACCCTAGCCTCCCCAGCAATCAAAGGCCCCGCGCCCTGGCTCTTCGACGAGGTCACCGAGTTCGTCGACGAGGCATGCTCCGTCCCGTTCGCCGTGCTCGTAAGCGTAACACTCGAAGTACCACTGGTCACACCCACCGAAGGACGGTTCTTGGCGCTCAATCCCGAAGTCCCAGCCGCGTGGGAGACCGTCACGGTGGCCGTCGGACCCGACGAGCTGAACAGCGTGAAGACCTCGTCGGTGGTGGCAATGGCTGTCGGCGTCAGCGGGTCAGCGGTGATGGTGACGGGGACGCGCGGAACGTCCTGCGTGACGAAGGTGTACTGCATGGCTTGCTCGGCGGGCCCGATATCGATAGACCTCGAGTTTGCCGCGGACAGCTCCGAGGCTGGCAGGTTGATTTGCACCCTGTTTATGACGGTGCAGGTCGCCCGGGGCATGTTGTCGAAGGCGCATAGCAGGGTTCCGAGCGTGCTGTTGTGTAGAGTACCACCGGGTTTTAATTGGGAGCTGAGGATGACGCTTTTTCTTTTGAGGTTGGAGGTGGTAAGGGGAATGAAGACAGGGACGTACTCTTCATAGTCAGCGGTATCTGTCATGGAAGTGACGATCTGAGTGGTCGATGGCTGAGCGATAACCGTCAGGCCCGCGTCAAAGCGGCAACTGGACATCTTCGGCGAGGTGGCTTCGGGGGGCAGGCAAGTGATGCTGTAGGTGGTTTCGTCTGCATTCTGGGAAAAACAACATCAATACATCAGTACACGGGTAGGTATGCCTTATGGGATCAAAGAGACTAACTCCGCCCATGATAGACGCAACGAGGCCTTCAGTCTGCGCTTCGTCCATTCCAATGAACATATCGGTCACGGTGGCCTGGGCAGCAAGGAGTCCGGCACGGAGCACGACGAGAATGGCCCTGAGGATCATGATCGCGTCGTCTGGAGGTCAGTTGGACTATGTGGAAGGTGCAAAGAACGAAGAGAAATAGTTTGGTCAGATGGAGTGTGAGGGAACGATAGATGTGAGAAGAGGATGTGGCGAGAGGGGGTTTAGACAAGAGACGGAGGGAGGCTGGACTGAGAAAAGGATGTGTTACTCAGACCGGCAGTGTCATACCTTCTTGACTTAGCAGGGGAGCAAATCTTCAAGGTTACCGACCAGAAACTGGGATAAGTTAAATATTGCTCGAGATACTGGATGCAACAAATGGTTGGAGACAGTCTAAGCGTCTATCCTTACGATTACTAGCTTTGAAACCAATTGAACGTGTATAGTACCTTCTAAGTAGTCCCTGTGTTAGCCAAGAGGTCTAAAGATGAGCATTCTTGTTAGCCGGTGCACTCGTATACAGCTGCTGTCCGTTCTTCCTGAAACCAGTGACAACAGCTTGGCTTTCCCTGCTGATAACTCACTGCGCAAAGCTATCCGCCATCTTAGCATTTGCGGCCTTGTTGCCATCAGGAATGTGGGCAGGGTTGAGCAGGAAATCACCGGAACTGTCGGTCGCCTTCTTGTAGAGGGTCGTCTGGCGCTGCAGGTCTTCCAAGATGGTAAGGTACATGTAGGTGCCGCGATCCGTGATGGTGTACTCTCCAGAAGGATAGCGGCGGTCAGCGCCTGGAAGGGATAAGCGATGTAATGGTGGTACTACGTGGAATATGCCGTCGCCCACGGAACCTAGTAGCCGGGAGATGAGCATCGGTGCGACAACAGCGGGACTGGAGCAACGTACCTGTCCAATGCCAATCCAAAGGTCAGAGTCCTTGATGCTGGTGGTAGACTTGACATGCCGTGAAAGGAACCTGGTACGACCAAGGGCGCTGCTGTTCTCGGCTGCAGTGTAGATGCTGGAGAACATGGTCAAAATGTCGGTCTTGTTCAGTTGAGCTGGGTTGGAGTGAGGGCCAACCGACATAAAGTGGTCGCGCCAGGCGTATCAGGCAGGGGCCTTGACCACGCCCCGTTGGATAGCAAGCGACTCTGCAGTAGGATTGTAGGTAATGGTAATGCCCATGTCCACGGTGTCGTCTTTAAGGTAATGGATGGACTCGATTGTGTCACTCTTGTACCAGGCGACCCTGAATGGTGCGGTACCATTTCCCACGCTCGAGTTGATGGAAGTATTCGCGAGTACTGCAACAAGATGATGAGTCAGTCGATTAGGTTGCACATCTACTGATCCTCAATGAGACCACTTTGTCCAGCACCGCCGTTCCCAATGCGAAGCTTCACATCGGTAGCAGAACTGTAGCCTCCGTTGTACAATGTAGTCAGGTCGACGGCAACGGCAAAAGAAGCCAGTGCTCCGAGTAGCGTACTGTGGTAAAGCATTCTGAGCAGCTGGATGCAGAAGAGTAAGCATAGTGGCTGGCGCTTGATCCTGCTTCCTCTGGGGTGCAGCGCCTGTTGTTCAACGCTTTTCTTGTCGAGGGAACCATACATGTCTCGAGAGCCCCTTGCTCGATCGAATAGTTGTGTTGGGACCCAGCCTCGAGACTTATGTCATCGAGTCTAGAAGGAAGAGAGGGGAGTGAGTCCATGCAGCATGGTCAACTGCGTCTGAGCAAGTATCCTGGCACGGGTCTCAAGTCTGAAGGTCACTGGAGCGATACAAAGCGAGGGTACGAGCTCGAAGACAGAGTATTTGCAAACAGGATGGAGAACACCGGAGGATAGAAAGACAGGGGCCTCAGAATTGCATACGAACAAACTCCTGAGCGATATGGGAGGAAGGAATCCGGGTGCACGATTCGGCCCTTTTCAAGTCCTCCTTCTCTTTCCAGCCTTAATGCTAAGGCTGCGAGTTTCATTACCGCAATCTCACTACAGCTCAAACGACATCATCCTTTCTCTGCTTTACTAGCAATCAACTCAGTCACCGCCTTGAACCCACAATCTATTTTGCCACTCCATCTCTCGTCATTAAGCATTACTCTATCACGCATATCGCGGTCTAAAGTTCATAACATCATAGCATCATTTACCTCCACCCCCTAAACCTCTTCCACGGGAGTAGTAGGTCTAGTCGCCATCATCTCCTCCTTGCGCCTCCTTTCATCCTCCATCAACCGCTGACAGAACGGACTTTTCCGCCGAATCCACTCCCCCTTGTAGATAAACATCACTGGAATAGGGATACACGCCAGGCTCGTAAATCCCAGGATCGACGTCGCCCACCCCACGCCCAGCGCAGAGTACATGGGGTCGGCCGCCAGCGGGAACACTGCACCCAGAATACTTCGGGTGATGAGCGAGGCGGACAGCGCGCTCGCGGAGTAGATCTTGTACGCGTCGGTGACATAGGTCAGGAGCGAGATGAAGAGTATCTGATAGCCGACGCCAAAGAACAACCCGGAAAGAACCGGGACCAGCCAGTAGACCTGGCGGTCGGCCGTCCAAGCAAGCCAGAAAAGACTGATGGTGAGACATGGGCCACCGATCAGGCAGATCGGCAGGCGCTGGTACTCCGGGATGGTCGTCCACTTCTTGCCCTGGGCTTTGGCTTTTTCATAATAGATATCGTAGTAAAGAGAGATGAGGCCGGAGGAGGCCGCGCCAACGCCAACTGTGTTGTTCATTAGCATCGTAGACATAGCTGGGACCTGCGAGAGTCATACTGGGTAGAAAGCACAGTGAAGTCTGCTGCACATTGAAGCCGTAAGTTCCTGTACAGCCTCGTCAGTATACCGTCCACAAAAGATGCTTTGAAGTGTATTACCTTCAAAAATGATTGGGTATGCTGCAAAGCAAAAGAAAATGAGAGCATAGGCAAATGAAATATAGAGAGCAATGAACAGGATAATAGGCTCGAAGATGACCATAGTGATAGGTCGGGTGAAGATTTCAAGCAGGCTGGAATTCACCTCCACCTTTTTCAACTCCAGCTGGGAGATGTAGTTGTCTGTCTTGAAGGTGCTGTTCAGCTCCTTCACTTTCTTTTTGAGGATGACGCGCGCAAAAGTCTCTGCTCGGCAGCCCGTCAGTATGCAAAAAGTCCGTGAAACGGCATATCACTGGCCACGTACCCGGAAGAAATAGTGCACCAATCCAGCAGCTTCCAGCCAGTATCAGGTCGATGCGAAAGGTCCAGCGCCAACCATATTGGGCGCTGCACCCCGACATGATTGGTCCCACGATTGGCCCGAAGCTTGCAGCCTATTTCTCTCGGTTATTTTGTGTTCAATCGCATTCAGCAAGGGGGTGCCTGGTCAACGTACAGACATATAAAAGGTCATCACACGGCCACGGTTCCGAGGGCTGGAGAACATGTCCGCATAGACACCACCAACAACGGTCTGCGGTGCAGCGCCCATCGCACCACAGATAAACCGGAAGATCAATAGTGATGGCCAATTCGGAGCGAAAGCACAGGCAAGTGTCGCTAGAACAAAGACCGTGAAGCTTCCAAGTAGAACAGACTTTCGTCCAATGGTTTCACTCAGCGGACTGAATCCCAAGGGACCGACGACATATCCGATGAGGAAAACTCCTGTAGGCAGCACCTTTTGCGAGCCTCCATCGACGCCAAAATCCTCCATGATGTACGGGACCACATTGCTAGGCAGGGAAGACGATATTCCTGAATTCAGCACAAGGAACAACGCGGCGAGGACTGTATATATCTTCTTGGCCTATTGGTTTGTATCAATTGGTCAGCTCATGGAAGATGACACTCCGGGCACCGCAGCCAGAACACATACATGACTCCAGTTGGTAGGATGTGCTATCGAGTCGTGATCGAAGTCTACCACAATTTGATCGTCCATCAGTCTGGTCAACTGATATCCCTCTATAAGCTTTGTACTCGGATCTTCTGAAAGGCCGGATAGAATTCGACCATTGTGACTAATATGCTTATCATCTGGTATGTCGCATGAGAAGTGAGCTCTGCAAGGGTGCGCTTCGAGTCCTTACCTGCAACAACAAGTCTGGGTTTAGAACCCTCGACTTCTGAATCTGGAGCCATAATGTCTCCTCGAACCAAATGAATAAATCTCAAAAAAACAAGAACGATGCACCAGAATCCGATTGTATTGTGTATACCCTCATCTTTCCCGCCATTGCGGGCCCCGAACATTATATATGTTTGTCACTTGTGGGACCCTACAGAAATAGGGTATCAGTGAGTCACGATAACAACGTAACTCTGCAAGCATTGAGGCATTTGATGGAGCTCTTGGCTTGGAGTATGTCTTGAATGCCCAATGGGAGACCTTGTTTATTAGGATCTTGTCAATCGCCAGATCGGGACCGGACCGGCCCCGGTGCAGCGGGATGCCCGCACAACGGCCCCGACCTGGAGCCGGTTCACAATTTTGATGTTGGCAACACAGTCTAGAACTTCGTGAGTCCAGAATTTTCAGTAGCCCGTCATGCAGCACGCTAATGGCCCACTCCAAGGGACGATCACCAGACACCAGGGCACTTATGCAGAGAGTCCCAAGCCCGTTCTACAGCATTGGCTGGGATATGGCCCATGTCCGGTTGGCGAGCCCACCGCAACTTTGTCGCAAAATTGCCTTCTCACTCGCATACCATTCTTGACTTTCTGTCGACATACAGATTATCGCATGTGATATTCGACTGCGCGACAAGCGTGGCTTCCACAGACGTGTCAGGGATTACCTGTCTTCGTGCGAACCACCCATACATCACCCACACATCACCTGTCCCCACGTTAAACATGTGGTGCTAGCCATATGCTGTTGTTTCAGATTGTCGGTTACTGCGGCATAGAAGGCATGGCAGGCAGAAAATCGAATATGTCGTTCTGCTCTTCCTCGAACAAACCGAACGAATCTGCAATCGGGTGACATAGATTCCAGTTGGGAGCTTCCATGGGCCCTGGTGGCCGAGGTGGAAATTGCCTGGGAGGGGCAGATCTGTCAGTATTGGGTATCGAAAGCAGGTCAGTGTCTTTGACCCCTTGGTGAATCGCCTCCGTGGCTCCATAGCTGGGTTGCTCTGACGGTGCCGATGCAGACGACATAGGTACTTTACTGCCGTCTAGACCCTTGTCCAAAAGCAGCTGCTCATTCGCACGTCTACTTTCATCGTGAACATGGAAGCAATCGTCACCCTGTCCGCGCTGGCTCGCGACAAGCGCGCGACCATAGTTGACAAAGATCGACACAGTTCGGTGGATATCCGGGTATGGGGGTTGCTTTAGAAGGTCACATATGAGTTGGGCCCGTTCAAGGAGCAGGTCTTGATCAATCAAGTCTGGCCTCCATCTTGCGATTCGTAATGCGAATGTTGCTGTATGGGGTCAGATGTTCGGTGTCACCATTCACAACAGGGATTATGGCTGGTGGGATCACTCACTGACAAATGCAATTGTCAAAGCTGGATATGTAGGAGTCCATGTCAATTGACATCGATATGATGTTTCTGATATGATCAAACCCAGCTGATCAATGGTTGCTGAGGCAAGCGAGCGCCACAAGTGGGAAACATCCGGATCATCTGTTTCTGAGTCCGATTCGGTGCTGCCACACTGAAGCTTTTGGATCCGCGCCAACGATGCACAAAATGCAAATATCCGAGCATAATTATGCATCAACTTGAGACTGCATCGTTGAAATGCGCCCGCATGAAAGCCATTATCTTCAAGAAACCTTCAGTCAGCATCTCCGAGCATGGTGGGCGGAAATGGGGTCTTACTATTATGAATCTCATCCCAGGTATTCCACCAAGTCTGTAACCTTGCCATGACAGCCGGTAATTCAACGCCAACGATTTCATGAATGGTCTTCGAATTCTCAATAATCATCCGGAATTGACCTAACAAGATCAGTGAAAAAAGAACCGAGGAATATAGTCAAGCGTGCACTTACTCCGAAGCTGGTGAATCTCAATAATGCAAATCGTGCGCATATCGCAAGGTAATGAGAGCGGGTAATCGAGGAATTTGCGTAGTTTCGTAGTATCGACAGCGTCAATTCTTGATTTCCGACCTGTGCCGGACGCGACATCCAGTTCGAGTGTGAAACTGATCAGCCAAGTCCTAGTCTGCCACACCAGCTTCCGCTCTTCCAAAGTCGCGGAGAGAGCACTCCGAGGTACATTCTGTTGTGAAAGCAGGGTGTCTAGCGATTTTTCAAGCCCCGAGTCAAGGGCAGTGCGTAGGATCAGCGCTGTCGAGAACCATGTTTTCTCCGAGTAGGCCGCGAGCAGAACCATCCCCTGAACAGTTTCGACTTTAGTTGGTCGCTCGAAGAAACTGTCCTCTGCCAGTCGCTGTGCTTCATCCTGTAGTACCCGCTGGAGGTGGGTGTTGCTTCGCAGGTCGAGGACAGCCCGGCTGGCTATGTAGATCATGACCGAGAAGCAGAAGAGTGAGCGCGAGCGGATCGAATCGAAGGTGTCTCGAATGGGATCGAACAACGCAAGGAAGTTCTTACTGCCGTTGAAGAACCTGGATCCGAGAGTCAACATTGTCTTCGCCCATGTGCTTGGGTGAATGCTATTTAACCTACCGTTCATACATCGACCGTGCCTGCTCCTCACTGATGATGCCTCGCGCGATAACATCACTTCTCAGATCGGCCTTGTTCGAACTATCCATGAAGATCTGGTAGCTGGGTTAGCAATATGTGCTCTGTGCTATGGGCGCGACTTACGCTGCTAGACCCAAGCAGATTCACTGACATGGAGTGCACGACCGAGACCGGGGCAATCATATCGTTGGGGCTTAACTGCTGGCTGCTGTCTTGACCGTGTTTCTCGGAGGCGCCTGGCGAGCGGAGGTCCCCTGAGTCAGGCAGGGAGTCGAGCGCGCTGTCCAGCGGATTCTCCTGTACGACCGGGCCAGGTGAATATTCCTGCTCGCGAGTCGACGGGGTGTTGAACCCGGTCGGTTCATTCCACGGCGATCTTGCTATCTGTCGTCTACACAGGGAGTCAGCCCAGTTGCACCGGATAAATTTCCGAATCACCTACCGAGAGGGCCTGGGAGACTCGTGGCGCTGGCTGCGCCGCCTTCCATCCACGATGGGATCGAGAATACAGTCGCGACCAGCGCTGCGACAGCGCGCACAGGGAACCTGACTGCGTGCGTCGCACCGCATTTTCTGTTTCCTGCACCAGCGACATGCTTTGAAGAAGCGCGGGGGAGCATTCCCCGATCGGAAGCGTAATTCCGAGATCCTCTCACTCATGATTGTGATTGCTAGCCTGGAGATGTTGGGAAATTCTCCGCCTCGGGATGGTTTGCGGGGAAAGTTGGAACGTGGAGAGCAACCTAATTACGGAGCGGCTTCTCGGTGGGTTTGGGCCGAGTTGCGCCTATGCTTCCTCAGAGCCGAGTGGGGAACCAACAGACTGCCACAGGGCTATCCAAGAGATCAACTGCAATTGTTCTCTGCAACTGTGTTTATTTCTATTTCAGACTGTAACGAACAGGAGGATTAATCACTACTACAGCAAGAGGTACAGTACAATAACTTATTCCGCACGCCTATCACTGAACCCAATGATATACTCTCGAACGTGCAATGCAGTCGTGATTAAGAGAAAGATCTGCCCACAAAAGATACCCATCGCTAGATTGCTAATGGTAGTACCTATCGGTTTCCAGAAGTTCTCGGCTCTCCAAGATGTGGAGAGCATATGCACTCCTGATGTCATTCGAGCCCCTTGCTTGCATACAAGTGCTGCACAAGCTGAACTGAATTCAAGAGGAATCTCAGATGATCGGAGATCAACCCTGGCAGTTGAGCTGTGTCACCACCATCTTATCTTAGATCAGATATGGAAGTCGAGCCTTGAATTGCGATAATGTTTGCCTGGTTGTAAGTCTTTGTATGTTGCGCACAATAGAAGCCCGGTGCAGCTTCATTTGCCTCCGAAGCGCTGCAGTCCCTGCTATCGTTACAGCTTGCTTGAAATCGATCATTTTGGGTCGTATGACCGTGTAAACAATGGCTTACCCATGCCTGAATCAAGCATTTCTCTGGTTCCATTCCCGATCAAACACATTGAGCGACCGTTGAGCTACGAAACAATCGTTAGCACCTCTCAGCTCCTGTAATCAACTCATCACACCGACGCACCAGACGGAACAATATCCAGCGCCTTAACCGACGCATTCACCGGCTGTTGCAACATAAACACCGCCGCGCGTGCGATATCCTCCGACACCAGAGGCCTAAAATACCCGATCAGCGCAATGCTCCTACCCAAACTCTTCCCCACGCCGACCCGACTCGTCTGGGGACAACATACTGATACCCCTCGAAAAACTGATCATACATCTCCTTGTCATGCCCCACGCGCAGCGAGTGAAAGTTCGTGGCCACACACCCCGGCCGCAGCGCCAGGACCCGGATATTCGTGCCGCTTAGTTCATTGCGGAGCGCGTTCGTGAACCCTTCCTGTGCGGCTTTGTTGGTGTGGTAGACGCACTCCCCGGAGAAGGGGGGGACTTCCAGCCCCGTGACGGAGGTGATGTTAAGGATCGTGCCGGCTTTGCGAGGGATCATGGAGGCGTTCAGCACGGCGTGGGTGACGAACATCCAGCCGTTGATGTTGGTGTTGTTCATGGTCAGGATGTCGGCGATTTTGAGCTCGTGGAAGGGTGCGGGGGCGCCGAGGGCGAGGCCAGCCTTTGTGATTGAGGTCAGTCATGTTTATTCTGTGATAAGGGAGGGGGAGGGATTGAGGACATTGTTGATGAGGATGTCGATCTGATTGAGTTCTTGGGTGACGGAGTTCATCGCGGACTCGACTGCTTCGTACGATTGGATGTCGACTGCTTTGCTGATGATTTTGACGCTTGGGTGTTGTTCCTGGATCCTGCTCGCCAGGGCTTTGAGTTTGTCCTAAGTATATTTTAGTATGGAATGTCTTTCCCGTCATGATAACATTTCAATAAATTTCTTACTTCCGACCGCGCGAACAAAATCAAATTGGCACCCTGTTCTGCTACTGAATTGGCAATCGCCTCGCCAATGCCCATCGAAGCTCCGGTCTGCAGCTATATTAGCTTGAATCACGATGGGAGAGATGAGATTGTCACGCACAATGAGCACATTAAGTCCCTGCAGCGACATATTGAGGGCTGATTTCTTCTTGTTGTCAAAAGAGTAGTAATTGTGCCTCGTGAGTGCGTTGTTGAGGGTTCAAACGGGGTATTTTTGAAGATATCCACATGAAGACTGGAACGTCATAGTGGGTACATGTTCAGGGTCTCGATTTCTAATCATCAAAGCTTCAGCATCGTTCATTGGCCAGACCTTGCGCCATGGACCGTCGGGCTCCAAATCGAGTGTAGACATCGGTGGAAGTTTTACATAGTAATGGTATTCATTCATCTTGTCGAGAATGATAAGGTTTCTCGGCTCTCATCTTGTTCAGTCCGCTCTTTTCAATCGGCCCGTGCACATCATACATCATGGACCCGTCCTAAGTCTTGTGTAAAGCCATAATTAGATTGAGCTTTTCCAGGGACAACCTGAGTAAGCAGAGACGATCATAAATAGGTGATGGTTCGTGTCCACTACTAGTTCTGTCGTGAAACGGGCTTTCCAGAACACATATGGTCGACGGTGGGGCAACACATAACTATAAAAGGTCTCCGCTGAGTGGGGAGGATAGAGCATCACCAAAATGATTTTGCCCGAGGTTGCTCGCATATGCCTAGGGACTTCAGAGGTAGAACCATGAAACAAAAGTGCGCATGGTCCTTCGGGTGTGGCTCCTGGGGCTGGGATGAAAACGGCACTTGAAGCAGTAAAGGCATCAAAACAGCGACCTTCGGATAGCATGAGCAGTAAAAGTAGGCAGCTCGAGATGTATGGATGCAGAATGCTAGGATGAGGAATAAGACTAAGAGTCGGCTCGAGTCCAGACGATCGAGGCCTCGAGCCCCTAGCATATATCGGTCGAGATACACTCAAGTAAGTCGTGGTCAGCTCCGAATTCCCATATGCGCTGCTACTGAGATGCTGCAATGCAACCTGGTTTACTAATATGGTAGCCGACTGATTCGGGAGTGGTCGTAGATTTTGAGAGCTGGGCCATCCTGCAAATCACCGATTCCTGGCAGATGCAGCGATATCGACAGATATGCGCGAGCCTTCGCTCATACTCGGGAGGAATGTTGGAAAGGTTCACCCCAGTGTGTTCGGAGACAGGTGCTTCGAGGAAGCCTTATCATTCGCGTTGAAGCTACCTGCCAGCTGATAGGACCTCTGCGAAGAAAACTGGCCACAGTTGTACGTGAGGGTCGACTCCTTGCCTCGGGCGCATGAGGTGCAGTCATGAGATATTTTTGTCGCGCTACATTTGTGCGCCATTTATGCCCTGCTACCCTTAGAAAGGATAGTATTGTATATATTGTGTCTGGGAGGACCGTTGCGAAAGTGAGTGAGTGTTGAAGGGCAACCATGGGGCTCATTACAGAAACAAGCCAGCCTCCAAAGGAGTCTCCAAAATGGTCCGTCAACTCCTATCTGTTGACGAACGCAATCATTTTTGCATTGGCAGGGATCTGTAAGGGCTTTGATGAAGGTGAGAGGCAGAGCTCCACCGTCCAAATCATCAGGCATCTAATTCAGCAGCGAACATCGCATGTCTTGTCGTACAGTCCCGGTTCCGCGTCACATTCGGGGTCGATAGACAGTCACCAGACGAATATGCCAACACGAAAGGGTGGATCGTATCGATTTTCACAGCTGGGGCAATCTTTGGCTGTCTGGCTGTGAGCCAACTCCCACCACTTCATGAATACCTGACCTGCTGACCAAGACTCAATAGTGCTTGCCAGTTAATGACCGCTTGGGAAGAAAGTGGAGTTTGCGTCTGTCAACGTTGATCTATGCAGCAGGAGTCGCCGGGCAGGCGCTCAGCCATGGCAATCTGTCAGCCTTTTACGCATCCAGGTTCATCGCTGGATTTGGTGGTGGAGGCATCACTGTCGTTCCTTCGATGTATATTTCGGAGGTAATGCATATTCATCGGCATGGAGAGTGGGAGTATCGGCTTATCAGGCATTTAGATTGCACCCAAGAGAATTCGCGGACTTCTCGCTATCCAGTACTCCACCTGCCAACAGCTGGGTTCTGTCTTCGGCTTTTTCATCAACTATGGCCTCACCAAGGCGTATGCTGGAAAGGACCTGCAATGGATGGTTCCTACATTGCTCCAGCTAGTACCGGCGGTAATCTGGGGTTTTGGGACGTTTCTGTGTGTGGAATCTCCTCGATGGTTACTGTACGTCGGCCGGCGCGAACAAGCCATTGCCACGGTATCCCGACTCCGCGGCTTGCCCAATGGCCATACCGAAGTGATTTCCGACATCCAGATCATGGAATCGCAGATCTTGTACGAGCGGGAGGCTGTCGTGGGAGCGACGCAGTGGGACCTGGTGAAAGAAGTGCTACTTCCAGTCGAAAATCGACGCCGCTTCCTGCTTGTCTTCATGGCGCACCTATTCTCTCAATGGTCGGGCGCGAGTGCCATTACTCAATATCTCCCCACAATCTTCGGCTACTTGAATATGCCGAGTGAGACCGCCTCGCTAGCGACCGGTTTCTACGCGGTGGTCAAGTTTGTCAGCTGCCTAATCTTCTCATTGCTGGTGATTGATTTCATCGGACGTCGGAGGTCTCTGATGACGGGGATCACGCTTCAAACCACCACCCTGGTCTACCTGGCGTGCTATCTTGGCATCGCTCGCACGATGACCGCGGCCCACATCTCCAATACCCCGAGCGCATCTCGAGCCTCGACGGGAGCTGTGGCAGCTATCTTCATCCATGGGGTTGGGTGGAACATCGGGTGGCATGGTATGCCGTATCTAATCGGGGCAGAAGTGTACCCGATCCGCATCCGATCGCTGGCTGTTTCGATGGGCATGGCCTTTCACTGGGTGTTCTTCTTCGGATGTTCTCGGGCGACTCCCGATATGCTGGAGGTAATGCAAGAATGGGGCGCATTCGCCTTCTTTGCCTGCATATGTTTTGTTTCTCTGATTTATGTGTTCTTTGCGATGCCGGTAAGTGTCCCCCTAGTGCGGTGATCTTGAGGATTCCACGCGGGCGGAGTCGCTAAGTTTGTTCAGGATACGACCGGACGATCTTTGGAGTCACTGGATAGTTTGTTCCAGCGGCCCTGGTACAAAGTCTACCAGGTGGCCTATGCAAAGAATGACAATGTGGGAGGCGTGGTGTAAAAAAAAAAAAAAGTAGCAGTGGAAGGGAGATGGGCTGGTCTAGTTCTATTACTGTGTATCTCCGGTCTGTCAGCAGTAAGTGATAGAAATGGCACGAGACCCCAGGCACTTGATAAGGTATCCTATGGTCCTCTTGATAATTAACTTGACCATAATCTGACGAGATGAAAGAAGAGTGCACGAAACGGGAAGTGGTCAATTTAGCCGGCCAACCTGGCCCAGTGCGACGCTGAAGTGTAACCACCCGGTTCGGTGTATTCGGAAGAGGGGGAAACAATCGATTGGAGGAGGAAATCCGAGGGCTCAGCTGTGGCGGCCATGTGCAAGAGTGCCGCTGCACCTCCACTCACTGGTGGCTCACTGAACACGCACCCAATCCCTTGGTTGCTCCCCATGGTGGCTTCGGTACCATATCCATCCATGATCTGGTGATCTATAGACCAAAGCAGGGATTCAAATGACAGTTCTGCAACCTTGTCACCGCTATAGCATGTATCCCTCCCTATTGGTCTGCAGAATGCCCAATTCCAATATTCGCTGTTTGGGGTGGGTTGGCGTGAATACCTGCGGGATGTTGAAAATGGTTCAGACGTCAGACCAAAAAACCACTTCCATCTTCACATGAATGATTGATCGATTCCAGTTTCCATTCTTCTAGAAGAGAAGGAAGCCCCATTGAACCGACGGTAAACCCCAGGTCAATCATCCACAGGAGGAGATACACAAACCGGGATATATCGACTCTATTCTCTTGAGTTCTGACGAGACAAAAGCCAGAAACATGCTGGACACGGCACGAAGAACCGACCAGTGAGAGCTAGTCTCGTTCAAAAGAAGCGTCGTGTGTCGGAAGTAAGTATAAACCTAAAATACCGGATGGGCGTAGCAAAGATAACTACCCCAACGCAGAGGAAAGCATAGCTTTCCTGTTTTCGAATAGCACAATCTTGGTACAGGACAACAACAACCACCACGAAGCAAAACACCTTCTCTCGGGCCCCGCTACCAAGTAAACTCTCCCTAGTATTTCTACCCCAACTTGGCAACGGTCTAGTTCAAGGATAAGTCTATCGTGAAGCACATGGGTCGGATGCAAGCACGTTAGGGCCGCAGCTGGCTCCAGCATGATGACACAGTCGATCATAAGCCTACCCTAACTCAAGGATGGAGTCAATTAGCAGACTAAAGCATGTGCAAGAACAATAAGAAGGAAGACTCCACTTTCTCCAGCTGCGGCGTGGCCGCATGCTAGTATGTGCATGATCCCATTACGTCCCATTCCAGCTCTTCAACCAGTACTGCCGCGACCATGATGCTTAGTATAGCATCGATTCTATCCCAGATTCCCCAGCACCCCGAGCAGATTGACCTGCTCCAGCACACCCTCCTCTATTTGGTGATCATCTTCTATCACTCGCAATATCACGCCCCCAGCTATCACGTCAAGTTCTCCAAGCATAAACTCGTTCTCTCCCTTCACATCGGCACAGGACTTTTCGAGGTTTTCGAATACCGCCTCCGTCGCGTCCAGCTCGCCCATGATAGGATTCTGCCCAGTGAGCTGGACGTAGTTTCCTGCCTAGTCTGGTCAGCCACCAGTCTTCAGCTGGTTAAGACACTTCGTCGCGGCGATCCCCAGACAACGCGCCCTCCCTACCAAGCAGGAGCCATTCTGCGCCCCGTCGTATGTGTGCTCGCCTACCTGCTGCAGAGCCCCGACCTGCATCGGCTCTCAATTTATGCGCTGGACAGCTTCGTCTATGCACGCGTCTTCATCTTCTTCTTCCATTATACCCCCTATCTGCGGCCTAGACCTGATGAGCAGGCAAAGGCGTCCACAGTTGAGAAACACCTGGTGACGGGGTTGCAGAGGCTGGGGTTCGCTGAGTTACAGGAGCTCCGAAGGGTCACAAACCAGCAGGCATTGAAGAAGCCGCTGACGGATGACTATGTCTCCAGCAGTGAAGCATCTGGTTGAGGATGTAGATCTTTTGACAGTCGCAGGCGTTAGTATCCCGGAGCTAGAGGTGTGATTGTAGAATTCCCCCCGCATTGTATGGAAATATATCTTCGCGGACGTCGTGCACTGCGGGATGGGAGTGAAGAAGTTGTTCGATGAATGTCCCACAACTAATTTAGGATCCCCTGAAATAGAATCATAATCAATGCATTGTTTTGGATATTTAACGAGGTTTGTGACTCGGCCACGGCAAGCGTCTGTTGTTTGCATCCAGACTTCCAGAAGGCAGGCATCGCCCGGGAACCCCGGGACGGACACGCACTTTGGGAGTTCCACCCCACGCTCCGTGAGCGAAAAGCAGCGTCAGACCAGGCCCAAAGCGGAAAGGTTCGTTGACAACCTCTGATGGGATGGAGTATTGTTGCCGTTGCCAAGGAAGCAAGCATGACTAGGTAGTTATTGTGCCTGATGATAGATGACAAAATGACACTCACCATGATCGCTCTGCCTGACTCCGTTTCTCTCCACACACCTCTTGTGGTGGAGAAGATATCCATGAGGGGTTATAAGTTATAACTCTCTACGAGCAAGAACAGCTTGACAGTGGCAAGACAAGTCGACCTTTTGCAGCGGCTATCCATGGCTCCTGGGGTCTCGACCAAATCAAGCCTTTCCCTAGCGGAAAAGCGTAAGGGCAGAAAAGACCCTGTTTGATGTCATCTACTGGTTTACTGGGCTGGCACCCCCGGCGCAATTCACCCGGACAGGAAACCCTCACTATCAATCCCAAATAGATCGCACTCGTAATTATTCATGGCCATCCCGCGGGTCTCCATTTGAGTCCCCGTCTCCGAACTTCCACTCCATCTTCCTCCCTTCTCCCCCAGTCCTCAGTTTTTCCGACTCGGTTCTCTCTGAGATACTTTTTCCTCCCTGCTAGATAACCTAGACTGCATTCTCCCTTATCTTTCTTCTCATCCCGAAGTCAAATTCCTCCTATTGTTCCTTGGAATTCTCATGCGCCGCTCCCGGCGAGACCCGGATCATGGCGGAGGGAATGCGACCAGACCGAGGAGGGCCTGCGGTTTCGCGGGCCTTGACCGTCCCCGCGATCATCACCAGCACCGCCGCCTCCTCCTCCTCCTCCATTCCAATCCACGAGACCTCCACCACCAGCACAACAAATACGAGCAATAGCCCCACGGTGCTCAATCGCAGCGAGCAGAGTCCCAATGCCTCCAAACCCAGCCTGATCCGCTCTTCGCAAACCTTTCCGATCGGTATGTCCGGCCACTCGGTCACGAGACAAGTGACAGAGAAATCAGCTGCTGACTCGGGCGCTCCCTCCCTACATTTAGCTTCTAGTCCCTCGGACTTTGCTTCGGCCTCGAACGGACCCCAACAAGATGGCAAACGAAACTCCCACACCTTGCAGTACCCAAGCAACGGTTCCGTGAGAAACACCGCCTCGTCCCCATCCGTCTTCCAATCGACTACCGACTCGAGCGCCATCGATCCGTTATCACAAGTAAGGCTGACGCGCTTGTTTTCTTGGTCCAGATGTCCAGGTGGCTGATTCACCGTGCGTTCCCGATAGCATATCATCAAGCGCACCAACACCCACAAGTCTATTCCCTTGAAGCTATTGGGTAGGGCCTCATACGAAGCGGAAGTGGGCGGAGGCGATCATCGTGGCTCCTTAGACCATGGCTCAAATCGAGGAGACGCGAATGTGCACCCGAAGCCGTCCAAGGAGAAGAAGTGAGTGCGAAACCTTTTTCGTTGTCGAAGTCGGACCCTTTACCCCGCAATATCGCCATGCGGCTCACATTGCTTTTCCCCCCTTTGGACCTGACGGAACAAGCTTGCTGATCGCCCGATCCTCCCGTTATTAGGAAGGGCGTCTCGTTTCTGAGTCGTATCATACCCGGAAAAAAGAAGGACCAATTCATAGATAACGAGGACGATGTCTCTGAGCCCGAAACAACTCGCATGGATACCGACACCGCTTCGCAGCCGATCGGATTCTTCCCTCGATTCCCGCCGCCTCCAAAATACATTCGCGTAAGAGCCCACAACAAGAAGGAAAAGATATTCAGTCGAGTCTTCGTGGCGCAAGAGCTCGAGGGCGCAATCAGTGCTGCGGGTGGCTCGGTCAAGGATGACTCCGTGTCATCCACCGGAGTACTAAACGAGGCCAACACGGGCAAGGCGATCTGGGCGCTCGTGTTCTCTAATGATGGCAAATACCTGGCAGCTGCTGGTCAAGACAGGAAAGTGCGTGTCTGGCAAGTTGTTGGATCCCCCGAGGACCGCGACCCGGCCGATCCGGCATCGGATAGCGATGATGGTCCTCCCCAGCTGAACGCGCAAGTGTTTAAGTCTCGTCCAGTCCAAGTTTACGAAGGCCACACGGGAAGCGTACTTGACCTCAGCTGGAGCAAGGTACTCTCCACTGGTTTGTCCAGGTGTGGATCGGTGCTAACCCAGGGCTCTAGAACAACTTCTTGCTCTCTTCGTCGATGGACAAGACGGTCCGACTCTGGCATGTAAGCCGACCCGAGTGTTTATGCTGCTTCAAGCATAGCGACTTTGTTACGTCGATCCAATTTCACCCACGAGATGATCGGTTTTTCCTCGCAGGATCACTAGACACCAAACTGCGGCTATGGAGTATCCCCGATAAGAGTGTGGCGTTTGTAGCGACCGTCCCCGATATGATCACGGCTGTTGCCTTTACACCCGATGGACGGCACTCCATCGCCGGAAGCCTCAACGGGCTGTGTAATATATACGAGACAGATGGATTAAAGGCTGTGGGGCAGATTCATGTTCGCTCCGCACGCGGTCGCAACGCCAAGGGCAGCAAGATCACTGGTATCGATACTATGACCTTGCCATGCAACGACCCCTATGGCGAGGTCAAGCTTTTGATCACCAGCAACGACTCTCGGATACGGCTATACAACTTTCGCGACAGAACGTTAGAGGCCAAGTTCCGCGGTAATGAAAACACTTGCAGTCAGATCCGCGCGTCTTTCAGCAATGATGGGAAACATATCATTTGCGGCAGCGAAGATCGCCGCACGTACCTATGGCCGGTAGATTCGTTCGAGAAGGACTCCGACAAGCGGGCCGTCGAGGTGTTCGATACTCATTCGGCCATGGTCACGGCCGCCATCATGGCCCCCACGAAAACGAAACAGGTACTGGGACTCGCCGAGGATCCGATCTTCGACGTATGTAACCCGCCTCCGGTGACTCTAATCAGCCAGGCAGACCGGGAGAACGGGCGGGCGCATCCTAATTCCGGAGCCAGCAAGTTGGCGCAAGAGTCGCCGGCGTATCTGGCTCGGTCGACGCATCCGGACGGGAACATCATGATCGTGGCCGATTACTCCGGCAAGATCCAGGTTCTGCGCCAGGACTGTGCCTACCAGAAACGGCGGTACGACAACTGGGATGCGCACAGCACGATCTCCCGCAAGATTCTCCGGCGCACCAACTCGGCCCGCCACAGTATCGCATCCTCCACCGGGAAGGATTCCACGCACAAGACGCCATCCGAGCGCATCATCTCCTGGCGCAACTCGGTCATTCGTCACGGTACAAGCAACAGCCGGTCGGGAATGCGGACCCCGCGCACTCGCAGTCCCTCCCCGCACAAGTCGATCCGCGACGGGCCATCGGGGCATGCGAGCCCGGGCCGCGCGTCCTTCAACGCGGCACGATTGGACTCCCGGTCGATGTTCACCACCTCGCCACCCCAATCCGCCTACAAACAGTCCATGGAGAGCGGTCGGTCCAGCGCCGAGACCTCCCGCATTCTCGCCAGGGGCATTGAGGGGCAGCAGACGCCCCCGGCGTCGACGACCACGTTCGTCAAGAGGGAGGACAAAGACAACCCGCTGTGGCTGCAGGGCGAACAAAGCTACGCGTTCTACAACAAGATCGCGCGCGACGCGCTTGCGATGCGGAAGAAGCGCAAGCCCAGCAGCGGCAGCGGGCTACCCAGCCCGAACCACCTGGCGGTTCCTGGAGAGCGCAACATGAGCCTGGGGAGTGCCTTGAGCAGCGACTATGGGTCGTCCAACGGCGATGGCGAGGACGGCGAAGTGCTCCGGTGCGAGAACTGCGCAGGCACCAATTTCCGAGCGACCAAGGGGCGCAATGGGAGACAGCGGCTGGTTTGCGTGCGATGCGCCCAGCCGATCGCATAGGTCCGGTGTGTGTAGATGGATAGATCAGGGCCGGGACATTCTGCATAGGATTCGATGTATTTAGTTCGTGTTTTTTTTTTTTCTTTCTTGTATGTACGATAGATGGATGGCCTATACATAGGTAGCCTACGCTGTACAGTAGGTACGAGGGACGAATGACGAATGATATCAGATGAATTATCCCCGCATTACAACACATCTTCTTACCTATCTATGTAACCAACTACCGCAGCTAACCCGGCAGCCGGCAGATCGGCCCCGACCTCTCACCGCCCGGGCCAACAACAGCACCTGCGGAGTGCCAAATCCACCAAAACCCGTGATTCAGCACGCATCCCAAGCATCCACCACCACAACCAGGTGACACAATCACCTCAGTCCGGCTACACGCTGATCCCCTTATATTCTTGCCGTGACAGACCATTATTCTGATCTGAGAGAAAACTGAATCGCCGACACACCACCACTCCACGAACCAAGATGCCATACCTCCCCACCCCACAAGCCTACCTGGAGCAATCCGCTCTGCTCCTGCAAGCATATTCTGATGCGGTACGATACAGCAAACCAAACCCTTCCACAGCTCACCAAGCTCCGAACCAACCTCCATCCTTCACCTCTCCTCCCATTCCCTCCATTCTCATCCCCAACCCCGTCCCCAACCCACCCCACCCCACCTCATCCACCACTAAACTAACAATCCCCAAACCGACAGAAAATAACAACAAAATACACCTTTGCCCACGCCACCCGCTCTTCTTCCTCCTCCAGATCCCAGACCACACAATCCGACGCCTCGCAACAACCACAGAGTCAACAAGCGCAAGAAAAACCCCGCATAGCCACCCTCACCCTCAAGACCTTCCACCCGGAATCCGGTATCTGCCTGAAGTACCGGACCAACAAGGGCGCCGAGGTGGGCCGGTTGATCTCCTCGTTGGGCAAGTTGGCTGCTGGGGCGGATGTAGAGGGGTTGGGGTTGGGGTTGGGGGGTGGGAATACAGGTTCGGGGATTGGGGCGGAGGCTGGGGCTGGGGCTGGGGCGGCGGATGTGGAGATGGGGGATGCGCCTGCTCCTGCTTCTTCTGGGGTAGCTGGGGCTGTGGAGGGGGGCAATGAGGCTGCTTCTTCTGCTGGGGCTGGGGCTGGGGGTAAAAGTGGGAAGGGGAAGAAGAAGGGTGGGAAGGGGAAGCGGTGAATCTCTGATTGCTCGGGGGTTGGGCGGGGGGCTGAGTAGGAGGATTTTATGTGCATATAAAGGAAGAGTGATTGGTTTTAGCTCGATAGGCCCCAAGGGTTTGCTGTCGCGGTAGCGTGTAAAGGAATCGAGATACCCGCGTTGATGGTCAGGTTCGTCCTTGGACTTACAGTAGGTGAAGGTGAACCGATCGAGATGGGCAGAGGACAAGTGCTAAAGTGTGGTTCTCTTCGAGAATGACCTGGTACACGAGCAAAGTACAATACCTTAACTACCATAGCAATATTCAGACATGCTCAATATTATCCAACAATGTACATTCCTAGCTAGATACATAGGTAAAGGTATAAAAGCAAATCCGCCCATCCAACGCCAATCCCATGCGTGTAAACCTCAAAGCTTCATAACACAAAATCCAAACAAGAATTATTCGTAGCCATGGCTGGTGCCGACAACCGGGTATATCGTGGCATCACTCTTCTAAAAGTCCTCGTCAAAGTTGAGACCGCCGGCCGAGGCGCTGGTCTCCTCCTCCTCCTTCTTCTTCGTGCTGGCCATGACACCGGCCTTCTGGTAGTCACCGACACGCTTCTCGAAGAAGTTGGTCTTGCCGGCCAGGGAGATCGACTCCATGAAGTCGAAGGGGTTGGTGGAGTTGTAGTACTTCTTGTTGCCAAGAGCCACCAATAGGCGATCGGCCACGAACTCGATGTACTGGCACATCAGCTTGGCATTCATGCCGAGCAGGGCAACAGGGAGAGAATCCGACAGGAACTCCTGCTCGATGCCGACGGCCTCGACGATGATGTCCTCAACCATCTGCTTGCTGGGGCGGTTGTTGAGGTGGGAGAAGAGCAAGCAAGCGAAGTCGGTGTGGAGACCCTCGTCACGGGAGATCAACTCGTTGGAGAAGGTAAGACCGGGCATCAGGCCACGCTTCTTGAGCCAGAAGATAGAGGCGAAAGAGCCGGAGAAGAAGATACCCTCAACGGCAGCGAAAGCGACCAGACGCTGGGCGAAAGTGGATTCGCGGTCCTGGATCCACCGGATGGCCCAATCAGCCTTCTTGCGGATGCAAGGAACTGCAGCAGGTTAGCATTCTCGTCCAATCACAACTCCAGCGCAAATGCACATACTGTTATCAATGGCGTCGAAGAGGTAGTTGCGCTGCTTAGGCTCCTTGATGTAGGTATCGATGAGGAGGGAGTAGGTCTCGGAGTGGATGTTCTCCATCATGATCTGGAAACCGTAGAAGCAACGAGCTTCGGGAATCTGAACTTCGCCGCTGAAACGCTCCACCAGGTTCTCGTTGACGATGCCGTCGGAAGCGGCGAAGAAAGCAAGGACGTGGGAAATAAAGTAGCGCTCGTCATCGTTGAGGCGGTTGCTCCAATCGTGGAGATCCTTAGAGAGATCGATTTCCTCGGCGGTCCAGAAAGAGGCCTCGGCCTTCTTGTACATCTGCCAGATCTGTCGGACGCGAAAATACACGTTAGTGCACTAGTCTCGACGCGGGTGGGGCGCCCGAGGGCAGGAGCGGAAAAATTCCACTTTACGCGTGACGCGTAGTGGACGTGTCGACTAACCTCGTGGTACTTGATGGGGAAAAGAACGAAACGGTGAGGGTTCTCTTGGAGAAGAGGCTCGTTGGCCTCGAACTCCTTGATACCAGGAGCAACCTTGGGAGCTTCGGCGGGCTTCTCGGCAAGGGTCTTCTCGGCGACGACGTCGGTGGTGGCGGGAGCGTTCTCCTTGCCAGCGGCGTTGAAGTTGAGCTTCTTGACGGGAGAGTCGCTCATCTTGAGGTTCTCAAGCGAGGACGCAGCCTATTCACCAAGGTACATTAGTTGAGTTCCGCGCGTCGACGCGTTGTCGGTGGGAGGCAAGACGTGACATCACCTACCTGCTTGGAGGGAGTGAGTTGTGCGGACATTGTGAAGCTGTAAGGAGGTAGAAAAGTAATTGAAGACAGTTGTTCACAGCAACACAGCAACACACCAGACAATTGATCGGGATGGACTGGAGAGAAAGAAAATGAGCTGCGAAGAGGAGGGACACGCAGACAGAAATACTTGGATGGGACGAGGAGCGTGATCCTTAGCGCGACGGGCTAAGTCACGTCGCACGTGACTTGGCGCGACTTGGGCCCCGGAGGCTGGCTGGAACATGATTGATCCGGACCCATTTTGTTGATGCCGTCGCGTCTACACGTCTTTCTCCATTTTCGCTCTACGGCTGACGCATTCATGATGATGAGCCATTCGCCTGGCTCCAGTCAGACCACCGGCCAGTCGTCCATCCGATGCTCTAGAACTCCACTATTCCAGCAGCTGTAAGCCTGCAACAAGTCTTACAGCTCTCTCCACATTCCTGGAAAGGTACGAGCTGCGCTGTTCACAACTTGCGGCGTCTCTGCCGCTTGTACTCCGTACCTTAGCGTGTTCGTGTTTCGTCGCACTATTCCATCTCGGGTTCTAATGCTGGTCCCTATCTTATCTGATCAAACTTGCTCCTCTGCGAATTTCCCTCCTGAATGCGTGCTGCCGTAAATTTTGCTGCCTTTATTCCTGTCAATCAGACATTCCATGGTGTTGCAAAATAGTCTCCATGAACACCTCCCATGCCTGGACCCCTCACCGGTGTGCTGTACCTTACAGATAACTGCAGTTGCTTAGGCAGCGTTTACGGCATCCTGAGCAATCAAGCTGAGCTCAGCTTTTGATCCCCACTGGCCTAAATCCGAGGCGAAATTTTCTCGAGTTTCTTGTCCGTGCTCACCGATACAACGCGACGCGCCGGTCCCTTTCACAACTCCTCCTGCTCCACCACGGAATTACGGGATTTCTCTGGGCCCCTTCGGCACCGCTGCCTATCCCAATGTGGTAGCCTGGCTCCAATCTAGCATTTATGGCGACTTTTGGGGCCGCAAATAGTGGGTTTGGGGCAAAGTGCTGTTTCCGTCCGGTCGGTGATGACGTCCTGCATGTTCGCGACGCGTCCGCCGTGTTTTGACTGTTGATGCGTAGGGTCATACCCTCGCCTGCTCAAAGGTGCTGAGTGACCATAGTGCTCTTGATGGGTCAATCAATTGGAGCTGGCTCGGACAAGTTTTGTAATCTACCCAGATCTAGTTGCACAATATGCTGTGTCTGCGCGACGCGTCGCGTTCCGGACTATCGATCCGACAGGAACAACATGCGAACTACGACGATGTCATCTCGGACAATCCTGGTCTATACTGGGGCAAACTAAACATCGGGCTACATAAAGGCCCACTTGGGTCCAACCAAGGGTACAATTCGTCTAGCTTACACCTGGAGCTTGTAGTGGCGTCGCGCCTTTGACCCCTTGACCACACAGAACTATCTCAAATGGTATCGATTGAGTGCCTCTTCTGAACCAACTAAGTTTATCTTGTTTCAAGGTCTATGATATCTAACATCACACGACTAATCAAGGTGAAACGCCTATGTGCACAACAAGCCGAGCAAGCAGATGCCATTACTCAACCATGTAAAACCCGATTGAATATACCGAAATGCCTCTATAAATGTTCTTGCAAGGTAAGAAGGGTAAATTGGAGTCGCTGGACGAAGGTCAATTCATTAGAGTCGAGCCTTGAGTGAGTCGGAGAGGAACCGGTCCTCCAGTCTACGCATGTATTTGTTGGTCTGTTCGGCCAAGCTGAGTGTCAAGATCTAGAAAATCAGTTAGCAATTGGCTGCCGGACTTCGAAGTCCTCTGCTCTGCACTTACGGTGTGTGGCAGGATACGGGCAAGATGGGCGAAATATCCCTTATAGATCGCAAGGATGCCCTCAGTGCGAATGGTCTGGAACAAGCAATCGAATGCGCCCTTGTACAGGTTACCGGTCTGGTTGTACATTCTCGACATGATCGTGTCTGCAAAAAGGGTCAGTTTGATCAGGCTGCTGCGAATACAATATGGCACAAACATACCAGGAGGGTGCATGACACAGCAAACCACAAAACCGGAAGCCGTGCTGCTGGCCAGGTGCAGAGCTGGCCCGTCTTCCATACCAAGGTGCTTTGTCAAGCGACGCTTGGCAAAGAAGTAAGTCGGCAGCTGAACCGAACTACCAAAACCAGTGCGCACCATGGCTGCGCCCACACCACGATACAACCCCTTCACTCCCTCGGTCTTATAGATCTTGCTCAGACCATCGAAAGAGTTGCGATAGTTGTGCTGCGTACCGACAGGAAGGAACGGCGAGAAGGATTGTAGACGGGTCTTGACAAGGAAGAATGGCGAACCAGCTGCGGCGCCGATGATGCCGGACGTGGCACCCGCGAAGACGTTGATTCCCAGGGACTGCACCTGGCTGTCTTTGTAGATCGCATTTGTGATGGCCCCGCGCAGAGGTTCGTAGAATCCGAGACGACACCCGTTCAACAGGACTTGATAGATATACTGAGAAGCGCATTAGTCCGTGCGATATCCTGTTGTTCGTCGTGAGCAATGCTTACGGCAGAGCCAATACCCCGGAAGAGACCGCGAGGCCCCTCATTCTGCAAGATAACCTTGACACCGTGGAAAACACCTCGGTATTTTTTGACCGCATCGGTCTTGGATTGCAACTCGCCTTGCAATTGTAAGCTAGGATACCATCGAATTAGCTCTGTATATCGTGAAGCGCCGGCTAACAAGTGAGGACAGAAGCGCATGGGTGCAAACATACCGAATCTTGACAGTCTCAAAGCTATGAGTTACTGTGACTGCTCCACATGCTGCAACACCTCCGGCAATAAAAGCTCTGTATGGAAAGTCGATCGAGTCAGCGCGATCACGAATATGACATTTTTATTATGAGTGCGACAAACCCCGTTGTCGTCGACATGGCGGCTCAAGGATCGTCTCCGCTAGCGGAGCAGAGTCAATTGGCTTTTGCGCGCAAAATGCTGGGATGTGAACTGTGGTAAGAACGCGGAGTTATCTAGCTATACAACAGGCAAGAAGACCCTGAGAAGGCGGAGGGTGAGCTTTGAAGAATAAGATTGTTAGTTGTCGGTGACACAGTCAGGCCAACGTAAGTGAACAATTCATGCAGGCCAGCTCTCCAGCCGGGGTCTGACTGTCTGACGTTCGGCTCGGATTCCGTGACTCTCAATTGGTCAACATGCTGCATTTTCCGCACGGGGCCTCCGACCATCGGCCGATCTGCTTAGGTCAGCTCTTAAGAGCCCCCGATTATAGCCGGCGGGGCGGAACAATGTTATTTCGGGAGAGCTTCAAACACGAACAAACAGGCTGGGGAAGGCGCGTTTACCACTGGCAATTCCGATAAAGCTCTACTCAGAGCACTTCAGCGTGAGACGATACAAGCCAAGAGGTGCACAGAGTTCTGCCTGTGTCTCATGATCAACATAGGCTTTCTTTCTGGTTTATCGTTAACAACGCGGTCGCTGCTCATCTAATCACAAGCATGGCGGAAGTACAATCCACACCCGCGGCGCAGCAGCAAGCGCAGCAGTCGATGCTCCAGACTCAAAAAGTGTCGGACATCATTCGTAGCTTTCGCCCGACCAAGGTGAGTGTTAAGACCTAGCTAGACCTGTATGCGCTACTTCTCTAATGCATTTTCCTTCTTATAGGCATTCCGGCCCCCCAAGCAAGATACTGCCCACTATGTGACGTCGTTGGATTTCGATGATCAAGGTGACTACTTGGTGGCTTCTGGTGACGATGACACCATTCAAGTCTTCGACATCAAGGAGGGCAAATCTACAAAGTCTGTGCCTAGCAAGAAGTACGGGGCTCATCTGGCGCGCTTCACGCACCATTCTCGTCAAGTTCTGCATGCCAGCACCAAAGTCGATGGTACGTCTCCTACCACAGTGTCTCGTGTTTTGGTCTGTACTTATCCTTCCAGATTCCCTGCGATTGCTTGATCTCCACAACGAAGGCTACATTCGGTACTTCTCCGGTCATACTGATAAGGTGACCTGTTTGGCTCTGTCCCCTGGCGGTGACTCCTTCATATCGTGCTCCAAGGACGACACTATCGCCCTCTGGGATCTCAGCTCCCGAAACGCCCAGGGTAGGCTGAAGCTGGCAACACCTTACCTCGTTGCCTTTGACCCGTCCGCCTCGGTCATCGCGGTTGCTTCGCAGTCTACCTCCTCCATTCTGCTTTACGATTACCGCAATTACGACAAGTCCCCCTTCTCCACCTTCGATCTTGCCCCTCACGAGGAGCGATACACTCCGTCGACGCGCGGAAGGGCCTGGACTCGACTTGAGTTCTCAAATGACGGGAAATACTTGCTTGTGGGTACCGACTATCATGGGCATTTCATTCTTGATGCCTTTGATGGTTCTGTGAAAGCATTCTTGGTTGGTCGGGCTGGATCCCCGGGTCGGGCTGCGCCCGTTTCCACAACCGGAAAGCCTCTCGGGCAGGGCGATGCGTGCTTCTCGCCAGATGGGCGATATGTGATCGGAGGATCTGGAGATCAACCGGACGTCCTGGTGTGGGACTTGCAGCAGACCCCTGATGCCAACGGTTTACTACAGCCAATGACGAAGCTTCCTCACCGTGGTCGAGCTGCACTGGTGGAATACAACCCTCGCTATAACATGCTGGCTTCCGCCGACAAGGAAATTGTATTCTGGCTCCCAGAAGACAGCTCCAGACCATCAGAAAAGTAAACGTCTCTGATGACTGACAACGGCCAGCCGGTGTCACCTTTGCGATGCATCATTATGACAAGCCATTCTCACTACCAATCCTCGCAAACCAATCAAAGCGAAGGACAATTCAGAAGACCGGTATGATTCCCTCTTTTCTTTCTGCGGTGCGATCTATTGTCTAAAGCAATTCAGTATAAATCATCTAGTCTTTGCGGCCCTTCTCTTTCCCTATCAAACTCCTCGCTGTATCGCATACCCAGATCGAAGGCCCCTCCAGACTATCGTCTGCCCCTCTATTCTTCTCGACAATGGACTCGATTTGTTTAACCACCGTGCGATTGCTTGATATCGTCATCACGCCGGCAGCCCACCCGTACAAGAACACGCTGTGGTTGATGTCAGATAGTACCGGCTCTATCTTTTCATAGATAGACGGAAGTCTAGCGAGATCCTTTGCAGAAGCTATTGTCGGTTTCGCATTGACTGTCATGACAGGAAGTCTCCAGTCTTCAGGGATCTCATAGTCGGACAGCTTCTGAAAGGCCTCGATGAGACCCTCCCGAGTGCATTCAGCAAACGACTCATGACCCATTAATATTCTCATCCGCTGCTTCTCAGTTTCGGTGCCGATGATGTTGACGATTTCCTGCATTCTCTGGGCGGCCTCTTCGGTGCAGACCAGATCACGGCCTACCATTGCCGGCCACAACTCCGTGGGGAGCAGTGGGCGGCTGTGCTCAACCTCAATCTGACGGTTGATGGCCTTGTGATGCGTGGGGGAGGTGGAAATATCTTTGTAATGCGACAAGTCCGAGACTGCCGCCAGCAGCAATGTACAGTCCATATTTAGGGTAGACGTGAAATGCTTGAAGGGCTTAGGAAGCAGCCTCTCCAGCGCTTCAGCTTGCGTGGTCTCGCTTTGCGAAGAATATACATTCTCCCCACTAGTCACATCGATCCCATACCCACGTATGACTTTCAGAAGACCATCGATCTCGGGACTCGAGCCTTCCTCTACCTTAGGAATGACGAGCCGCAGACGCGGCGTTCTGTACCGCACCCTCGTAACATTAGCCGCTTTCCTCATATCACTAGCCAGCTTGACCAGCTCGATCTCATCATCATCGTCCTCATCATCTGTCCCCATCTCATCCTCATAATTCCGCAGCACCGTTCTAGGAGCCCCCTCCCCATCCTCCTCCGACTCATCCGCCTCCCACCCTTTCTTCGCCATCTCAAACAACAGCCTCGTCTCCGAAATAGTCGACACCTTCACCCACTCCTCCCCATCATCCGCCACAATATCCACAAACACACTCTTCCTCTTATCCTTGCTGCTCCTCTTCTCCCCCGCCCCATCTTTACCGTTCTCGTTGCCCTGGCCCTGGCCCTTGCCAGCATCATCCCCCCAATAAAACCGCTTCCCAAACGCCACCAACCCCGAACACGACCCCTTCGCAATCGCCCACACCGCCTCGTAGAACGGAAGATTCGACGACCTCAACGCATGCGCCAACCGCGCCCTGACCTCATCGTCGTCACCGTCACTGCTCCCATCTTGTTGAGGTGCAGCAGCAGCAGCAGCAGCAGCAGCAGTAGCTTCCTGCACCTGCGCGTCAAGCTTCTCCAGCATGCGCAGCTCGGAGAGCACGCTCGAGCGCAGCGAGCGCACCTCCACGATCTGCGGGTTGCGTTGCGTCTGCGCGAGGAGGGTTTGCAGGGCGGTGATTTCGGCGAGGAGGGCGCGGCAGCGCGTGACGAGGGTGGTGGAGAAGGTGCTGCTGCTTTGGTCGGAGGGTTCGGAGGGGGTGGTTTTTGTCATTGTTGAGCGGGGGTTCTCTGGCGCGTCTGGGGGTTTGGCGTGGTGGATGGTGTTTCGTGGTTTTGGGGTGAGGATGGGTTGGTTTGGGTTTGGCGGCGGCGGTGGGGTGGAGGGGCGAGGTACAATGTACATACACGGGCATTTATCGGCGGTAGGGAATGGAGCGAAGAAGATAGAAGGTTAGGCAAATTTACACCTGAGTCATGACTGGATCTGTGAGGCTGTGGGCAGAAGTGAGACACGGCTAGCAGGCTGCTCACGGCCATTGCAGCTGACGGCTGCTGTGCTCTTTTAAGCTGAAAACTAACATAACGCAAGCCGCGGCGCGTGCCGATGGAATGCCTAGTAGTTCAACCATATTGCTCAATTCAAGCTATTTGAACAGTCGCTGGAGATGCAATTTACTACTACTGAGTAGAGCTTGCATATTCAAGCTTCTTCTCCAGAGTGGACCATATCCTAAAGCACAAGTCTTCATTTTGAACTAGAATCAAACACACTTTATACACTATGTAACAACAAATACTTCATCCCTCATCAATGAAAAAGATATTAAAAAGGCTAATAACGAAACTCACTGGGAATTCACCTTAGCCAAACGCCATCTTATGCCTTCAAGCAAATTAAAGCGAAACTGAGCCTCCAATCCTACACGGCAACTGTTCTCGGGACGCAGGGAACTCTCCTCCAGCCACAGACATAACGCCGTCCTACTGCAGCCACGAGCCACCCTGCAACCCCGATATGACGATTCAGTGCTTACCGGTAAGACGCTGTCTTTCACTGGAGTTGCGCGGTGATTCATCCTCATCATCCGACCATCTGTCGCCGTCTTCGCCAACTGCGAAGATAGTCTCTCCATCCAGGGATTCCCGGGGGCGTGATGCCGAGGGAACAGGCTTTGGCGGGATAGGCGACAGGTTACCACGCTGTTCATGGCCGACGTGTTCTTCAAGGCCACCAAGGGCGTCTTCCTCATCCAATGCACTGCCAAACGACCGGATCTCGAAACCATCATCATCTTGGGCAATCTGCAAGTTTGGTCAGCGACAATCCTTGACATTCCGCACGAAGGATATTTACCTCATCACTCATCGCAAATCGGCGGTTGTTCGCAGTGGGTCGCCACAAATAGGCGACGAACGCAATGTCAAAGAGATAGACAATGTTGAGCCAGCCATCCAAGACGAACCATCTGGTCTTCCAGTGCTCAGGAACAAAGCTGGCTTCACTGTGGCCAGCAAAGTTGATCGAGTTGAGGAAGAAGAAGCCGAAAATCACGATGATGCTGCCAAGGATGCACCACCACAGTTTCTTGTACATCATCGCCTTCACTTTCTGCTTGCGGTCAATCAAGTCCTTCATGGTGGCGTTCAGTGAGTTCAATGTCCAGACGTAGAAAGCAGTCAATGTTCCCGCGAGTGGCAGAACAATGAGCAAGACCAGTGGACCGGCGCTGTCAGGAGTGATAGATAGACTTGCAACAGCATAGATCACAGCGAAGACGAAATGGGTGATGGCGAGAACGCGGACATAGATCATAGTCCGTCCGAGCGAAGGTTTGACAACGCCGTATCCCATGCACACGATAAGAAGGAGGAAGAACGAAAAGGAGTTGCGGCCTGCATTCAGGACGGCTACTATAACCATCAGCGCTTTCGCGCCGCCATTCAAGCCGTGCACATTTTGATATTCTAAAACAAGGTTAGCGAAGCATCGGAATCTATAAGATTGGGTCCGGCATACCATAAAATCCCCAGGTCATCGCCTGCTCAACGATCAAGAAGACCAAAATCGCAGTAATGTAATTTTGCACGGGCACTGTCCAATGTCAGTCAAAGTTTGACATCCTGGCAGGTTGTTGACTTACGGATATCGTGACGATTCTGCACATAGAGAAAAGCCCAGAACCTATTACCATCAGCTGATTGCCTCAAAGAACGATATGATCTCGAGAAACATACGCTCCAACCACAGCATAGACAATGGTCAAGCCACCATAGAATGGCAGCTTTGCAATTTGTGCCGCTGGGAGCTCTCCGTACGAATTCCTAAATTCCACAACGGCCTTGTAGTCGGTTCCAGAGTATCCGTATGTGCTCACACAGTAGAAGCCGGTCTTCTTGATCGGATAATTGATGGCGGTCGGATTGTTGAGATGCACGGCTTGGGTGATGATGGGAAACTTGGCGGCTTCGGTAGCGTTCGCAGCGAGGATAAACGAGCCAATTTGATCTTCCTTGCACAGATCTGCCTGAACACTGGCTTCATCGCAGATAGTTTCGATCACCTAGAAAGCATTGGTTGATCAGAGGATATTCACTCAAAAGCCACTCTCCGGCGGGGCAGACATACATCGGAGTCGCCGGGTACAGGCCGCCCGATGAGGTTCTCATCAGTCCATTCGAAAATCACCAGGCTGACAATGGGATCACTGTCGCCAGCGCTCGAGTCTTGAACAAACTTCGTCAGGATAAAGGGGTCTACGCTTCCACCCCATGCTTTGCGGTTGTACATTCCCGAGCATCGCTGCCGACTGGCTTCATCTTGCGTCTGTGAAGCACCCAATGTTAAAGGTGAGCGATGGAGAATATGTAGGATGAGGGCAAACGCACCAATGCAACTTCATTTGCGAGGACATGTCCAGCAAATAAGGCAGTTAAGCCCAGAGTCTGAAGCCACCCTCTCATTCTGACCATAAATAGGAGCTAACCGGTGGGTTACTGCCAATACAGAGCTCCGGATTCGCCGAGCGCAGAAGATGGGGTACGGTTTTAAAGCATATGAAGGTACAACAGTGTGAAAAAGTCGAACTGTCAAAGATCAAGAGAGGAGAAAGAAGACAACTCCCAAGGACAACCGACAGTTGGTTGCGTATAGTTTTCGGAGAGAATGTGAATTGTACAGCGATCGCACGAATTCGTGGCTACAACCTGAAACCGGGGAAGCCGCGCGTGTTGACGGTCCCGCCGATTGAGGATTATCTAAGCCCGTGCTGCCACTAGAAGAATTTCTGCCTGGGTTCCAGTTCCAGTTTTCCTAATCGGCTTCCCGCTGCGCTGCTCTGCTTGTCTGCTTGTCAATCCATCACCGCATTTGACCTCGATCGTCTCACTCATTAGGACGATTTTACAACATGCCCGGCAAGGAGATCCCAGATCGCTGCATGAACTGCCGCGAGGCGCAACCTGCCTTCATTCTGCGCAGCCGTCATGTCTGCCAGTAAGTGCCCCGGATCGCATTTGGTTTGGAAGTGGCGCCGCCCGCAGTGACTGACGGAAGGTGCCCCTCTTCTAGGGACTGTTATATACGCTTTGTGAAGTACAAGCCTTTCAAACGCACGGAAAACTATCGCCTTAGGAGGAACATGCCCCAAGATGGCCCATGCAAACTCTTACTTCCTCTTTCCTACGGCCTGTCATCTACAGTCATGCTGCACATGTTGCATGAACAAGTCGAAACCATGCGACTCAAGCCGCATGGCCCCAAGGGCTATGAGCTGCTCGTCTTAACCATCGATCCGTCAACCATAAACCCTTCTATACCTCCGCAGGATGAAGCCTTCAGTCTGGCTGAGAAGCAATTTCCCCACTGCTCCTTCACGACCGTTCCTTTCCACAGCATTTTTGATTACGATCCCAGCATTGGCGAAGTCATGTCACTGTATGCGCACGCAAAGTTCGAGGATCAACCTTCATTGTCAAATCAGGAGCGCCTTGAAGCTTTTCGCTCGTCGATCACAAGCGCAACTTCAAAAGCGGACGTCGAAAACATTCTTATCAATCGACTTATCGTCGCGTTCGCAAAGAAAATGGGGTGCCGAGGCATAGTATGGGGAGATTCAGACAGCAAGCTGGCCGCCAAGACTCTTGCGAATGTTGCAAAGGGCCGCGGCTCCGCCGTGACCTGGCAGGTCTGCGATGGGATGTCTCCATCTGGACTCGAGTACAATTTCCCTCTTCGGGATTTGTTCACTGTTGAATTGCGCAACTATGCTAGCTTCATCCCAGAACTTTCTGACCTCATTATTCCCCAACAAGCAGTTTCTGAGAATACGCTCACGAAGAATCTGTCAATTGATGAGTTGATGGTTCGTTACGTTCTCACACAGGGTGAGAAGTACCCTGGTGTGATGTTGAATGTGACCAGAACAGCAAGCAAACTACAGTCTCCTAGCGCTTCCCCTGCCGAACAGCAATGCAGCCTTTGCGGAGCTCTAATGTTCAAGACAAATGCAACATCGCCACAGGCCACAGGCCAGCACTCGGACAGCTTATCGTCCCAGATATGCTATGCATGTGCTCGATCTCGGCCTGATCTAAGTTGCTAAGAGTCGACAGTGCAGACATTAAATATGATTGTACGCGGTATCTAACATTAGACTAATATTGCGAATATGGTCATTCAGTCTCTCTGTGCATCCGTCATGTAGGCTGACACGCTGCTCATTCTCAGCGCCTAGCGGATCGCGAGTTTTCGACGACTCCGCTTTCGAGATCGTCATCCCCGAGGGCTGCACCGCCAAACCATCTTCTCTGCGACCGATTCCTTCGTGGATGTCGTGCTGGTTCGGGCACCGCAGGGCCATCAGTCCTGGAGCGCTTCCTGCTCCTATGTCTCCTCGGTTCTTCTATGGCGCCCTTGTCGTATCGGTCGAATTCTTCGGGGAGACTGGTGTCTTCGGGTGCATCGTGTCTTCCGCCATGCTTTGAGAGCGCCTTGGCCCCTTTCTCTCGCAGATGCTTCTCAAGAAGCACGGCATTTCTTGTGTTGCACTTATAGACGGCATCTGCAATGTCACCCACAAAAGGCACAAGTCCTATGAAGAAATCGATCACCACATTGATCATCATCATCATGCGCAGGCTTGCAGGAAGACCTCCATCGATGCCCTCGCAGGTGCGAACGACCATCAAGGCGAGTGCTGCATCGGCAGCATCTCCGGCACTAGTGTACTCGGCGCGTTAGTTTTTGCCTGTCAGCTTCGGTGCCGTCACCGAAAGGACTTACAAAGGAATTAGCCCAATCACACTTCCCCATCCAAACCTTATCCCGCACAAATTGAAAAGACTATAGTCTAGTCGATATGCTCTTCTTTTGACTTGCGTCAGGACTTTCTGGTCATGGTCTGATAATCCTGGCGGTACGGCTTTGCGCCTCTTCTGCGTCTTTTTGCCGAAGGCTCGTCCTAGGCGTGAGGCAGGGACCTCTTCAAAGTATGGATCCTGCCACAACGCAACGCTTGTTAGCACATGGCTGCGATAAAGTTTTTTTGTGCAAGTAAAAAAAGATATGTACCTCTTGACCGAAGTGGTTTCTGGCCGTTTCGCCTAAGATCCTTTTGCCAACCAGCGATGCTATCTTGGTCGTCATGGCTCGTGATGGGTACTCTAATTCCACAATAAATGTCTGTGCAGTGAAGTCTTGGTTGCAAAACCTAGAAGGTCTGCCAGCAGAGGGTGCCTCGGGTTATTTGTCAAAATTCTTTCATACAATGACCCGCACAGACCCGAGTTCGCTCTTGTGAATCTTCTTAGATGTGTTTTTATGCTCAGTGGAAGAAGGAGGTCAGCAGGTTTAAAAAGCTTGTTGTAACCAGTCATTGACTTCCAACGTCGATAAACGCGAGGCACGAGCAACCTCCGACGTCATCGGCTGTCTTTCGACCCTGTTACGTAATCCCTATTTAATCGCACAGCATGGCACCAGCCACACCACCACATGTCACATCGTAGTATCATTGGGTAGCTGCGCCACATCATGTGGCGCGCGACCGTGGCCCCCCTCGCCGGGCATTATTGATCCCGTCTCGGACTTGTTGGTGCTTACCGAGCTCTCCAACCTGATCAGGCCGTCGTCGGGTGTCGAGCTGAGAAGAGTCACCTCCCCTAGTCTATCCTTTATCATTTGCTCCCCTATTAGCTTCATTCCTGGTGATCAAGCCATTGATTCGCCTCTATTCCTGTTTCACTCACTCTCACCAAAGTACGCTTCAGGGGTGGCGCTCTGCCAAGCACCCTTCCTTGAAGCTGCAGCCGCGCTGTGCTGTCCCCTCCACCTCTCTGTCTAGCGCTCTCTCCGATTCATCTGGAGAGCCATCTATCTATACTTACCTCTGCTGAGATGCTAAACCACGTTTTTCAGTATGACAGAAACAAAAATGCAGTTGGAAGACTGTGAGTTCGGCTGTGACGCGCAGTCTGCTGCGCCGCCTCTAACATGAGTGATGCTGACACGGTGGTTCCTCCCAGGGCTGGATGATTTATGTGTCCGCTTTATCATCAACCTACCACGTGAAGAACTTGAATCTGTTGAACGCATCTGTTTTCAAGTCGAAGAGGCACAATGGTTCTACGAGGACTTCATCCGGCCGCTCGATCCGGCTCTTCCGTCGTTATCTCTGAAAGCATTCGCATTGCGCATCTTTCAGCACTGTCCTTTGATGTCGCAATGGTCGCACTATCACCACATTACCGCCTTCTCCGAGTTCTTGGCTTACAAAACCCGTGTGCCCGTTCGCGGAGCCATCATGCTGAACCAGGAGATGGACGAGGTAGTCCTAGTCAAAGGCTGGAAGAAAGGTGCTAACTGGAGTTTCCCGAGAGGCAAAATCAACAAGGGTGAGAAAGACATCGATTGTGCAATCCGTGAAGTCTACGAGGAGACCGGCTATGATATACGCGAGGCGGGGCTCGTTCCGGAAGAGAAAGATGCCAAATACATCGAGATTACCATGAGAGAACAGCACATGAGGCTGTACGTCTTCCGCGGAGTGCCACAGAACGCCCATTTCGAGCCTCGTACCCGGAAAGAGATTAGCAAGATTGAGTGGTACAAGTTATCGGAGTTGCCGACACTCAAAAAGAGCAAGCAGCAGGAGCAAGGACTCGTTGTGGCTAATGCAAACAAGTTCTACATGGTTGCGCCTTTCATGCACCCGCTGAAGAAATGGATTGCTCAGCAGAAGAAAGCAGACATCAAGTCGCACCCCGGAGCCAGGCACCTTGTGCAGACCGAGGGAGAGCTCTCGATGGATGAGGCACCCCAGGCTATCAATGGCTTCACGCCTAGCCAGCTTCCTGCCCAGCTGGCCACCCCGAGTGATTTGCCGGAACTCGCAACATCTCAAGATGCTTCGTCTCATCTCAAACGCCTCTTGAACATCAACGGCCTTGTTCCTGCCCAGGATAATTCTGCGAATGTAGCTACCCCTGCGGACAATGGGTCTATCACTTCGAAGTCCAATGCCTTGTTGGAACTCCTCAGGAGTGGCTCGTCGCGAGAAGCTCTTCCGCAAGCCCCTGGACTCGACAAGGCTCTTCCGCCGCTCGCTATTCCAGATGGCCCGCCGCCAATGGGACCACCTTACCCTGACACGGCCTCTTTCCCTGGATTCCCTCAGCAAGGTCAACATTTGCGAGGCCCTGTGCCCCCGAATCCTGTGCAATTTCCGCAGACTCCAGTATCTCGTGCACCAGCCTCGAACATTGGTGTACCCCCGCTTGCTCGACCACCTCATGTGGGTCATGCAGGTGCACTACCTGGGTATCACGGAGTGCCGCCGTTCTTCGAGCAGATGCTCTCGAATCCTCCAAGGTACGATCCTGTGCAAGCAAGCTTGCCCACGGCGCCGCAACCTGGCCCGGCTCCATACCAACGAACGGGAGATCCCCAATTCTCTCATTCAGCCCAGGCGCCGAAAATCCAGGGAGCGACTGTGCCTCCTGCAAGCAAACTTCCACCACCAAAGCTTACGAGTCACTCTCTTGCTTTGTTGAACGTTTTCAAAGACGACTCTCGCCGGACACCCAAAACATCTAATGCAAGTCTAGTCCCACTGGCGGAGAAGGTCGAGCATCATCACAGGCGGCCATCGCAACATCAGGATCAACTCCTAAGTTTGCTGAGAGGGTCTTCTGGCCCTCCAACCCCCGGGCCAGCGGAGTTGCCAGCTCAGTCTGTCTCTCCGCCCAGGAAACAGATTCTTCAACGACCTCGTAGGGAGCACAGTCCCGCCCGGCATCCGGCAGGTCATCGAAGAGTACCATCGGTTACGAAAGATGCGCGGCAGTCTTCCGCGGTTCCCAGTCCCTTATCAAGCATGCCTCAGTCTATGGCAGCATCCAAACCCTCTCCTAAAAGAGGAATCAATGGATCAAATCGGAGAAATAAGAAACTCGAGCAGGCGCAAACCCTCGCGTCGCCTATTACGATATTGTCCAGGCCACAATCTGCTAAGAAGGAACCGGGCCCGCTGCCGGCATCCTCACAGTCATCCCGGGCTCCTTCGCGCAACCGCGCAGCAAAGTCGGGGACTCCGGAGCCGGCAAAGCCATTTCAGCCACAAATTCTCCGTCGCTCCGATAACCCGAACATTGTGGATCTGTTGCCTTTGAAAGCTCAGGTGAACGAGCAAGACCAGCAGCAAGTGGGCCCTCCGCCTGCCATTCCCAGGCGGGAGTCGCAGCCTCAAGTGAACTTTGACCGCCGCCCAAGTCAGACGCCTGCCCAAAGAGAAGCCTTGCTGTCACTCTTTGGGAAAGCATCTGCCTCGCCAGGAGTTTCACCTGCCGAGCTTAGCACATCGGCACCAAAGACTGCGGGTGCCTCTGGTGTCGTTAGCCCACTCACGCCACTGAATATTACTGCCGCGTCCCCTTTTGGAAGTGGAGCGGAAGATGGCCAACTCTCTCTTTCGAGCCGGGTCGCTTCGCCTGACAACAAGGCATTCTTACTTGGCTTTCTCGAAGGTGTTGCCAAAGGCAATAAATAACCTCACTCAGCTCGCTGAACCCCGATGTGGTTCAGGGTCAATTAGATAGTTTAGGACTCAATTTAGCGACTGCCAACGTCAAGATTTTGAGTTATTTTCCTGCTTAATATGAAATGTGCTTATCTCCGGTTGTAATCGACCACTAGTTACAGTGATAATCATGTATGACTCAATCAGTGGCTGGCTGTTCAGATGCGCAATACCGCGGAATTATGTCATGGCTGTCAATTATTCTGCCTCTCCATACCGCCTAATCAGCGGATAGCAGCAGCCTACCGTATCTACACATTTCTAAGCCGAGCAAGGACCAAAGTCAGCGTCACCCCGCAAAAGGAAGAATGATGCTGTCCAATCCCTCACGTACGGTATGCGCCCGCTGCATCAGGCGCGGCCGACACTTCTCCACGACTGTCCATCACAGTGCTCAACCGCGCAGCGACCATGGGAATCCCGCTCCCCCGCCCGAAGCCGGCTACACTCGACTCACGAACAGAGGCCTCATCTCCGTCACGGGGCCCGACAGCACCTCGTTCTTGCAGGGTCTGGTCACCCAGAACATGGTCAAACAGAGCGCCGAGGGCAAGAGCTCCTATGTCGCCTTCCTTAATTCGCAAGGCCGCATCCTGAACGACGCCTTCATCTACCCCACCGCCGAGACCAACGCCGCCGACCCGGGCTGGCTCATCGAAGCGGACGCCGCCGAGCTCCCCGCGCTTCTGAAGCACCTCAAACGCCACAAACTCCGCGCCAAGCTGCAGCTGCGAGTGCTCGACCCCACCGAACGCACTGTCTGGGCCTCGTGGAAGCAACACAACGGCGACGGCCGCTGGGCCGCACACAGCTTGGGCGATTCCGTCTCGGAGTCGTCCGGGGCAGGAGCAGGATGGGGCGCGGACGTCAATATCACAGGGTGTGTGGACACACGAGCCCCCGGGTTCGGGCTGCGCCTCGTCACGCCCGGCGACGCGGACCTGCGCGCGCACTTCGCGCGCCAGCTCGAGGAGGCGGGCGCCCACGAAGCCAGCCTGGGGTCCTACACGGTGCGGCGCATGCTGCACGGCGTGGCCGAGGGCCAGGCGGAGATCCTGCGCGCCGCCTCCCTGCCCCTCGAATGCAACATGGATCTGGCCCAGGCCATCGATTTCCGGAAGGGCTGCTACGTCGGCCAGGAGCTGACCATCCGCACCCGCCACACCGGCGTGGTCCGCAAGCGCATCTTGCCGGTGCAGTTGTATGCGGACGAATTACCCGTGAGGGAGGGAGAGGGGGGCAGTGGCGGCCCGGTTTATGATCCCTCGGCGGACGCGGGGCTGGCGCCTCCCGCCGGTGTGCAGGGCTTGGATATTTCCAGGGTTGGCCCGTCCAAGGGTCGCAGCGCGGGCAAGTTTCTGGCCGGCGTGGGCAATGTCGGGCTTGCGCTGTGTCGGTTGGAGATGATGACGGATGTTGCGCTATCGGCTGAGGGGACGACGCAGTATACCCCGGACCGGGAGTTTAAGATTAGCTGGGACGCGGCGGAGGGTGATGGGTCGGAGGGGTCAGAGAGGGAGAAGGTTCGGACCGTCAAGATTAAGGCGTTCGTGCCGCCGTGGACGAGAGAGTATATCACTTCCGGCACGCAGCAGGCTCGTGCTCGTGATCCGATTCGCGAGGGCCAGAGGGCGAGGGAGCTTGCTGAGCGGTTGGCAGCCGAGGAAGAGGACGCTCGATTGCATGAGTGATTTAGACATGTGTCCACGGTGCTGAAAAGATGTACAGTAGATGTATGTATGATAAATGGTGATGTGTAATTTAGATAGACGGCTAGTTCAAGTGGATAAACTTGTTCGTATGGGTGTCGTAAATCTTTACTATGGGTATCTCTATGCTACAGCAGCAAAACTTTCTATATACAACAAGACCAGGCAATTTCAGGGGTCCACCGACAACGCATCATGTGCCCGAGATGCAACAGACCTTAGGAGGCTTGGGCGGCCGCAGCTTCTGCGGCATCTGCGGCATCTGCGGCTTCGTCTTCTTTTCTCAGTTGCTCTTCCAGAGCTTTGCGTTCTTTCTCCCGCTGGGCATTACGCAGTCGCATCAAGGTCAGCTCTTCCAAACTTGGGGCACTCGATCCATTTGTAGCGCCAGCAGTAGGGGCAGGCTTCGTGGAACTGGCGGCCGCGGAGGCAAAGGAACCGAAGGAGGGCGCCTTTGCGGGACCTTTGGCAGCACTGCCCGTACCTGCCGCTTTCAACCCGGCGAAACTGAACGAAGGTTTGGGGGGTGCTGCTGGTGTAGAAGCGCTGTCTGCTGCTGAGCTGGGAGCGGACGACGAGGTGCCGTTCGACGCCTCCGCGCCGAGCTCAGGCTGAGCACCCGATGCCCAGAAGACCGACTCAACGACCGACCAGTCACTGCCAGCGTCGTTGCTTACCTGCTTCTTCTTCTTCCTCTTCTCACTATCCAGAACCGCAGCGTGAGCGCTGACAATGGAGGCGAAGATGACCACCCCGGTCGCAACGGTCTTCTTCTCCCGCTTGTCCCCCAAGCGCTGCCTCTTATCCTTGAGAAGCAGCACATTCTCGACCTTGCCAAATAGCGCAAAGAGCGCCCTCAAGCGCTCCGCATCCAGATCCAGCCCGCGGCCCTCACGCACCCAACGCACCTTCACCCCGCGCTCCAACTCCGGGACATTCGTGCCGCCGCCTTCCCGCGACCGGTCCACCTTCTGCGAGCTCCGATCCGCCGCCTTTCGAGCTTCCTCCTCCTCCAACCGCATCAGCTTCTCCTCCGCCTCCATCTCCAGCTTGATCTTCTCCTCCGCCTCGCGTCGCCTCCGCCGCCCATCCTCCGCAATCCGATCGATCTCCCTCTGCAACTTGGCTTCTGCGTCATCATCCCCATCCGCCGTCGTCGTCCCCATCCACGACCTCTTCACCCCCCGCTGCTGCTGCTGCTGCTGCCCTGCCGCGCCCGCGCGCTCCCTGGCCTCCAGATCCTCTCGCATCTTCCGCTTCGCTGAATCCATCATCTCGCGCTCACGCTGCTTGCGCTGGCGCGCCTCGCGCGCGTTGTCGTAGAGCTGCCGCACCGCGGGGTCGGAGAGCACATCGTACGCGATCTGCAGCAGGTGGAACTTGTCGATGTCGGCCGGCGTGGGGTTGGCGATCTTGTCCGGGTGGTACTTCAGCGCGGTGCGGCGGTAGGCCCGTCGGATCTCGGTCTCGGCTGCTGCGGGGGAGATGTCGAGGAGGGCGTAGAAGTCCTCCGTTGAGGCCGCGTGGGCTTTGAGGTCGTCCTTGGAGGAGGACATTGTGGTGGTTTGATGTGCTGTTGAGCTTTTTGGAGGGGAAGTGGGAGGCTGTGCTGTATTTTGGGAAGATGTGGATGTAGCGGAAGAAGGTTAAAACAAAGGGATGGCGCGTCGGGATGTTGCGCGTCGTTGGGCGTGGGGAGCCTCTGGTGGGGAGGTAGTTGAAGGTTTGGGAGCGAAAGATGATGGTGGATAATTGTTTGGCGGAGCGGAAGTCGCTGGCGGTGGCGGAAAGTCAAGCGGCCGTTAAGTTAGTTAGTGCTATTAAATTACTCTGCGCTACGTAAATCTATATTAAGCAACACATGGTCTTGGTAAATTCTCAGTCAATTCTTGTCATCTCTCAAGTGTCATAATAGCTCGATTGACGGATTGTCCTTGCATAGCATACTAATGATTGTGCTTATCAATCCTTCAGTACCTTTTCGTGATTGCCGCTTTGGGTGAAATGCTCCACGCCCGGCTCCTTCCCGTTTCAGATGCTCTGCTTGACCGGTGCGATGCTTCAGACCACAAGCATTCGACACGATGATTATCTCCCTCAGAAAATGTCGTCAATGTATACAATCAATAGCTGCACTTATAGGCACATGCTCTCTCATTTGTTTTGAGATTCTCGAGCTCCAGCAGCTTCATCATTTCTCTTGTGACACCGAGGCCATCAGCGAGGATGGCCGACAGCACTATACCATCACCTTCGCAGTTGGCGCTCGCGCTAGCCATCGTCAAGCAGAAGCCGCTCGGAACCAGCATGAAAGGTAACCACTGACGCTCCCTGGCCGAGTCACTCAAGTTGAGGATGTACTGAGCAACAATCAGATTACTTTACTCGCATTCGACAGTTCATCAAAGCAGTCACGCCGACAGACCGACCCACAAGCCGAGACCAGTTCTTCGACAGTGTCGCATTCTGGCAGAAGGCGTACGAGAAATCCGAAGCCGAACAGAGCAAGCTCCTTGACCGGATATACGAGCTGGAACAACGCAATGAAGTGCTTACCACCCAACCACACGGCTCGAATGCTGTCTCGAAAGACATGGTGCAAGAATCCACGAAGCGGAAAGCAACACTAGATGCTAGCATGGCTGGCGCCACTACTTCGAGGAAAAAGCCAAAATCACAGACACAGTCACAGAGCAGAGCTTGCATGCTCACTGAGAATATCCCCCATGGGCTAGAGGGCCAGGTACCTGAATATCCTGAGGAGCGTAAGCTTGCTCCTGTCATACCTTTGGGACTAAGAAATGCTGAGGAAGATTCGTGTAGCTACAGCATCATTTATGAGGAGGTTCTACACTCTGCAGAAGTTGTTGCAGCGACGTACCAATACTCCAGCTATTGCGCTTGCTGCAGGTGGACTGTGCTCCGTCGCAGAAAACGATATACTCCGTGCAGTCCAACCGCAATTTGGTTCCAGTTCGGAAGGAAGAGATGCATCCGTCGTCAAGAATCCAAGTGTATCAGCGATTGTGAATAGTATATATAGCGCCTATCAGCTACTGCTTAAAGCATTGAAGAAGGCCCCTTCAACCGAATCGGCAGTGCAAGGTCGTGGTCAAATCATTTTCCACATTGTTCAGCTGTCTGAGACAGTTATCAAAGCGTTGGGCATCCAGTGCCGATTCAATGCTAAGCAGCAACGTTTATCTGCGGCGTCGGCGGCCAAATCGAGGTCCTCTGCGAGGTCGAAAAGGTCCAAGACAGGCCATTCAAAGGATAAGATTCCCTCAAGCACGAACGATGAGGTTGCCCAGCTGATGAGTCTGCTACTTTGCAGAATGGCTCTTTCACTGGACAAGACATGCTCAAAGACCTCAGACCTACGAAGCGGTTTTAGCTACGTGTTGCTCAGCCGTGTTGGCGAGTTACTGTGTTTATTTGTCTTCAAAGACCTCCATCTGCGATCCGATCTGGAAGGAGACCCTGCCAATTTGTCACTCCCACATGGCCTAAAGGATGTGCAGCTTGACGAGGAATCCGTCCTAGCTGCTGAGATAGAGGCCAAACATCTCATACCACCCCTCGAAAGATTGCTCGCCGTACTGAACCCACCATTGTTGCCTGAGGAGCTCAACCGTGCGGCAGAAACCAAAGGAAGACTGCAAAGCACTCTTCTGCAAGCGGTATTTGGCCAAGACCCAAAATTCGGCGAAGCTTTGCGCCCACTCCACCATGACGATACTTTGAACATCTCCTTCAGCACGGCGCCTATCTCTGAGCAATCTGTATCGGAATGGTTTGTTCAAGAGACTTGGAGACTTCTCGGCTGGGACTTAGTGGCAGGCTCATCATTGGGTGGATGATGTCCCTGGTGTGGACTATATCATATCGTACAGCTAGTATATTTTACGCAACATAGTTTGTGGCACACATAGCTACCGACTGAAGATGCACCTTTACAGAATCAGATTATTTGAAATCTTACAGGCACAAGAAACCGCCCTTGCATTGTTGCCGAGATGTCTGAAACTTAATTTAGCTTTAAAATGCGAGCCGCGTTCTCTCCCAAGACCCCTGCAACGGTCTCATTCTCACCATCAAAGGCGGCATAGATAGCCTTATAGTTTGTGGTTACGCTTGGCCATTCCTCGTCATCCTTGCCAAGAGGGGGAAAGAACGGATGATCAGTTCCTATTCCAAGTCAGCAATGCCGAATGACCAGCGAAGATTTGAAAATCCATACCGAAGAGTAGACGATCCGCACCACCGGCCGCAGTTACCGCGGCTTTCAGGCCTGCAGTACCGTAGACCACCGCATCCAGATAAATGTTGGTATTGAGGACATCCCAGACACTTCTTTGCGGACCAGGTACATCACCTCCGTTAGCAACGAACTTGCGCTCATGCAGGATGCAACTCTCGATGCGCCCCGCCAGGAAGGGCAGCGTGCCCCCGGAGTGCGCCAACAGAATCTTCAGCCCCGGAAACCGATCGAAAACGCCCGCCAGAAACATCCGCGTCACGGCGATGGTCGTCTCCAGCGGGAACCCCAGGGCGAGGGGCAGGACATGGCCGTAGCGGTTCATCGCCTCGGGGCCGCCGAAGGCCTCGTCGGGGAGTCCGTAGTGCGGATGGAGAAACAAGAGGGAGTCGGTCTCCTGCAGCGCCTTCCACACGGTGTCCAGCCGGTCATCGTCCAGCCCCTTGCCCAAGCCGGTCGTGCCCATGATCACGCCCCGCAGATGCGGCAGCGTCTTGATTCTCTGAATCTCCCGGACGACCACCTCCGCAGTCGGCGCACTGAGTGGCAGCGCCCCGAAGGCATACAGCGTCTCCTTCTCGTGCAGCGCCCGCGTGTTCTCGGGGTCCGCGGCGCGGTTCACGCGTGCGCAGGTGGCCTCCAGGTCGTCGTTGATGCGCTCCGCCCAGGTCTGCGCCTCCTCGGGTGCCAGGAAGTCCAGCCACGGGTTGGCTAGCGAGATCACGCTGCTGTTGATGCCATGGCGGCGCATGAAGGCCAGCTTGACCTCGATGTCGGAGTAGGAGGCGTCCACGGGTCGGCCACGCTGGTCGAGCGGAATAGACGCGTCGTCGTCCGACGAGAGGATGATCAGCCGCGGGGTCGCGCCGTCGGCTGGGTCGTGGACGTAAGGTACTGTCTTGCGAGCTCGGAGCATCTGCATGTACGCCGGTGGGTAGACGTGGGTGTGGATGTCGACGATGAGAGGCGCCATCTTTGTGTGCAGGCTGGTCGTCGAGCTTGAAGTTGAAGGTGAATGCTGCAGCAGTGGTTAGAGGATTGGAGGCTGGAAACAAAGGTTGGGGATGGAATGGAGGGGCAGAGGTGATGAAGTGAGGGGAAAGACGCACATGGCTATGTTGATACCTCAGTTGAATACCTCATCCTGCATGAAGATGACTTATCAGTTACCGCAGCTCGCAGCCAGCAGCCAGCAATCATTTCCTTGAGCTCTTCTGCAATGATAATCTGTCCAGAGGATTGATTATCTTGTGTCTGTTCTTCAGCGTGCACTTCAGATCTCAAGGGCTATCTATCTTATCTTGGAATTCAGTACTTACTTATCTCCATATCGGCCCCCCCCACGATCAACTGTCAGGTCTTATCTTTCCCCGCCATGTTCAACAAGTCGTAGGGGACTCCTTGTGTACAGTACAGTGACCCCCGATATGGTTTCCCCCATGTGGTGTCATGCAGGCTCAGGCCCATTCATTCATTGTTCTGTGCTGCTGCTCTCCGCCCCCCTCTTCCCCTTCCTTGGTTCTGCGCGCGGATAAGAACAGTAGTGATCTCACTGCTTCTCCCTCCCCGTGACTTTCGATTCCCCACCACGTCTTCTGGGATATCTACACTGATATCAAGCGATTCATACTCGCCTTTTTTTTTTCTCTCTCTATTGTTAGCATTCCCTTTCCAGCTGAAATCTCCTGGACCTCTACGTGTGCGATCAGTATGGAAGGCAACCTGCCGCAACAGCAGTGTCACCCTGTAACCACGGCCATCGAGAAAGATGACCTCGTGATTCCAGTGAGTAGCCACTCGCTTCTTCACTTCCTTGAGTATCGCTTGCGCGACGAGAAGGTGAGCCTCAACCACCTTCATCCTCGCTAACGGAGGACCGGCTACTTGTAGATCATCGACTTCGGGCCCTTCCTGCACGGGACCCCCGCCGACAAACACGAAGTCGCCATGTCCGTCGTGCACGCCTTCAAGACCTCCGGGTTCCTTTATCTCAGCAATCATGGCGTGCCACCGTCCGTGGTTAGCCACGTCTTTGGCACCTCCGCCCGGTTCTTCGCACGGCCCCAGGCTCAGAAAGACAGCCTGTGCTGGACGACTCCACAAGCGAACCGTGGTTACGTGAAGACGGGCCAAGAGAAGCTCCGCACGGTGGAGGAGGACGATGATGATGACGATGACGTCGGCACCGCGGCGGCGGCGGAGTCGCGCAGCATCCCCGACCTCAAGGAGACGATGGAGATCGGCCGGGAAGGCGTGGCGGGGCTCCCGAACCGCTGGCCGGAGCACCTCGACGCCGCGGGGCAGGAGTTCAAGGCGGTGATGCTGTCGTTCTTCGAGCGGTGCAAGGCGCTGCACACCGCGGTCATGCGGGCTATCGCGCTGGGCATGCACCTGCCCGAGCACTACTTCGACTCGTTCGTCGACGCTGGCGACAACAACCTCCGCCTGCTGCACTACCCGGCCGTCGACAAGCACATCTTCCGCGACAACCCCCTGCAGGTCCGCGCCGGCGAGCACAGCGACTACGGCTCCATCACCCTGCTCTTCCAGGACGGCCGCGGCGGCCTCCAGGTCCGCAGCCCCAGGGGTACCTTCGTCGACGCGACCCCCGTCGCCGATACCGTGGTCGTCAACGCCGGGGACCTGCTGGCCCGCTGGTCGAATGACACGATCAAGAGCACGAGACATCGCGTCGTCGAGCCTCCCCGGGTCGTTGACGAGGATGATAAGGATGATGCCGATGATACTGGGGTGTATCCGGATCGTTACAGCATCGCGTACTTCTGTAATCCCAATAATGACCAGATGATCGAAGCCATCCCGGGAACCTACGGAGAGGATATCCGCCCGCTCAAGTACCCTGGGATCACCGCTGGAGACTACCTCGTGCAGCGACTGACCGCAACCTACTAGCTAATCTTTCCATCATGATGACCTGGCGTTCGGAAGGAGTATGGGATCTTTGGCTTTTCCATCGGTTTGATATCGTGACATCGTACAACAGGGTGATATATACCGGGACTCGAGCGCCGTTGCATTGGACGATTTGGAAGAGAAGCTTTGGTATGGGGTGCTTGTATTCGATGCTGCTTGACATTCTATTTCTGCGATCTAGCATTTCATAGTATCTACGCGCAAGTCTTGATCTATGTGCAATAGCCTCCTCTCCCTAACTACTAATATGTGCATGGGACCGCGCTCACTCGGCCTCCGTCGGTTATCGTGATGTTGCCGTTGAGATATGCGCCCGAGGGGCCAGCCATCCACAGAATCAAACTAGCCATATCCTGCTCGCTACCGGCACGCGTAAGGGGGATGATGTCGCGGGGGAAAGAGCCGTCAGAGATGCCCTGGTCGCCGTCCTGGAAATTCATGGTCGACATCTCCGAGAGATATAATCCCGGCGCAATGCCATTTACGCGGATGTCGTACGAGGACAGCGTGGTGGCGAGGATCTTGATCAGCTGGTTCGTCGACGCCTTGGAGAGGTTGTAGGCGACGCTAAACGGCACGCGGCGGTTGAAGCCTGCGATCGAGCTGGTGATGATGACCTGGGCGGTAGGGGCGGACGCCTTGTTCTTCTCCGGCGCCGGCCGGCGCTGGTTGGCCGCCTCCAGCAACGGCAGGAAGGCGAGGACCGTGAAGTAGGCGCCCGTGACATTGACGTCGAACACCTGCGAAAACTCCTCCATGGACGCGGACCACAACTGGTCGCGCACCTCGGACAGGCTGGGCAGCGATCCGTCCGGCTTGGGCCCCGGCGGGCGGTTCACCGGCCCCATGATCCCGCTGTTCGCGATCAGCAGATCGACATGGCCCGTCTGCGCGGCCACGGCCTCGTAGGCCGTCTGGAGCGACGCCTTGGACGAGATGTCGGCCTGGATGGGGATGATGGCCTCCGGCTTGGAGCTCTGCGCCGCCGTCGCCTGCAGAGCCTCTTGGCGACGGCCGATGATGAAGACCTTAGATGCTCCGTTCTCGGCGAGCGTGAGCGCCATGATCCGGCCCAGTCCTGGCAGGAGAACAGTACTGGTGAGTGGCAACGTCCTGACACATCCTTCCTAGCGGAGGCGATGGAGGGGACTCACCACTACCACCCCCCGTGATGACGACCACTAGGCCCTCGACGGAGAATAACTCCGCGACTCGAAGATGGGACATGTTGCAATGAGATGATTGTGGAAGATCGCAATAACAATTGGGAGCACAATTGTATGGCTGTTTGCGCAAAGGGTTGCAGAAGTACTGTACGGTGAATGAAGGCGAAGATGCGGGGTAAGTAATAAGTGGTAAGTGGTTAATTCCTCCTAATCTCCTAGGAGCTGGATGTCTCGGCCGGATCCGATCACGTCACACAGCCTATTGTTCCTAGCGATCGTTCATTGTGCTTCTGTTGCTCGCAACCATCGCATCGGCATCGGTGCCATTGTCGAGTCGAACCACAACTGCTCAGCTGGCCATGGGCTTCCAACTCTGAGCCGTGGCTGTCAGGAACAGCCTTGGCGGAGCGTGGAGAGAACAAGAAGATTCCCGAACGGGCCCGGTGGGAAAACCGGAGGTGACGCCGCCAGGAGGTCACACCTCACACCTCACACCTGCCCCATCCGGCCTCGGCGATGAATGCATCATCTTCCACCACTCGACTCTATTGTAACGCCGCTCGTGCGCTCTGATTCCCTGGATAAAGGTTCCTGGCTATCCACTCGACGCCATCTGTCCTGCACGTCACTCTGGCCACCCTGAGCCTGACTCGAAGCGGCGCTTTCCACCTGCCGAGTAGCTTAAGGTGTGTCTCGTCGGTGGAGCACGGGATTTGCTGAAGTGGGCCTATTCTTTGCTTAACAACCAAGTTATTCAGTCAACTATACTGATTGTCTGTAAAACCCGGGCTGACTGAACCATGGCTATCCAGGGTTGTGTCACAATGCGAAGGGCCGATCAAGACCCCATTCGGACGGAAATCCCCCCCTAGCTCCTGATTTCACTGAGTCGTCATGCTCGGTCACTGACGCCCCATCCTATACTACCCACTGATATTCTCATGAAGAAACCATGGAACAACGTTCACACGGCCAACACATCCACTCTAGCCACACTGAAGCTCAGCCTTATTCGGCTGTAGCCCAATGTCTGGTTGCCGACATGACCGGATGGATCGACATGGTGGAGCGAGGTCGAACGGCCTGCTTGAGGTCCCAACCGACATCGCTCGAGGGTCATACAGGGTGGTTACATGCGGTGCCGAATCCATCCGTCAACCTGGGTCGAGCTGGACTTAGTCGGCCTACAGCAAAGATTTGTGGAGATAGACGATGATAGCCCGGTTGCGTCACAGCCGGGTCACTACGCAACTGTCTTCGTGAAGCTTTTATAACTGAATCTCCGTGCCCCTGTCCTCCGGAAATTCATCCAGCGCCAGGTTTCGAAACTTCCAAGCGTACCTGCAATCACCACTCAAGATGACTTGGAGCCGCTTGTTGCTGCTCAGCTCCCTGGGCTCGCCTTTGGCTTCGGCTTTGCCCGGCCAGCTCTTCGCTCGCACTACCGATGCTGCTGAGACAGCTACGGCTGCTGCTCCGCCTGTGGTGACCTACTCGACCTCTCAGGCGCATACCCCATACACCGGAACCCCCACCACTACGGGAGCCCTGACGGCTAGCTCCATCGGTCCTGGAGTCTCGCCTCTGCCTCCTGCCCCGGGGGCGTTCGACTACCCTAGTGATGGAGAGCTCCATGCCCCTGAGCCTGGTCCATACACCCCTGCAGGAGGTGTTGGAACCAACGGCACTGAGCCCGTCTACAATGCAAAGAGTGACTTTGACTTCGAGTCGTTGGTACGTATCTTCAATCCTTCTGAACATGATCCATTTGTTAATCTTCCATCAGGCTCTCGCTCTCTACCAAGAGTACATTGAGCTCGATCTGTTCCACGACGGATTGGCTCGCTTCTCGGAGGAGGATTTCACTGCTGCTGGACTGGACGCAGAGGATCGCCATCTGATCGAGTTCATGGCCAATCAGGAAGTTGGACATGCCACCATGTTGACCAACATCTTGGGCGCCGCAGCCCCCAAGCAGTGCAACTATGTCTACCCTTACACCACTGTCCACGAGTTCATCGACTTCTGCCAGAAGCTCACCCGCTTCGGCGAGGCCGGTGTCTACGGATTCTTGGCCCACCTTGACTCCCGCGAGGCCGCAACCCTCCTTACGCAGTCCATCACTACGGAAGCCAGACAGCAGCTCATCTTCCGTCAGTTCGAAGGTCTCTTCCCCATGCCGGTGTGGTTTGAGGTTGGTGTCCCTCAGTCCTGGGCCTGGACTCTTCTGGCTCCATACATTGCCGACTGCCCCGCCGACCAAACCCGCCTCGCCTGGCAGAATTTCCCTGCTCTGAGCATCGTTAACCAGCCCAACCCCTTCCGGATCAACGGCTCTGAGGCGTCTGGGGAGACCATCAGCAACGGCACCAACGTGTCGAACAGCACGGTGGTTCCCGAGTCGGAGTCGTGCTTGAACTCCACCGAGGTTGGCATCGACTGCTCGCCCGCGATCACCCACAACCGCACCAACCCTCTCTCCTACCCTGGCCGTCAGGTCTTCCTGACCTGGGAGGAGCCCGGCAAGGCCGTGGGCCCAAACAACAGCTACGTGACGTCGACCAGCGCGGGCGAGCCCAAGTTCGTCGCCTGGGCCTCGCAGCTGAACGTGACCTACTCTCCCCTGACCCTCAACGGATCGAACTCGGGCTCGACCATCCAGCCCGATGTGTCGACCTACGCCGGTGACCCGGCCGCCAACGGCACTCTCTTCATTGCCATCACGGACTCGGACCTCTTCGTGACTCCGTTCAACATCACCATGCTGAACCCTCATGTCGTGGCCGGGCCCGCTCTGTACCAGTCTGGTTAGGAGGATGCCGGTGACGACTGTTCGACCGAGTTTGTGTCCAAAAGAGCAATGATTCACGATACGCGCATGTTTCGCTCATTTCGTTTATGGGATTTGATCCAGGCGATAGGATAGTTGGAGTTTGACGAATTTGTACTACCTTACTACTTAATTTGCTTAATGCTACCCCTCACTTGATTGCGTTGCTCCTCAGTAGATTAGATCCCTTGGAAGGCCAAGTAAATCAAAGGTACGATGTAAGCCAACGGAAGCAATCGTAGACCGAGATGCAAGGGGATCCCAGCAGCAAGGCTAGCTACTCACGCTCCAAACCTTGACTCAAAGCGAACGCAGCGGAGGAACCGGTAGTCGCGTTTCTTCCAAGGCATCAAATGCTCTCGGGTACTCCCACCCCCCGCTGACGGCTGGCATGGATTTCTCCCATCTATAGAAACCGGTAGGCCCATTCCTGATTTCAAATCCAGAGTTCCTGTACTGTACTTGGAAGACACCTACCTACATCCCGTCCTTGCGCAGGGATGTGCAGGCTCTCGTCCACTCTACCGCATACCCACTAGGCCGCATATCGATGCGATACAATTGTCGGGATGATTCTCCCACTCGGGCTGAGCTTGCTACCTACCCTTCCGATTTCAACCTCATATCTGATGTATGGCTAATGCGGCTTGATAGAGCTCGTGAGCTCTGCGGAGGCTGCGGGTACTCAACTGCTTTCTCTTCTCGGGATTCTGGGATTCTTTCTTTCTGTCTTGTCTCTCACAACGAGGAACGGGGGTATTCTGGTGGCGAGTCCTTACTTCGTTGCTTAAACAAACCGACTGTTGGAGGATAAGGATAGTTAGTGCATACATACATCCTCGCGGTTGTAAGCAGGACCCTTTCATGGTAATGTTAGAAAGTCGATTTCTCGGGTTTAGCACGAATACCCTCAATGCGTTCTGCTCTGCCAGCTCCAGCGGTAGGATATCCAAGTATCGAATCTGTCGTTCTGTCGCCATTGAAATGTTGTGGTTTGCATGTCTACCATTGCATTTGAACTGTCTACCGAGCGATAATTGGAGATACTATTTATAGCACCCGCTTAACCCCGCGTAACCCCGAGTGAGGGAGGGTCAAGCCAGAGGCGGTCGAGAGCTCAGCACCTTACGGCGTCCTCCCAATTCCAAATCAGCCAATTCCACCAGTCTGCAACCTACCTACCAACCTACTTTCCTCTCTTCAGAAAATCAAATCATAACAGCATACGAACCCCTAAACCTATCTACCACCGCGAACCCCCGACCTCCTACCCACCTACCTACCTCCACCGGTCAGCTGCCACCGTCGGTGCAACAACCCCTGACATCCTCGCCGGCTCTTCACCATCTGTTACCCATTTACCCACCCAGATCCGGTTCTCACATCCACAACATGGAAGGAACCAGGAACCGAAAACAACGCCGCGCAGCAGCAGCAGCAGCAGCAGCAAAACAACCCCGATCCACCGACGCGTTCGATCCCGCCTCCGTCCCGCTCGCCCATCCACCAACGACAAATCACCCCACCGGCAAAACCCTGGTGGATATCATCGCCGAGCGCCAGGGTGAACTACTGGGGCAGCTCTCTCCCAACGGGGGTGCAGGCACAGGCACACAGACGCAGTTCGTGACCGTCGACCCGCGGACGGGGGCGATCTCCGCCGTCGACGAGGGGAGTCTCTCGAGCGAGACGAAGAGGAAGGCGAGGAAGCGGGCGGAGAAGGCGCGGTGGCGGCAGCAGCAGCAGCAGCAGCAGCGACAAGGGAACGGCGAGAACGAGATTTCTGGCGGAGAGGATGAGGAGGACGAGGACGAGGACGAGGACGAGGACGAAGAGGAGGAAGAGCTCGAACATCCGATCCCCCCGGTCATCGATACGTTGCTCCTCGCCGTGCCCCTGGCGACCCTCCATCTGACGCTCGCGTACCTCGCCGCTCATCAGTACGCCCAGGAGATCGAGCTGGAGAAACTCGTCCGCGACTCCGCCTTCGTGGCCTTGCCCATGCTGGCGCTGTTGATCCACCTCGCGCACGGGCATGTTGTCTCCTTCGTTGGGGCACCGAATAGAGAAACGCTCTCGCTCTTGCCGTGGGACAGCGAGAAGCAGTCGTGGGCGTTCATGCGCAGGCTCCTCTTCCCGCCGAGTCTACGCACCGTGGTCTTTCTCCCGCTGACGGCTTTCCTGGGGTGCAGGTTGATGATCATGACGAACGAGGATCCCTACTACGCTGTCATGAAGCATGCGCCGGCTTTTGGGACTATGTGGATCTGGGGCGTCTTGGAGATGTCCTTCGGACCGGCCGTGCTGGGCGCGCTGGGCCCGTTGATCTGGGGAGTCTGGTGGATGGGGTATGGAATTCTCTGAGCTCGCTGTGCTAGTTGTGAGGGAGTGCGCGAGAGCGGGCTGTTGCTCGTCCGTCTGCGGACTCGGTCACTCATCCTCCCATCGCGTAGGATGTGGACAGGAGGGGTGCATCGCCCTCGCCGCATGAAGGATCCATATCCTGGGACAAGACATCCAAGGCTGCCCGATGCCTTGGTCACCGCATCGCGACGAGCCAGTCGCTTGTGCAGTTCCTGGCAATGGCCGGGATGTTACGCATCTCACGCTCGTATGCCATCCTGTCACAATGCAGGGTGGAGCTCCTTTGCCATGCTGGACAAGCATGGAGCTCGCAACGCCGTGGTTGCAGATACTCGGCCACCTCTGCTCGTCTCCACGGTATGCATACGAAGGAAGCGCGCTATGCGAGGGTGGTCGACATCGGTTTGCCCCTCATCACAGCACGGCACCCTGTCACCGTGCACCCATTATCGAATGTGCAGGATCTATAGCAATCTGAACCGAGCTTCATCCTACATAACTCCGCCAATGGTTCGCTCTCGTGCCTAGCATACGATGGCATGTGAGAGCAACGGATGGGTATGATCCGGCCGACGAGCTTAGGGTAACTTCGCTTCGAACTAGTTGAGATATAAGCGACTAATGAGATCCATCCGTTCAGAGAAAATGAAAAGAGTAGGATAGCGAACGATTGCAAACGGGCCCTACCCGAAGCCTATGCTCGTGGCATGGGCGAACAGAAACGGTTTGTGAGCCACGCCTGACGGATGAGCGCAATTGCATGGAGCGTTCGCTAAACAAGGCGCCTCTCGCCCCTTTCCTGTACAGACCTGTTGACGTGGCATTGCAGCGCCACAGAAAGCCGTTGCGCAGCTCGAGCAGGCACAGCGTTAGGACCAGTCCCCGGCGCCAGTAGCAATTGACAGGGTTGGTGCATTAGTTCGTAAGGACAGGCAGGACAGGCAGGACAGGCAGGACAGGCACCACGAAGACAGGGGCAACCGAACGGAGGGGCGATTCAGGCAGACGCATCTGAGTGGCAGAACAACCCCGAGGCAAGGCTTCTCCTATTCGCCGGGGATAATCCAAGTGTCGACTTACTTTTTGACCCGCATAGCTTAGCGATAAGCTGGAGCTTTCCAGTGGTGACGTCACCCATTCGAGTTCTGTCAGATGCAGGGTCAGGCTCGCGAGCAGATGGCACCGGAGGGGAGGGGGGTGTGGTTGAGCATGGCTGAGAGGCTGGCGGAAGGGCGGGCGCGAAGATCCGACCAGTGCAAAGATACGGGAATAAAAACGAATGGTCAAAAGAAAAAATAAAGCATTGAGAAAAAGAAAAAGAAACAGGGTGCAGCAAGATGACAGCGGAGGGATTGCCGGTCATCAGATAACTACTCCGTAGGTAGTCCGCGTATGTGACCTTCCGAATGCGGCCAGTGCGAGAGAGGGGGAGAGAGAGAGACAATTCAATTGTCCGAGTTTAGTTGAACAGCGAGGATTTGGGCTGGCTGGCTCTGGACGATGTCTGGGCTGAACTCAAGGCACTAAGAAGCAGTGGCTGTAGGTAGTCGGTCTCCTTGCCATCGCCATCGTTCCATTTAGCCGAAGACGACCCCCCCGGGATGGCAGGATCAAAGGAACGAGGGGAGGTGGACTGGACGCAGGACGGAGGATCCGCTGTCTCCGCTGTGGCACGACGCAGGTGCTAGACAGTAGGCTGTGGCGCAAGAAAAGAAGGATTCTAGATGAGGGATGAGAGAGTGGGCGAACTAGACACGAACTATTGGGGCACTAGCAGTAGTAGAATAGTAACACCTTTCACTCTCAACCAACTCACAGACTGAGACTTTTCAGCCGACTCTCTGGCTCGGACAATTTCCTATCGTTCCTGATGTCCATCGACTGCAATTCTCCGCTGCAGAATTGAATGGACTGTTGCTTCGGCCGTGCCAGCCCTCTTCCGCCCCAACGCGACAGAGTCGCAGAGTAGTGAGCAGTTCATGAGGTCCAAGCGGTTCGTCCCGGGCTAGATTCAATGCGTCTGCGAGGGACTCGGTCGAAAGGGCACCCACCCATTCCCGTCTCGGATTCTTTGATGTAGGAGAGTAGTGGACCAGACTTTCTAGTCTCCAGTCACCAAAAAAAAAGCTAGAATTGTCTCTGCTGAGGCCGACAAACACTTTGCATGGAACACCAAAAACAAGCAAACAAGTTTGGAAGACTGCTTGGGGGTCAGTCATCACCGTCGCCTGAGCCACCGTAGCTACCCTACCACCAGTCGATTAGTGCAGGCAATCAATCCAGCCAGCAAGTCAGCAGCGCCTGCACGTGTCAGCAAAGTGAACGAGCTCGATCGAGTGTGGGGGAATGCCAATTCTTGTGATGGTACCGGCAGTATGCACAGTATGCACAGTACAGTAGTGGAACCAGAACCAGAATGTCATCCATGTCATGTCAACGACCGATACCACCCTGACTACCAGACGGAGACTCAATTACCTAGTCAGTGGGTAATGCTCCTACCAAGTACCTACTGAGTCAATGACCCCGTCCTAGACCAGCTACTCTCGTGCAGTGGGTGGGACGCACATTCAAGAACTTGAACGCTGGGAGAACCACCGTCAGAGCCCCCAGGGCGTGCCAACCCGCCAATTTCGATCCCACCCAGGGAACCCATGTAGATACTGTACCTGAAATCACCGACCTGTACCCTGGATCACCCCAAGCTTATCCCCTCCCCCTCTGCCTCCTCTTGCTGCTCAGTTCGCTGAGTGGGGAAGGTGAGGTGCTGCACCTGCACCTCCAAGAAACCCAAGCAGCAAGCATCTCTGGCACCTGTACGGGATATCATTTCCAGTTACAAGATGTGGCATGGCATGTACGGTCCGAGCTGTGGCCGTCCGCGTCTGAATTATTCGGCAGTGCAACCCAGGCAACCCAACCCCTCTGTGTAACATCACGCAGAAACGAGGTATGCTTATTTCACGACTCTCGCGAATCAACGCTTCGCAGGCAGTGTGGATGGGAATTGACAGCCGGAAAAAGACACCAGTATAGTGACTTCCACGTTTGGTACGTGACTGCGATAGAGTATAGCGAGCTACTTGACTAGATCTCCGGTATAGCCCGACCTCCGGTCGTCCTACCCCTCAGCAGTGTATCTACGTAAGATCGGATATCAGTAGTGCAATCCCACAGAACGCCTCAACCCATCCCCCATCCGGAGCACAACCCGCAAACGCCAACCCCAGCAGCTCAGCAAGGCAAAAGAGAGGGGTCCTGTACAGCGAAAACCGTCCTGCGGCCCAGCCTCCCCAACATCAGACCTTAATGCGGCCCTTATGCATGATCCCGACCGACTGGAGACTAGCGCCCTGGAAGCGCGTCAGCAGCGAACTGACTATCTCGCGATAAGTGTGCATCTGCGCCAGCTTGAACCGCTGGATCTTCCCACTCGCCGTGCGCGGGATCTCCTCCACGAAGAGGATGCCCCCGTCCAGCGCCTTGTAGCTGACCAATTGCGGCCGCGTGAACGAGTACGCCTCCTCCGCCGTCAGCCGGTGGCCGGCGGCATTCTTCGCCCGCACGATGAAGGCGCGTGGCAGCTCGGTGCTGCCGTCCTGCGATGTAACCCCGATTACCGCCGCATCCTCGATGCCAGGGTGTCGGAGCAGCACCGCCTCGAGCTCGGCGGGCGCGACTTGCCATCTGGGAATTCCCAAGTCGGGTTAGGATCAGAGAACGCAGGAAAAGTGGAAGAAAGCGCTTACCCTCGAACCTTGATCAGCTCCTTGGTGCGGCCGTGGATGTAGTAGACCCCGTCTCTGACATAAGCCACATCGCCGGTGCGGAACCAACCATGCGCGTCTGTGGCATCCGCTCGGCCCTTGTACCCCATCAACAGGCCGGCCCCACGCACGTACAACTCCCCAGGCTTGTTCTCCTCCGCAACGATCTCGCCATCGTGGCCCACCAAGCGGGCCTCGGAGCCGGAAAGTTGCCTTCCGATGCTTCCGGCGTCGCCTAGCTCGCCGTACCGGTTCTGAAACACCACACCCACCTCGGTCATCCCCCAGAGCTGCGACGCCTGCGCATCGCCATGGAGCTGTTGCCGGAACTGTTGCAGGGACGCGCCGTCGATGGGGGCGCCGGCCACTCCAACATAGCGTAATGATGACAGGTAGCCCGCAACCGGGATGGTCGAGCGATTGAACGCGTGGATCATGGCTGGAACCATGTAGGTCTCGGAGATGCGATACTGATACACCGCCGCGACGAACTGCGTTAGTTCGAAGCGCGAGAGGACAAACAACGGCTGCCCGTAGCGAATGGGGAACAGGTGGGTCCACAGGGCCCCGAACAGATGGAACATGGGGAGGGACATTAACCGCGTCACCTCGTACGGAACCTCGTACTGGATGCTGAGGTGCTGGGATATGATAGCGTGATGCGACAGAATCGCCGCCTTGGGTAACCCCCCGGTGCCGCTGGTGGGGAACATCGCGGCCGGCGTGGATTTGGCAATCACCTCGTCATGGAAGGTGAGCCAATGATCTTCCCCGTACGCGAGGAGATGGGTGAAGCTCAGGTAGGCTCCATCCCCGCTGTTCGCGAGATACGGAGCGCTTGCGGCCGCATAGGCCAAGGGCCCGGAGAGCAGGAGCTGGTTAATGTGGTCTCCTGCGAACTCATCCAATAGGCAGACTTGCCTCGGCAGCATTCCCCGGTCGGCCGACACTTTGAGCACGGTGGGAAGAGCATCGCGAGAGGTGATGACCAATTTGGGTTCGGCCAGATGAAGCAAATGGTCTAATTCTTGTGGTTGGCTTCGTGCGTTGGTACCCATGAACACGCCGCCAGCGCCGATGATGCTATAGAAGAGGGCGGGGTATGTGATCTACCCATTGAGTCAGCATGGTGATAAGGGAGGGGGTAGATTGATTGATTAATGAAAAAAAGAAAAAAGAAAAAGAAAAAGAAAAAATAAAGGAAAAAAAAAAGAAAAGAAACATCGAGTTCAATTGGAGCGGTTGGTAGGGAGGAGTAGAGGGCAGGGAACTAGAATCGGTGTAGAACAAGCGACGAAAGGGAAAATTGCCATGCAGTCAGTGCAGTGCATACTTACACTATTTCCAAGGTGGACCAACACACAATCCCCTCGCTGTACATCGTGGGCTTTCAATCCTGCAATGAGTGTGCGAACCAGGGTCTCAAACTGCCGCGCATTGAAAGACTGCGAAGGATTCTCAGCATCGATGAACAATGGACGTTCTCGGTCGTAGTGGTAGGGGCTGCGGAAAGCAAAGGTCAACAAGTCGGTGTATGGGTGCTGGCCCAGATTGGGGTACGCCAAGGACGACTCCCAGAGACCCATCGCGTCGGAATGCAATTGACAGAGGAGTGTCGGTCAGGGCAGGCAGGCAGGCAGGCAGGCAGGCAGGCAGGCAGGCAGGCGAGATAAGTGGGCACAGAAGGAGGGCTGGGGAATTGTGGTCGGAGAGAAGATAGTAGTAGTATGTCGATAGCTGAGACTATTAAGCTCAAGTAGGGAGATGGGCAGATGACGATGATACACAAGAATAGTGAGAGAAATTCCCCCCGACCATGGGAGATCCAGGGCGATAAATAGAATCTCCATGGTGTTCAAGAAATATGCTTTTTGTCATGCTGGCGGTTTCAGAGAAAGTGAAAGGGTTGACAATTTGCGGTGTCTCGAAGGACAATTCCAGTTTCCTGGGTCTTGGGGTGAGGTGAATGGGGGTTTGGTGATTTGGAATTTGGAATACTTACTCTAGTTAGGGCAGAGTGGCTCAGTGGCGCTCCCCTCCCAAATCCCGACACATCGTCACCCACCGAGTTTCCGCTAAGATCGGATTGCTGATCCTCTTTCCGGGCCCACGGACCGATCACGCTTTGCGCTTAGACTGCTCACTGCTAACTAGCCTGCTATTAGCTGCTAGCATATCAAATGTCAGTTCAGATTGCGGCCATGTGGGTCCTCTCTCTTCTCTCATCCTTGAGAGATCGCAACTCAAGCACTTCACTGGCGAACATGGCCCCGTCATGCACACGAACTAGGTCCATGATCAACCCAATTCTCCATAACTTAAACCAATATTGAGCAATCTCTCAGCCGGACCTGATCTGAGCCATGTCTGCATCGCACTCTGATTGGTGCTTCGTCCTGTCAATCAAGCCCCATCGTTTCTCTTCAAGTGCTCCCTCTGCAGCTGAACCCCCGGTTAGATCTGCCGTCCTGAGAACGCATCCCCCCTCCCCGAACTACTCCCACGGTTCCCAGAGGCTTGGTCCTGGCCCTGCTGAATTAGCTCGTTATCCTGCGTATCCGGCCATGCGCCAGCATGCAGAAGCGACCCCACTGCTCTAGTCACTCATGCCACGCTGACGTCTTTTTAACGGAATCCCAGAAAACCGCGCATGACAAGCCATTACATGATGGACTTGACTATCTTGGACGAGGCCCGAAAGAGGCAGTACCCCGCCCGCTAATCGAGCAGGGGCAGTGGGTGGCCATGCTCCCGAGTGTCTCGTCGGGATTTCCTTGCCCATGTATCTGAGCGCACTAGTTCATCAGGATGGAGACTCAGGTGGCCCTGCCGGGGCCACACTATCACTGATCGACCTCATCGTGCACTGGCCAAACGAAGGGAAAGCAAGGAATCTGTGCCTGCTGCATGGGTCGCTGTATGCTTGCCGAGCTTGTCGGGTCATGCAACTCCACAGACCCTGTCCACTTCCAGGGCACGGATTGTCCGCTTATCGATGCAACCCTCTCGCCCTTAGGCGTGGATCGGTGGAGAATACGAATCTTTGTGGCGAGTCCTCTTGCGTCTGAGTCCAAGGCATCAGTACTAGTGTCGATCAGGAAACCCTGGCCGGCCTGCATGAGCCACTGAACGTGCCCATGCTGGTGTATCCGCATCTCTAGACCGTTCCATCAAGTCGTCATTGTTGCTGGAATCATCGACCACGGCACGGGGACGGGATATTCGCTCGCGGACGAGCCATCCATTGGCCCTTCGACTTCCACATTCGGAGAATGAACAGCTGAGGAGTGGCCGGCTTGATACCGTTCTTTAATGTTCATTGGTAAATGCTTCTCGGATCTAGGATGCGGAACAGGTTCCCCTCAAATAGTGTCGGTAGAACGGAGGCTGGAATCACGATATCGAGGCGAAAGGCGAGCTGAGATGCCGAGGTGGTCCGCATGCGGTATGATTTCAGGTGCTGAACACAAGAGACCGTGGTCTGCAGCCGAGATATTGTCCGATGTGCAATATGAGCCCACCCTGGCGGAAAATAGCCAGGCTGCATCAAGGTCAGATGTCTTCATGCATGAGGATTAAAAAGACGTCTGCACCCGTCGTTGTGAGATGCAGGTTCATGGTGGATCACACTCATGCACCCATTGGGACCAACCGAGTCATTATCGTTACTGCTTGCAGCTTCTTGCCCCCATCTTGCATCTGACGCTTTGTTCCTGAAGATTACATGCGTCTGCCCCTCGATCTTACTCTGGATTCCTTCTTGTCAACCTTGAACCCCATCTCCAGGACCAATTCGAAGCAATATGTCAAGTGAGGTGAAGAACACAATCACGGTACCACCGGCGGTGGTATGCGCTTCAGGGCCGGAAAGTCCCAGTTCATCAACATTCACAGAAGCCTCTACCATAAAGGTCTTCTCAGAGAAGGTGGAAGTGACCCAATATCGTGACTCGGAAGATGGATCTCTTGACCTCGAAGCTCAAGCTCCAAAGAAGCGCAGGTTCGCTGCGGTTCGCTTCATATTCCTCAACATATACCGACGCCTGTTCTCCTTGGTCTTCTTGGCCAATGTAGCTGTATTCATTGCAATCATGGTAACGGATCGAAAGCTACTTGCACTGGTAAATGCAGCAGCAGGTAACCTGCTTGCATGCGGCCTCGCCCGGCAGCCCTTGGTGGTGAACTCGATCTTTGTTCTCGTGGCATCCATTCCGAGATCCGCACCTCTTCGGATACGACGCATTGCAGCCAAGGTGTACCACTATGGGGGTGTCCACAGCGGGTGCGGGATAGCCTCATTTGTCTGGTATGCGGGGTTTGTCGGCCTCCTATCACAGGAATACTGGTCTCCATCATCGGGCGGGCCAACCACCTCCATGGCACCAGTGATCCTAGCATACTTGATCTTGGTCGTATTGCTCGCCATCATCGTCGTCGCCCACCCGACGTTCCGCATCAGGAAGCACGATTACTTCGAGCTCATCCATCGGTTCTTCGGCTGGCTCGTGGTGGTGCTCTTCGTGATCCTGCTCATGGTCTTCGCCAACGAGGTCAGCCGCGCGGCGAACGAGCCGCTCGGAACATTCCTGGTGCAGCTCCCCGCCTTCTGGTTCTTGGTGCTCACAGTCGTGGCCATCGTGCAACCATGGACGCTCCTCCGCAAGGTCACGGTGCAGCCGGAGGCCCTCTCCTCGCACGCCGTGCGGCTGCATTTGAGCCACACGACCACCACATTCGGCAAGGGCATCCAGCTGGCGCGCCACCCGCTGCGGGACTGGCACGGGTTTGCGACGTTCCCGAACCCGGACGGCCAGAGCTTCTCCTGCCTGGTGTCCAAGGCGGGCGACTGGACGGCCGCCTGCATCCAGGACCCGCCCACGCACCTGTGGAAACGCGGCGTCCTCCTGTATGGGTTCGCGTACGCGATGCGGGTGTTCAAGCGCGTAGTCGTGGTCACCACGGGCTCGGGCATCGGACCCTGCCTGTCCTTCCTCGGGGACGACAACCGCCCGGCGCTGCGGGTGGTCTGGCAGACTCGCGCCCCGCTGAAGACATACGGACAGGGGGTGCTGGATCTGGTGTCGGTGATGGACCCGACCCCTGTGGTAGTCGACACGAATCAGTCTGGGCGCATCGATATGGTCCCGATGATTCGGCGGATCGTGCAGGACTTCGATGCGGAAGCGGTTTGCGTGATCAGTAACCCTGTGTTCACCAAGAAGGTGGTATATGAGTTGGAATCGAGGGGCATACCGGCGTTTGGGCCCATCTTCGACTCGTGACCCAGTGTCGTCCTTTGGGCTGTGTATATATACTAGGGAGCAAGGTGTTGGGATTGGTTCAAGCAGGCGTGGTTTTCTTTGGAGTCGATTTGGGATTGTCATGGTGTCAGGAACCGAAATTTAGGGAAAGGAAACGATTCAGACGAAGTCAAGCCATGTGGGACTTCGTGATTGTAAATAGTATTGGAATTCAGGGAAAGTCTATGAGTGATGCAGTTGGCCTTACTTTTATCTTGGGGGGGCAGACGGGCGTAAGTTGTACGCAAACATTCCAAAGATCCGCGCGGTGTTTCATGTGCCTGTTCGGCCTGCAGGAATTCCATGTAGCAGTCCGCTGGGTACTTGCAGAACGCTCGCAAATCATTAGATTTTAGTACGACATTCAGTTCAGCCCCAAGGAACCAGACTGTGCGGGTAACAAACTTATCATCCTACATCTAGCTCACTTGTAATCTACAGAATTGGCTCTAGCGCGGGATATTTTAGACAAGATATAGTTTAGTGTTCAATTTGTTCATTCGTAAACGTTATGTGTAGATAATTGACCATAGCGACAATGTGTATGTATCTGGGTATGTATAATGCCAGTAACAGAAATAGACAAATGAAAATGTTTGGACTTGACGGAAATAATGGGTATCATGCAAGCACAGAAGTCACCCAGCAATACAGGATCTCTATGAACAGACTTTTTGTGTTCTCCACCATGGTATGAAACAATTAGAAATTAGGGGAAAGATAGTGAGAGCTTGGACTTCAAATCTTCGCGGAACTGTTGAGAGTGCATGAGAACAAGGACGTCCTCTGAGGGTGAAAATCATTGAATTCGTAGCAGTCATTAAATTCATAAAAGGTCGGTGTTTGAGGTCCACCCATGTTGAAGTTGTATATGTAAAACGATTGCGCGAAGCAATGGCGTCGGCCGAGGCTCAAGGTTCGGTAGGAGACGTAGCTCGGTTTCTCGTTTCGAAACCCAATGGCTCGGTCGAAAAATCATCGGGTGTAAGGCGAGATCGTCCCCTGGTTGAAGAAGAATGTGTGGAGTCGCTGTCCAAGCGCAGAGATTCCATGCGGTCCAGTTCTTCATACTCCGGAAGGTGCAGGGGAGATCCATGGTAGTCTTCCATGATGCTGCTTCCATCCAGCATCGTGTAACCAGGGGGACTGGCAGGAACATCCTCATAGACTGGTGGCATTTCCTCATCCCAACTGATACCCAGGCCGCTTCGTTCCGTGACGTGCAAGTGGAACTGCATGCGCAGAACACGTGCTGCTCCAGTCGGGGTGATGAGTCTCGTGTTGCGGTTGGGGCAGAACTCTTCGGCAACGATCAGTTCGATGACGAGGTTGTGACGAGCTTCCAGGCCACCCGAAGCTTCGAGATCGCACACTGGGTTGCAAGAAGGGTTGATGCTGGCTTCGAATTGCATGCTGATTTCACCGCCGGCGGTATCAAAATCTGTCTTCCAGCCATCCTTCTCTTCGTTGTGGCCGATGATTCGGGTCTCCTGGTGAAGGACACCCTTGCCCTCGCCTCCGATCTTGTGTGCATGCTTGGGGCAGGCTGCAGAGACGATCTTCTGGTGTTCCTCAATCCGCCACATCATTTTGCGCAAGCGCCAGCGAGTTTGGGTCTCTTCGCCTTTATCCACAACTCCGCTCAGGGTCATCTGCACAGGGAAGGTACCGATTGGGTGAACAACGGATGGGAGAACAATGCGACCGGTGAGGTTGGTAGGAGGGAAGATACGGATGGAGGACTTGTCGTTGCCGGGAAGTATAGCACGCTTGATGTGCAGAGGCATCTTGAAGGTGAACTCCTCCCCGTTGATACTGTGAGCACGCGCAGAGAGAAAGTATTCAATCTGACCCAACGAGCCATTGCATGAGGCGGGCAGATGGCCGGGGACTAGGTAGCTGAAAGGAAACTCGTGGTCACCACTCTTGAGGGTGAGGGGCTCGGTGAGGAAATTCCAGTGTGTCAGCTCCTCAGTTCGCGAGGCACAGGAGGGGCAGTCTCGAGAAACCGGTTTCTTGGTCGTCTGTCTGCTCATGAGACGCATATCGAAGGTGTCAAGCGTGATCATGCCGGCTAGTTCAGAGATGCTGATCTTCAAGCGTCCGGAGAACAAGGCGCCGGTTGAATTGGCGGGGTTCCCGTAACAGACGAGGGGCGGGGATTCAACGATGACATCGAGCTTCGCAGAGGCGTTGGCGCTGGGATCATGAGCGGCACGCTCCTTTGAACGAGCTGAGCGGCCATGGCTCCGTCGCTTCTCTTTGCTGTGATCGCGGTGCGGGTGAATCAGATGCTCCATCGCGTACGATAGCCGGCGTTCGGGTGAGCGGGCTCGTTCAGCGGTCAGATGAGTGGGTGGCTTTTTCGACGCCACGGTAGTGTTCGGGATCTCGTTCACGGACGAAGAAGAAGAGGTGTTCGAGTGTGAGACGGATGAATGGTGGGATGAGTGGTGGGAGAGGGAAGGGCGGACAAAGCTGGAAAGTAGACGACCAGGCATGGTGGCGAGTTTCACAAGGGGTGATGTGGATGCGCTGGGTTGGAACCTTGGTAGCTAAGTATAGTGACAGTGTCGAGTGCACAGAAGATGGAATGTGTTGCTCAGGGAGCAATGGATGTCAGATATTGACGGTCCACGATGCAGGATGACCAGACTGGCAGTGGCAGACTAGTGTATGTATGTAAAGGTGTCTTGATATCACGGCGCAATTGGGAAAATTGGGTTGATTGCCAAGTACATAATCTCCTTGCGATTGAAATTGAATCTTGTACCTATGAGAAAGAACTTATGACTACAGTCAAGAGTTCAAGTTTGCTTGTCGAGACGGTGAGGGGTAGAGGTAGCAGATGATGAAATGTACACGAGTAGTAGAGAGTTTTGATCGTGTTGTGATGGTGGTAGTAGTAGTAGTAGTAGTAGTAGGCAGGTTGTAGTAGTCTATATCTGAGCAACTGAAGATGAAAATGAAGTAGATCTAGTAAGCTATCAAGCAAAACAGAGGAATGGCAAGAAGAAGTGGGAGAGCAGCTGCCTTTGAATGAAGCAGGAGAAGCTCTATGTTTTATTATTTGCAACCCAAACATACTGTGCCCCTCCAAAGGACTCATTTTCTTTTTTTTTTTCTTTTTTTTTTCCTATTGTTGAATTTTTTTTTTTCTTCTCCTTTTTCATTTTTAGCGTGGTGGTTGTTTCTAGGGCGTTCCCACACCATGTAACAGGTACGATTGATTCCCTGGTCTGGCCACCCTGAACGTCTCCATCGCATCGGGCGGCCGATGGAGTTTTGGTGGGGCACGGCAGAAAAAGCGTCATAGGAGACTTTACATTACCATTTCCATACATGACCGTACGGCTGTCTCCGACGGAAAGCGCCATAGTCTTGCTCGCCCTGCCGTTTAATTCCCCTGATGGAACAGTACCTGTCCGTTGCACCAATAATTCCCCGAGGGTAACTGCAGTGACTGTTTTCAACTTCCAGCGTGTTGACACACCGCGATTTGTTTGGCGGCAATTTGACTTTCTTCTCTCAATAAAACCATCGTAGCTTAGCTAAAGTAACTTGCGCCGTGATGGGTTAGGACAATTGTGGGCACATGCTCATTCTAGAACAACCAGTGACCAATCAATCATCCTATCGGCAGCTTGTCCTGCGTAATCGATGAAATAATTGCCTTAGTCAGGTGATGTTGAATTGAGGTACTCGGAATCGGCTTCCCCAGATCTTGAGTATATTCAAGATCGGTCTCAACTACCAAGCGCAAAGAGACTGAGCGCAAAGAATTCTAGCCTTCTTCAAACATTCAGGATGGTGCGTATCCTGTATTGACTACAATTCCCTGGAAGCATGTGATGGATGCATATCACACTGCGCAGCGCAGTATAAGCAGGTTGCTGATGCCAGAGTGATTGAACCTTCTCCTGCATCAAATGACCGGGTGTGTTGTTAAGCAATCTATTCTGGAGGGCACGGAATGTCCTTCCTAGAACGATGCCCTCATCAACAAGTACAGTACATACAGTACATGAGGGGGAGGTCAGGCGCAATGACTCACACTAGGGCCGGGCCTGAGACTCTAACAACGAACAGCTGTCTCCGATGTAGATCAGTTAACCCGGATCTCTGTTTGCGCAATTCTGCACGCGCAAGAAACATCATCTTAGCGGGTTACACGCAATCCATGAGATCGGTGGTGATGTGGAATAATGTCAACTGGCTGGAGAATGTTGTCATGTCCATTGTTCCAGAATCGAACCGAGGGTCCAGTATGGGACTGCTGACTCAGGTTCTAGACATCCTCCATCAGGCGTTCTATACTTGGAAGCCAGAAGTGACCTCGGGCTGGCACGGTCGAAGATTACCAATGGTGGCTTAGGAACCCCGCGGGTGAAGGACGTATAGTACGGAGTAGCATCGGGTAAGATCCCGAGAATTGACAACAGAATGACAGATCATTGAGCATCCATGCGTGGAATAGTACCGTGAGCTAGCACCCCGTATAGATCAACGGCACGGATTATCCGTTCAGTTTGCAGTGGGATTTACTAGAGCAGTAGCCCGTAATACCGGATCATCACACCTGACGGGCGCTTCCTTTGCTCATCAAGGAAGGTCAGCTGCCGTCATCGAACCATCACGTGGCGTCACAAAGTGATGTGCGAGGCCGAGGGGGGCTCAAGGCGGTCTGGTCGGGTCTTTTCTCACTACTCAATACAGGCGGTGACGACCTGTATCAATCGGCTATACCTTACCGTACAGCAACTCTTTGCAACGCTAATTGGAGATCCCTCTGGATCCAAGTTGCCGCTGTTGCACTTTTGCGCCAAAAACGATGGAAGGGCAGAACCAAGGCCTGAAAAGAAGGTAAGGTAAGCTAGCCCCATCAGACCCGAGCATTGCGCGCACGGATTAGGAATCTTCCCAAAGAAAATTCTTTGCGGACTCTCTTCTCCTCGGGAAGAGCTAAACAGAGTCCGGAGTACTGTACAATGATAATGTGTGTACCGTGTACAAGTCCACTTCAGTCAAAGCTCCACTTGCCGAGAGAAGGGAGAAAAAGAACAAAAAAGGAAAGGAGAAAGGGAAAAAAAAATGCAAAGGATAAAAAGTCAAAAGGGGTGCACGCCCACCAATCCTTGGTTGATGCCCCTTGTCGCCATTCATCATCCCCTACAAGGTACTTGGGACATGTGGACGGATGTTGCGCTGTCGCGCACAGTCAATATGGTTCAATCCATTCACTTCTCCTCGTAGCTACCTTTTTGGGACAAGTTTCAGAACAGCCAATCGAGTCATCACTGCAGTTAGTGCGCTACGGAGTACGTACTAGAGAAGACCCTTCTGGACATCAGCTCACTCCGAGGGCGCATGGGTTCTTTTTTCCCCGCACTGCAGTTAATTCCGGCCTTTGCGGGGGCATTGCATCATCCGGATATCCTTGCCGGTCAGCGCATTGAACCTCCTAAGTATCTACAATGTCTAGGTAGTAGCAGATTGGGAGAGGTTTTGGGTAGGTGAATTGAGTCTGAATGAAGTGCCACTGCCCATCATGATATACAGACCGGTAGTAGATAATATGACATGAGCAAAGCCCACATCAAAGATATAGTTAAGTTCTAGACGCGGTGCACTGTCCGGTCGGCAGGGGAGTTTCACTGTCCCACTGACGAATGGCCAGCGGCTGCCGCCCTACCCATTACCTAACAGTTTCCTCCTCAGGCTCGCAAGCTCTCCATCAACTGAGCCAACTTCAGCCTGTTACTGCAGTACCTCAGGCCTACCTCCTCAAAACTGAGCACTTTCGGCTTTGAATACCCAAGGCCAAATGTCTTCTTGATCCGATTGATCGTCCCGATTGACAAAATCTCGGCACATGCTGTCGGTCACTGTTACGGGTGGCCGACTTTGATCACGCCATGAATCCATCCATTCTTCCATTCTACCGACTGCGCTTACGGAGTACTCTGTCCCAACTTACTCGTGCCCATAGTGACAACCCACACTTTACAGTACAAGAATGTCAAGGCGCTGGAAATGGAGTGAGTAAATGGGCCTGTCTCCGCTCTACCACGCCGTAACTCACGCAATTGATAGTATGTGGAGTAAACACATCTCGTATGTCGATTTAAAGTGGCACCTTCTTACCCCATAATAACGACCAACCTCACACGCTCAACTCGCTTTACTCGGTCCTAAACTGTTTGCTATTTGCTTTGATATTCTCCCTTGTAAGATCCCTGGCTCTGACTGTGCTTAGGATATACTCATAGTCTGCAATCCAGCCACTTAACCGGCCGGTAGTGGGTGGTAACAAGCCGGCGCATCAACTACCTACTCCGGAGTAGTTGTCCTAACACTGCGCATACCTCTGGAACTCCTATTCCGAGCCTCGCTTCCCGCGGGGCCAGGCGTGACAATGCCTCTTTTGGGGGGCGGAATCCGCCGCCCCTTCGAGCTTTAGTCCTGGTACCTGATTAACGAAATTAACGAGAAGCATCGCATTCTGAGACAGCTATTGCTCAATACATGCATTGAATGCAGTGATTTCTCCGGAGTACGGAGTTCTGAATCAAGCACGCAACTTCAAGCTTGTTCTCAGTTTCAGCGCGCACACACTGTCCATACCTGTGCATGCGCTATTTACTCTTACTCTTCGCCCTTGGCGGCCTTCGCGAGTCGTGCAAGAGCTTGGACCCCATCTTTTTGCAGAATCTTAGACGAATCCAAGGCACGTTCATCATTTGAGAAGGCATGTACGTTGATGCTCCCATTCCATTGGGCAGTTCGACGGTAAACCCCTCCAGGCGCAACAGGCGTGAGTGGTTTTACTCGTACTTGGCCGGGCGCCGGACTCCGTTACAATTTTCTCTGGCCGGATCGCTGCCGGTCGGTCGCCTTTGAGTCCACTTCATCGTGATGACTCTTAACACTAGCACTGCTTAGCGCCTCAGACGACTAGAAAATTTTTCTTGCTGGTCTCCATTCTCTTCCAAGGCCCTCAGCGGACCGCCGTCGCCAACCATTGGGGCTCCTTTATTTCAGGTTAGACCACCCGAGGAGATCAAAGGACATCGGCGACTGCCGCGACAATGCTACCCTTTCCCACCCGGACCTCTTCTTTCTCCAATCTTTTCCCAGGGAGGGTTATCAATTTGTGAATTGAGAAGAATGGGAGGAGCGGCAGATCCATGGAACCTTGTCTGCGTAATTGCGGTGCAATTCTGTGGTAACTGCGGTTCAGGGCTGCCACCAGCGCGGACCGCCTTCCGGGGGGGCAATTCTCACAGCCACTGATTTTTACGGCCCTGAACGTTATTTGAGCCGGTGTGACTAACTCGACCTAACGGCAGTATAGGCGCGGATCTTATGATCTCGGTCTGGCGGTCATGGTTGACGGCCATGATCCTGAAACATACGCCCTGTTTTGTTGTATGCATACCTACGTAGTGCCAGTAGAGGACCCTGCAGGTGAAGAATTACTGCAGAGTCTTAGCGCCCCTTTGAGGGATTTGCAACAGAATTGACGCGTTGCCGGTCCACCAGAGTGTGTGACTACTTAGACCGCCGCCAAATTTCGTATGCGATGGGGCTAACCCTGCAAGCACGTCTCTTGACATGGGTTCTAGAATCGACAATCCGGAGCAGTACCTATGGTCGGGTCCATAGAGGATGAATAGCATGATGGTTTTATCGGTCAGCTCAACTCACATATAAATGGCTGTCCACTTAATATAAATCTTGGAACCAGAAATTTACCGCGGTTGGCTTGATTCAGTGCAATGGTAGACCGTCGGTCGACGAACTAGAAACAGGGGTCTTCAAACTGTAGTCGTCCTAATACCATCGGTCAGCCCTATCGTATCCGCTATCAAATGTCCACTGTGCAGAATACAGTATCCCTCTACAGACCAGCCGGTCTCGGTTTTCTAATAAGTTATTGTATTCCGGCTCATGGAATGGCACCTGATATCCATGCGCAGGAAAATAATGGCAATATAGTTATCTGCTTCGAGTATACTGATCTTCCAAACACATTGGGTTGTTGCGGGTTACGGCTCGGCTGCCATATGATATATAGTCACTCTGGTATGTCGAAGACATCCTATTCCTATGCATTGGTCAAGGCAAATAAGGTGAACCCAACAAATCACAGATAGTACGAATCCAGCGAAATTCTCCGGCACGCTTCCTACAATTGACTTTGTGTACCTTCAGCTTAATGACTTTCGTGGGTGTTGAGAACGTCACGTGCCGTAGCTCAAGCTCCGACGATCGACAATTGAATTCCCCGACACTCGAGATCCCCTATTCCTACACTACATCCTTGTATTACATGTGCACAGCAAGTCCCGCGGTGATGAATGCGCCTTTGTTTCATTTTCCATCTCTAGCCATTACTCCGAACCTGGTTCCTAAGTTTTGTTTGCACGACCCTCAATTGCGTTGAGTTGTGGGGTGACGTCTGGATGTTGGGACACCGTGAGCAGCTCCGAACCGACCCCATTCCAGTATCGACCCCCCAATAGTCGCAGGGTCACACCACTTGCAGCGTTCACAACTCATTATCTAGAAGGCGACCTGTATCGATCATCCCCAAATATTTCACAATGAATACCTCATCCCTGATCACGATTGGTCTCGCGATCTCAGTCGTGTTCATGTTCTGGACCCTGTCTTCGACCACGTCGTCGCCATTTGCAGGGGCCTTCCCTCGCATATACAACAAACGGATCTGCTTATTGATTGCTCATCCCGATGACGAAGCCATGTTTTTTGCGCCTACAGTTCTGGCCCTCACCAAACCGGAGTACGGCAATCATCTCAAGATCCTCTGTCTTAGTACCGGTACGCCCGCCCTGATGAACCCCCCCCTCTCCCCTACCAACAAAAGCAAGCCACTAACGCGTCAGTTGTTGTGCAATCCAGGCGACGCCGACGGGCTCGGACACATCCGCAAGAAAGAACTGGTGAAGAGCGCCCTACAACTTGGCCTGCGGAGCGAATCGGACGTCTACGTCGTGGACGACCCCACTCGATTCCCGGACAGCATGAGCGCGCACTGGACGGAGCACGACGTCGCCTCGCTCCTTGCGTCGGCGTTCGCGCCGGAACCGACGAAGAAGGCCGGAGGTGGAAAGACGGCGGCCCCGACGGCGACCATCGACGTGCTCGTGACGTTCGACCAGGGCGGCATCAGCAATCACCCGAACCATCGATCCCTGTACCATGGGGCTCTGCACTTTCTCCGCACGCTGGTCAAGGACAAGTCCGGGTACAATTGCCCGGTTACCCTCTACACGCTGACGACGACCAACCTCGTGCGCAAGTACGCCGGCGTGCTCGATGCGCCCTTCACCATGGTCCGGGGCGCCTTGAGCTCGATCGCGTCTGGCTCCGGGGCCCGCAGTGCCAGAGATCAGCTCCCGTCTCGGCTTCTGTTTGTTAGCTCCGTCAATGAGTGGTTGACTGCCCAGTCGGCGATGGTCAAGGCCCATCAGAGTCAGATGGTGTGGTTCCGTTGGGGGTGGATTACGATCGGGCGCTATATGGCGGTAAATGATCTACGGCGGGAGAAGATTTGAGCGAACGCTCAAAACTTACATACTGGGACGCCTGGGGATGTTGGGCGTATAGATACTCCGATCCACACAGGCCGAATATTCGTCAGACCATATAGTTTCTGGAGTAGTCGTCTGTCACCATCATCGATGCTTTAGGTATGATGCACCCCCTGGTACATGAAGACTTTGTCGATAATCTCTCTTTTCACGAATCAGGCTAAGGTGATCATAAGCAGAAAACAAATTGTAACGTGTCACTATGGACGGGGTAGTCTCAAAAACGCTCAAATCACATGCATCATGAACCGTACGCAAAGGACTAGGTTGCTGAGAGGTGACGTTAGAAAACGCTTCTAAAACGAAGAAAGAGAGAGAGAGCTCAAAACAGGTCAGACGCCTAGACATGGAACACAAGGCGCCAAGTTGGCTGTAAGACAGAGCGGGAAGTTTTACATAGGAATGTGTTCCAATTGCTGTTCAACATGGTCGACTGTCTTCTGTGCGACGGTATCTCTCTAGAACCGGCTCGAATAGTCGCCTAAGGGATGCAGAAGTTGGCTCGATATTGGGCTCGAGACGCAAGAGAGCTTCCCAAAGAAACTCGTCGTCAAGATAATTGACCTCGTCACCCGGTTCGACATCATTATAGGGTGTGGGCCGTCGAATAGGAATTCGCTTTCCACTGTAACGGTTCCGGCTACCCCAGCGAATTTTCCCAACAAAATGAACTACTCCGCTACGGGTGTTCAAGTGGAAATCCTCTGGGAGAAAGTCGCGCCATTCTTCTAGCGCTTGGGGAAACAGGGTCCTGAACCATGCAGGGTTGTCTCGACCCGTCCATAGCTTGTTGATCAGCATGTTTCTCGCGAGCTTTCTCACCAGCTCAGTCTGTTGGGCTGTGCGCAGTCTGAGGATATCATAGGTGTGGATTGCGTTGGCCAAGTCTCGCGACTGCCAATCTGCGTGACTTTTATGTAGCCTGCGCCGCTTCATAGATGCCATGATGGCTGATCTCGCCTCCCATCTCCTTTGACGTGTCTCCATCAGGATCTCATATGCAGCATACATTTGTGGCATGTATTTCTTCAGAATCCGACTGTCCCACGCCAACTTAGCGACCTTGAGGCGCGCATCAATCGTGGGACGCACGTTGTATGGCTCTGCAGTCATTGTATCGAACAGTTGAGTCACGAAACGTGGCTTGATCTTCATCTTCTTCTGTTCCTCGGCGTCGGGGCCGAATCTGGGACGGGACAAGACAAACGTCCACTCGAACAATTCAAGCCAAACCTTCTCGGGAATTGGTATATTGTATCGGTCTGCGATGAATTCTACCAAGTGAAGTCCAGCTCTGATGTCGTTATTTGTTCCGAAGGCGTGAGCTACCGCAAACAGAAGTCGACTCGTGGGATGAAGGGCTGAAGCAGGGTCGGTGTGGTAGATATCGGATGAGCTCGACGGGTCGCTTGCTGTCAACAGTCCGTCGACATCTATGTTCCAAGCGGCTTTCAGAACAGCCTTGATCCCCGGAACCCAACCTGTGCGACAAGATGCAAGCATCATGTTGACAAAGGTCGTCTCATCCGGCGGGATGGATTTGGCCATCATCTCGTTGAATACCACTCGTACCGACTTTAGCACGCTGCGTGCTGCGGTGCCGTATCCCGACCAGCCTGAATCGGGGGGCGCGTTTTTTCGCATTTTGTAAGCGAAACGGGTCACTCTCAGGCGGTATTTTCTCAACCCCGTGAATGTCCCATCCCAGATCAAGGCCTCCATGAGATGGTTATAGCACTGGGTATCGGGCTCCACCCTACGATATTGCATGGCCTGCCATGCGCTTTGTGCCATCTGAGGATCCCCCATGGCGGCTGCGCAAGCGAGCAAGTGGGTGAACTCCGCCAGGCCTGGAATTTGGCCTGTGGAAACCCGGAGACGAATGATTCGTGCGAGCTTGCTGGCGAATTCGTCGAAGATTTCCTGCAATGGCCTGATATCCATGCTTTGTTCCGCGGTTGGATGGAGCGGTCGGTGAATGTCTCGATAGGGCTCGACGAAGTAAGCCGGAGAGAGAAGCAGGAAGGCCTCGACGAAGGTGGTCTCTGGCATGGCTCCTACCAGGCTGCTGAATCGAGGGTCAGTGAGCGCATTTATCACCAGGTCCGGTTGGCCGCTTCGAAGAATTGAGATGAACTCCGTTTGCAAGGTGTCTCGTAGTGGATCGCGTGGTTTCTCTGAAGGACCCCCGATGTCCAGCAAGTCCGTTGTGCTCATCATCCCATGGTAGTCATACTTGTCCGAGTAGTCTTCCTTGACAATTGGCTTGAATCTCTTTTTGGTAGGCGGCCTAGTCCAGATTCTCAGCGATCTCGACGGGCACGTAGGAGTAGGATTCCGAACTATGAGAAGTGGAGACGGATAGCGAAGCTTGGTTGGCCGAGAAGGACGATAAGAGGACAAAACCCCCAAGCGAGTCCAAGACAGGCGGTCACTTGGTTGTAGAAATCGCAACATCGGGCTTGAAAATTGACAAGCAAGGAGAACAGCCGAGAAAAAACATGGGGTCAGATTCTCTGGGGTAAAGAAATAAAAAGAGGGGGTGGCAGGTCAGCTAATATTCATATTTGATTCATTCACCTACCTGTTGCGGAGTAAATTGAGGAGTCGGCGGTTGTTGTGGTCTTGGCGGGAAGCAACTGGAAAGAATCCTTGTCAGTCTCTTTCAAACACCCTTCCATCCAGTCAACGCTCATTCATGTTCCCGCGGGTGACAGTCTAACAGTTGCACAGTCGCCCAATCTCTCTTCCCCCCCCTGCACCCCTGCAGCTTTCATTGATTGCTTGATTGACTGGACGCCTCCCGACTTTTAGCTTGCGTTCACTCATTTCGTGTCTCCTTCTCCGCTCCCCCCTCCCCTCTTTCGCAATCCCCCCGCCCCCAATCCCTCCTCCTCTTCCCTCGCGATGGCTGACACTGAGGATGCGGGCACCTCGTCGGTATCCGAACCCCTCGACCTGGTGCGCCTGTCACTCGATGAGATTGTCTTTGTGAAGTTGCGCGGTGACCGTGAGCTCAAGGGCCGTCTTCATGTAGGTCCCCCGTGTACCGTGCCTGGGAGGGCCAGTTCGAGGCGACTAACCGGTATTAACTCCGCGCTTGCGATAGGCCTACGATAGCCACTGCAACTTAGTCCTAGGCGATGTGGAGGAGACCATCTACGTGGTCGAGGAAGACGAGAACGAACAGGAGACGATCCGGGTACGTCCACTTCCCACTGCCTGCACGGCCCGAAACGGTGTCCAGGTGCTGGCAATCCTGCTGTGATCGCAGACTAACGCATGCTCTCTGTTTTTAATATAGACGATCAAGAAGCAGGAGGAAATGCTTTTCGTTCGAGGTGCGTTCCAAGCTCTCTCTCTCCCTGATGACGTCGGCTATACAGTTTTTGCGCGCGACGTTGCGACTAACGTTCCTGCCCATAGGCGACTCGGTTGTACTTATCTCCCCTCAAGCATGATGACATGAATTCTCCGAGAAAAGAATAAAGGACCAATGGATCTGATCGGAGGGCTTGGAAAGCCATGCAGCGTATATAACTTCTCGCTGCTACCCCATGTCGGCCACAGATCAGTATGAGACCACGAACTACCAGGCGATGCTACAGGGTTCCCAGACGTATAACTCTAATTGCAACCAATGAACTATACACGAATATTCTGGCAAATGGTAGATTGGGAAAAGGTGGTGTTTCAGATCAGGACGGGGTAGGATGGGATAGAATGGCATCATGTCATGCAGCAACAGCCACTATCTAGAAGTTCTGCCCTTGCATGCGACTAAAGTAATATCATGTGGTAATTGTGTTTTGATCGAGAGAAGATTTCAATGCACACATGCACCAGTCAGCTGGAATGCTTCTAATTGTTTCCATATCCTTATGACTCGACTGTAGTCAGCTTAACCATGAGTGTGGGGGATGAGTCAAGGTCACGACAGCCGCACGAGGCGGCGATGACTCGTTCTCCGTCGGTGGCCGATTATCGATAAAGCTTTCCCCGGCTCTCCCGTCCTTCCCCTTCACCTCTACCTCTCTCAATCTACTTAGCTTCAATCAAACACCCTATTGTTCCTATTGTGTCCCCTTTCCATCGGTCATCCTTAGCATTCGCCTAATAACCTCTGGCCTAGTCCTTCGACCCTCTTCCACCTAGCTATTCAGACGGGAATTATGATCACACGAATAGGTGTTTGAGTGCGCCAGAGGCGAACCTTGTCCGTTCCATCCGACCGAAACAATTCGCATTTTAGCTACAGATAGACACACGTATTTGATCCGTTCTTCATCCCATTCTACCTTCTTATCTTTATTCTGGCAACGAAAACCCTACAGTACATTATGCCACCGACGGGGCCGAAACTCACCCTGGAGGAGCGGCGGAGAGGCGAAATTGTGTGTTGTTTGTGCAGTTTTCCGCGCATTCCTTAGCCCCCCCTTTCCCCTGTGTCTCACACTAACCCGTCTCATTCGCAGGCGCTCAGCGAGTTCGCCGAATACGCCGAAAAGCAGCAGGCCCAGCGCTCGGCCCCGCCTGTGCCCAGCGACGGTGGGTATGAAACGGCCAGCGTCTTGCGTGTCCACGAGGACCACGCCGAGCTGGACATCCTCGATCAGCTGGCATTGAGCGATACGCCCAAGATCGTCAAGCTGAAGGAGGTCCTCCTCGGCACCGGCGAGCAGCCCGACGACGACCTGCAGGTGCTGGCGAGCCTGCTGCAGTCCCGCATCGACGAGGGCCACGGCGAGACGCTCTTCGACCTGGGCCTCGAGGACGGCGGCGAGTCGATGCAGCTCGACCGGGAGCAGTGGACCACGGCCATCCGGCGCCTGCGGGAGGCCGCGGACACGCTCCCGGCGCACTGCCGGGTCCTGGTCACCTACAACGTCGGCGGACCCGAGGAGTCGCGCGTCAAGAACGAGCGGACCAAGGGCTCGTGGGGGAAACTCCTGATCCGCCAGCCAGCGAGCACCGTGGAGGAGATGGCGGAGATCCGCGTGGCGGTCGTGGGCAACGTCGATGCCGGCAAGAGTACCATGCTCGGGGTCCTCGTGAAGGGGAACCTGGACGATGGGCGCGGCAAGGCCCGGCTCAACCTGTTCCGCCACAAGCATGAGGTGGAGAGCGGCCGGACCAGCTCGGTGGGCATGGAGATCATGGGCTTCGACAGCCGCGGCGATATCGTCAGCAGCTCCCAGGGACGCAAGCTGTCGTGGGAGGAGATCGGGAAGCGCTCCGCGAAAGTGATTGGCTTCTCGGATTTGGCGGGCCACGAGCGGTACCTGCGGACGACGGTCTTTGGCATGCTGAGCAGCAGCCCCAACTACTGTCTCCTGATGGTCGCCGCGAACAACGGTCTGATCGGCATGAGCAAAGAGCATCTGGGCATTGCTCTGGCGCTCAACGTGCCGGTCATGGTCATTGTCACCAAGATTGATATCTGCCCGCCCCAGATCCTCCAGGAGACGCTGTCCCAGCTCAGCAAGATCCTGAAGTCGCCGGGCGCTCGCAAGATTCCCGTGTTCATCAAGGACATGGAGGAGACCATCAACACGGCGACGCAGTTTGTCAGCCAGCGGATATGTCCCATCTTCCAGGTGTCCAACGTGACTGGAGAGAACCTCGACCTCGTCCGGACCTTTTTGAACATTCTTCCGCACCGGGGTCACTACAACGTTGATGCGCCGTTCGAGTTCTTAATCAACGACACCTTCTCGGTTCCTCACGTGGGTACGGTTGTGTCTGGGGTGGCCAAGTCCGGGGTGATTCATGCGGGTGACACCGTACTGGTCGGGCCCGACTCGCTTGGTCAGTTCACTACGACGACAATCAAGTCCATTGAGCGCAAACGAATTCCGGTGAATGCTTGCTTCGCTGGCCAGTCTGGCTCGTTCGCTCTGAAGCGCGTTCGGCGAAAGGAGGTCCGCAAGGGCATGGTGGTTCTCAAGAAATTGGACCAGGCCCCTAAGGTGTACCGGGAATTCGTCGCCGAAGGTATGTTGGTTTGTCTACATTGTGAAACTATGCCGTTACTGATGTGATCCAGTGCTTATCCTCTCCCACGCCACGACCATCAAGCCACGCTATCAGGCGATGCTGCACGTAGGCGCCGTGAGTCAGACCTGTTCCGTCGTCGACATTGATCGTCCCTTCATTCGGACTGGTGACCGTGCGTTGGTGGCTTTCCGGTTTGTCCAGCGCCCCGAGTTCCTCGCCCCCGGGGATCGGGTGCTTTTCCGTGAGGGAAAGACCAAGGGTCTGGGAATTGTCAAGAGCGTTGGCTATGATCCGAAGAACCCTCTGAACCCTGAAGCCAAGAGCGCAGGGGACACGGGCACTCCGAAATGATCTCAGCGTGTATACCAGCTCGGAACTATCGGCGGCCTTGTCTTGGAATTCGCCACGCCACGACCGGTGGAGTGCCCGAGTGGATCGAGCCCTTGCAGCGACGCAAGCTTTCATTGACGGATGATTCGCTTCCATGATAATTAAGGTGTTTGGATTGCATCCTTCGGGTTAGTTCGGGCTGTTTTCCTGTTTTGACTTGGGATCTGGCTGGGGTGTTGCTTAAAAGTAGCTTGCACATGAGCAAAGAATGTGGATGACACATTCTTCGCCCGCAGCTCTCCTTATACTTCCAATTTACTTTTGCAATTGACTTTTGTCGTCTCTCCACCTTGTTGTAGCAATTGTCCGGATAACCACCAGTTGGCTATGGTTCATTCACCACGTGAGAAGGAAATGGAATGACGTCAGAGGGGAGTGATGACATCGCGGCCGATGATCTGCGGTACAAACTGATTGACTGGCCACCCACCCACGCTTGCAGCTGTCACCGAGCCACTGACGTACCGACCTGGAGCGCTGCTGGATGGTGTAGTCGGACGTTAATAAACCCCCGGATTCACTGAATTTTGGGAGGTGGTTCCACTTTCAGCACTGTTGCTTGTTGCTTGATACCTACAGACAGTTTCACGTATACTTCAACTTGGGTCGCACAATCCCAGTATTCCATACATACACACACACACACACACACACACACGCACACATTCCTCGTGCAACATCAATTCAAATCCCATGATCATCAATCCACCTAGCAACTCTTGAAAGAAGGTACCTAAAATGGAGACTCTCAACCGCACCTTCAGCAACGCCACCACCGCCCTCTGGAACGAGTTCCAACCCGGCGAACAGCAGCAGCTCCAACCGCATGGCGACGAGCCCTTGTCCGGGATCCAGGGGAAGGGCACAGCGACTGATCCGTACGATGGAGGGAACCGCGATGGTGAGTCCAACTTCCCTAGACATGCCGCATGGCCTTCAAGCCCACATCACCTTCCCCAAGCTCACCCCCTCCCAATACACACAAGAACTAACCATGCGCAAGACCAACCCGGCGCCCCCCGCTCCCAAGCCAACACCGCCGTGATCCCCGAGCCCCTCGTCTCCGTCACCGCGCCCTCCGACCACGCCAAGAATCCCAAGTCCCCCAGCAACGCCGACGTGGCCCTCAAGAGCGTGATCGTCGACGAGCCGGCCTCGACGCTGCCGTTGCAGCAACAGAACAAAAAGATGGAGACCCCCGACCCGTTGACCGCCGCGGCGCCCACGGCGGCTGCCGAGGCGGCCGGCGCGCCGAGCAGCGGGTCGCATGGCACGAAGCAGTTGGCTGCGTCGGGGGTGGGGTTGCCGGCGGGCAAGACGCAGGTGTCGAGCTCGGGCGGGGTGTCGGAGCAGCGGGGGAGTTTGCCTGCTTCTTCTTCGGTGAAGGTTCCTTCCTCTGTTGGGGTGGCTGGATCTGGGTCTGGCACTGGCACTAGCACTGGCGCTGCAGGAGGTGTGGGAGGTGAAACGCTCCCTATCCGGGAGAAGAAGAAGGGTGAGATCCTGCAGCAGAATAGAGGCCTCCCTGCTCCCGAGGGCATGAAGCCCGAGCAGAAGTCCTCTTCCCTTGCTGCTACTGGCACTACTACTACTACCGCTGGCACATCTGCAGCGACAGCCGGCGGCAGCACCGGCACCGGCGCCCTGCAGACCCGCGACACGCCCGCTACCATCCCTACCTCCAGCGTGTCCGCTGACGACAAGGCCTACAAATCCAAGGAGAAACCCATCACCTCTGCCTCCACATTGCAGCCCCAGCAGCAGCAGATGAAACCCGACGCCTCCAAAGCCAAAGGCGCTGATAAATCCACCAGCGCAGCGGCAGCTACAGCATCCGACACCGAATCTGTCGGCCCCACCAACGAGACCAAGGAAGCCCGCGACTCTGCTGCTACCACTTCCCCTACTTCCCCTCCACATCACGAGACGAAGACAGAGACCGACCCCCTCCCCCGGGGCAACAACAAAGTCAGCGAGGAGGCGCTCAAGGGCCCGCAGACCCCGGCGCCGCGGGAGCCATTCGAGTTTGAGAAGCGGTTGGGGTCCAAAGGGGGTCCTGCCAAACCTGGTTCGTATCTTCCTGGTATATGGGTATGTGGGTTACTGACGCATTGTGTAGATACTGGCGCGGCGGACGAGGCCGAGAAGCACGGGAAGGGCCACGGGCAGGGCAAGATGGCGCATTTGAAGGAGAAGGTCGGGAAGGTGCTGCATCATGGGAAGTAAATGTTGATCCACATTGTTGCTCACAGGAGGTGAGAGCTGGTGGAGATGGGATGGGAGGAGGGCTGCGTATGATATCATGTCTTTTGCTGCTTGTGGGTCTGGGATTTAGGTCGTTCGGGGTATGGATTTATTTGTATTTGTAGTATGATCAGGGTGGGTCTGTGGATGAGATGCAGATTATTTCTTTTATTTGGTGTTAGTCAAACACGAGAATTAAGATATGGATATAAAGCAGTTATGAGCATAAACTTAACTAAGTGACCAGGGCATTGGTCTACAGCTCCTATCCTATCCTATCCTATCCTATCCCAACCTATCCAACAAGCCCGAAATACAATGGTATCATGTACAACCCCCAGGACCCTTCCTCCACGCCATCTCCCCTCAAGCACTAGCACCTGTACCTAGGCACCAGCACCTGGGCACTTACACCCAGGCTACTCAAACAACAACCTTAACTCCTCAATCCGCTCCTTCTTCTTCTCATCCTCGGACCCGTCCCCGCCGACCCGCAGCCCCAACGACCCAGCGATGTTCATCTTCCGCTCCTGCACCCGCAGCATCCGGCCCTCGATCGAGTCTTTGACCACGAACCGCGTGACCGCGACATCGCGCAGCTGGCCCATGCGGTGCACGCGGTCGATCGCCTGCGCCTCGATCGCGAAGCTCCACCAGGGGTCCATCATGAACACGTGGTTGGCAACGGTGAGGTTGAGGCCCACGCCGCCGGCGCGGAGGCTGATCAGTAGGATGCGGGGATTTGCCGTGGATGAGGCGTTCGGGGCGTTGGGCTTTCGCCTTGGTTTGGCGCTGCGTGTCTCCTCCTCGTCGGCGACGTCGTCCTCCTCAGACAGGAAGGTTTCCGCTTGGTTGAACTGCGCCAGGGTCTCGGCGCGGGCTTTCTGCGGCATCGTGCCGTCCAGCCGGACGTGCGGGATCCCGGCCCGCGTCAGTTGCGGGGAGATGAGATCCAGAAAGCTGGTGAACTGGGAGAAGACGACGGCTTTGTTGGTGGCGGGGAGGCGGGTGATGTGGTTGAGGAGGGCGTGGATCTTGGCGGAGGTGTGTGCGGAGGGGGAAAGAGGGTTGATGCGCCGCAGGGAGATGCGCGGTGGTGCTTGCGAGCTGAGCGGCGGCGTGCTGTTGTAGAGATCGGTTTCTTCGGTCGTGGGCGTGGATACCGGGGATTGCGACTGCGACTGCGACTGGTGGCGGATCACCTCGAAGATGTCTTTAGAGGTGACCGGTGCGCGGCAGGAGAAGCACCGCGGTGGCACCCCTTTGTCCGTCTGGTGGCGGATGTAGTCTTCGAGACATTTCTTGCATGCACTGTGCCAGCACGCTGTCACGGCGGGGTCGATCATGGGCTCTTCGGAGCAGATCGGACACTCCCCGCTGGACTCGGTTTGGATCTGTCGCAGTGCGTGCGAGGTGAATTTGGCTTGAGAGTCGTGGGCCTGCTCGGTGCCTGCTGCTTCGGTGGTGGCTTTGAAGCGGTCGATCAGCTCCTGCAGGTCCATGTCGTCCTTGAGATCACTGGCTCCATCGGCGGCGGCGGCGGCGTCTTCCTCGTCGGCCACGATCGCCTTGTTACGCGTGAGGATGGGATGACAACACGTCTGACGTAGACGAAGGATCTGTGCGAAGATTGTCGAGTACGACTTCAGTAAGGTACCGGCTTCAACATTGCTGTTGAAGGTCTGTTTAGCCCGGGTGTAAATTAGGTCGTAGATCTCACGCTCCTGCTCCGGAAGCTCCACCTCTTCGATCTGAATTGTTCTCCGTGGAAGCGGTACCAGGGGCTCACCCTCAGGTGTCTTCATGGTCTTGGTCCGACGGAGGACCAGCGGCTCGAGCACTGTTTGTACGACATTCAGAGCGCGCACGTAGTCTTTCGACTCGAATGGCACGGTGATGAATGTTTTCCAGAAGGAGAAGTTGTTCCAAGGCTCGACCTTCAGGAATCGCACCAAACTGAACAGATCCTCCAAACGGTTGACGATCGGTGTGCCAGTGAGGACCCACCGATGTGTTGCGCTCAGGTCGTAGCACGCCTTTGCGGATTTGGACTGACGGTTCTTGATCATATGAGCTTCGTCGATGATGATCCGAAAGAAGTTCAGAGAGAACAAGCCACCCGAGCCCATTTGCGACAGGACGGTGGACGTATGGTGACGGTGCTCTGCGAGTACGACTCCGTAACTCGTTATGATCACGTTGGGCGCAGCGGCATTGCCTGCAGCACACAACTCTCTGAGGTTTACATTCTTCTCCGTCCCATAGTACATTAAAGCCTTCATCGACCCGGGTTGAGAGGCTTTCAGTGATTCGCTCTCCCACTGCGCAAGCAGTGATGTCGGTGCAATGACCAGGGTTGTATAGGGAGCAGAAACCCTGCCAGCAGAGGCCTGTGGAAGTCTCACCAAGCCACCGGAACTTTGTGGCTCATTTCTATGAGCATGGACCAGACTTAGCATCTCGATGGTCTTACCCAGACCCATCTCATCAGCCAGGATACCACCGAGACAATGTTGCTCCTGCTTTGGAAATTCGAGGGTCAGCATCCCAGAGTACGGATTGACGTAGAAATGGTCTACTCCATCCACAGCAGGCAACTCCTTGTCATCGACATCTTTCGTAGGCCAAGAATATTGTTCCCACAGAGGATGCAGAGACACTTCCCTGGCGGACTCCTTGTTCTTTTCCTTAGCCAGCATCCAATACAGTGCTTGTCGCTGATACTTCCGCAGATCCATCGTAAATGTGGACGGAGGATGCGCTTCTGGCATACTGAAGTCGAACGACTGAGCCTTCTTGTACAGCGTGTCAAGCTGGCCCTCTTCCAGCTCCGGGGTTTCTTCCTCTTCCGACGAGTCGTTGTTCGACTGGTTCTCTTTCTTGACCCGGTCATACTGATCGGCCATCTCTGCCGCACGCAGCAATCCCTCCTTTTTATGCTTCCTGGTCATATCGCTGATGGAAGTCGGTTGTAGACCGATCTCATCGAAGAGCTTCACCAGCGCCACCTGACGGAGCCGCAATTTCTTCTCTTCCACGCTTTCCTTCTCCTCGAATATCGTAGTAGACCTGTTGTCGTCAGTGGCGTCATCGAGAATCTGAGGTTGAAACGCCTCGATGCGCAGATAGCACCACAGCTGCAGATAAATCGTGTCGTTCACGCGGATCCTGTCCGGCGCGAAGACGCACACCCCCTCAAGCTTGCAAACCTTTTGATCGATCAGAGTCGATACCCATTCGGCCGTTTCCCGAGGGAGGCGCCCGATCTCCTGGCCAGATTTCGTCGTGAACCGTGTGAGGACATCGCCCTTCTGGTTGCTGATCATTTTACCCGTGCGACCCCGTTTCGCAACGGGTTGGGACCGCGCGCGCTCGATATTGACATGCTCCCCATGCTTGACGAGCCCCACGCCACTCCTTGTAGCCCACGCCCCGACGCCGAAGGCGCCGATGTATCTCAGCTGCGGTTGTGACGCCACTCGTGGACTGGCTTGATCTGTGACGGGTGTCCCGGTCGAGGGAATGGGTGGTGTACGGGTCGTGGGAGGAGATGGTTGCGCGGGAAGGGTTCGCTCGCGGGGCAGGAGTGTGGTTTGGCTCAGGGTGGCATTCGGCGGGCTTTTCCAGGATCCGTCGAAGAAGATGTTTACGGCGCGTTCGAGGTCACCACCGGCTGCTTTGCGTATTCTGACAAGGGTATGTTCAGGGACGTCTTGTCCGACTATGGCAAGGAAGGTGGCCGTATCGAATCCGTCGTCGGCTTTCTGTTGCTCCGTTTCTTTGCTCAAATAGGACGGTGGCAAGTCGTGCGTCGTGGGAGAAGCCTCCTCATGAGAGACTGTGCTGGGCTTCGGTAAGTCCACAAGTGAGTGCGACGAGGCCAAGGTAGCATCTTGGGTCTCCTGAGTAAGGGACTCCTCATTGGAGTACCTCAACAGGGTTGAAGCCGGCAGTTCAGGAATCGTAGCAGTGAGACCATCGCTGGCTGAGTGAGGAAGCGAAATCTCCTCATCGTGGGCGAAAAACCGTCGCTTCTTCAAAGGTCGTCCATCGGCATCTTGAAAGTGCATCCTGCATCAATCATCTCCCCCTGAATGTTGCTATTGAAGGGAGTTCGAAGTGCCTGGGGCCAAAATCCACTTAAGCGGAGGGCAGAGAAAGAAAGACGCGCCGAGACGCGATTTGCACTTCGGGCCGACGTCATGTCGTGTTCCACCTGCTTCGCCCAATAAAATTTGGACTAAATGGGCTTGCTTCAGCGGAAGCTTAACCTCTGGGTTGAACGACATTCGCCTCACCAGAAGAACTAACAATGAGCCTCAATTGACGTGTGGGTGGTGTGATGCTACTCTTATCGATTCTATATTGAACCTCGAGCTGACAGCGCCTATGAAGAAATAGCCATATTATGCAATGAGCCTCAGCAGTGATCAACGACCTCCGCAATAACCTCATATAGCCAACATCCCCACCTCCTCCACCCGCACCGTCCCGGCCAAAAACAAAAATGTCTCTCTCCAACAAATTCATCCAGCCATGTCGCACAAGCGAGCTGTTATGCCGCCGGTCTCTGGCTCGTACGCGATTACAGCGCCCTCAAAAGCGCCACTTCCAGGGCCGTTCACCCGCAGCTGAAGCCGAAGTCCAAGCTGCTCAAGCCTACTGCTCCAGCCTCCTACAGTACGAAAGCCTCCTGTCCTTCCGCTGCATGGTCCTCTAACAAACCCTTCGTGACTACAAACAGAAAATACGATAGCCCGGCCTACCTCCTCCACACCTTCATCCCGCAGCATGCGCGGCCAATGTACTTCGCGCTGCGCGCGCTCAACGTCTCCCTCTCCCTGATCCCGGACACGACCTCGTCGCACACGATCGGCCTGATGCGGCTGCAGTACTGGCGCGACGCCGTGACGAAAACGCTGGCGGGCAGTCCGCCCAAGGAGCCGATCGCGATCCTGCTGGCGGCGGCGATCGAGGACCTGCACGCGCGTACCGGCGGCACGGCGCGCATCAGCAAGGGCTGGCTGACCCGGCTGATCAACGCGCGCGAGCAGACCCTCACCAACGACCCGTACCCGACCCTCGCTGCGCTCGAGTCCTACGCCGAGAACACCTACTCCACCCTCTTCTACCTGACCCTGTCCGCGCTGCCCATGACCTCCGTCACCGCCGACCATCTGGCCTCGCACGTCGGCAAGGCCGTCGGCATCGCCGCCGTGCTGCGCGGCTTGCCCCTCGTCGCCTTTCCGCAGCAGCAGCAGCAGCAGCAAGAACCAAAAAGCCCGGGTGCGGTGGTTGGTCAGTATAACAACAAGCAGGGCGCCGTGATGCTGCCGCTGGACGTGATGGCCCAGGCCGGGTTGCGCGAGGAGGACGTGTTCCGGCAGGGGGCGGAGGCGCCGGGCCTGCGCGATGCGGTATTCACCGTCGCGACGCGGGCAAACGACCACCTCATCACCGCACAGCAGATGCTGAGCAATCTCCGCGCCGGCCAGGACGTGGGCCACGAGTTCGAGCACGAGGGCGAGGAGGGCCACACGTATGAGCACACCCCCAACCAGCAGCAGCGGGCGGAGACGCCGTTGGAGGAGGTCAACCGCGCCTTCGGCGTCTTGATGCCGGCCATCCCCACGCGGCTGTGGTTGACCCGGCTGGAGAGCTTCGACTTCGACATCTTTCGCCCGGAGCTGCTGCGCTCGGATTGGACGTTGCCTTGGAAGGCCTACTGGGCGTTCAAGCGCAAGACTTTGTGATGTGATCGCGCAGCCGTGAATCAAGTACTGGCTAGTCTATGTAATATATGTACTATTATTATTTGTCTTGCACCATTTACTGCCCCACATGTAATCATGTGAGCTTGATAATGTTGGGTCATGCTATGCAACATGTGGGGTTCATCTATACAAAGGAAGGGCTTGCAATGTAGTACTTGTTGTAGTATCATGGGTATCGGAGCAGTAAGTTGGAGAGATTCATCTCTAATGCCAAAGGGTCAGGTCTTTTCCGTGGCCTGCTTCCTCTGTCGCCTCTTTCTGGAGCTGGTGATGAGCCGCTTCTGTGCGAGCAACACCACGTAACGCTGGAGTTTGTCGCGCCTGGGGAGGCCGTTAGGAATGTTCTGGGTGTGATCAGGGAAGAGACAATCTTACATCAGAAACATGGTGGTCGCGAAAACGAACGGAATGGCAATCATCCAGAAGTATCTAGGGGTTGATGTTAGTTTCGAGGTTAAAGGGGCTTTGGACTATGTGAACGCACGAGTCGCTGTGATGAATGCCAGAGAAGTCATCGAAGTTCATTCCAAAGTAGCCCTACAGGATGGGGTCAGTAAATAAACCTCGTGGCAGCCACTTGCTCGACATACCGTCAAGAAAGTCAGAGGGAGGTAGAAACACGTCACCAATGTGAGTTGCTTCATGCTCTCATTCTGGTATGCACCTGCACGAAATTAGCTCGCGCTCAACCCCCACACGGGGTGTCAAAAACTCACCGATGGTGTTGAAAATCAGATCAATCATGTTATCGGCAGCCCTTCGCATTTGGTCGTAGCCTTCGACAATCGTGATACAGTGATCCAATGCATCACCCAGATAGGTATGGCATAGAGGACTAATCGATACGCTAGAACCACCTAGGCTTTTCAGGTTTGGCGTGGCGGTTCCGATAAATGGCGTCCCGTCGCCTGCAGGGCTACTCGTACCAATGTTCTTGAACGCTCCTAAGCCAGGCGTATGAATAGGTTCCGAACGATGGTCTCGCAGTGCGTTGATTATCGTAGCAATGGGCTGCATGAAGTTCCGCAGAATAGCAATCTCGGACGTGAGGACATAGAGACTCTTAGACTGGTCAACGTCAGGGTCGGTCAGAACTTCCAGTTCCAGGTCACCCATGACATCCTGATAGGCGGTCGTCACAGGGATGGCAAGGTCAATGATAGCGTCTAGTATCGCCTGCACAATCATACTCGCGTCGCACGACTGACGTAAGATGGTCTCCGGGGAGCTGAGTCGCCTCACAATTGGGGCTTCGATATCGTCTGCACTGTTCTCGAAGAACGATGTCACGGTATTGTCTGAGTGAAGGAAGATTGACACCTGTTCGAGAATAACACACAGCCCCTTCGCGGCCAGAATGGCGTGACGCTCCATAAAGGCAATGCGCTCTTCGTTCGGGCCACCACGAAGCCGCTGGATGCTGCGAGGCGGAAGTTCATTCTCCGGGTCACTCAGACCGGACACTTTGGAAGCAGCCTTGCCTAGCCCACTGGACGTACGCCTCCCTGTACCACCCCGATCAGATGACTTTGGTCTAAAGATATCCTTCAAAGCGTCCAGAATCAACGTGCGTTTGGTGGGCCGTTTCAATGAGATCGTGCTGGCCGTGGAGCTCTTGCGATCGTTCGTCCACGGGCCGTGTCCGCCATCGCTGCTTTCGTCCGAATCACTGTCCTCCTCTTCATCTTTGAGCTTGATCAGCTTCTGCAACTTGAGAACGATGTACGCATGATCAGAGTACCAGTCGACCTTTGTGCGGTTAGTCTCGTTAATCAGATCCTCGATCGCAAGCCGATGCAGGCATTTGTGGTTTCCGAGAATTCGAATCACATCCCAGCTCAGCCCGTTCACGTTGATCCAGCGACACTGCACCCAGGGCTCCCTCTCTCGCTCAAGGAAAGGCTCTAGGGTATCGTTGTCGAGGATGTATTGGCGCATCTCATGTTGCGAAAAGTCCACGACGGAGATCTCACAGCGCTTGTACAGATCGGCGGCGGTTGAAGCCATCCACTCGGCATTGTAGGCCGGCAGCGGCTGATTTGGATCAATGCCCGGCTCCTCGCCCGGCTGCCAGTTCTGGTCATGGGGCCCATCTTCGCGATAGTATGAGCGCGCGGTGGTCGAACGCCGCCTGCGAATCCTGGCAGTGTCCCGCGAGTTGAGCCTCGCAGCAGTGGTAAACGCGTCCGGAGACGGGGGCGCCCGCGTGGTTGGCGAGATCGGTGGATCCTGAGGACGTGGGTTGGCTTCGATGTCTTCCACCTGGTTGGAGGTTGATGGTAGTTCTGCGGTCTGCGCATGGTCAAAGGAATGGACACTCATGGCATCCAGATTGCGGCCTGGCTGCGTGGGCTTCGGTCAGTGGAGAAGTTCTGCATTGAACATGGATTCAAGATCCAGGGTAGTTTCGAGACACAGAGAACAGAGTATGCCATAAGTTGATCAGCCCAAAATGATGGTTGTTGGAATTCTTCAAATCCTGGAAATCTCGGAGATTTGTAGTGATGGTGGGCGGCAGGTGCACGGGGCATTTGCACGAGGATGCCGCCCGTAAAGGGGATGCCGCATCGCCGCGGGGAAATGACGTCGACTCGGTCATACCATTCCGCAAAGGACGATACATTCCTCAGACAGATTTAAAACGCTTAGTATTATAGTGAAGCCAGATGGGCCTTGGTAGTCAGAAGAAGTCTACGGTAAAGGAATAAGGAAGCGTAGTTCATCAATGTCAACTGAATAAAAATTAAACCTTGCAAGTTTCATGCAAAATCTCTTGGCTACAGTGAGCACATCTCTTGGCTTCTTTCTTCACTGCAATGTTCCACCACTTGCCAACCCGCTAGAAAAACACCAAAGATTCTCATGCGATTCCCTTATCCCGAGTGATCTAACGAGGGGCCTCTCTCGCATCGTTTGGGTAAAAAACCTAGTTCTCATCTTCTAGACGCCTGCCTAAGCGTCTCGCACAATCGATGAGATTGCGCAAGCTCAAATTCCTATTGTAGGCTTCGTTGCAACAGCAAAATGTGACGAGATTACTTTTCTGTGGGGTGAGAGGCTCCGATCGCCCTAACCTGGGCTCCTATGGTGCCAGAAGGCTATGGTCGCCGCTACTGTGTAGAGCCACGACAGCCCCTGCTCAATGCGCCATGTCATGTCGTACACCGAGCAACGCATGTAGTCGTCAGATAGTGTTCATTATCAGGTTCGGTGACGGGTTCGCAAGGTCTGCGCAGTTTGATACTCCGCTCTGGTACCTTGCCCGGGGTTTCATACTCCGCTCTGGTAACCTCACCAGACAAAAGCTCCCTCATGCGGCTGAAGTATTCCCTACATTCCTCTTCCGCCGCAGTAGCTTGATCTGTAAAGGTATCAAGTGTCGTTTCGGTCCTGCGACGTCGTTCCGTGACAAAGGCTTTCGGCATACTGGGCAAGTGCCTTTCGGGGATTTACTGGTAGAGTCTGACCGTTCTTCGCTGAACTTTAGTGTATCGGTAATGCATTTGTGACAAAAGAGATGTCCTATGCTAAGTCAGCTTAGATCACATGCCTTCATCTCCACCAATCTGACGTTGAAATTGGAAGCCAAGGCCATACATACCACACACAGTACTGGTAGCATCCACGGGAGTGTCCATACACACAGGGCACTTATAAGCAGCAAAGATTGATTCAGCACCATTTTCAAGCGACTGTTGTGCAAGAATAGCATCTGCGCGCTGTTTGGCCTGTGTTTTCGAAATCTCCGACACCTCATCAGTCTCGGTCAGATCGATGGATGCCGCCTCGCTTGACTGTCCGTCAAGCTGGAAGGGAGGGGCTAGTCGGCGTCGCTTGGGTTCTGGGGACTCCAGCGGATGGTTGCTTGGGCTTGTTGGCGACGAATCTAAGGAATAACGGCTGATATCCATGATCAAGACTGTATTTAGTTTCTAAAGAAGGAACTAAAAGAGTTAATCTTGGAGGCAGACTGAACATAGCCAAGTGAACTAAAGTGACAAGCGTGGCGGAGAAGATCTGCTGCCACTGTTCTTATCGGAGTTGGCGATAAGAGGATGCTTCCTCTGATAGGAAGGCGGTCGCAGCCAAGGAACATCAATCTTCCAGCATTTCTCATCATGACGCCGAAATCCCCCAATAGGAAAGAAAAGACGATCGGCCCTCCTTGTGAGCCAAAAGATTATCTCCAAAGCTCGGTCGCACTCTTCATTGCGCAGCATCGGCTGCGACTTCTCGAATCGTCGTACCATGGACTGATTTATTATTACTGTAACCGCTTAACATCATGCTTTGGAGTATTCCCTGCGCTCCCTGTCGCAGGGATGCAGCTATCTTTTTTTCGCAGAGATTGCGCCCGTCTCGCTTCCCTCGGAGAGGGACATTACAAATATCAAGATACCTCGCTACGCAATCAACCACCAATGAGTCTGAGAGGAAGAGCGAGGATCATGGCTCACTTTCCGGTAAATAATAGATCAGATCTCCGAAGATATTAGGAATCAAGTACTAATAGCGCAGTCCCCGCTCTGGCTAGGTTCAACGAGATCGGAGTTCAACAGCTGAGCGACCATGTATATTCTCAAGTATTCCCCACGAAATCAGATCCTCCAGATCCGAGCCTTGTCGCCTTAGCAAAAGAACATCTATCCAGGCATGATTTGCTCGGAAAATCCCAGGATGCCACCGAACCCGTCGCCTTCGACATGCCAACCCTCCAAGGACAATCGCTAGACGAACACTTTTTCAAGCTAGGAATGGACTGCTCTGACCCCTACCTATCGCTCGCGAAGGAATATATCACTGTCAACTCTCCAGAAAAGCCACGCAAATGGGTAAACCGCAGCGGATGGACGAAGTACAATTCCGACGGCTCCTGGGAAGCCGTGGATGCACCGAACGAATCGATTCTGACCTTCGACACCGAAGTACTATACAAAGTACATTCTTTTGCGGTCATGGCTTGCGCAGTTAGTCCTACGGCTTGGTATGCATGGATTTCGCCTTGGCTGCTGGGAGAGACGGACAATGAGATTCAACTTGTACCCCTCGGAGACCCATCAAAGTCACGTATCATTGTGGGACATAACATCGGCTATGATAGAGCTCGCGTGCTTGAAGAATACGACATGAGCCAGACTCGCAATTTCTTCCTCGATACAATGTCTCTACATGTCGCAGTCAACGGGATGTGTTCACAGCAGAGACCAACCTGGATGCGCCACAAGAAAAATAAAGACCTTCGGGACAAGATCACCAATGAGAGCAACTCTGTGGAGCTGGCAGCCTTACTTGAAAATAAAATGCTCAGCGAAGAGGAGGAGGAGCTCTGGATCGGAAGAAGCTCAGTGAACTCGCTTCGAGATGTGGCCAAGTTTCACTGTGATGTTACGATTGACAAGTCACAACGAGACTACTTTGGCGAGCTTAGCAGGGAGGAGATTGTAGAGAAGCTGGAGGAGTTACTCGACTATTGTGCAGCAGATGTTGCAATCACCCATCGTGTCTACAAGAAGGTCTTCCCTAATTTCCTTGAGGTCTGTCCACACCCCGTTAGCTTCGGGGCTCTGAGGCATCTCTCTTCGGTAATATTGCCCGTCAATCAGACTTGGCAGGAATATCTTGTCAAGGCAGAGGCGACATATCATCAACGACTTGAGGACGTCCAAAAGAAAATGGTCGAGCTGTGCAATGAAGCTCTAAAAGTCAAAGACTCTCCCGAGACATATACGAATGATCCATGGTTACGGCAGCTGGACTGGTCTGGCCAGGAGATCAAAATGGTCAAGGGGAAAAAAAAGAACGACCCTCCCCGGCCAGCCGCGAGGCAAAAAAAGCCGGGCATGCCTAAGTGGTATAAGGATCTTTTCCCCAAGATTGATGCAGACATTAACCTTAGTGTTCGGACGCGGATTGCTCCAATTCTTCTGAAGTTGTCGTGGGATGGGTACCCTTTGACGTGGTCAGACAAGCACGGATGGACTTTCAAAGTGCCTCGCGATCATGCGAAGAAGTACGATAATCAGCCAGTGGTGATTTGTGACATGTCGGAGGAGAAGATCCTCGAGCTCAAAAACGACCGGAAGCATGCGTACTTCAAACTGCCGCATAAAGACGGGCCCACAGCACGATGTGTTAATCCCTTAGCGAAAGGCTATATGCAATATTTTGAACGTGGAACTCTTTCATCCCAGTATGCACTCGCCAAAGAGGCTCTGGAGATGAATGCATCCTGCTCATATTGGATCAGCGCTCGTGATCGCATTACGAGTCAAATAGTGGTTTACCAGGATCAGTTGCGAGATGTAGACCCAGCCAAGACAGATGAGACTCGTCTGGGTTTCATTCTCCCCCAGATTATCCCCATGGGTACTATCACACGAAGAGCCGTTGAAAACACCTGGCTTACTGCAAGTAATGCGAAAGGCAACCGCGTTGGCTCTGAGTTGAAAGCCATGATCAAAGCTCCACCGGGCTATTCTTTTGTCGGTGCCGACGTGGACTCACAAGAGTTGTGGATCGCGAGTCTCATCGGAGATGCTCAGTTCCAGATTCACGGTGGAAATGCCATCGGCTTCATGACGCTGGAAGGTTCCAAGGCTGCCGGGACGGATATGCACTCGCGTACTGCTTCGATCCTAGGCATTTCTCGTAACGACGCCAAGGTTTTCAACTATGGACGTATCTACGGAGCTGGAGTGAAGTTCGCGGCTACTCTGCTGAGACAGTTCAACCCATCGATGAACGAGAGGGAAACACAGGAGGTAGCAAGTAAGCTATACAAAGAGACCAAGGGCACTCGGACGACTCGGCGCCTTATCAGTGATACTCCATTCTGGAGAGGTGGCACCGAGTCATTCGTGTTCAACAAGCTGGAGGAGTTCGCTGAGCAAGAAAGACCGAGAACCCCAACTCTAGGAGCAGGTATCACGGAGGCATTGATGCGGCGCTTCATCAACAAGGGCAGCTTCATGACGTCAAGAATCAATTGGGCCATTCAGTCCTCTGGCGTTGATTATCTACACCTGCTGATCGTCGCAATGGACTATCTCATCCGGCGCTTCAACATCGCTGCTCGACTAGCCATCACCGTGCACGATGAGATCCGATATCTCGTCAAAGATGAAGATAAATATCGTGCTGCCCTCGCGCTGCAAGTGGCGAACGTCTGGACCCGTGCGATGTTCTCCGAGCAAGTTGGGATCCACGACCTCCCCCAATCTTGCGCCTACTTCTCCGCCGTCGACATCGACCACGTCCTCCGCAAAGAAGTGGACATGGACTGCGTAACCCCATCCCATCCGCACAAGATCCCGCACGGCGAAAGCTTAGACATCGTCAAACTTCTGGAAAAGAGTGAGCAAGCGCGGCTGGATCCGTCCATCGAGCCCACCATTCCCCCTGCCCCCGAGAAGTACGCCTACAAACCACGCCCGACCGTCATGTCCGCACTGCCCGATTCCAACCACCCATCCTTCATCCGGGCCCAGATCACCAAAGATGACGCGGAACTCCGAGAGATCGTCAAGGAGCTCACGAAAGAGAAAACCGCGATGGCCGCAGCAGCAGCGGCAGCCAGTCAGTCCACCGCCGCCGGCACCAGCCAGGGCCGCGGCCGCCCCCGCACCACCGCACTGCCAGCAGCGGAGCCCCAAAAGGCCATTCTGATGGACGTCGGCTCGACCATCTACACACCTGGCTTCCGCGGCGGCTTCTCGCAGCAAGGGAGCAGGTCTCCCCACGTCAGCTTCAATCGCCAGAACTGGAAACCCCGACATTCCGCTCGCGCGTGATATGCTCGTCTTGTCACCTTCTCCCTCTCCCTCTCCCCCTTCACCATCCTTTCGGTCCTTCTCCTGTAAATATAATAAAGCTTGTTTTTCGTTGACCGATGGACTAACTTCCAAGCTATAACCTCAACCTCATGTCTCATCCGATCTCTCTCTCACACCTTCTTCTTCTGATATGTATTCTGTGTCCTGGAAAAAAACTTTTGTATTGCAAAAAGCATTGGGAAGGGCGTCGAAAGGGGGGATATGGATGTTGCATTCTGGCGGGACGTTCTTTTTTCCTTTGCTTTCCAATGTCGATGACATATATCCGCTGCTTTTACAACGGTGTTCCTAGTTTGGGGTCGGTGCAATTTATGTGTGAAGTATCTGAAATAAATTCAGAACTCAAAACGGCATTTTACTGTGCAAGATTATTCTGCGCAGAAGAATATGCTGTTGACATCTACGTTCTTGGTCCTTGTCAAGATTGCAAAGCTCAACATGGTTAGAGAAGCTCAAATAATCAGCTAAACGAACTATATAGGAACATGCATGATCTTCAAGAAGATCTACGCTTGTCCGATAACAATAATATGAGGTAAAGCAATCCATCTCTCACGCCTTCTTTCTCCCGGGGTCGAGGGTATTCCTCCTACTCAGCCCATTATTCTCCCCTCCCCGCAGCATGGCGTCGCCCTTCCTGCCGAGAACCACCTCCAGGGCTTGGATCAATGCGGTCGCGTCGTACTTCATCCCCACGGCGACCTCTTCCCCGTCGGCGCCGGTGGTCGTGATCTTGCGCCCGTAGAGCCGGAGGGTCTCGATCCCCATGGCGGCGAGACGGTACTTGTCCACCGCGGGGGTGCCGGGCCCTTCCAGGTGCAGCACATGGGTGACATAGGCGGTATACGGTAGGGGCTGGTCGCTCAGAGGTTGCTGGTTCGCGTCCAGCACGCCCCGGCCGCGGCTCTCCTCGCCGGCGCGCGTGATGGCCTCGACGAAGTCGGCGGCCGAGAAGGGCGCGGCGGGGGGTCCCGTCTCGCGGTCGAGGGAGCCGTTCAGGATGAGGATTTTGTGGCGGGCGGGGCCGGTGGCGATGGCGTGGCCGACGCCGCGGAGGATGAGCGAGGGGATCAGCGAGGTGTACAGGGAACCAATACTGTAGACGATGGCCTGGGCGTCGCGCAGGGACTCGATGACGCGCGGGTTGGCCGGGGGGCGGATCT